TAAGCAGTTCAAAAGCACATCAAAATGCAAGTAGATAAATACCGGTAGGTACCCCTCTGGCGGGAAGGTAAACGGCGTTTCCGTGCGCTGCTCTGGTACGGCAGAAGTGGCTTAGTCATGCTGGCCACATGACCCGGAAGCTGTATGCCGGCTCCCTCGGCCAATAAAGCGAGATGAGCGCCGCAACCCCAGAGTCGGTCACGACTGGACCTAAAGGTCAGGGGTCCCTTTACCTTTTTAATCTCACTGTATCGTGTAATCTCACTGTATACAAGTTGTACACGTGACAATAAAGTATTTCAATTTCAATTAAGAAATAGTCCAATATTATCACTCCTATTAGATTGGGGTTGGAGCCCTTCTGCCCTGTGACACAAGGTGATGGCATCATCATTATGCACCGAGACCAGGGCCAAGATGTCTCAGAGCATTAGGACCACTAATGGGGTCCTCCTGATCATCTTCCCTGCCCCTGATGTGGAACACAAAGGCTGGGGAGAATATGCTCTGCAACAAAGCAGAATTATTGGCAAGTTATTTCGGGGGGTGGGGGTGGTCTAAGATTGGTTAGTCCCTAATTATTTAGCACATTGCAAAACACTCTGTAACACAGCAGAGATTCTTGACAAGAGATATTGGTGGGTCCGAGATCTGTTGGCCCCTTCAGCACTCAATGGGCCCCAAAAACTGCCCCGTCTTTCCGGATGCCACTGCTAGAGATCAGACTTGATACTGGCACGTCTGGGATGCATTGATAGAGCTAATTACTGAGCACAAAAGGAGCAGCAGCAGTGAGAAGACTTGCTAATGCTGACTGCTAAGAGATTATGCCAAACTCTCCGTATTATGCAGTCATTCATCTACATATTTTATAAACTCAAGGGAGGAACTGATACAATTTGAAATTGCCATATTGTTGTTTCTCCTGACTGCTTTCTCTACCCGCTGCTGCACAATTTAATAAGATATTTTGAATACCCATCTCTCCAATGGCGCCTTGTTTATTCATGAGCAAGAAGTGGAAAGATGAAATTTGCTTCTGAGGACCGTAATTAGCAGCCACTTTGCCCATCCTGAAGGGACACGGGTGTCGCTGTGGGTTAAACCACAGAGCCTAGGACTTAGAATCATAGAATCATAGAGTTGGAATAGATCACAAGGGCCATCGAGTCCAACCCCCTGCCAAGCAGGAAACAATCAGAAGGTCGGCGGTTCGAATCCCCGTGACGGGGTGAGCTCCCGTTGCTCGGTCCCTGCTCCTGCCAACCTAGCAGTTCAAAAGCACATCAAAATGCAAGTAGATAAATAGGTACCACTCCGGCGGGAAGGTAAACGGCATTTCTGTGCACTGCTCTGGTTTGCCAGAAGCGGCTTAGTCATGCTGGCCACAAGACCCGGAAGCTGTACGCCGGCTCCCTCGACCAATAAAGCGAGATGAGCGCCGCAACCCCAGAGTCGGCCACGACTGCACCTAATGGTTAGGGGTCCCTTTACCTTTACCTTTGCCCGTCCTGTCTAAACAGAGGTGCTTCCCAAAGTAGCCAGGTTTGAATTTAGGTAGCCCTCAGCCCTGAGTGCTCACTGGAAGGACAGATCCTGAAGCTGCGGCTCCAATACTTTGGCCACCTCATGAGAAGAGAAGACTCCCTGGAAAAGACCCTGATGTTGGGAAAGATGGAGGGCACAAGGAGAAGGGGACAACAGAGGACGAGATGGTTGGACAGTGTTGTCGAAGCTACCAGCATGAGTTTGACCAAACTGCGGGAGGCAGTGGAAGACAGGAGTGCCTGGCGTGCTCTGGTCCATGGGGTCACGAAGAGTCGGACACGACTAAACGACTAAACAACAACAACAAAATTTGCAAAGTGGAAATGATGCCTTAAGGCAGGGGCGATCAGCCTTTTTGAGCCTGTGGGAAGCCGTTTGCAAATTGGGGGAAACTGTCACGGGCAGCAAACACACACCACAGCCTGTCCTATTAGCTGCAACAGAATGGGTTGAACCTTACATCTAAGGCAATTGTTTGAGGGGTTCCTATTGTTCTGGGAGGGGAGAGGAGCCTCTGTCAACTCCAGCGGTAGTTCAGGTTCACATAACGACCAAGAATTATCAGCTGAAGCAGCCACAGAGATGTGCGCTGGCAACAAGGGTGCAAAACGCAAATATGACTTATCTTATCTAAAGTTTGGTTTCATTAGTGCTGGGCCAGAAGATTAGCTGAAGCCACAAAATGTGCTTTATTCAGAGGCGCTGTCTGATGCTAGTATGAAACTGCTGATGCAACAATGAAACCATGACAAACACGAGATTTTTCCAGCTCTAACGTGACCAAATGAAACAAAAGAAGAAACGCCGTGGTGCATCTGCAAGCAGCACAACAGGACGCCTTCATCTGCCCCAGCTGCAGCAAAACATGTCTTTCCCCTATCGGTCTCTACGGCCACAGCAGGTGCTGTAAAATCTCCAGTGGTTTGACTTGACCTCCCTGAATGCGCACTCCTCCACTGTCTCCCCAGGCAGATGGATGCCTATAGCAAGAAGTCGCTTGTGAAAATAGCTGCAAGAAATCCTGCTGTAACGAAAGCAACTTTGCAAAAGCTAAGAAACCTCACACCACAGCTGATTTGGCCATATGTTGCAGGCATGGTGAAAGAAGTCTAGGGAGGGTGAGATGTGTGTCGTTCTTCTTTCGAATAATACCACCAGTCCCCAAATTTCTGGGATGTCAGACAATGTGAATGAACAGTTAATCAAAACGTTGAAAACCGATGTTGCAAATTTGCTCTGCCCTTACGATTTGTGTACATTTCGTTAATCCTGTCGTTGTGGTTATTGAGGAAGGTTTTTTTACTCAGCAAAGAGCTGCCAAAGGGAGAAGAATCTGAAGGAGCTGGGTATGTTTAGCCGAGAGGAGATATGTTAGCCATCTTCAAATATCTGAAGGGCTGTCACATGGAATATAATAATAATAATACCTCGGGTTAAGAACTTAATTCATTCTGGAGGTCTGTTCTTAACCTGAAACTGTTCTTAATCTGAGGTACCACTTTAGCCGCCACCGCGCGATTTCTGTTCTCATCCTGAAGCAAAGTTCTTAACCCGAGGTACTATTTCTGGGTTAGCAGAGTCTGAAGCGTCTGTAACTTGAAGCGTCTGTAACCCGAGGTACCACTGTATTATTATTATTACGACTACTACTACTATTATTGTTGTTTATTATTATTATTATTATCAGTAATAGTAGTAGTAGTGTTTTATCCAATTTCTTACCTACCCAAAAACAAGATCAGGTAAATTCAGAACCCCAAAATGAAAAAATAAATTTGGCTGAGGAGAATCAGACCCCTGTCCTTTTGCATGCAGGGATTTGGAGGCAGACACGCGAGGGCCCCTCAGCAGAAAAACTGACGTGAAGAGAGTTTCCCATATGAAGAGCAGTTTTGCAAACCTCTCAGCTCCAAGGGGTTTCATCACGGAATAATCCAATAACAGCCTGTTATGTTTCATTAGCATCAGCATGTGACTGTAAAGAATCCCATACAATTAAATTTGCAAGAGGAGGCAATTAATGCTCTTGGAACTACTATTTAGCTGTAATTTCTATTGCCTTTCTAATTCAGAAGACTCAAAACATGGGAGAGGGAGACAGCATTTAACTAGACACAGGGGGCCAATAGGAGAGGGGAAATTCTCGAGTTCTTAAATAGAGGAATCACATATTCTGTTGCTCCTCTAGAAACCCATTTAACATATGGCGCCGGGTGGCGCTGTGGGTTAAACCACAGAGCCTAGGGCTTGCCGATCAGAAGGTCGGCAGTTTGAATCCCCGCGACAGGGTGAGCTCCCGTTGCTCGGTCCCTGCTCCTGCCAACCTAGCAGTTCGAAAGCACGTCAAAGTGCAAGTAGATAAATAGGTACCCCTCCGGAGGGAAGGTAAACGGCGTTTCCTTGTGCTGCTCTGGTTTGACAGAAGTGGCTTAGACATGCTGGCCACATGACCTGGAAGCTGTACGCCGGCTCCCTTGGCCAATAAAGCGAGATGAGCACCGCAACCCCAGAGTCGTCTGTGACTGGACCTAATGGTCAGGGGTCCCTTTACCTTTACCTACCCGGCACAGCCCTGGGAGGGAAGGAAAGCGAGAAAACTGAATGAATGAACCACCTAGCAGAGGATACCCGACACCCTAGGCGGGCCTCCCAAAAACTCTTACCAAATGTGGCATACAGGGGGCCCATAAAATCATACGAGTCGTAAGAGACCCCAAGAGTCATCTAGTCTAACCCCCCGCAATGTAGGAATTTCAGCTAAAGCACCCATGACAGATGGCCGTCCAATCTCTCTTCCAAAGCCTCTGAATCCATGTTGGTGGGCAAAGGTAAGCGGCAAGATTTGTCCTTCTTCCAGTTTACTTTAAGCATCTTTTCCATCGCTGGGTTAGATGAGGGCTCTTGTTCCATTCTCGTCCAGCTTTTGACTAAAACCTGTCCAGATGTCACCAAGAATTCCAGAAGCGGGACATGGAAACGACAGCCCTGCCCGTCCCTCTGTTGCTAGTATTTGAGAAAAGCTTGGGGTTCCATTGAGCTATAATGGTCCGCAGCATCTCTCCGTGGGCCGTCCACAAGAGAACTTCCGTACGGATATTCAGTACAGTCGTAATTTGGTTGTTGAACTTAAATCCGTTCCGGGAGTCCGTTCGCGACTCCCGGAACCGTTCGAAAACCAAGGCGCGGCTTCCGATTGGCTGCAGGAGTTTCCTGCACTTGATCGGAAACCGCATTGGATGTTTGGCTTCCAAAGAATGTTCACAAACCAAAAGACTCACTTCCGGGTTTGAGGAGTTTGGGATCCAAAACGTACGAGGACCAAGGGCATTTGAGAACCAAGGTACCACTGTACCCATGATCTGCGGTGGATGATGGGTCAAATTGTGTTCAAGCAGGAGGGAAAATGAGACATAAACAGACAGGCATCCTTTTGAATGACTTTATTAACAACAATCTGGTTTACAACGCTTCGAGTAAAAAGTTTTCTTTTGCTCCGTTTTTGAATAAAAATTAAAATAGAACTCTGAATATAGATTTCCCCCATTATTTACATGAAATCATATCTATATATTTATATATATATTTATTTATATACAGAATACAATCTTGTACAGCAGAATTAACAACGTGCCTCGTTCTTTTGTGGACAGGAAGCATAAGGAGGCAGGATTCTTCCCATCTCGCTCTGTCTCTTGAGATTTTCGCCTTCCAAAACACTCTCAACCTGGGCTGTTACGCACGCCATACATTTAAAGCACATCCCCCCCACCCATCGGAAAAAAATGCTGGGAACTGTAGTCCTCCACAGAGCTACAACTCCCAGCACCCTTAACCACAGTTCCAAGGCTGCTTTGGGGAAAGTTGTGTGCTTTATAAATGCATGGTGCGTAATGCAGCCTTGAAACTTCGATGCTGGTGTCGAACATTCGCATCTGATGATGGGAGGCTTCCATCCTCCTGCTAGTAACAAGAAAAATAACAGGGCACGGACAGAAAAGTTTAATAATGCAAACAAATCCAATTCTTGTGTTTTCATAGAGCGCTGGGAGGGACCCTACGGGGTCATCTAAACCAGTGTTTCCCAACCTTGGGCCTCCAGCTGTTTTCGAACTACAATTCCCATCATCCCTGACCACTGGTCTTGCTAGCTGAGGATTATGGGAGTTGTAGTCCAAAAACAGCTGGAGGCCCAAGGTTGGGAAATGCTGATCTAAACCAACCCCCTGTAATGAAAGAATCACAGCTAAAGAATCCCTGACTGATGGCCATCCAACCTCTGCTTTAAAATCTCCTCTGATGAAGGAGAGTCTACAGTCCGAGCCGGGAACAAGGGCTAAAAGCACACCGGCCCTTTAAAAAGCCTGGGATCCCTCTAATGAGCTGCCTGACAGTGAGGAAGGACTAGATTCAATGCGCCCAACTCTCCCATCCCTTCCAAGAGAGCTGCATGTTGGGATGTTGGCTTTTAAGAAAAAGTGATGCTCCTGTAGCCCACACGGCTACACATGTGCTCTGTTGGAGTGGAGCAAGCAGGCTGCCTGGGGCTGAAGGCAGGGCTGGAGAAAGGGGGGCGCGGTCCGTCCCGGGTGTCACCACTGAGGGGGGTGACAAAATGCGGGCGGCACTCATCGCGCGGCCTGCAGCGCGCCTGAGCCACGCATCTCCCCTGGGAGTGACGCAGTGGCTTGGGCGCCTGAAAGCTCCGCGTTGCCCAAATGGTTCGTCTGCTGCCCCGCCCCAGCTGTAGGGTGGTTAAGTGGGAGGAGGCAGGCAGACTCTGGAGGCACCGGGGTGTATCCTGCCCCTATGGGCGGCTTGCCCCACGTGCCCAAGCAGTTTCCTCAGCCGCTGGCTGTAGGAGTCGGGGAAGCGGGTGTCCCTCAGTGCTCTGCAGTGCAAAACGGTTTGTACGATTTGGACCTTTAACCTTGCACAGTGGTTGGAAACTAGGAATGGCCCGGCCCGGCCATTTCAGCTTCTCTCAATTTCTCTTTTTTCCAATCTCAAATTCGGCTCTCGCGCTTTTAACACACCAGCTGGTGATTTGAGTCCTCCTGAAAAATCCGTCCCGCCGACTTCTTCCCTATGCAGTTTAGCACACATTTTTTTGCAACGCAGCTTCCCCCACCGTGAACCAGTTTTGTGAGCTTTCCTTCTCATTTATGCACACTTCAACTCAGCGCATGCATTTCTGTACACAATTACTCGGCCAGGGAAATTGCACCGCAAGGATCAGGCCCAAATGACAGCCGCCCTGCCTTCAAGACCCCTCTTTCCCCTGTCAAGCGAAGTCATTCAAAATGGTGCTCTCGTGTGTGCTTTAGAATAGTGGATATTGGTTGCCGAGAACAGCAAATCAACACACAAAATAACCCCGGCGCTTACAGCGACGGAAAAGCAAGCTTGATTTGAGATAGCGAGAGTCATCCTCGTCATCTCATTTCTTTTCTGCCAGAGGTTCTCTACTGCAAAGTCCAGCCCTTGCAAGCTTACGCACATTCCTTTTCTATGCCGCAAATATTCTGGGTGGGTATTTTTCTTCTTTTAGCTGTGCTATAGTGCAAAGGTGCCCAACACTGGGGAAAGCATGGCAGAACAACTCATGAAGCAGAATGGTACGCGTATGGTTTGGTATAAATCCATCACTAATGTAATCTTAATGAATCAGGGACAAGTTGCAGAATGCATCTGCAAAAAAACACCCCCCAAAATGAACAAACAAAAAAACCATCCATCTGGAGGGCTCCTCTGCCTATCACTCCGTATCTGACCCCTTTACCTGACTCTCTTTGAGGCTCATAATCTCTCAGGAGCCTGGAGCCTTGCAGCCCTTATTCAGCCCCACCCCAAAGCCCCAGCTGCAGGCCAGCCTACTCGTGAGCAAGCAGCCGGGCTGCCACCTTCTTCCCCACAATATATATTTTATCAGTGCTTCCGAATGCAAAGGGGTTCAGGGTCGGGAGATCCAGGCGCAACCTTGGAACGAAAATCATGGAGATGGGAAGGTGGCAATCGGCGTGGTCAGTTGGCGTACTGGGCATAGAAAGCCAGTTTGACCCGCTCGATCTGGTGGCACAGCTTGATGGCGGGACCGAGTTTGAGGTCCATGCACTCCTGGACGGTCGGCAGGGTCAGCAAGAGGAGAGCTTGGCCGTCAATGTCCTGCAGAAAGGAGAAGAAACATTCATGATGTTTAATTTTTTTAATGTATGCTGCAATTTCAAAAAAAAAAAAAAAAATGTGGCACAGGAGCATTCCAGTCAGTAATCACACCATTCAAAGTTGGAGTTAAAGGCTGGGCTGGATGAATCCCAAGCCGGAATTAAGATGGCCGGAAGAAATATCAACAACCTCAGATATGCAGATGACACAACCATGATGGCAGAAAGTGAGGAGGAATTCAAGAACCATTTAATGAGGGTGAAAGAGGAGAGTGAAAAATATGGTCTGAAGCTCAACATCAAAAAAACTAAGATCATGGCCACTGGTCCCATCAACTCCTGGCAAATAGAAGGGGAAGAAATGGAGGCAGTGAGAGATTTTACTTTCTTGGGCTCCATGATCACTGCAGATGGTGACAGCAGTCACGAAATTAAAAGACGCCTGCTTCTTGGGAGAAAAGCAATGACAAACCTAGACAGCATTTCAAAAAGCAGAAACATCTCCTTGCCGACAAAGGTCCGTATAGTTAAAGCTATGGTTTTCCCAGTAGTGATGTATGGAAGTGAGAGCTGGACCATAAAGAAGGCTGATCGCCGAAGAATTGATGCTTTTGAATTATGGTGCTGGAGGAGACTCTTGAGAGTCCCATGGACTGCAGGAAGATCAAACCTATCCATTCTGAAGGAAATCAGCCCTGAGTGCTCACTGGAAGGACAGATTGTGAAGCTGAGGCTCCAATACTTTGGCCACCTCATGAGAAGAGAAGACTCCCTGGAAAAGACCCTGATGTTGGGAAAGATGGAGGGCATAAGGAGAAGGGGACGACAGAGGACGAGATGGTTGGACAGTGTTCTCCAAGCTACCAGCATGAGTTTGAACAAACTGCAGGAGGCAGTGGAAGACAGGAGTGCCTGGCGTGCTCTGGTCCATGGGGTCACGAAGAGTCGGACACGACTAAACAACAAAATTTATTAGCAAAAACGCATAGCAGCTCACTCCCAGCGGTGTTATTCCGTGAAAATCGAGTTGCCGACACTGAAAGTCCCCTCCTCTCTCCCGGGCTTTCCCCAGGCGATTGGAGACTATGCCTGTGTATAGCCAACCTCTCATCCTCCCTTTTCAGACCTCTTCTGGTTCTGGGAGCTGCCAGGGGGAGGGAGGAGAGCTTGTTGCAGCAGGAGGAGGCATCACAAGCAAAATGAGCGCATGAAGGCAAACCTGGGGGGTGGGAATTATATCCAGTGGAAATTACAACCTTAGATGATCTGGAATTGACTCTCAGCCCTGACACAGAAGAAGCGGTAGAATGAAGAAGGGCCCACCTGCTCCTGAAATATTTTGGCAAGAGGGGCACAGTCGGTCAGCTTGATGAACTTCACCACGTCTGTGACAGTCCATTCCAACGGGTTGCTCTCCAGCACAAGCTTCTGTTCCGGCTCTGGCTTCATCACCTAAGAGGGCAAATAAATACATAAAAATAGAATAGAAGAAATGAATAGGATCCTGTGGCTTTTCTAACCCAGTCTCCTGCCATAATCATCATCATCATCATCATCATCATAATTTATTATTTATACCCCGCCCATCTGGCTGGGTTTCCCCAGCCACTTTGGGCGGCTTCCAACAAAACACTAAAATACAATAACCTATTAAACATTAAAAGCTTCCCTAAACAGGGCTGCCTTCAGATGTTGTCAGGGCTGCCTCAGGTCTCAGCTCACAAAAGACCAACGCCAAGTTCTTCTTATATACAAAAGTGTTTATTGGAGTTCATTGTTTGCTTCACATCTGAGGCGCGCAGCCCCACGTCTGTTACGCTTAGACCGTTGAAGTCCCCTCTCAGTCAGTCCCTCCCCTGCACCAGTTTAAGAGGCTTGCGCTGCTCCACCTCTTCCTCTCTTTCCTTTTCCGCAGGGTCTTCCTGCCCGCTGGGGTTTCGCCCTCCTGGATTCCCCTGACGCGGAATCCCCAGATTGCTCTTCCCCCCCTCCTGCGGGCTTTGGGACCTGGCTCCTCCTCCGGGCTCCCTGTACTTCCGCGCGCCTCCACATTTGAACTTGGCGCGCGCGCCCAACCTCTAACCTTCCTTTTGACAGTTACACTACTCCCTTCACTACTCCTCCCCTTCCGGGAGGGTGGCTTGCTCCGACCTCCCTCCCTTCTCTGCTGCCGGAGCTGCTCCCCTGATACACTGGAACCTCCACCCCCCTTCGCTGCACTCTGGCGGGGAGGCTGGTCCTGACGCCCAGCTGCCACTTTGGGATCCCCCGCTGGCCCCCCTGCTCCTGACACGTCCCCCCCTGGGGCTCCCCTGGCCTTGACCACCGGCGCCCCCTTCTGGGAATCCTCTGATCCGCTGGGAAGACTCATGGAATCTCTTGAGTCATTGTCATCCTCTTCCTCGCTGTCCTGGGATTCATCCCCATCGCTCTCCATCTCCTGCCTACCCTGTGCCTCTGTCCCTGAACCCCTGACAGATGTCTTCAAAAAGTTTGGTAGTTATTTTTCACTTTGACATCTGGTGGGAGGGGGTTCCACAGGGTGGGTGCCACTACCGAGAAGGCCCTCTGCCTGGTTCCCTGTAACTTGGCTATTTGCAGCGAGGGAACCGCCAGAAGGCCCTCGGAGCTGGACCTCAGTGTCCGGGCAGAACGATGGAGATGGAGACGCTCCTTCAGGTATACTGGACCGAGGCCGTTTAGGGCTTTAAAGGTCAGCACCAACACTTTGAATTGTGCTCGGAAACGTACTGGGAGCCAGTGTAGGTCTTTCAAGACCGGTGTTATATGGTCTCGGCGGCCGCTCCCAGTCACCAGTCTGGCTGCCGCATTCTGGATTAGTTGTAGTTTCCGGGTCACCTTCAATGATAGCCCCACATAGAGTGCATTGCAGTAGTCCAAGTGAGAGATAACTACAGCATGCACCACTCTGGCAAGACAGTCTGTGGGCAGGTAGGGTCTCAGCCTGCGTACCAGGTGGAGTTGGTAGACAGCTGCCCTGGATACAGAATTGACCTGCGCCTCCATGGACAGCTGTGAGTCCAGGATGACTCCCAGGCTGCGCACCTGGTCCTTCAGGGGCACAGTTACCCCATTCAGGACCAGGGAGTCCTCCACACCCACCTGCCTCCTGTCCCCCCAAAACAGTACTTCTGTCTTGTCAGGATTCAACCTCAATCTATTAGCCACCATCCATCCTCCAACCGCCCCCAGACACTCACACAGGACCTTTACCGCCTTCACTGGGGTGATCGGATATCCCATAATAGCCACTGCCAGCTCTCCTCAACAAGGAGGTTTCTGTATGTGGTTGGACAGCAATTCCCATTTTCTCTGACCATTGGGCAGGCTGGCTGGGGCTAATGGGAGTCCATAGACATCAGAAGGTGCCACAGGCTCCCCATCCCTGCTACTAAGTGGGCTCCCTTCTCAGGTGGATGAGTCCCACCTGCCCTTCACTTTCTGCTACAGATCCTTCAAGGATTCAGGGCCTAGGCTATTTAGGGCAGTCAGCCCCAAATTCAGCCTTCCAGATGTTTTGGGACTACAACTCCCATCATCCCTGACCACTGGTCCTGTTAGCGAGGGATGATGGGAGTTGTAGTCCCAAAACATCTGGAGGGCTGAGTTTGGGGATGCCTGGTTTAGGTCTTTAAAGGTCAGCACCAACTCTTTTAATTGTGCTTGGAAATGAAAAAGAAGGTACTTTTTATCATATGTGGTGGACTTGTAAGGTAATAAAAGCTTTCTGGGAGATGATATAAAATGAATGAAAAAAAATGTTTGAAATAACTTTTGTAAAAATCCAGAAGCCTTTTTATTAGGAATTACAGGTACTGACATTCCAAACCAGCAGAAAAGACTTTTTATGTATGGAACAACAGCCGCATGGAGGTTACTAGCCTAGAAATGAAAAGAAGACAAGAGGAATGGCAAATCAAGCTGAAATGGCAAAACTGACTGGAAAACTCAGAAACCAAGAGGAAAACCACTTTATAAAAGAATGAGGAAAATCTGTAAGTTATTTAGGAGACCACTGTAAGCAGATGGAAACTTTGGCAGGATTTTGATTTCACTTGTAGCGTAACAAATATTATGGGACAATATGGACTGATATAAAAGTTAAGAGCATGGAAGAATTTGCAGTTGTAATATGCGTGGTGTAGTGGTTAAGAGCGGTGGACTCGTAATCTGGTGAACTGGGTTCGCGTCTCCGCTCCTCCACATGCAGCCGCTGGGTGACCTTGGGCCAGTCACACTTTTCTGAAGTCTCTCAATCCCACTCACCTCACAGAGTGTTTGTTGTGGGGGAGGAAGGGAAAGGAGATTGTGAGTCGCTTTGAGACTCCAGAAGTGGAGTGAAAGGCGGAGTATCAAGTCCAAACTCTTCTTCTTTTTCTTCTCTTAAAATTGGACTCCATGGAGGGGGTGGGGGGAAGTTGCAAGATTCAGAGCAATCTCTGTATATGATTATATATTGCAGCTCTTATAAGTTTGCATTTGTAAAATCAAATACAGTGGTACCTCGGGTTAAGAACTTAATTCGTTCTGGAGGTCTGTTCTTAACCTGAAACTGTTCTTAACCTGAGGTACCACTTTAGCTAATGGGGCCTCCTGCTGCTGCCGTGCCACCGCTACACAATTTCTGTTCTCATCCTGAAGCAAAGTTCTTGACACGAAGTAATATTTCTGGGTTAGCAGAGTCTGTAACCTGAAGCGTATGTAACCTGAAGCGAATGTAACCTGAGGTACCACTGTAAAAATGAATTCACAAAAAAAGAGAGAATTGTACTTGGAAACGTACTGGGAGCTAATGTAGGTCTTTCAGGACTGCTGCTATGTGGTCCCGGTGGCCGCTCCCGGTCACCAGTCTGGCAGCCGCATTCTGGATTAGTCTACAAAAGTAATTCCAAGTCACCTTCAAAGGCAGCCCCACGTAGAGCACATTGCAGGAGTCCAAGCGGGAGTCTTGCTGCAGTTATTAAACCGCTCCAGGAGCAACCAGAGCACACCAGAAGCATTGGTGACACGAGAAAGGGGTCCAAAACCTCACCTGTCTGAACCGAGCCCTTTTCTGCCCTTTGGCGCACAAGACAGCCAAGGTTTTCCGGGCTCGCCTGCTCCTCCCGCTGCGAGAGATTCGGTTCAGGTCAGCACTGCTGCGCAGCCTCATTGTGCTCGCAGGCTTGGCTGCAGGCAGCTCGGCCGAGGAGACGTCTGTCTGGTCATCTTGTAGCTCTGGGCTGGTCTCTTCACTCCACGTCTCGTCGTCCAGGGCCTCAGGTTCCTCCTCGTCGCTTTCCTGAAGCGAGTTGGGTTTCCACAGGGGTCAAAGACACGAACGGCAATGAAACTGAGGTAATATGAACTGGGTGGATGGTGCTGTTCAAGCAGCCCTGAATTTGTAAGTTATCGGGACTGTATGTTTTTGTGGGGGAAAGAAGAAGCTGAGTGAAGGTTGTTCCCCAAATAATACTTACTTCATAACAAATTTTATAATTGTTTTTATTCTTGGAATCCAATTAAAAGCCATTTGGACATGTAAGTGGTTTATAAATTAGATATTAAGTCACAAAGTGTGATAATTGCTCCGGTTTCTTATTTCCCCAACTTAAAGTCCAATTTGCCCATTTCCACTTATTCACGATAAAATTATGCACAAAAATAATCACATGCATTTTTGGTGCTGATTTTTCCAAATATGCACATTTTTGTGAGTGCAGTCATGGCCGATATATGCATTTCTTAAAGCTACCTCTTGCCTCCGCCAAATTTAATGCGGCTCTGTAGGCTGATTTAACTAATAAACACATTACCGTGCACACTTTTTACTTGGATAAGTGCATTGCAATTTTTGGAGGTGTGTGAATTTTGCAGGGCAGTTTCGTTCCTGTCTGCTTACTGATTTAGGAACTGCGAATCTGGCAGGCTTGCAAAAGCTATCTTATCGGGGAAAGGCCCTAGCACTTTCCATGATATGCTAGCTTTCTACTAGCAGGGAGAAAGAGTTTAAAAGACAAAATGAGAAATTATTCCTGATATTGCACCTTCTCCTCTACCTTCTCAAGACTCTATCAACTCACGTTCCACTGACAATTTGCTTTTGAAAGAAATAAGATTTTTTAATCCAAAAATTCACCTCCGCGGATTCCGCTAGGTCTGTTATAGATGGCTGACTCTTCCTTTGCGCTGGAATGGGCTTCTGCATCTTCCTGCGCCTGGCTGGCTTGCCATGCCTGCTCTCCGGGCTGCGGCTGTTGTTTTCTCCAGCTGGAGCCTTGATGACTTTCCTCCTCTTTCCACAATAATAAGCTGGAGTGGAAGACGAACATCAAAAATACACCTGGTTAGTCGTCGAACTAACCTAAGCCTATGGAGCTAATCCAGGCAGCAACGGCAGGGGGATTACACTATACTCTCATGATTTCGGGACATTCCTTAGCAGCTGACTGAGACTAAGTGGCTGATCGGTGCTAAACAGCTCTTTAGTGCTAGGGATGTGCAAAAAGTTCAACTGTTCATTCCACTACAGTGGACGCTCGGGTTGCGAACGTGATCCATGCGGGAAGCACGTTCGCAATCCGCAGCGCTGTGTCTGCACACGCGTGGGTTGCGATTCGGTGCTTCTGCACATGCACAAAGCGTGATTTAATGCTTCTGCGCATGCACAAACGCCGAAACCCGGAGGTAACCCGTTCCAGTACTTCTGGGTTCTGTGCAACCCGAAATCGCGCAACCCGAAGCACCTGTAACCCGAGGTATGACTGTATTTAGTCATCCTAACCTGTGTTCATTGTCACCTGTGGCCCTCCAGATGTTGTTCGTGATGGGAATCTGTCAGAGGATATATTATTTAATCATCTACAGAGGATGCAAATTAATTAATAAAGGGGGGTGGGGTGGCTGGTGCCTGTTATAAACAGGGCTTGCACATTACAGAGTTTAAATCCCATCGTTGAGGCACATTAAATGAGTGTAAGAATAGGTTATTAAACCTTTGGTCATTATGTTCCAGCTGCCTGAGGTGGCGGGCCCCCTTCCTAACCCTCATGCAATGAAACAGACCACACTCCGAAGTAAGTTTAAAAAGGCTGTACTTACTTAATCCGAGGTCACGGTCATGCATTAGCCTTTGTGCAACAATAAGAAATGCAGGCAAATGTTCTTGGGTAGTAAAATATAGCAAAGGCAGCTTCAGACACACGTCTGAGGCAGAGAGCTAAGGTGAGGCATTTCTGCCTCTGTTGCTTGCAGAGTAAATAGAGTGGGAGAATGAGAGAGGCAGAGAGAGAGAAGGAACAGGAAACAAGCCTTCCTCCCTCTCAGGAGAAGAGGGGATGTGACATCACCGAACCTACTCTAGCAAATTAGAACTCTGTGGACCTTAACCCCTTCATATACTAACTAGCATGGCTAGGTTTGACTGCAGATGTCCACAGCTGAACCTCGGCTTTCACCTGTCCCAGGCAACATGGCCAACAGTCAGGGATGTTGGGAGGGTTACATCTGAAGGGTCACAGGTTCCTCACACCTGCTTAGCTTCTTCCCACTCTTTGGCTTTTAGGGAAAGGGGTCATCTTTCCTCTTTCTGAACACGAAACGTTCCATCTGTCCCCAAAGATAACTGGGCAAGTTGGCAGGAAACTTCCACGAGCCAATGCAGTTCCATCATACTCACTATATTTCGTTTTGGTGTGAACGGAGCAGTTTTCCGGGCAGGCTTCAGTAACTGGGATGGGGCTGAATAAATTCGGGCAGCACTCCAGCTTAGCGCAAACTCTCCGGCAGAAATCCAGGACTTGATCAGACGTGCGGACAATCTTGACTGTGGCCCTGTAGGTTTTGCCTCTGTACCTGTGCGGGTGGGTTGTCGCAACACGGCAAACGTTACACAGGTCACGGGCCCAGCTAGCTCGGCACCTGCCTACCCTGGCTGGCAGTGACTCTCCAGGGTTCAATATTTGAAATCAAACTTTGTGGGCAAGGGTACAGCATTTTGCAAGCAGCAACAGATCAGATGGCTGCTGGTGGATGCAAAGCCCAGTTGCTGCAAACCCCCTTATGGTCCAGCCATATCTATCTATCTATCATCTATCTATCTATCTGGAGCATTTATACCTCCCTCTTCAGCCAAAAAGACTCCCAGAGCAGCTTAAATACAGTCAAAACAAGACAGTCCCTACATGCAAGCTCACAATCTTAAAAATTAAAATTAAAAAATGCAAGGCACAAGGGGAAAATGACAGAGGGGGGAAGAGGAAAATCGAAATCTGACATCACACGTGACATCAGGTGAATATTGTTTAACCCCATAGGTGTCCATTCAACCCCTTAGAGAACTTGCCCTGTTACAGGTGCCACATAATATTCTGTATGTGGCAGAAATTGATCTTGCAGTGTGGCAGCACTCTCTGGAACTCCCTGCCTAGGGATTCAGACCGATGCCTTCGCTGGACTCTTTTCAGTGCCTCCTTAAAACATTTTTTGTTTAGGCAACCCTACCCGGACATGTGGAATGTTGTCATGCGTTTTAATCTGCTTTTAGATTATTGCTGATTCTAATTTTTGAACATTGGGTTGTTGTTTTTACTAGGTGCAGGGGTTTTTTGTTTTTTGTTTACTGACCATTTGTTATATTATTTGTTCCAGAATGAAGGGCGGTATACAAATTTACTAAATAAATACATAAAATCTACACAAGCTTGGCTTTATGAGCTGAAATCTCCAAAATGTAAACCTCGCGTGAGCCGAGAGTCGACTGTATACAAATGTTGTGAGACTGGGCGAACGATTCCTGCATTGCAGAGTGTTGCACTAGATAGCTCTGGTGGTCCCTTCCAATTCTATGCAATATATAGGGACGCGGGTGGTGCTGTGGGTTAAACCACAGAGCCTAGGACTTGCCGATCAGAAGGTCGGCGGTTTGAATCCCCATGATAGGGTCAGCTCCCGTTGCTCGGTCCCTGCTCCTGCCAACCTAGCAGTTCGAAAGCACCTCAAAGTGCAAGTAGATAAATAGGTACCATTCCGGCGGGAAGGTAAACGGCATTTCCGTGTGCCGTTCTGGTTCGCCAGAAGCGGCTTAGTCCTGCTGGCCACATGACCCGGAAGCTGTACGGCGGCTCCCTCGGCCAATAAAGCGAGATGAGCGCCGCAACCCCAGAGTCGGCCACGACTGGACCTAATGGTCAGGGGTCCCTTTACCTTTATGCAATATATAATCAAGGGAAGTGGACACAGCTTCGCAACAAAGCAGCAAACAAGCAAACAGGTGCCTGGGCCAAATGGGGTGGGGTGGGGGCTGATTAAACTCGAGGGCTGAAGGTTCCCTACCACTGATTTTATAGCATGCAAGACTTCTCCGCCTGCTAGTAAAAAGACCACTGGACTGAATGATGTCACCCTGGATATCCATATTATTAACAGCATAATCGTTGCTCCAACGAGACTTTCATTTTGCCAGCTACCTTTGAGCAATAAAAAAACCCAACCCCCCACATCAGAAGCTATTAGCCGGCGGCGCTGCAAGACTTTAAAGTTCACTGGGCTTTGCGTCAATTGTAGCATTAAGGATTCCACAAGTAAAATCCATTTTGCTTTTCTAATTAAATGTATTACAACCGACGCTAAAGGGGCAAGGATCAAAGATTTCCAAAGTAATGACCCACATAAGAGAACTTCGAAGGGGGGGGGGACCCACCACCAATCTTAGACAGCCAGAATGCCCAGATGGCCTTGTTCACAATAGGGATTTACAGCCAGCCCTGCTATCTCATTGCGTGCACATCCAAAGTAATGATGCGCAGAATGCAGAATTTCATGCAAAAGAAGCAAAGACAATTTACATGTGGTTTCTTTTTATATAAAAAAAAGCAAGTTCGCAGACCTTAAGGTTAAGGGACCCCTGACCATTAGATCCAGTCGTGACCGACTCTGGGGTTGCGGCGCTCATCTCGCTTTACCTGCCGAGGGAGCCGGTGTACAGCTTCCGGGTCATGTGGCCAGCATGACTAAACCGCTTCTGGTGAACCAGAGCAGTGCACGGAAACACCATTTACCTTCCCGCTGGAGTGGTGCCTATTTATCTACTTGCACTTTGACGTGCTTTCAAACTGCTAGGTTGGCAGGAGCAGGGACCGAGCAACGGGAGCTCACCCCGTCACGGGGATTCGAACCGCCGACCTTCTGATCAGCAAGTCCTAGGCTGTGTGGTTTAACCCACTGCGCCACCTGCGTCCCAGACCTTATGTTGGGGCAAACCGAAAGGGACACCGGATAATGCATTCATTAGAATAAATTGTGTCCAATAAACAGGAACACACAGTCTTCCAACAGTTAAGTAAGATAACTGTGCGAGGCGTGCTTATTTTTTGTTACTGTTTTTGACTGCCCTTCTGTGCAAACGTGGTATATAAAGTATATTTTAAAAATCTAAAAAGTGACGTGGGGAGAGGTAAGCAAATGTCCGTTAACATGCCTGCAAAATGCATCTGTTTTACAGTGGAACCTCTGTTTTCAAGCATCTTGGAAGCTGAACAATTTGAAACCCGAATGCTGAAAACCCGGAAGTGAATGCTTCCGTTTTCTAAAGCGCATCGGAATTCGAACGGCTTCCAAGGCGCATTTCTCCATTGAAATTGCTGGCCGCCCATTGCGTCTCAGTAGTAGAATGTTTCAGAAGTCGAACGGTCTTATGGAATGGATTACGTTCGAAAACCAAGGTTCCACTGTATTTCTGAATTCCAGAATTCCGTGTTGTGGAAATTCCAGAAATAATAATAATAATAATAATAATAATAATAATAATAATAATTTATAATTATAATCATAATAATAATTATATATTATTTGTATTTATTATTTGTTTCCCCAACCACTCTGGGCGGTTTCCAACAAAGACAAAAAATACACCAAAATGTCACACATTAAAAACTTCCCTGAACAGGGCTGCTTTCAGATGTCTTCTGAATGTCAGGTAGTTGTTTATCTCTTTGACATATGATGGGAGGGCGTTCCACAGTGCTGGCGCCATTACTGAGAAGGCCCTCTGCCTGGTTCCCTGTAGCTTTGCTTCTCGCAATGAGGGAACCGCCAGAAGGCCCTTGGCGCTGAATCTCAGCGTCTGGGCAGAACGATGGAGGTGGAGACGCTCCTTCAGGTATACTGGGCTGAGGCCGTTTAGGGCTTTAAAGGTCAACGCCAACACTTTGAATTGTGCTCGGAAACGTACTGGGAGCCAATGTAGGTCTTTCAAGACCGGTGTTATGTGGTCCCGGCGGCTGCTCCCAGTCACCAGTCTAGCTGCTGCATTCTGGATTAGTTGTAGTTTCCGCGTAGAGCACATTGCAGTAGTCCAAGCGGGAGATAACCAGAGCATGCACCACTCTGGCGAGACAGTCTGAGGGCAGGTAGGGTCTCAGCCTGAGTACCAGGTGGAGCTGGTAGACAGCTGCCCTGGATACAGAATTGACCTGCGCCTCCATGGATAGCTGTGAGTCCAAAATGACTCCCAGGCTGCGCATCTGGTCCTTCAGGGCCACAGTTCCCCCATTCAGGATAATGAATACAATACAAATACACAATGCAAAACCAACCGGTGTAGATGGGAAGCATAGAGGAAGTTTTTGTGGGGTATAAAACACTCATGGATGGGTGCAGTCACATACATAACTACCACTGAAGCTTCCTTTGGGGTTCAAACCCTGGTCTCCAGGGACCTAGTCTGACGCTCTAACCGCTATGCCACACTGCTTTCAATCCCACCCTCCTGTGGCCACACCAGGGATGGATTCCAAACGAGCACGATTGAGGGAGGATGGAAGCAAACAGACTGGGCGTCTTCTCCTGCCTCATCACAGCAGAAAAGCGGACCCTCATCCCTGCTCAACGCCACCCCCAAGTTTAAAAGGAGGAAGTGAAAGGATCCCTTACTTTGCTTTGAGGGTCTCCTCCTGGAAATTCCACCTGGGGTCTTCAACAAGCTGCAGCTCCCGCAATACACTCCCGGGTTTGTAAGCAGAGTTGATCACCATGCTCAGAACCTGCCCAAAGAAAGCAAAATGGAGGATGGAGGATAGAGAGAGATCATAGCATTTCGGACTTCTTAGAATCATGGAAGGGACGTGGGTGGTGCTGTGGGTTAAACCACAGGGCCTAGGGCTTGCCGATCAGAAGGTTGGTGGATCGAATCCCCACGACAGGGTGAGCTCCCGTTGCTCAGTCCCTGCTCCTGCCAACCTAGCAGTTCGAAAGCATGTCAAAGTGCAAGTAGATAAATAGGTACCACTCCGGCGGGAAGGTAAACGGCGTTTCTGTGCGCTGCTCTGGTTCGCCAGAGGTGGCTTAGTCATGCTGGCCACATGACCGGGAAGCTGTACGCCGGCTTCCTCGGCCAATAAAGAGAGATGAGTGCCGCAACCCCAGAGTCGGCCACGACTGGACCCAATGGTCAAGGGTCCCTTTATCTTTACCTTTAGAATCATGGAATGGAACTATTTGAAGAGCAACTGTAATCAACAAATTACGCTAGTAGGACTACAAGAAGTTTTGCAAGGAGGAATATATGAAATATTGCAAAGAAGATAAAGAAGGGAGACATTAGTTATGATATTTAAATGTAATAGTGAAATTAAGAAATGTAAATTAAGTGGAAAAGATTGGAAAATTTTCAGATGAGATTCATGGAAGTAAAAAAAAAAAAACCTGTATAAGATATAAAAGTATGTTTTATATTTGTTGAAAATGATATGTTTAAAAAAATTAATAAAAATATATATTAAAAAAAAGAATCATTGAATGGCCGAGTTGGAAAGGTCAATCTTCCTTCTGTTTCTGCATTAATCCACCCAAAGATTAATATTGAGTTGGATATTTATATATGCCTTTTTAGACACATTTCATCACCAAATACAATTCTTTTAAAATGCAGTTTGGTGCACTTTTTGAGCCGAGAACAGTATTGCAAGATGACAGTTTCTAGACTGCCCTTCACCCGAGGATCGCAGGGTGGTTTACAATATAAAACCACAAAAATGCATAACATTTTTAAACAAAAACATTAACACACACACGCCCAACACATTTTAAAAGGCCATGGATTATTTAGTTAGCCGACGGCCTGAGAGAAAAGATTTTTTGAGAGCAATGAAGGATCCATAAGGAAAATCATGTTGTTTCAGTCCAGGAGATACAAATTAATTTGGATAAAAAGGCCGGCCAAACGAAACACAGTGGGTGGAGCACGAGATTCTTTCTCTCAAGGTCGTGGGTTCGAGCCCCAAATGGGCAGACAGATTCCTGCATTGCAGGGGGTTGGAATAGATGACCCTCGTGGTCCCTGCCAATTCTATGAATTTCGGCCCCATCCCTTCAACACAACCCTCACCTCTTTAAGAACCAGCACGCACTTGCCCGGGCCAACAGACTGAGGAAGCTCGGCCAATCTTCCTTTGTTCAGGTGTGGTCCTGAGAAACAGCGGTGATTGATGAACAGCGCAGGGCAGCTGTATCTCCCATTGATGGTACCTGCAGTGAAGAAGCACATGGTCCAACATTCCTCCTGCATCCTCACTGAGCAACTTTTTCTCTCTCCTAGCTACCATCCGAGACCATATAACACCGGTCTTGAAAGACCTACACTGGCTCCCAGTACGTTTCCGAGCACAATTCAAAGTGTTGGTGCTGACCTTTAAAGCCCTAAATGGCCTCGGTCCAGTATACCTGAAGGAGCGTCTCCACCCCCATCGTTCAGCCCGGACACTGAGATCCAGCGCTGAGGGCCATCTGGCGGTTCCCTCATTGCGAGAAGAGAGGTTACAGGGAACCAGACAGAGGGCCTTCTCGGTAGTGGCACCCGCCCTGTGGAACGCCCTCCCATCAGATGTCAAAGAGAAAAACAACTACAGTGGTACCTCGGGTTACATACACTTCAGGTTACATACGCTTCAGGTTACCGACTCCGCTAACCCAGAAATAGTGCTTCAGGTTAAGAACTTTGCTTCAGGATAAGAACAGAAATCGTGCTCCGGTGGCGTGGCGGCAGTGGGAGGCCCCATTAGCTAAAGTGGTGCTTCAGGTTAAGAACAGTTTCAGGTTAAGAACGTACCTCCGGAACGAATTAAGTACTTAACCCGAGGTACCACTGTACAAGACTTTCAGAAGACATCTGAAGGCAGCCCTCTTTAGGGAAGCTTTTAATGTTTAATAGGTTATTGTATTTTAATATTCTGTTGGAAGCCGCCCGGAGTGGCTAGGGAAACCCAGGTAGATGGGTGGGGTATAAGTAATAAATTGTTGTTATTATTATTATCATCATCATCATCATCATCATCCAGCATATTGGAATGAAGAACAAGCAACTAGGATTGCCAATCTGGAGCCCGTGGGCACCACTGTCCCACCCCCAGTACCTCCTACAGTGCCCTTGAAAGGCCTCAGGAAATATCCCCTCCAAAATGTACCAGCAACTGTTTGCTATTCCTCTTTGCACTGGCTCAGCTTCTCCTACATTGAAGACACCCCCTTAAATACACCCACATTTCACTGGATGCCAGAATTACACACACTCCCTCATGTCTGCTCTGAAAAGAGGTGCGAAAAGCTTCTCTCTCTGAGTGAGTGTGACAGGGGCTGTCCTCATAGCTGGGGCAGGTTGTGAAGTATAAACGCTGAATTGTGCACTGAAATGGAAAATAACTCTGGGTGTGCTCTATATGTCTACTGCTGGTTGGGGAAATTCCACTGAAGCTAAGAAGAGCTCTCTGAGCACCTAAATGGGTTGATAACGCACATAGGATGTTCTCCGCTAGCTCTCAACATGGTGCTTAACTTTAGATCACAGGAGAGGGTTATTCAGTTGCAAATCTCCATTTCGAAGGGAAGGACCTTTGAGTCTTTCTCTGGGAGCCACATAGAGCAAAGGATGTGATTATGAGGTCTCTCCTGCACAGAAAACAGTTCCAGGCTAATGGAGGCTGTGTGGAGAGAGGCAGACTTTTGATTTTAGTTCTGCTTGGAGCTATTTCAAATTTGCAAGAAGATCAACCTGTGCCTGACACGCACATGATATTACACGACTCTTTGGATGCAACATTGATTATTATGTTTTGAAGGAATTTCTGTTAGTAAAGCTTTGAAACCGTATTTTGGGTCTGGACAATTTTTTATTCCAAGAAGAGTCAGTTTTTATTCATCCAAGAGGAGTCATCCTATTGCTTCAAGTTGTGTAATATTAATATCTGCAATACAGGTGATTGAGGGGGCAGATGTCTGCCCCATTTTGAGGTCCTAAAGGTAAAGGGACCCCTGACCATTAGGTCCAGTTGTGACCGACTCTGGGGTTGTGCGCTCATCTCACTTTATTGGCCGAGGGAGCCGGCGCACAGCTTCCGGGTCATGTGGCCAGCATGACTAAGCCGCTTCTGGCGAAGCAGAGCAGCGTACGGAAACACGTTTACCTGCCTGCCGGAGTGGTACCTATTTATCTACTTGCAGTATGACATGCTTTCGAACTGCTAGGTTGGCAGGAGCAGGGACCGAGCAACGGGAGCTCATCCCATCGCAGGGATTCGAACTGCCGACCTTCTGATTGGCAAGTCCTAAGCTCTGTGGTTTAACCCACAGATTTAGCCACGAGTGCTAAATCTGAGGAGTGAGCCAAAATTAAAATGCTAATTACAGGAACATTTAATGGTGGTACAGTGGTGCCCATAATGGTCAGGATTCATGTAAAGCACAGATGAAGAACCTTGCTGCTTCCCAGATGCTATAAGACTACAACTCCCATTATTCCTGACCATTGGCTATGCTGGCAGGGGACACTGGGATCTGTAGTCAAACAATGTCTAAAAGGCCACAGGTTCTCCAACCCTGATGCAATTGCTTCCATGCCCACAAGGTTCATTTAACAGCACCCAAAAAACTCACCTATTGCGTCTGTCTGTGGAAGCATGCATGGCTCGTGAATTTTTTTCTCCACAGGCTCTCCGTGTGGTAACCTGATGGATGACAAAAACCTACATTTAAATTCTGTGAAACCTGAGGATGGATCAGGGCTGCCTGTCGAAAAGACGTCATATTTATTCATTGCGGCCTCTCCACATTTCCAATGTTAAGGTTACGAGTTATGTTCCCTTACGTTATTATTATTATTTATTTTATCTACACGGTGACAAACTGCACTTTCATAGCAAATCTAACAAGGCACTCTATAACATAAAAAAGTCAGCGCTACAACAACATAAAAAAGACTGGCTAATGTTTTGTTTTGTTATCATGTTTCAAGGGCCTGTCTACACAGTACCGTTTTTAAAAAAGATGGCTTAAAGAAAGCAGGAACAAATCCCAGGAAGTTTCTAGTGGCCAGGAGTTCCGCACACTAAAAGCTTGGGTCCCTGGAACCCCAGAGACATGGAGGAGCACCGAAAACACCCCATCAACAGATTTTGGCAATCGAGGTGGAACATAAGGAATCAGGGAGCTGTAAAGGTATGTTGGGCTTAAGCTGTTTAGGGAATTGTGAATTGACACAAGAGACTTAAACCTGCTCTGGTCGCCAAATGGTAGACTGCCCCGCCTTCCCTACAAGGAGAGTATCAGCAGGCTCAAGTCCCTGACACAAGGTGGGTAAAGGTAAAGGTAAAGGGACCCCTGACCATTAGGGCCAGTCGTGACCGATTCTGGGGTTGCGGCGCTCATCTCGCTTTATTGGCCGAGGGAGCCGGCGCACAGCTTCTGGATCATGTGGCCAGCATGACTAAGCCGCTTCTGGCGAAGCAGAGCAGCGCACAGAAACGCGTTTACCTGCCTGCCAGAGTGGTACCTATTTATCTACTTGCACTTTGATGTGCTTTCGAACTGCTAGGTTGGCAGGAGGAGGGACTGAGCAATGGGGGCTCACCCCGTCGCGGGGATTCGAACCGCCGACCTTCTGATCGGCAAGCCCAAGAGGCTCAGTGGTTTAACCCACAGCGCCACCCGCGTCCCACAAGGTGGGTAGGGGGATCGAATTCTGCCCACCCACCCCGCCTGCCCATTCAGACACAACCAATACATGAGGGGTTTTTTTAGACATCCCCTTAAGATCCGCAGATGAAAACACGCAAACCTGTGCTCACCCAAGTCAGACAATGCGCATTCTAACCATGCGCACAGGCATCGTTTTAAGGAGAATATCTATGCACACTCTGTGCTGTAAGCTACAGCACGACCGCCATTCGGCTTAGCTGCAAATCTTATTTATTATTTGCATATTAAAGCTGCTGTGTTATTTACATTTTAAGTGCCTACTTACTGCTTTTCGGGCTGCACGACGGCAATCTTCCTCTTCCTTTGCACTGCAGAGCGAGAGAGCGAGAACAACACAATTTTGGTAATGCAGGCTTGTAAACGTCTAACAGATTCTGTTCTCGGCGGGGGGGGGGGGACGACGACTTCAAATCTGCAAGCAAGACCAGATTCCCACCCCCCACCCCCGAACACATAATAACTGCTTTGCTGGATCAAATTAGAAGTTCATTTGGTCCCCAGACATAGCCAAGTAGACCTGGTGAAGTTTACAAGGCCAGCCTGACCCTCCACAAACCTCCAAGGGTTTGGCACCCAAATAGGTTCTGCCTCTGAACATGGAAGATCAATGCAGCGGTTACGACAAACAGCTGTCGATTTTATTAACTGCACTGTGCTAGGTACGGATGGGGAACCTGTGGCCCTCCAGGCGTTTTGTTAGGCTTTGGTTAGCATTTCTATTCCACTCTTCGTTCAAACAAGAGTAACGTCAGGGGGACTCCAAAATATCAGCAACGTCCATGTTCGCTGCACCTGCCCCAAATCTCCCACTCTCCGGTTTCAGAGCCAAAAAATTATCCTTTGAGAATTTTCACTTAAGATCTTAACATAATGCTATCACACACAATGAAGTTCACACTGCATACCAGGTGTTATGCGGGCTGCAAATTAGGCTGTATGCACACACCAAACTTTTAAAGTTTCCGAGCACAATTCAAAGTGTTGGTGCTGACCTTTAAAGCCCTAAACGGCCTCGGCCCAGTATACCTGAAGGAGGGTCTCCACCCCCATCGTTCAGCCTGGACACTGAGGTCCAGCACCGAGGGCCTTCTGGCGGTTCCCTCATTGCGAGAAGCAAAGCTACAGGGAACCAGGCAGAGGGCCTTCTCAGTAGTGGCGCCTGCCCTGTGGAACACCCTCCCAGCAGATGTCAAGGAAATAAACAACTATCTGACTTTTAGAAGGCATCCTTGTTTAGGATGTTTGATGTTTTGTTGCTTTATTATTATTATTCTGTTGGAAGACATCCAGAGTGGCTGGGGAAACCCACCCAGATGGATGGGCTTTAAATAATAAATTATTATTATTATCATTATTATTACAGTAATACCTCCATGAACATCCGCCTTGTCTAGCGTCCATTCCGGCGAACCTCCGCGGCAAACCCGGAAATACTGCAACAGGTTATTTCTGGGTTTGCCGCTCGCGCAGAAGCGCTAAATTGCCCTTTGCGCATGTGCAGAAGCGCAAACCGCTCCGTGCGCATGCACAGATGCAGCACTTTGCTCTGCGTCCTTTTCGGCTAGTGGCCGGGGCAGCAAAACAAGGTACGACTGTATTATAATAATAATTATTATTATTATTAAAGCATCTGGCTCCCACCTGAATCCTGGGAAATATAGTTTCCTAAGGGTGCTGGGAGTTGTAGCTGTTTGCATACGCAGCCCCAGTAACATGGACACCTCTTTGGCATAACTGCACTGACTGAGATATTAAATGCTGGCTTGCTTAACTGTGTGAGCGGCAAACAATTAGGCTTCAGCTTCATTAAGAAGCAGGCTGAAAGACTCTCCGCAAGATCACTCATCTTGCTTTTACAGGATCTGTACTTTAATAATAATAATACACCAACAATCTTATTACGCTGCTGGATTTTGCATGCTTGATTACCCCTGGTGTCTTTATTCACTTAATGCATTAATAGCAATGAAGGCTGTGTACTGCTGCCTCTGTTGTGTTCTCCCAAATTGGACATAACTCCTTGATTTTAAAAGCCGAATGTGTTTTGCTCTTCGTATTTTCCAACATGACCTGCAAATTTCTGTGGAAGGTTTGCCATTTGTTCCATTCTGTATTTTACATTCAAGAGGCAAGCTATGTCCCATCCTGACCCACCAAACAGCAAACTAATAGAGCCCATAGTTCCTTCTCATTGTTTTCAACCACCTTATTCCCCAACCATTAATTTTAAAATACAGTTGTGAACCTGCTCCCATGAGACGATTTTTTCTTTACTCAAGGAGTAGGCGCCCTAGGGAAATGCAGCCCCACGGGGTCAAGCTAGGGTTGAGGTGAGAGATCCATCTTTGGGGCTGCTGGAGAACTGGGCCCAAACAAACAAAAGGAATTTCAATAGGGACAAATGTCAAGTCCTGCACATAGGCAGGATGAACCAGTTGCACAAATATAGGATGGAGGGGCACCTGACTTACTAGCAGTACAGTAGTACCTTGGTTCTCAAATGTCTTGGTACTCAAACAACTTGGAACCCAAACTCTGCAAACCCAGAAGTAATTGTTCCGGATTGTGAACTTTTTTCGAAAGCTGAACGTGCTCCCTTTTGAGTGCCACGCTTCCAATTTGAGTGCCACACTTCCATTTTGAGTGTTATACTTCCGATTTGAATGTTATGCTTCCAATTTAAGCGCCACACTTCTATTTTGAGTGCCACGCTGAGGGGTCTGTTTTTGCTATCTATTTTGTGTTTTTGTTTTTGCGGCACTTTTTGGTTTGTTTTTGTGATTGTGTGGAACCCAGTTCAACTACTGATTGATTGATTGATTGTGTGACTGCAGTACATTGTTTCTTGCTTTCATTTTATGGATCAATGGTCTTGTTAGAGAGTAAATTTCATGTTAAATTGCTGTTTTAGGGGTTGTTTTTAAAAGTCTGGAACGGATCAATCTGTTTTGCATTACATTTTATGGGAAAGCGCACCTTGGTTTTGGAATGCTTTGGTTTTGGAACAGACTTCCAGAAGGGATTAAATTTGAGAACCAAGGTACCACTGTATATGTGAAAAGGATACTGGGGTCTTGGTGGACCACAAGCTTAACATGAGTCAACAGGGTGATGCAGTAGCAAAAAAAAGCTAATGCTATTCTAGGCTGCATCAACAGAAGTGGGTTTTGCTGTGCCAGGTTCCCAACCAAGTATAATCGCACAATTTGCGAGGCTGTGACTGCATCCCTCTCCCTCCTGGAGTACTCATCCTCATCCCTCTCCCATCCCTCTCCCTCCTGGAGTACTGTGTCCAGTTCTGGGCACCACAGTTCAAGAAGGACACTGACAAACTGGAACGTGTCCAGAGGAGGGCAACCAAAATGGTCAAAGGCCTGGAAACGATGCCTTGTGAGGAACGGCTGAGGGAGCTGGGCATGTTTAGCCTGGAGAAGAGGAGGTTAAGGGGTGATATGATAGCCATGTTCAAATATATAAAAGGATGTCACATAGAGGAGGGAGAAAGGTTGTTTTCTGCTGCTCCAGAGAAGCGGACACGGAGCAATGGATCCAAACTACAAGAAAGAAGATTCCACCTAAACATTAGGAAGAACTTCCTGACAGTAAGAGCTGTTCGACAGTGGAATTTGCTGCCAAGGAGTGTGGTGGAGTCTCCTTCTTTGGAGGTCTTTAAGCAGAGGCTTGACAACCATATGTCAGGAGTGCTCTGATGGTGTTTCCTGCTTGGCAGGGGGTTGGACTCGATGGCCCTTGTGGTCTATTCCAACTCTATGATTCTATGATTCTATGAAAGCAGCAACAGCCCGGAAGCTTGCCGAATCGCTTCGCCTTCCGCCAACTAAGGCCTAGCTGCTGAAACAACACAGTAAAGGTTAACAGCCCAAATTTTGCTCTTTTGTGTACTTACACATGGCTTTATGCGGCGTCGAGAGCTTGTAAGCATTCGCTTCACACCAGCCAACTGGGAATATGTTCATCGACTCCACATCGACGATGTATTCTGAAGCAGGCACCTGTGAACCTATAAAAGCAAATTTATTATGCCATTTGAAAGCCAGGAAGGCGGCAGCAGAAGTCGTCTCCTCCATCTCAAAAGGGTAAGACATGCAGCAAGGAATAATCTCTCTGTTCCAAAATATCCTTTCATCATATGAGGCCCTAAAGATAAACAAGGCTGCTGCATTTAAAAAATTCTGATATATATATATCTATATTTAGAGAGAGAGAGAGAGAGAGAGAGAGAGAGAGAGAGAGTGCTAGCACAACAGCATTCAGGTTACATATACAGATGCCAACATCACAATACCGTATTTTTCTGTGTATAAGACAAGCTTCTTTGACCCAAAAATGAGGTTCAAAATTTATACACGGGTAGTGCTGAGGGGGGACACGCAAATGGTTTTGTGGTGCGAGCCTGAGATTGTAAGCGGCGATTGGCTGCTTAATTGTTGGGGGGGGGGGGGTTGCCTAAAATGACTCACCCACCAGAACGCAGAACACAACCGCTCGCACTTCGTTCCGACAGCTGAGCGATTTTAGGCATCTCTCCCTCCTCCCCAACAATCAAGCGGCCAATCACCGCTTACAATCTTGGGCCCAACCTGGAAACAATTCAGCGGAAAATAACGCTGCTAAAGTGGTGATTGGGGTTTGGGGGGAGGAGGAGACAAAGCAGGACAAGGAGGTGCAGTGAGCCCAGCTAAGAGATCAGCTCTGCAGCAAACATAGTTTCTGAGCCACCAGTCGAATCAGACAAAATGGCAGCTTCTTCTCCTTTAACGGCAACTAGGAAAAATACCCCCTAACTTGGCACAGTGGGGTGTGTGCTGACTCCTTCCTCCCCAGGTGAGATCTCTCCACCACAATTAAGATTAAACAAAGCCTTCTTTTCTTCTCTGCAAGTGAGTATCTTGTAGGTATTCTTTATCCAAAGTAAAATATCCCAGAAGTATACATTGCACAACAGTTGACAGAAGGCTTCTTCGTGCTTCTTCCTTCAAGCCCAATTTCTACAGAATCCCGTAGGCACCAGTGAAGGCCTCTGAGGGCGCATGGGTGCCCATGGGCGCTCTGTTGCCGACCCACGCCCTAAGCCTATAAGGCTGCCGCCGCGCATTGAAAACTACAAAATATACCATATTTTTTGCTCCATAAGACGCACCTGACCATAAGTCGCACCTCGTTTTTGGAGGAGGATCTGATGGTGAATTTGGGGTGACCCAATGCAAAAATCCTGAGAATCCATGGGGATCCGTGCTTTGTAACCACATTTTTGCATCATTGCAGCCCCAAGAAACAGTGGGTGTGTGATTTTCTTGGTGCAGGCTGTAGCCATGGACATGCTATGTGATCTGATGGTGAATTTGGGGTGACCCAATGTAAAAATCCTAAGGATCCATGGGCTTTTACTTCCCCCCTCCCAGGCAGCCTCCACTAGCATCTGTTATCTCTCTTCCGATCCCACTGATCAGCTGTTTCCTTTCAACACTCCCTTCCCTCTTGTTTGCCTTAGTGTCTTTTCCTGAGCTGCAGCAGTTTTTTGCTCCTCCTTCTCTTCTAATTTCTCTCCTTATTGCTTTAGTCTTCCTGTTTCCCCCCTTTGTAAGTTTGCTGTCTTTACCTCCCCACTCCCAGGCAGCCTCCTTTATCTCTAGCGTCCCTTATCTCTCTCCCCGATTGGCAAACAATCAGCAGCTTTGTTTCAACACCCACTTCCCTCTTTCAAAAAAAAAAGCATGATCTGCTTTTTGCCCCTGGGCAATTTGGCTCCAGGGACCACACATTCGCTCCACAAGACGCACAGACATTGCCCCTTACTTTTTAGGAAGAAAAAAGTGCGTCTTATGGAGCAAAAAATACGGTAATAGATAGTCTCACTTACCTTCCAAGCGGAGCCACATTAACCTCCCTTTTACTGAGATGACGGAAGCCACACAGATTTCAGCCTGGTTCTTGGGGTTCACGGCCTCCAGTTTCATGTTTTTCGTAAAGCCTCGGCTGAAGGATACCTGAAAGAGGCAGCCACATAGCCTTAGTTTTCTACCCTTTGGCCCTTGCGCAGATAGCAGCGCTTTGTCTAGTTTTCAGGACATTGACGGCGGCTTAAAAGAGGGCTGGATGCTCATCTTGAATACAGTGGTACCTCGGGTTACATACGCTTCAGGTTACAGACTCCGCTAACCCAGAAATATTACCTTGGGTTAAGAACTTTGCTTCAGGATGAGAACAGAAATCGTGCTCCTGTGGCGCAGTGGCAGCAGGAGGCCCCATTAGCTAAAGTGGTGCTTCAGGTTAAGAACAGTTTCAGGTTAAGAACAGACCTCCAGAACGAATTAAGCTCTTAACCCGAGGTACCACTATATGTCCATTCCCCTAACACTTCTGGTTCAACAGGTGTCCCGTGTTTTCGGTGAGAACTGCGAGAACTGCAATTACAAATAACTAACCGAATGATTGAGATGTGTCAACGCTTCCAAGCACGAAATTTAAGTTTGATCTGAGAAGCTGGGCCCTTGCCATACAATCGCATGGCCTTTGTCACCAATGTAATATTTCCTCAACTGAACAAATGACAGAATATAGTACAACCCTCAAGTTGTTTTGTGGCGCTCACTTGATAGATATTGAGATTTACCTCTGATGGAGGGCAGGGAAGAGAGAATGGCTAAAAAATATTGATCCTGAACCATTGAAAGTGCACCAGTTCCTACTGCATGCAGGCTAAGCAAAGCCATTAAATGTTGAGGGTCTGCAACCTGAACTTCGTTAATAAGACATTCATAAATCACCACCATGCAAGGCCGCTTAAAAGAGTGCAGAGATTAATGGGGACTGATTTGAAGAGGATCTCATGCGGCTTGCTAAAGGGAAAACTGGAGAGAGCCACGTTCGGCCCAAATCCAAAACTGTGTCCAAATAAATAAAATATATATAAATTATACCCACACGCCTGCCATAGTTGCCTTCATGCAATGGCTGTTACCAGAAGAACTTTAAGGGCAATTCCTGACCTTTTGAGCACCAGACATTTAAAACACTATTGCACCACTTTAAATAGCTAATAATAATAATAACAATAATAATTTATTTATACCCCGCCCATCTGGCTGTGTTTCCCCGCAAAGAATCCTGGGAAGTGTAGTCGTCCCCCCCCCCCCCATTTAAGGTGCTGAGTGTTGCTGGGAGACCCCTATTTCCCTCCCAGAGGGCCAATTCCTCGTGGGTGAAATGAGATAGGTGAACATCATTGGTTTATCAACCAATCAATCCCTCTTCCCAGGGAACTCTGGGAACTGAAGTTCTGTGAGGGTAACAGGGGTCTCTTAGCAATTCTCAGCACCATTAAAGTTTTGAAAGGTTTTTTTGGGGGGGGTGTTACTAGACCCCACTGCCAACAGCTCTGAGGCTTCCTTGGACTGCAAAGGTATTAGATATCGTAGCTCTACGCTCAATAACAGTTCTGATATAATAGAACAAAGTGTTCACTGAGGAGCTGTTAAGCATTATGTTATAGCACTATGGGTTTTTATTTAGGCTGTTAATTTTCCATGAATCATTTTGAGCAGAAATGTATTCGTGGAAAGTGTGGTATATATAAATAAACTGACGGTGACTAAGTGAGCAGCTGAATATTCTTTTAAAAAGGACATGCATTGATGTGGATGGAATAATCTGACCACTTTGGTTCCACTAAGTTTCTCATTTGTTCCAAGTCTCAAGTTCATTTTGCCCCGTTTCTTCACCGGTTTGAAAAAGTTTTACAAAACAAACAAACACACCGGCACAAAAATTCACGTGCATTTTGACCTTTCATATTGTGTCAAATAATGGCCAATTGTTTTAAAACACTCAAGTCAGTTACCTTATCGCCTTGCAACATTTCTATGATGGATTAGACAGCAAAGCTACACTGTGATTTTATATTTGACAAAGCTACAGGTTTCTCTTGACGCAAACACTTCCTGCAAGCCATTTCCCCTAATATAATGCGTTTTTCCATGTTAGTTTGCCCTAATACACATTTCTGTGACCATTCTTTGGTTGGCGAACAGCATCAAAAAATTATAAGAAGCGAAAATGTGGTCTGGGAAGTACAAATTAGGTGGGTGCTCACTGAAAGATGAACGGACTCAAATTTCTCTCCCACAATCTTACTGTAAGAAACAGAAAGGAAGGAGCTTCTCAAGAACGGGCAGAGATAATGCAGCCCAGCTTTACAGGACAGGAAAACTCAAGCTACGGGTGGCAAGGGAAGCAAGGAGTGAGAAAAAGAGCTTTTTTTAACCCTCAAATAAGAGAGAGGGAAATGATTATAGAATCCTAACAGCTGACCAAGAGAAGGCAGAACCTGAAGCTCATTGGTGAAGCGCCAGCCAATCATGTAGAACAGGCACCCCCAAACTCAGCCCTCCAGCTGTTTTGGGACTACAATTCCCATCATCCCTAACCACTGGTCCTGTTAGTTAGGGATGATGGGAGTTGTAGTCCCGAAACAGCTGGAGGGCCGAGTTTGGGGATCCCAGATGTAGAAGCTCCCTGTTTCAATCCCTGACACCTGCAAGTGGGACTGGGAATGCCCCCTAGCCGAAGCCCAGGAGAGCGGCTGCCAGTCCATGTAGACAGCACTGACCTGGATGGACCAGGTATAAGGAAGCTTCCTACTCTGCTCCTATTTTTCCTCCAACTCCTCCTCGAAGGGGAACTCTATGCAACTCCACCCAGGTCAGGGTTCCATCTGCCAAGTTTCCAGTTGAAAAGGATGCTGGGAAGGAGGATCAGCAATGGTTCGTCTCTGCCTGGAGCTGTCCTTCAGAGTAGACGACATCAGGGCAACGGAGTCCAATGGAGTTTCCTGCGCTCAGTGAAACAAAACTTCCCAATGCTCCCTAGCAGGGGTAACCAATGTGGTGGCCTGCAGATGTTGCTTGGGACTACATCTCCCATCATCCTTTTGGTCAGGGGCCATTCTAGCTAGGGCTTATGGGAACTGGAGTCCGGCAGAATCTAGGGAGCATCATGTTGGTGGACCCCAGCCTCTGGGCTGCTTCCGGCCTCCCTATTTTGTCCACTGCATGTATTTTCCCACCAGGCCAGAGGCTCAAATGCCGAGCCAGGGATGCTATGTTGTTGTTGGGTTGTTGTTATTTTTAAAAAGATAAATAATGCATTTCCTTCCCCCACCCCACCCCCATTGTTTAAGCAGTCCCTGCTGCGTAGTTCGTGGTGCTGAAAGGCGGAAGCTAAGAACCAGCAAACGAGGAGGCCGGTGTGGGATTAGTAGATATAAAAGAAAAGCAGTCTGAAGATCTTGCTGCCCTTTCTAAGTCTGAATGCACAGCTTGTGATCATCAATATCGTTTGGGTCTTTAATCATATTTATGCTTCATCTTTCCTCCAAGGAGCTCAACGAGGCATTGATGGTTCTCTTCCCATTTTATCGTCCCACAACAACCCTGTGAGGTAGGTTAGGCTGAGAGACTGGGACTGGGGCCTGGCAGGTTTCATGGATGAGCAGCGATTCGAATCCTGGTCTCCCAGCTCCTAGACCAACACTCTAACCACTACACCACAGTGGCTCTCACTAGATTTGGACACATGGGTTGCCTATATCAATTTACATATCGATGGGATATTTGCATTAGTGTCAGAAGATGAAGTTCCCCCTCCCCCTTTGTTACGTCTGCAGCCAGCCAAATAAATAAATAAATAAATAAATAAAAATCTGTCTCAATTAAATCAATAAGCCTTTTTAGAAAAGAATCTTACATTTCTGAAGCAGAACTGGGGAGCTGCTTCAGTTCCACATTGCTTCTGGTAATCTGCCCAGTCGAAGTCCTGGCTAGAATAACCTGCAAGACAACGCACAAGAATATAAGCAGGGCTTTATTTTTCAGCCTCAACTCGCCAGAACTCAGTTCAGGCACCTCTCAGGTGGGCGCCTTTGCCGTTATAAGAAAACAGAGGTGAGTTCATGGTGAGTTCTGGCACCTCTTTTTTTTTTCTAGCACTGAATATAAGGACATAAGAAGGAGCATCTCCACCCCCATCGTTCAGCCTGGACACTGAGGTCCAGCTCCGAGGGCCTTCTGGTGGTTCCCTCACTGCGAGAAGTGAAGTTACAGGGCCTTCTTGGTAGTGGCACCCATACCCTGGCACGCCCTCCCATTGGATGTCAAACATATAAATACTGTAACTATATGACTTTTAGAAGACATCTGAAAGCAGTCCTGTATAGGGAAGTTTTTAATATTAGATGTTTTTCTGTGATTTAATAATTTCTTGGAAGCTGCCCAGAAGGCAGGATCCAAACCAACAGGTTCAAAGGAGATTCCAACTAAACATTAGGAAGAAATTCTGGACGGTAAAAGCTGTTCGGCAGCTTGGAAGGTGGTGACTCTCTTTCCTTGGAGGTTTTTAAGCAGAGGTGGATGGCCATCTGTCATGGATGCTTTTAGCTGAGATTCCTGCATTGCAGCAGGGGGTTGGACTAGATGACCCAGGAGTTCCTTTGCGTTCTGCAGTTCTATGATTCTGGGTAACAAAAAGTTCCCACTGCCAAGGTCCCTTTGAAGAACGTTGGCTGCCTCTTTGGCAGCTGGATCTGCTGCAGCCTCAAATCTCCAGCTGTCTCCATTGCTCTGTTCTTCTACCCGCACACTTATTGCAATTCTGGACTGTGGTCATGCCTGAAGTCAGCCCTTCTCCAACCGGGTGCAGTTCAGGTGCATTGTACTACCTGAAGTATACCTGAAGGAGCGTCTCCACCTCCATCGTTCTGCCCGGACACTGAGGTCCAGCGCCGAGGGCCTTCTGGCAGTTCCCTCACTGTGAGAAGTGAGGTTACAGGGAACCAGGCAGAGGGCCTTCTTGGTGGTGGCACCTGCCTTGTGGAACGCCCTCCCACCAGATGTCAAAGAGAAGAACAACTACCAAACTGTTAGAAGACATCTAAAGGCAGCCCTGTTTAGGGAAGCTTTTAATGTTTAATAGGTTATTGTATATTAGTGTTTTGTTGGAAGCCGCCCAGAGTGGCTGGGGGGACCCAGCCAGATGGACGGCGTATAAATAAATTATTATTATTATTATTACAACTCCCATCAACCTCGGGCAGCAGGTGTTAGATGCTGGCGGCTAGCTGCCCTTTTATAACCAGCTAAATGTTTTATTAACTGCAGTGGCCAGTGTTAAGATTTCAGATGCTGGCAATAGCATGCAGTCAAGGAGCGGCGCATGATTACATTCGAGCGCATAGCTGAGCGTTCTCTGCAACGTGCTGTAATCCTTGAGCAAATGCTCCCTCCCCTTAAACAGCTCATAAAAGGGCGCAATGGCTCTTAATGTTTAAGAAAGAAAGAAAAGAGGTCTATAAATCCAGCTTAGTAAATATAAGCAGTGCCAACTCAGTGCTTACATTTGTTGGCAGTTAATGGAGATGCATTTGCTGGCTGGCACCAAACAGAAAGAGCACATGGGTCTATTTTTGGCCCCAGGGAAGCCGCACAATTCTTCTTCCAGTTGTTTAACAGCAGGGAAGGAATGTATATTAAATCTGCCTCCAGGCAAAAGGGGTAAATTCAATTTAGGAAAAACATGCAGTCTAACCTCTACCCGTCCCCAGAAAACCAGCCCCCAAAGTAGGCTGTATTGGTATAATAAAGCAGAATTTATTTATTAATTGTGTTTAGGTGTCAGCTCGGAAAAATAAGGATGTCTTGAAAAATATTGTTGTGTCACCATTTCATAGAACCTTAGAACTGGAAGTTCAACTGCAATGAAACTATCTCTCTTGTTATTTATGACTCGCTTGTGGTGCGATGCGATACACTGCCATTGCACTTTTGGGTTGTTAAAAAGGTAAAGGGACCCCTGACCGTTAGGCCCAGTCGTGACCGACTCTGGGGTTGCGGCGCTCATCTCGCTTTATTGGCTGAGGGAGCCGGCGTACAGCTTCCGGGTCATGTGGCCAGCACAACTAAGCCATTTCTGGCAAACCAGAGCAGCGCATGGAAACGCCGTTTACCTTCCCGCCGGAGCGGTACCTATTTATCTATTTGCACTTTGATGTGCTTTCGAACTGCTAGGTTGGCAGGAGCTGGGACTGAGCAACGGGAGCTCACCCCGTCGCGGGGATTCGAACCGCCGACCTTCTGATCAGCAAGTCCTAGGCTCTGTGGTTTAACCCACAGCGCCACCTGCGTCCCTTATTTTGGGTTGTTAATAATGGTAATAAAGCTTATGGGGGGGTAAATAAATGCTTCTGCCCCCCATATATTATCCTCACAACAACGCTGTGAGGTAGGGTGGGCTAGACGTAGAGAAACACTGAGTTAGGCTTAGAGATGATGCCAGGTTTCTCTAGCATTAAGCCAAAACTTGAATCACTATGCAAGGAGTCACCATTGCGGGTCTTTCCTGGTACTCCTGAATGCCTTTCCCTTGCTGAAAGAGGCAATTCTGCAGTTGCTATTAAAACAGATTGCGGTGTGTGCTTGGTTGCGGTGTTCCTGTGGCGCCCACAACAGCTTCTCCAATTTGGGATTGCAAAAAGGCGTCCCCAAGGAAGGCTGGCGACTCTGCAGTACACCATGCCAGTTCTCAAACATACAGTATTTTTCCGTGTATAAGACGCCCCCATGTATAAGACGCCCAAAATTAAGAAATTACAGTGGTGCCCTGCAAGACAAATGCCTCACAAGACGAAAAACTCGCTAGACGAAAGGGTTTTCTGTTTTTTGAGCTGCTTCGCAAGACGAATTTCCCTATGGGCTTATCCCGCAAGGCAAGCAGCGTCTTGCAGTTTGTTTCCTTTTTTCTTAACACCGTTAATACAGTTGCGACTTGACTTGAGGAGCAATCATGAAACAACAGTAGCCTTTTTGAGGTTTTTTGAAGACTGATGATTTGGAGAAGCACCAAAACTTCTTTAAACTTTTAAAACTTTTTGGGGTCCTTGGATTTTGGGTTAGGGTGTTTGATTCAAGGACTTGGTGTTGGGGGAGGGTTTGCAGTCTAGGAAATGTGTGTTTTTTCTGCATTTTTATGATTTTTGTGTGACCATTAGGCACTCTGCTGTTTTTAAAATTTCTGGTTGAATTTCTGTGTGGTGGGTGGCGGGAACAGTTGAGGAGGGTTTGCAAGTCTGGGCTTGTGTGGTTTTCACCATTTGTTTCTGTGACCATTGACCCTCTGCTGTTTTTTAAAAAAAATTCTGGTTGAATTTCTGTGGTGGTGGCTGGGGAACAGTTTAGAGGGTTCTTGTAAGCAAAGTGGAAGGAACCTTCTTGAGTTGTCACCCAGAGTCTTGAAAATGCCTGTACACTTTATTGATTTTAAATGTTTTCTGTCATGTTTAGAAGCAATTTGTGTTCCTTCAATTTTTAAATGCTCTTTACAGTATGTGTGACTTCAAAGGCATAACTAAACTCTTGTTGTGCAAATTTGGCTTGTTTGGACTTTTTGACCATAAGGCGCGTGGTGGATTTCCAATGCATTCCTATGCCCGCCGGTGATCGCTTGCCACAGCCACTGCTGATCACACTCCTCGCAGCAGCTGCCAATTATCTGCTCACTGCCGCCACCAACCCACCTGCCCACTTGCTGCAGCTGCCAATCGCCTGCCCAATTGCCGCAGCCACAGCCAATCGCCAGCAGGCCTTGCCACAGCCACCAATCGCCCGCCCAGTCGCCACTGCCAATCTCTTGCTTGCTGCTGCCATGAATCACACGTCCCCCTTCTGCATTCACTATCCGTGTACAGTGGTACCTCAGGTTACATACGCTTCAGGTTACAGACTCTTCAGGTTACACACTCCACTAACCCAGAAATAGTGCTCCAGGTTAAGAACTTTGCTTCAGGATAAGAACAGAAATCGGGCTCCGGTGGCGCGGTGGCAGCAGGAGGCCCCATTAGCTAAAGTGGTGCTTCAGGTTAAGAACAGTTTCAGGTTAAGAAAGGACCTCCGGAACAAATTAAGTACTTAACCTGAGGTACCACCCAATTTTTGCCTGATTTTTTCTTCGCAAAATGCATCGTCTTATACACGAAAAAAATACGGTGAATATCTGGGAGTTTCATGGCTGAGTCCCTCTCTCCAGATTTAGCAGGCAGCACTTATAGCCTTCTTCCACGTCTCACGTTCTGGGTTACGCAACCCTGAAACCCACTATCAAATCCGAAACAAGCTGTGGGCTAGCCAGGGCACCGTAGCACTCTGAAAACACAGGAAAGACTTTTTGCCCAGAGAGAGCTATATAAATATATACAGACCTTTGGGCGGTGTAAGGTGGACTCCGTTTTTAAGGCACCACTGTACTGGCATGATCCCCAAGGAATCGGCGTGGCAAATCATGGAGGCTGCGCTCCCTTCGGGATGGAGGTCATCGATGGTTACTTGAACAAAATGGTTGTTAAAAACCTGGAGGGAACCAAACAATTCTGCATTAAGGAAAAATCCCTGCCATCGACACACACAGAACGAATGTAAACTCTGTTCAGGGACCAACCAGCCTTGTGTTTTCCTTTCGTTTTGCACAGAAAAATACTAGGTTTAGGATACTCATCAGCAAAAGTGGGTCTGCAATTTTCACACTTCAGGTCCGAAACGTACCTCACAGGCTTGTTGTGAGGATAAAATGGGGAGAGGGAGAACCACGTAAGACACCTGGAGCGCCTTGGAGGAAAAGGTGGGGTAGAAATGCAAAATAATAAATAAATAAAGTGGGAGTGCTCTTTTTGGCTGAAGGAAAGTTTGGTAAAAGTGTCCCCACCATTGAGCTTACCACTAATAACCCACCCTAGGACCTCACAGGGAAGGGAAGGGAAGAAATCTTTATTATTATTATTATTATTATTATTATTATTATTTTCCATCTGTGTTAGAATCACAGAATTTTAGAGTTGGAAGGGACCCAAGGGTCATCTAGTCCAACCCACTGCCTTCCTCCATTTTAAATTTCTCACCTTAGATATTGTAGCGGGACAAATCCTACATGGCTCTTTCATATCCACCGCCTCCAATTTCATGCCCACTGTGAACAGGTGGTTCCTCAAGTCGTCATGGTCCTATGAAACAAAAACAAATAAATGCAAGGCTTTGTCCCCGAAGCTCAGAAGGTGATTAGGTAAAAAAGGTAAAGGACCCCTGGACAGTCAAGTCCAGTCAAAGGCGACTATGGGGTTGTGGTGCTCATCTCGCTTTCAGGCCGAGGGAGCCGGCATTTGTCAACAGACAGCTTTCCAGATCATGTGGCCAGCTTCTGGCGCAACGGAACGTCGTGACGGAAACCAGTGCACACGGAAACGCTGTTGACCTTCCCGCCAAAGTGGTACCTATTTATCTACTTGCACTGGCGTGCTTTTGAACTGCTAGGTTGGCAGGAGCAGGGACAGAGCAACGGGAGCTCACTCCGTCACAGGGATTCGAACCGCCAACCTTCTGATCGGCAAGCCCAAGAGGCTCAGTGGAATCTAAGTAGGGAGCAAGCACCATTTATCTGAATCCCTGGGGTCGGTTGTGGGCCCAGCATGGCTACATGGGCCTGGTATCTTCTGTTCTCCATCCTGCCTTAGTCACATCCCCTTTTCTTGGCATCCGTCAGTCTCGAGAGACAATGGAGTTTGCCACCAGGGGTGAAGCCAAACCGCTGCATTACTAGAGTTGCCATATTTTGAAGAGCTAAAAAGAGGCCACATTTGCCAACTCCTACTTTTAAATAGAGATCCCTTTGACGACTCTCATTTCAAATGCCCCTACTATATGTAGGCTATAGAAGCTTGTGATAATATTCCTAGCCGCAATGTTCTCAACTTTCAACAACTAAATAATATATACATGTTGTGCCCTCACTTGCCACATGAAAGTATTTGTGTGTGTGCACAGAACAATTTATTAATCTGTTTAACATGTACATATGGACTCTCCTTAAGGGCAGGGGGATGTTAACTCTTGCTCTCCCAGACTCCTTCTCCAAGATCTTGTAGCTGAGCTAACATCCTTTTAGTTCAGTCACAAGAGAAGGGATTTATACAGTATGTATAGCTAGTTTAAGACGCTTCTCTGCTGCAGACTAGCTTAGCCGGGTATCTTAGGTCCGAGTCTAATGCAGTAGAAAAATTGGGTTACTGAAAGCAAAAAAACAACAACCCCCAGTCATTTTGCCAAATGTTAAAAATCTACCCAAACAGAAATTTTATTCCTGAAAAAAGAGGATGTGTCCAGGGAAAAGAGACTATATGGCAACCCTAGAAGTGACTTCCCCAAGGAGAAAGCCTGGGCAGTGTGTACTGAGGTCCAGATGACAAGACCCCCCCCCCCCCGGCCTCGTTGGTGTGGTCCAAAGGAAAGAAGAGCAAGATGTTTTGCACCAGTTTGGCTGCAGGAATTGCTGGAAGGAGGCATAAAGTAAAGGTAAAGAGACCCCTGACCATTAGGTCCAGTCGTGACCGACTCTGGCGTTGCAACGCTCATCTTGCTTTACTGGCTGAGGGAGCCGGAGTACAGCTTCCGGGTCATGTGGCCAGCAGGACTAAGCCGCTTCTGGCGAACCAGAGCAGCGCACGGAAACGCCGTTTACCTTCCCGCCGGAGCGGTACCTATTTATCTACTTGCACTTTGATGTCCTTTCGAACTGCTAGGTGGGCAGGAGCAGGGACCAAGCAACGGGAGCTCACCCCGTCGCGGGGATTCGAACCGCCGACCTTCTGATGGACAAGTCCTGGGCCCTGTGGTTTAACCCACAGCGCCATCCACGTACCGGAAGGAGGCATACAAGGCGTCAGATACTCCACTCCAGATTTGTGTTGGGTTTATTCCTGAACATTTTGTCCTCCCAAAGATATCCCGCCAGGCGGCAGAGGCTTAGGATCAGGGTTTTCCTTCTCTTAGATGGCCTACCTTCCCAGGGTGATGGGCCCCAGTTTAACAGGAAGCGTGAGAAGGTGGCTTCAAAAGGCTCCCTCCCAGCGAACCTTTTACCAGCCTGTCTCAGATTCAGAGGAATGAATGAGACGGCAAACATATGCTTCCTTTCAAGACCCCAATTAATCTACATAATTTCTGAAGGATACATTTCACTGGAGCGAACACAAAGCTTTTAATTGCTATTAGGCTCAAATTGACGCGCAGCCATGATGGATTGCTCTCTGAATTCCTTGGCGCACATCAATGCCAGATAATAAGACTTCTCTTTATTTCTCTTTACTCTTGAGACAAAAAGAAAGTAGGGTCCTCATGGATCCCGCACGGTGCATCAAACACAAGTCCTTTACGTTCAAGACGACATAGCAGGTATATGTGGTTGTGTGATACTTAACCCCTCTTACCAATTTGTACTTAAGAGACTTGAGAGCCAGTATAGTCTAGCGGTTAAAGGGCTGGAGCAGGGGTAGGCAAACTAAGGCCCGGGGGCCGGATGCGGCCCAATCGTCTTCTAAATCTGGCCCCCAGATGGTCTGGGAATCAGCGTGTTTTTACATGAGTAGAATGTGTCCTTTTATTTAAAATGCATCTCTGGGTTATTTGTGGGGCCTGCCTGGTGTTTTTACATGACTAGAATGTGTGCTTTTATTTAAAATAAATCTCTGCATTATTTGTGGGGCATAGGAATCCGTTCATTTCCCCCCTCAAAATATAGTCCGGCCCCCCACAAAGTCTGAGGGACGGTGGACTGGCCCCCAGCTGAAAAAGGTTGTTGACCCATGGGCTGGACTATAAGACCTGGGAGACCAGCGTTCAAATCTCCACTCAGCCACCCAAAGCTCACTGGGAGACCTCGGGCCAGTCACTGCCTCTCAGCTCAGCCTACCTCACAGGGTTGTTTTGAGGATAAAATAGGAAGGAGGGGATGTATGCGGTCTTGCAGGGGGTTGGACTAGATGACCCTCAGGGTCCCTCTCAACCCCACCATTGTGTGATTCTATGATTCATTCTATGTTTCCCCAGCCACTCTGTGGCATCTTTGCATCTCAAAGCTCCTAGGTTCATCTGTATAAACAAAGCGTTCTTTGAAATACTCATGTAATATATAGACCAGACTTGGGTACAGTAGTACCTTGGGTTACATACACTTCAGGTTACATACACTTCAGGTTACAGACTCCACTAACCCAGAAATAATACCTTGGGTTAGTGGAGTTACATACGCTTCAGGTTACAGACTCCACTAACCCAGAAATAATACCTCGGGTTAAGAACTTTGCTTCAGGATGAGAACAGAAATTGCGCAGCGGCGGCGCGGCATCAGCAGGAGGCCCCATTAGCTAAAGTGGTGCTTCAGGTTAAGAACAGTTTCCGGTTAAGAACGGACCTCCGTAACTAATTAAGTTATTAACCCGAGGTGCCACCGTAATTTAATTGATTGCAAATTAGACAATTCACTATGGCGTATGCTGGGCTATTAGCTAACCATTTATATTTATATTGTTTCTATATTCTGCTGAAAGCTGCCCAGAGTGGCTGGGGAAACCCAGCCAGATCGGCAGGGTATAATAATAATAATAATAATAATAATAATGATGATAATGCTATCCCAAAGCCGCCCAGAGTGGCTGGGGAAACTCAGCCAGATGGGTGGGGTATAAATAATAAATTATTTATTATTATTATTATTATTATTATTATTATTACCTGCTCGTTTTATATTACTGATTGTATCACATGTGATTTTTAAAAATTGTTCTCCAGCTTGGGATCACTTTGCGATGAAGGGTGGGCTAAAATGGTGTTTAGACAAAATGAAATAAATCAAGAATCCTCGCTTTCAAATGCTTAAGGCAGCGGCGGGCTGGTGGTGTACCCAACCTTTCAGGGGGTCACATTTAAGTGAGTCTGCAGGACTCTGCAATTGAAAGGATTCGATTCCAGAAGCCACACATTTTGCGCTTCCGAACACAGCACTGACCCCTCTCCCCACCAATTATGCGCCAATTTGGTGTGGTTTCCCACCACTGGAAAACTATTGCTTTCCAACAGCCTGGTTTTCATCAAAAGGAAGAGGACCTCTTCCATCACTGACCTGCGTTGCAGCAACGACAGTATTCTTGATGCTAGTAATTCCACTCCCCATTCTTCACAGGAACCAAGTGTTTGTTGAAAGCAGGAGCAATAACACACCCGCACCCCCACTCAGAGCTTATTGTAAAGGTGCTTGTAGGATAGAGTGCACTTGTTTGCAATTCATCACCTTCTCCTTTTATTAAACCTGCAGAATTTTCCATACCGATATATATCCTCACCGCAGGGGAAACTGAACTCACAAGCCAGGCGGCTCAAGGTGAGAATTTATTGCTTTGACAGGGCATAGCTGGCAAGAAATCCAAACAAAAGCAAGAAGGGAAGGCAAGATGCAGGAAACAGGATTTTTGGGAAGCTACTGCCTTCTCTCCAGAGAGTTGCATCTGGCCCCTTTGCTACAAAGCTTTTGGCAAATGCTGGCCCAGGTCTTTTGACACCTGAGATGTGCATTTTGAGAAGCCACCCTGTTCCTGCGACTGCTATTTAACTGTTTTTAAAATAGTGGGTTTTAAATTGCTGGAAAAGCCACTTCTACCCTGCAGGAGGTGGGATTGCGGGCGTCACGATCTCCCTGTGCGATTGGGAGAATCCCTGGCCGTGTCACCCCCTGGCCAGCCAATCGGCTGGCTTTGGGGGCATGGTCCGCCCGATTTAAACACAGGCGCGGCTGGGGATCTCCCTCTTTTCCCGCATACCAGCTGTTCCTGAAGCTGGATAGTCGGTTAGGACCAATGCCTAAGCCAATACTGCTCATCACCTGTAACCAATAAAGTTGTGGCCCTATTTAGCCCATTAACCTTAAATAATTGTGTCATGTGTCTTTATTTCCACTGGGGGGGGGGGGACGAGAACTCGCCACGCAAGAAATGCTGGCTGAGATCTAGGGATGGAAGGAGGAAGGGAGCACGGCCTGGATCAGATGTTAAAGCGAATCCACCTAATCGTCAGGGCTGGAGCCAGCAGCAAAAATAAATAAATCTCTCTTCCCATTGCAGGGTTTTTTGTTTTTTCCCCCCAAAGGTCCCTCCCACCATCCCTCTGCCTCCAGTCAGTCCAGGACACTAATTCACATTTTCCAAAACAATACGCAAACTGAAAACACAAAACCTTGGGGCAGATGCAGCAGTTCAATGCATACAGTACCAGTGGCATAGCAGGGGTTGCTGGCACCCGGGGCAGGCAAGCCACCAATGCGGATGGAGTGCCCCGCCACCAGAGCCAAGCAGGGTTGTGCTGTGCCACCTGCCTGCTCACACGGGGGGAGCCAGGTCGGCCAATGCTGGTGCCTGAGTGGGTTGTGCCCTCCTCTCAAATTTTGTGCCTGGGGCCCTCTGCGCTACGCCACTGCACAGTACAAAGCTAGATGGATCCAAGGTCTGACATGGTGTTAGGAGGTTAGGCAAGCTTTCTCTCAGTGAAACAACAACACTAGGCATGGAAACGGCAAGGTTATAAGTGCCCATTCTAGCCTCTCCCAACTTGGCGTCATCCAGGCACATTGAACTACAACTCCCAACAACCCTGACCAGTCGTCTGGTGCTGATGGTCGGTGGAGTCCACAGATCTGGAGGGCACCAAGTTGGGGGTGGCTGTAGGCTGGAATTTGCAAAGATGGCTTCAACAGGCAACCCATGGAGGGACAGGCCCAGGGTTCAAAATGGCGGCAGCAGTAATAGAACTATGGAGAAAGTAGTATCAAGCAAGGAGCTGGCAGTCTCCATGAAGCCCATTCCTCCATTCCTTTCTCCGAACAAAGATGGATGAGTCTGATACGAGAATCAGGGGCCCAATACAGCGATGCCACCGAAATTCAAACCGGCTGTTGTTTCGGCTGAAAAGGGAATAACAGATCCTACCTTAAACACTTCCATAGGGAGGGGAAACTGTGCTGCCTCAATCAGGGCTTTATCCAGAGCAGAATGCCATTCAGACACAGTCTTCAGAGAACAGATTTCTAAAACAAACCACATCAGAAATCACATGGACGTTGAAGCAGTGTATATTAACATTCTGCAATGCTTCATTCAAGTTCTGGGTCTGCAAATACATGGTTGGCATCCATCTGTCCCAAGACGCAATGGAGTGAGCCTCCAGGGGTGAAGTCAAACCGCCGCATTAGCAGCACCGAAGTGGTTTCCCTGGGGCGCATGCCTGGGCAGTGTGTATGGAGGTCCTGGACTGCCCAGACAACAATATCATTGTCTCGGCCTCGCTGGTGTGGGCCAAAAAAAAGCTGAGATAAGTTTGGCACCAGCTTGGCTGCAGGAGTTGGCAAAAGGAGGCGTACAAGGTGCCATCCTTAGGGAATCCACTGCAGATTTGTGTAGCGTTTACGCCTTAGCCTTTTCCTCTCCCAAAGATATCCCACAAAGGAGAGGGAGTTTAGGATCAGAGTTTGCTTTCTCCTAGGTGGGCCACCTGCCCAGGTTCGTTCCCTCCCTCTCTCTCTCTCTCTCTCTCTCTCTCTCTCACACACACACACACACACACACACTCATATAATATATTGCTCATATAGGCCTCATTTGCACACCTGGTAGATTTTACCAGATTTGTCCCAACAGACCCACACAGCAACCTGCTTTTAAGCTGCCCCGAGGACTCAACTGATGACTGTGCTTTGCAAAGTACAAAAACCGTAAATCGAGGGGGCGGGAAAGTTACATTGGCTGCCTCACTCAGTGCTTTTAAGCAATTCACAGCGGGTTTTCCTTTAAACGCCTGTAAATCCATTCACAGGAGGAAAGTGAGATTAAAATAAAGCCTTTCCTTCTGGGGCAATCTCTTGCCTCACTGCACCCCCACAAAACTGCACGCCCCAGAATACAACATGATGGGAGAGATAAGTGAAGCTAAAGCTCTCTTCCCGCTGCTCCTAGAATCAAGGTCAGTAAATCTGTTAATGAAGACAATAGGGCAAAGTTTTGGCACTCGGCCCGAAATACACTTAACACTGTTATCACCCGTTTGCAGCACCTCTGGGATAAACACTGAGCTCACCTGCAACTTGAACTGATTTGTGAGGGTCCAATACCTGCCCAAGACATTTTGCGGCTTGAGACAGAGCAATGAATGGCCTCTCACCCCACTATGTCAAAGTGCATGCCCAAGGCCTGCCAAGTTATTTTGCCGCCCGAGGCAGAAGATCCCACAAGCATCTTTCTGGTAGTCAAAGCACAATACAGGCGACTCTCTGGGCAATATATTGATATATCGTCCCAAACCGGTTCCAAGTCCATATTGTGATATCAGTTTCATAATTTTTGACCTGGCAATACAGTCATACCTCGGGTTACAGACACTTCAGGTTGCGCGTTTTTGGGTTACGGACGCGCCAAAATCCAGTATTGGAACGGGTTACTTCTGGGTTTCGGCGCTCGGCAGAAGCACTAAATTGCGCTTTGCGCATGTGCAAAAGAGCCAAATCGCAACCTGTGCATGCGTGGACGCTGCGGGTTGCAAACATACCTCCTGCACGGATCACGTTCGCAATTCGAGCATCCACTGTATATTGCAAATCATGACATGTGCGTGTGTGCGCTATGCAAAAATCATGATGCGGGGAAAAACTATGAACCCAGCCAATGCCTCTACATAGCCCCGTCCTTATTTCAGATGTCATGATTTATTGGTATATTGTGATGTTTAGCTGATGATGCTGAAAACCAGATATCGCCCAGCCCTACTCTTACATTCTGGGGATAGCAAAATCATGTATGGTCTAAACACCTTGGGTTCAATGGCGGGTGAAGTTGCCAAAGTCCTTTCCCCCTCGGACACTTAATCCTTTTATGCCCACTTTTAATTCCTTTTGCCAATTGTGCAAAACTTATGCAACTTAAATGTGCGTAAGTTGTGAGTTACCTGTAACAGCAAACTAAGGCCATGTAGGTACCATACATTTAAAGCATATTATACTATTCATCAACCGCAGGCAGGCATGGACCTGCCCTATAACATTTGCAGTATTAGGAAACTTATTTCTGCTTTTTTAAAATTTTTACCTGCGGGTGGATCCAGTCTGTACTTATTCTCTTGACACCAACCAACTGGTCGAAGTCTGTAATCCAAGTAAAACAACCACTGGTCATAGGATTCAGTCTCCTCCAATCCCACATAGCGAAGGCGTAATCTTCCTCCAACATTCTCAAGAACACTAACTATCCAGTATTGAAAGGGACTCTGGGAATCCTGAAGCTCTATTAAGGAATCAACTGTAATGAGGTCTACAGGGTTTTTCCCTCGCAGAGGCTGTTTGAACAGAAGCAAAACTCCTTATTTTAAACTTTATGCGAAGTCTTCTCACGGTAACAGAGACAGCAGAAGATTTATAAATTTTATTTTTTTTATTCTATATTTTGTGTGTGTGTGTGTATGCGGCTGGATGATGGCTTTTCTTCACCTTTATCCCAGCGGTCTCTCCTTCCTCCTAATTTTAACCCAGTCATACATTCCAAACGCAAAAGAAAAAAAAAGGAAAAAACAGGAAGAGAAATTAACTGTGCTTAATGCTCGACAATTATTTGTTTCAAAAACAACTCACTTAACCCCATTAAAAAAAAATTATTATTAATATCCCAGGAATCAGATTATGTGAAAATAAAATAAACGGTCTTAGCTGTGGGGAGCTGTGACAAGGAAATGCTTAGGGAAAAGGAGTGAGCTTTTAAATGTTCACCTTGCAAAGTCACACATATATTCAGATCCTGGCAGCAGAGGCTGGTCTATTTGGAGAAATAGGCTACTGCCCAGCCATCTTCAGTTTGCCCCCAGATAGCCCTCACCTGCCCTGTTTTCTTACTTACAAATACTCCAGGAGGTGGCCCTGCCTGCCAATGTCCTCCTCCTTAAGTCCCAGTGTTGCGCTTGCAGAACTCAGCAGAAGGGCGGAGAAGGACAGGGGCAAAACTAGAATGAGCTGGCTCTACGTGCCATCGGCTCTGGCGCCACCTACTGTCCACCTCCCAACCTTCCACCCTACCAGTAGCCACTGGATTCTGGGTGTTGATTTCTGAATTAGATTTACATTATTATTTTTTAAAGGATGAGCTATGTATGGCCTTTAGGGTGTGCGTGTGCATGCACACACGTGTGTGTCAGCAAATGTGAAGAACGAACCAGACATTATTTTCATAGCGTGTTCAGCAAACACACCTGTGTTTTTTTGCTTTTAAAAAAGGACCAGGCATGTGTGTGTCAAAGGGATTTTTGTAGAGACTGTAGCATGTGGGAAAGAGAGGCTTCATCCTTCACTCCCCAACCACAATCCCAATGAAGTCCTCTAGCATGGCAAAAGCATTATAATAACAACTTCCATTAGTGCCAATGACAGTTGTTTTTCTAACGAATAATTTGCTTGTGGGGATCACTGCAAGTAGTATTGCAACTAGGGAGGGGAGGGACTGGAAAACTGCAGTTCCAATTAACCCCAATCCCATGTGCCTGTTAATTAATTAATTGTATTTTTAAAAACAAAAAAAGGTGGTCGCTGAAAACGCTGTTAAAGCAGCACCTGGTTCAGCCCTTTACCAAAATAAATAAAATCATTCTTGAAACGTAAGCATCCAATCTGCAAAATCTTGAATGTTTTTAACATGACAATTTCCAGATGCTCGTAAGAATATCCGGGGAACGTTATGACGGGGTGTTTGGGGGGGAACAGGACGGGACCTGCCACAGCAAGGATGCCTGTCCTGCTAAAAACACATTCTATATGTTTTTAAATTCCTGTTGGTTTGGGGTTTTCCTGATTAAAACTCTTAGGTGAGGAATGGGGAAAACAGAAGGAGAGCAGGACGTCTATAGATAATAATCAGCTCTGCCTTGAGCATCCATTTCTACAGCAAAAGGACCCCGTAAGGAAACACCACGGTCTAGAGAGCCTTTTTGCTAAACTGATAAGCAGTGATGGTGATAATAATTGTCATTAAATAATAATGTCTGGCACCAGTTACAATTTGCACACACACACACACACTCCCGCCTGATCCTCACTCCTGACTATTGAGCAAACAATGCAAGTAATTCTAGCAAGTAAGCTACCAATTCGGATAGCAAACTGTGAAACAGGCCTGGAGCCATAAGTTTTGTAGCGGTGGTGATCGTGGGGAGGAGCTGAAAGTTAGTACACCTCAAAACCAGCAGAGACTGAAATGCAAGCCGCTTGGTCTGTTAAAATTAAAAGCTATGGGGTATATTAAATACTCCAATAAAATGCAGTTGGGTGTCACTGGGCAGAATAAACACTGGGATTGAGTTGAATTGAGCAGCCAGACAGAATGTACTGCCTGCGTATTTCTCAGGAAAATAAAGAGCTAGAGGCTTTTTTATTTAAAAAAAGTGGAATATCCATCGTAAGGAATATCCAGGGCTCACTTTACTGAAAGCACACCACAAGGCATTAAGAATATTCATTGCTCCTGCAGTGCATTAGCAAGCCACACACTGTGGTGCATGCCCAGATTTGCATCTCTCTGTGTGGCACCAAGAATGGAATCATAGAATTGTGGAGCTGGAAGGGACCCAGCGGTCATCTAGTCCAACCCCCCCCCACTGCAATGCAGGAATCACAGCTGGACTGGAGATAACCCTCATCTTGCAGAGACACAACTCAGAACCATCCCACACAAACTCCACACCGTTGTGGACACACTGAACCGCACAGCAATAATCTCACCCTAACTGCAGCCAATTAGGAGATCGTGAAGATAAGAGAAACGGCTTGTTAGATCCATCCTGTTCCAACATCGTATATTTGGTAGCTCACTCAGTAGAGCATGACACTCTTAATCTCAGGGTTGTGGGTTTGAGCCCCATGCTGGGCTTGCAGGGGTTTGGACTAGATGACTCTTGTTGTCCCTTCCAACTCTACAATTCTATGATTTCCACCATCAGCACCATTCCCTCAACAGCAGGGCATGGGGACCTACTGCACTCCTCATCAGGCTTCCTCAAACTCGGCCCTCCAGATGTTTTTGGCCTACAACTCCCATGATCCCTAGCTAGCAGGATCAGTCGTCAGGGATGATGGGAATTGTAGTCTCAATTCCCGAGTTTGAGGAATGTTGCTGGACCACAGATCTTACCATACCTGCTAGCTAGGATTAACAATATCAAGAGGAGAATGTGTTTTCCAGCCCTTTACACCAGGGGCGCTGACTTGGGCCTTATGTTATGGATCCCCAACGGCGCCCGTGACATAACATGACGTCATGACATCATGACATCACATTGGCGATGCGCCGGCACTATCAAGGCCTCACAGGGTCTCGGAGGTTACGTCCAAGACCTCTGAGCGACTTCCGGTTTCTACATCATCTGGGAGGTCGTGTCAGGGCTCTGTGACAACTTCCAATAGAAACCAGGAGTCACAACGGAGGCCTGTGTTGTGAATGTTAAGCACCCATAAAAAAATTTGTGGGTACCCTGGTACCCCAAGACCTAGCGCCTATGCTCTAGACTAACCAGGTCAATGTCTCTACGAAGGTCATTACTGTGAAAAGGAATTCCAAACAAGCATAGACTGTCTTGCTTCCATGCGTTGAAAGAAACCCAAATAAGAAAATCTGGATCTGTTTGCCTCCCTCTCCACCGCTCCAATAGCCTAGAATCCGATCACTTAAGAATGTAATTGCACTTAAAAGCTGTGCCTGTCTTAGATGACCCACATGCGAACAATCAATGCTTTCCTTCTCACCCGCCGCCTCGTCAGATCTGGGCTAAAAAGCGAGGAGAAGGGAGTCAATTTTACAGGCTTAAATAATCGTACCACCACAAACACTGTAGCACTCAAGAGGATATATTAACTCAATACATACGCCTTCCAGTAAATTTGCAGGCGCCGTTCGCGAGCCCGTCAAATCACATATGAGGAACGCCGTCCAGTCCGAGTATTTCTCCTTGATAGCTGGGAAAGCAAAGTGAGCACATGATTAGCTAAGGCGACAGATTCTGACCCGTAATAAGGCTAGACCGAAACATAGAGGCAGACTGTACGAGGTAGCTTCCAAATTCTATGACCCATCACAATCTCGGTCCAGTAAACTATGGTTTGCAGGTACCATCCGTCCCAAGCCACTTGAGTTTCCATGGTGGAAGAAAGGCAGTAAATCCATGAAAATAAATAAATAAGGGGGGGAAGGGAAATTCAGCAGTAAAAAGTACCAGTGAGTGTCCCTGGGAAAATTAGTTGTTCCTAGCACTGCATGGATTTAGGTGTGAGCCAGGCATGCATACCCCAAAAAAGTGGACATCCCGTACCCCAGAAAAACATGGACACCCCGTTTTTTATCGTGAGAGAAAGGTGGCCAAATTGGACATTGTGATCTCCCATGATTTCACGCCGCAATTTCTCCCCCACCCCACTAAAAAGTTGTTGTTTTTCCCAGGAGGATATCGCAGTGCGAAATCACGTGCGATCACAGCGCCCAAAATGGCCGCCGTTCTCTCGCAATTACAAAACAGGAAGATGGCATCTGGGAACATGGCGTCTTGGTTTTTGCCTTCAAGGTGTTGGGAGGGCATGTGCATGAGCACCACACATTACAAGGTTACAAATTGGGATTTGCGAGGTGACAGGAGCTCTCCAGAGGGATTGCGTTAGCAGCAGTGAAAGTGTCGGCCAAAACTGCGGGGATAAGAGGATTTAAAAAACCAACAAGCAACAAGGCTGGATTTGTATCCAGGCTCCGACATTAGCAGCTACCAGCAGATCCATCAAGGAAACAGCAGATGACAAAAGGCTGTAAATGTTACCAGCACAGAGAATCAATAGATAGCATCATTTACCGGCTGAAGGGGACCGATTGTATGACAAGGCCTAAACAAAGCAGCAAGATGTAACCGTTACAAATGAGCTATTTAATTAACTTGTCACCCAGCTGGTTCTTCAAGGGGGAAGACACTGGCGAGGGAGCCAGGCCCAGCCGCTAAGATACTCTCGCTCCAACCAGGGAATAGCATCAGTTAATTTAGGATGGTGGCTGGTGTCCACTGCGACTGGTAGGGCAGAAGAAGGCAGGGGGGTCAGAAACAGGTGGGGCAGGGGCACCAATGGGGCAGGACAGAGCTGCAGCCTTTGCCTGGCTTGCTAGAAGTGCAACAGCAGGAACCATTCATAGGAACATAGAACGGTGGAGTTGGAAGGGACCCAAGGGTCATCTAGTCCAACCCCCTGCAATGCAGGAATCTCAGCTAAGGCATCCATGGTAGACAACCATCCAACCTCTGCTTAAAAACCTCCAAGGAAGGAGAGTCCACCATCTCCCCACTGTCAAACAGCTTTTACTGTTATCCCCGACGTTGAGTCGGAATCTCCCTTGTTGTAACTTGAAGCCATGGGTTCGAGTCCTACCCTCCAGAGCAGGAGAAAACAGGCTTGCTCCCTCTTCCGTGTGGGATATCTGAAGATGGCTCTCCTATCTCCTCTCAGTCTCCTCTTTTCCAAGCTAAACACACCCAGCTCCCTCAACCATTCCTCATAAGGCATGGTTTCCAGACCCTTGATCGGGGGTCAGCAACCTTTTTCAGTCGTGGGCCGGTCCACCGTCCCTCAGACCATGTGGGGGGCCGGACTATTTTTGAAAAAAATATATGAACGAATTCCTATGCCCCACAAATAACCCAGAGATGCATTTTAAATAAAAGGACATATTCTACTCATGTACAAACACCAGGCAGGCCCCACAAATAACCCAGAGATGTATTTTAAATAAAAGCACACATTCTACTCATGTAAAAACACGCTGATTCCCGGACCATCCGCGGGCTGGATTGAGGAGGCGATTGGGCCGGATCCGGCCCCCGGGCCTTAGTTTGCCTACCCCTGCCCTTAATAATCTTGGTCGCCCTCCTCTGCACACCTTCCAGCTTGTCGACATCCTTCTTAAATTGTGGGGCCCAGAGCCATAGCTGTCAACCTTTCCCTTTTCTTGCGAGGAATCCTATTCGGAATAAGGGAATTTCCCTTTAAAAAGGGGGAAAGTTGACAGCTATGCCCAGAACTAGACATGGAATGTGTGACTTATGGAACTGATACTATTGAGCAATATGGACCAATGGTTTGACTCCGTATAAAGGTGACTTTCTATGCCCCTGAGACTCCTTCCCCCCCCATAAAGGCCTGATCTCAGGAAGACGAACTGTTATTTTCTCGGCAGGTTATACTCTGCTCTTGTCCAGGTGTTGTTGGACTACAACTCCCATCATCCCTGACCATTGCTCATGCTGGCTGAGGCTGATGGGAGTTGGAGTCCAACAATGCCTGAAGATTCATGGCTTCTCCATCCCTCATTTAGGGCAACAAAAATATCCAATCACGTCCCTGCACTTGCACTCAGACCTCTGGGCCCTCTGGGCTACATGGGGGACAGGAATGGGGGCCTGCAACATCGGCCCTTCTGATTGGTAGACAGTATGAGGCCTTCAGATTGGCCAGGCATAATATATAAATATGCCGAATTTCTGCCCTGTTAACAGAGCGGTGCTTTATTCCAGACACACTTTCGGTCTATCAGCGCCTCTGTGATTAAACTCACCTTATCCGGAACATGTGTATTGCTTATTACATTTCTGCTTTTAGAGCTTTGTGTAAATCTATTTAAACTAGGGGGGTGGGGGAAAATGCAAAGGTGACTGCTCTCATCCCTTGTAAAAGAAAAAAGAAAAAAATTAAAATAATAACTAACCGTACGGTATTACACAATGCTATCTTTGAATAGCGTCTCCAGAGGAATTAGCAATTTTATGGCCGTGGAAATAAAGTGCTGCATTAGCTGGAAGGTTCACGCAGATAAATGGGACCTTCTTTCCCCCTACAGACTTAAGGCTTGCTCTCCGCATTGCCTCCAAGCCTCGTCTAGTTAGGCTGCTTACTTCTGTGTATCAAAGGTCAATAGTTAAGTTCATTAGAGCAACATTTGCCTCTGGGAAGGAATTTTCGTAGGGGCTTCGAACTTAGCCAAGCCTGATCTTGGCTGCTTGGGGCAGGAAGGAGAAGGAACATTGCCTGATAGCTTTAATAATAATAATAATAATAATAATAATAATAATAATAAATCTATTATTTATACCCCGCCCATCTGGCTGGGCTTCCCCAGCCACTCTGGGCGGCTTCCAACAAAATATTAAAATACAGTAATGCATCAAACATTAAAAGCTTCCCTAAACAAGGCTGCCTTCAGATGTCTTCTAAAAGTCTGGTAGTTGTTTTTCTCTTTGACATCTGGTGGGAGGGTGTTCCACAGGGCGGGTGCCACTACCGAGAAGGCCCTCTGCCTGGTTCCCTGTAACTTGGCTTCTCGCAACGAGGGAACCGCCAGAAGGCCCTCGGCGCTGGACCTCAGTGTCCGGGCAGAACGATGGGGGTGGAGACGCTCCTTCAGATATACTGGACCGAGGCTGTTTAGGGCTTTAAAGGTTAGCACCAACACTTTGAATTGTGCTCGGAAACCTACTGGGAGCCAATGTAGGTCTTTCAGGACCGGTGTTATGTGGTCTCGGCAGCCGCTCCCAGTCCCCAGTCTGGCTGCCGCATTCTGGATTAGTTGTAGTTTCCGGGTCACCTTCGAAGGTAGCCCCACGTAGAGCGCATTGCAGTAGTCCAAGCGGGAGATAACCAGAGCATGGGTATGAAATGATCATTCCCAACAGCTGCCCTGGGGTGTATGGATTGTGGGGGGAGGGGCATGTCTTGCTTATTCTGGGGTCATTTGTCCACCTTTGGCCTCTACCTTGCACTCAGCTCTCACCTGTGGCTCCTAGAAGCTGTTAGCATGCAACTGCAGCTGCACCCCAGGAATGGCGTTGACTGGCCGGCTAAACCAGGTGAGGGGAGCCAATGGGTCTCAAACCCTCAGTGAGTTAAGATCTTTGTCTGCATGTGAAGTCAGGCGTCACGCTTGCAGACCCCTTTGTGCCACAGACTTGGTCTGCCAACAAGACTGGTGCCTGAAGCCAGCTCCTTGGGGATCGTGCCATCTCCCATTCTGTGGATAGGTTAAAGGACCCCTGGACAGTTAAGTCCAATCCAAGGCGACTATGGGGTTGCGGCGCTCATCTCGCTTTCAGGCCGAGGGAGACGGCGTTTGTCCACAGACAGCTTTCCGGGTCATGTGGCCAGCAGGACTAAACCGCTTCTGGCGCAACAGAACTCTGAAACCAGAGCAGTGCACGGAAATGCTGTTTACCTTCCCACCAGAGCGGTACCTATTTATCTACTTGCACTTTGATGTGCTTTCGAACTGCTAGGTTGGCAGGAGCAGGGACACAGCAGCGGGAGTTCACCCCGTCGTGGGGATTCGAACCGCCGACCTTCTGATCGGCAAGCCCAAGAGGCTCAGTGGTTTAGAACCAAGCCAGCGTAGACGTCGCTGAGACAGAAGTGCAAACATGTTGGGAATGTGGGCTTGGGAGAGCACACGGCCAAAGATTTATTGGTGCTTCCAGGCCCTAAATAGTTACAAGTTAAGGTATTTGGGGGGTGATACCCCCTCCCTAGATATCTGATGTGGGTCCATCAGTCTTCGACTCCCTGTTGCCATGTCCTCTATACTTCTTTCAAGCTTAAGATTGTAAGCAGTTTGAGGCAGAGACCTTTATTTCCTCTCCTCATGCATTTATTTACGCCTATTAAATAATCCCCCGTCTCCCCTCATATAATTGATATGTATGTTGCACCACGCAGGGTGATAGCACAATAAATCCTCTTCATCTCCCTTTGTTTCCTCCCAAAATCAACTTCCCAGCTGTCATAAAGGCGGTGTTGGCGAGTGGATATTTTCATATAGCGCAGGGTCATTTCATTAAAACGGTTTCACTGCCTCCCAGAGCGGCGGTTATTCATTCCGAGCGTCCCATAAATCTGAGCCTCCTTATTTTTTACGACAGGCACCGTCCATCTGTAGCCTGCCACGAGGATGCCGTTTCAAAAAATAAAGGAGGTTTTTCACGGGGAGGAGATTGGCGCACGCAGTGCTCCAAGGGACTGCCAAACGTGTTCATTAAGCGACTTCAGGCCTGCGCAGGAAGCTGTCAAATACAGAGTCAAACCAATGGCCCCTGTAGCTCAGTATAGTCTACCACACTTGCGGTGGGGAAAGGGTTGTTGCTTACCCACAGGAAGCGTCGCATCAGTAGCCAATGGAGGGAACAGATCCTAAACCAAAATTGGTGGGCAAAGTTTGCAGCATGGTTAGGACGGCATTGTTGTTTAGTCGTTTAGTCGTGTCCGACTCTTTTTTTAACTTTTATTGATAAATGCAATATTTACAAACACAAAGCAGAACACTAAACAAACTTATGTTGTTGTTGTTGTTGTTGTTGTTGTTGTTTAGTCGGGTCCGACTCTTCGTGACCCCATGGACCAGAGCACGCCAGGCACTCCTGTCTTCCACTGCCTCCCGCAGTTTGCTCAAACTCATGCTGGTAGCTTTGAGAACACTGTCCAACCATCTCGTCCTCTGTCGTCCCCTTCTCCTTATGCCCTCCATCTTTCCCAACATCAGGGTCTTTTCCAGGGAGTCTTCTCTTCTCATGAGGTGGCCAAAGTATTGGAGCCTCAGCTTCACGATTTGTCCTTCCAGTGAGCACTCAGGGCTGATTTCCTTCAGAATGGAGAGGTTTGATCTTCTTGCAGCATGGAACTCTCAAGAGCCTCCTCCAGCACCACAATTCAAAAGCATCAATTCTTTGGCAATCAGCCTTCTTTATGGTCCAGCTCTCACTTCCATACATCACTACTGGGAAAACCATAGCTTTAACTATACGGACCTTTGTTGGCAAGGTGATGTCTCTGCTTTTTAAGATGCTGTCTATGTTTGTCATTGCTTTTCTCCCAAGAAGCAGGCGTCTTTTAATTTCATGACAACTGTCACCATCTGCCGTGATCATGGAGCCCTTTCTACCCTACCTTAAAAGGGCACCAGTCACCACTAGGCTCCCACCCAGAGAGTGCAGATTCCCCATCTCAGCTCTGCAATGATGAGGCAGGGACTTTTCAGTGGTGACACCGCTTTTTGGAATATTCCCTCCAAGAAGCTAGCTCAGCACAAACCCCAATATCTCTTGGGCACCAAGATCTTTTTATTTCCCCATCATCATTATTTTGATTTATATGCCGCTCCCCCCCAATGTAAAAAGGCTGTTGTTGTCTTTTAGTCAACATGATCTAATCAATATCCTCAGCAGATTCAGCTCATCCCCCCCCAATTTTTTTAAAAAACCAGCAACTGATCTCCAAAATCAGCTTATGGAACTTAGCTCCATACTCCATGGAACTCCAACTTAGCTTATGGAAAAACAATTAGAGAAACAAATTCTTCCAAGTTTTCTAACCAAAAAATAAATGAAAATAAATCCATATTATTATTATTTAATCTGAAAGAGGAGAAGGGGGCGGAGAGTCCCCAACAATCTTTAAATACAGTACAGCATGCAGAAAGAATCCAATATCAAGCCTGACTGAAGAAGTTGATTAAATTAGTTCAATTTAAAAACCTAAACAAACCCTGAAGGTGGCTCCTTTGTACACTGCTAAATCATTTACTACCCGAGAAGAACTGAACGGGCGCAAAATATTCATTCATTAAATCTTCCATAAATTTCCACTCGGTATTTGGCTGCAGCCACAATATTACTTAGAAGTCGTTACATGCCGTTCATTTGGCACCTGCTGTTTGGATGAAGTCCGGGCATTTCACACCACTTCTTGCTTGCTTTGCTCGCAAATTATTTGGAAGTTGTTGCAAAGGGCAGTCAAATTTCTTTTGATGAAGCAGGGCTGGGGGCCAGAGCTCAGCGACAGGACGTCTGCCTTGCATGCAGAACGCCCCCAATTCAATCCCCGCCATCTCTAGGTAGGACTGGGAAAAACTCCCCGTCTGAAATCTTGGAGAGCCACTGCCAGTCAGAGTCATAGCTGTCAACTTACAGATTTGAAAATAAGGGACCAGCAGCCAAAATAAGGGATTTTAGTCAACCAGTTAAAAGGGACCAGATAATTTTGGAGAGCAGCGCCGGTTTTTAGCCCTTCGTTTCCAGAGGTTGCTGCTCAAGACACCAGCCGATGAAACACTGCAATTAAATAATTACAAGCAGCAACCACTTTTCGCGCAAAACGAAGTCCAAGCTACGAAGATGCTGCTGCAGTTCTGTATCTTTTCTCTCGTGCTCCATCTGCAGCTCTCAGTTCCATCAGGTGGGGTGGGGGGTGGGGAAATAGCACCCGAAGTAAACCAGCAGATCAGACCATCTATGCTAGTCCACCACTACAAATCTATGGGAGAAGCACTTGCAGTCCTTCCCTTGTAGCCCTTGGAACACCTGCCCGCACCTCCTCCTCCTCCTCTTCCTCCTCTCTCTGAACTGCTTTCTCTATGGTTGCCCTTGCTCTCCTCTCAAGGCTCCTCATCAATTCATAGACCATGCCAGGCTGCCCATCTCATTCAGGTCCTTCGGCGGCGCAGCCGCAGTACGTCCTAGCGAGCGCAGCAGCGTAGGGCAAAGGGGAGGCCCCAGGCAGAGATGCTCAGTTCGGCGGCTGCGAGGAGGATGGTGGCGGAAGGGCCCAAGGCTCCCACCAGTCCCGGCGGTGAGGGGTTCCCGGGGGCCGAGGCTGGTGAGAGGAGGCCGGAGGGGGACGGGCCGGGCAGCCAAGCAACACAGTTGGAGTCTCCCTGGCCGGCAGGGAGGGAGGGAGAGGAGCTGCTTCCTTTGAAACCCGGGAAATTTAAGGGACATCCATCAATAAGGGACAGCAGTGGGACATGGCGCTGGGATAAGGGACTGTGACAGCTATGGTCAGAGTTGCCGATACTGAGGTAGACAGACCAATGGTCTTAACTGGTAGAAGGAAGTTTCCTATGTTCCTCTGGTTGTTTACCAAGAAGCTTGTACGCTATGGCAAGCCCATGCCCAGGGCTGGCTCTATCACTGGGCAAAGTGAGGCAGCTTTTCATTCCAGTCGGATTTAGTCCTTTGCCCAGAGGAGCAAAACGTCTTGGGCATTTGCCACCTATGATGGGAATTTATTTATCATGTCGTTCATATCCTATGTTTCTTCCAAGGGGCTCAAACTGGTGGACGTAGAACTGTAGAGTTGGGATTCTGAAGATCATCTAATCCAAGATTTCCCAAACTTGGCTCCTCGGCTGTTTTTGGACTACAACTCCCATCATCCGTAGCTAGCAAGACCAGTGGGCAGGGATGATGGGAACTGTAGTCCAAAAATAGTTGGAGACCCAGGTTTGGGAACTTCTAGTCCAACCCCCTGCAATGCAGGAATATGTAGCTGTCTCATACAAGAATTGAACCTGCAATCTTGACGTTATCAGCACCACGCTCTCACCAACTGACATGATTCCTCCCCACCCCATGTTGTCTTCCCCACAACCGTGGGGCAGGTTGGACGGAGACTATGGCTGGTCCAGAGAGCTTCATGGCTGAGGATTTGAACCCTGGAATCCCTGGTCAGAATCCAACACTCTAACCACTACACCACACTGTTGACAAGCCAAGAATAGTGTTCTAGTGCAGGGATAGGGAACCGGGTCTGGTCAGAGGGATGGAACCAGAACTGGCCTACCCACCCCAGGCTTCCTTGACAAGTGGGCACAGCCAACCACCTGAAATGTGACAGCCTGGATAGCTCAGATGGTTAGAGCATGCTGCTGATAATGCCAAGGTTGCACGTTTGATCCCCATATGGGACATGCCTCATTGAGAAATTGAGATTTTTCCCCCCAGTGTACTAGAGTAATAAGGTACAGGATAATGTAAAGCCATCTGTGTTACTTGGAACCTGCTGGTATTAATTCATTAGGTTTGATTTGGGTGTGGAGATTACTTCCTACATCTTTAGTTCTTCTGCTTTCGTTTTGCATTATTTGGCAGCTGTCATTATGCTTTGCTATAAAATATACGGAGGAAAAACATGCTTATTTTGCAGGCTAACAGCCTTCTTAAATTGTGACGCTCAGAACTGGACACAGTATTCCAGGTGGGGCCTGACCAAGACAGAATAGAGTGGTCCACAGTGGCTGCCAGAGATTCTACAGAGGGGGGAGCGGTAGGAGACCGCATTCCCGGCCCTATCTGAAAATGCCAGGAATTGGACCTTGGACCTTTCCGCTTCCTCTCCAGCACCTGGGTTTCGGACTCCAACTCCCATCAACCCCAGCCAAAACACCTGATGGGAGTCCAAAAGATCTAAGCTGCAGGAGGCTATGATAGGTCCAGCCATGGCCGACTCTGGGGTTGCAGCGCTCATCTCACTTTATTGGTCGAGGGAGCCGGCGTACAGCTTCCGGGTCTTGTGACCAACATGACTAAGCCGCTTCTGGAGAACCAGAGCAGCGCACGGAAACGCCGTTTACCTTCCCGCCAGAGCGGTACCTACCGTATTTTTCGCTCTATAGGGCGCACCAGACCATAGGGCGCACCTAGTTTTCAGAGGGGGAAATCAAGGAAAAAAATATGAACCCCCCCGCAGCTCTGGGAGCAGCGGACAGGCTGCACACAGCCTGTGCGCTTCTCCCAGACCTTCTCCCTGCTTTTGCGGGAGGTGGGGGAATTCCCCCATCTCCCGCAAAAGCCCACAGGAGCCCCGCGCGACTCCTGCAGGCTTTTCTACAAGGAGGGAGAAAGGACTGACGCGGCCAGTCAGTCCCTTGTCCCTCCTCGGGGAAAAGCCCCCAAAGGTGGCGCGCTCTTTAAAGGGTGCGTGGCTCCTGCGGGCTTTTCTACGAGGTGGGGGAATTCCCCCACCTCGTAGAAAAGCCAGCAGAAGCCGTGCACCCTTTAAAGACCGCTTTTGTGTGCTTTTCGACCGGGATGGGAATTCCCCCATCTCCCGCAAAAGCCCACAGCGGCCGCACACCCTTTAAAGAGCGCGCGGCTCCTGCGGGGTTTTCGACCCAGCTTGTGGGGCTGGCGGTGGGGGGAAGCGCTGCTTTCCCCCACCGCCAGCCTCAAAACCGGGTCGGGGAGCAGCGCTAAGGTGTCGCGCGCCTTCCTGCTGCCACCCCGAGCTTGTGGGGCTGGCGGAGGAGTGAAGCGCTGCTTTCCTCCACCGCCAGCCTCAAAACCGGATTGGGGAGCAGCACTAAGGCGTTGTGCGCCTTCCCGCTGCCCCCAGAGCTTGTGGGGCTGGCGCTGGGGGGAAGCACTGCTTTCCCCCACCGCCAGCCTCAAAGAGCAGACTCTCCTGGCTTAAGAGAAAGCAACGCAAAGCCTCTGGAGCGCAGGCTTCGGAGGCTTTGCGTTGCTATCGCTGAAGCCAAGGAGCCTGCATTCGCTCCATGGGACGCACACACATTTCCCCTTAATTTTTGGAGGGGGAAAAGTGCGTCCTATAGAGCGAAAAATATGGTATTTATCTACTTGCACTTTGACATGCTTTTGAACTGCTAGGTTGGCAGGAGCAACGGGAGCTCACCCTGTCGTGGGGATTCGAACCACCGACCTTCTGATTGGCAAGCCCTAGGCTCTGTGGTTTAGACCACAGTGTCACCCGCATCCCATGATAGACGGTACTCTGAGGTTATTTAGCAAATGTGTCATATGGTGTCGGGCAACGCATCACATCAACATAAACTAGGCACAATTCAGCATCTCTGTGAACCCTCCAGCTGCAAACCAGTCATTACAGCACTCAATAAAAACTCTTCCCTTTTGACCCAAGCAGATCATGATTCACTTGCCTCTGCGAATCCCTTCTCCTCTCCTTGCCAAAAATGAATTACAAACCACACTGCAAAAAGCAGAGTTGGGGAAGGGGGTGACGGCTAATGCACACGCTCACACATACTGTCTCCATGTGAATTTCCTGGATTCACGGCTAGCTCAATTTTCAAATTCGTTTTCTTTTTTTCAGTATGTCCGTATGTGCTCGCATGAGATAAGGTTCAGGAAAAGAGGACAGAAGTTGACCTGAGAGCTCATGCACAGGTGCTGGCAAAAGTTTGCTACATGCACAGCTATTTATCTTTATTTATTCATTCAATTTCCATCCCGTCTTTCCTCCCAAAGGAGGGCAGGGAGGCAAACACAACCATAATAAAACAGTTTTTAAAACATTGCCATTTTTTATTTTGGAGGGGGTAAACATTATTTGGCTGGAGAAACGGATCACAGAATTCGGCTAAGCTTAATTTTGAAGGACAACTGCGTTTGGGTTGACATATAGTTTCTGAAAGTGCAAAATTGATAGAGCCGCCGACTGCACTGGCTACTGATTAGTTTCCGGTCCAATTCAAAGTGCTGGTTTTGACCTATAAAGCCTTAAACAACTCAGGACCGCAATACCTCAAGGACCGCCTCTTTGCATATGAACCTACCCAGAGCCTGAGATTGTCATCTGAGGCCCTTCTTTGTGTGCCTCCTCCTCAAAAGGTCTGGAGGGCAGCAACACAGGAACGGGGCCTTCTCTGCAGTGGCTCCCCGTCTGTGGAATGCTCTCCCCAGGGAAGTTCACCTGGCGCCTTCATTATACACCTTTAGATGCTAGGCAAAAACGTTCCTTTTTAACCAGGCCTTTGGTTGACCTGATCAACACCCTATACCCTTTAAAATGTGGCTCTTTAGAGGGGACAGACGTTATTGGGTTATTGTTTTTATTTTGATTTTATATATTGTGATCTTTTTTGTGAATTGCCCTGAGACTTCTGGGTATAAAAGGTAAAGGGACCCCTGACTGTTAGGTCCAGCCGTGGCCGACTCTGGGGTTGCGGCGCTCATCTCGCTTCATGGCCAAGGGAGTCGGCGTACAGCTTCCGGGTCATGTGACCAGGATGACTAACCCGCTTCTGGAGAACCAGAGCAGCGCACAGAAACGCCGTTTACCTTCCCTCTGGAGCGGTACCTATTTATCTACTTGCACTTTGACGTGCTTTCGAACTGCTAGGTTGGCAGGAGCAGGGACCGAGCAACGGGAGCTCACCCCGTCGTGGGGATTCAAACCGCTGACCTTCTGATCAGCAAACCCTACGCTCTGTACTTTAGACAACAGCGCCATCCGCATCCCTCTGGGTATAGGGTGGTATATACAGTGGTACCTCGGGTTACATACACTTCAGGTTACAGACTCCGCTAACCCAGAAATAGTGCTTCAGGTTAAGAGCTTTGCTTCAGGATAAGAACAGAAATCGTGCTCCGGCGGCGTGGCGGCAGCAGGAGGCCCCATTAGCTAAAGTGGTGCTTCAGGTTAAGAACAGTTTCAGGTTAAGAACGGACCTCCAGAACAAATTAAGTACTTAACCTGAGGTACCACTGTACCTCTGGGTATAGGGTGGTATATAAATTCAATAAATGAATGAATTAATCAAATTTCTCCTCCACCCCTACAGCAATCCTGAGCTATGGCCCTTCTACACTGAAGTTATTTTTGCGGTGGCAGATCGTTTCAGCCCGACGTAGCCTGCCAGTGATCAAAATTTGCGGGCACAATATTAAATTATTATTGTGTGTGTACATATTATTATTATCATTATCATTATCATCATCATCATCATCCCTAGAATACTAAGCAGAAGATGTTGGCCAACATCGCCGTATCAAGATGCCAGACTTACTTACCATTGGGAGGCATCAGAACTTTGTTGTTCTGGGTGCACCAACCCACAGGGTGGAGATCGGCTGTCATCACGTCACACCAGAAATCAGCTCTGCGGTCGTCTTCATAGCCGCAGTAACGCAGCAGCAAGAGCTGTCCGCATGTGGTGATGATGGTTGCCACCCAGTAGGTCTCTGGGTTGTGTTTGTTGGCCACCTCTAGCTTCATGCCGGGTTGGAAACTGCTCTGCAGGCTGACTTCCACCTTCCCCAAAAGGAGAAAGAAACAGGGTTGCTTTGGCTTAAGGAAAAAGAAGGAAGCAAGATACAATTCCTCTAGAACTCCAGCAGGAGCAGAATGCCGTGGAGAGGCTCCTTACGGGGTCATCGCCGCGGGATCACATTCATCCAGTGCTTTACCAACTGCACTGGCTCCTGGTGGAGTACAGGGTCAGGTTTAAGGTGCTGGTTTTGACCTTCAAAGCCCTATGCGGCCCAGGACCCTTGTACCTATGGGACCGCCTGGTATGCCCCACGGAGGACCTTAAGGTCCACAAATGACAACACCTTGGAGGTCCCAAGTCGCAAGGTGGTTAGATTGGTCTCAACTAGAGCCAGGGCCTTTTCAGTACTGGCCCCGACTTGGTGGAACGCTCTGTCACAAGAGACTAGGGTCCTGCGGGACTTGACATCTTTCCGCAGGGCCTGCAAGACAGAGCTGTTCCGCCTGGCCTTTGGTTCAAACTCAGTCTGAGCCTTATGTCTTCCCTCCCCTTACGGTTTTGATTTACAGTGGTACCTCAGGTTACAGACGCTTCAGGTTACAGACTCCGCTAACCCAGAAATATTACCTCGGGTTAAGAACTTTGCATCAGGATGAGAACAGAAATCGTGCTCCGGCGGCACGGCAGCAGCGGGAGGCCCCATTAGCTAAAGTGGTGCTTCAGGTTAAGAACAGTTTCAGGTTAAGAATGGACCTCCGGAACGAATTAAGTACTTAACCCGAGGTATCACTGTATGGGCTACTTTTAAAATGAGGCTGCTTTTTAAATTGCATTTTAACCTGTATTTTAAATTGGGTTTTTGTTTTGTTTTCCCCCCTATTATGTTTCTATTGTAATTTTACTGGTGTTAGCCGCCCTGAGCCCAGCTCTGGCCAGGGAGGGCAGGGTATAAATAAAATTTATTATTATTATTATTATTATTATTATTATTATTATTATTATTATTATTATTAAAACAGCCTTTACAAATGTGCAGGTCTAAATGTTTCTAGACCTAGTACTGTCTGACGCTGTTTTCCTTTTCACTGCAGTGGTACATCTATTTATCCACTTGCACTGGCGTGCTTTTGAACTGCTAGGATGGCAGGAGCTGGGACAGAGCAACAGGAGCTCACCCCGTCGCGGGGATTCGAACCGCCAACCTTCCGATCGGCAAGCCCAAGAAGCTCAGTGGTTTAGACGACAGCGCCATCCACATCCCTTCTCACAGTGGTTAACCATAGGCCTGTGGGCTTCCCACAAGCAAGACCTGAGAGCAACAGCACTCTCAGGAGCACTGCCTCTGACACAGGTGCTAGAACACAGCCTTATCCTCTGTGAATTTGTCTAACACACTGGAAAGCCATTCGCTCTCTCTCATGGGAGCAGATTCCAGTGTCTAACTAGGCACCATGTTTTCAAGCAGTGTTCGAAATTAGCCAAGCGCCAGGCGCATTTTGCCCCTGGTTTTCGACCACCTGCGACCAAGAGAAGATGCCTGAGCACCAGGATATTGCCTGACATCTCCACCATCTGGGGATCATTGGATCTGGAGTGTTTCTAATATCCCATCCTGTAGAAATCTATCCGTTATATTTTATGGGAACAATCAGAATTTCTGGAGCAGGAGCAGTCACCATTAAGAAAAAGAGGGTGAAATAGGTCGGTGGACATGTGAACTGTCCCTGGATCAAGTGACTTCTCTTCTTTAGGTTCTCAAAGTTCTCAACCGAGCTCAAGGTCATCATCTGAACTTGCCAGATGTTTAACTGAGAATCAATCCCAGTCATCTGAAAAGTAAGACTTTGAAGCTGTCTTGCCCTCAAATGGCAACCAGACATTCTGTTCTGGCGACTGGTTTACTAGGGGGGTTTGCGCAGGGGGTTGGACGAGATGATCCTCAGGCAGTGCTCAAAATTAGCCAGGCGCGTTTTGCTACTGGTGTGGATCCAATTGTGCCCATGTAGAGAATTACTCCATGTAGAGACTTACTCCATAGTAATTTCCATTTCCACCGTGCGCATTCCTCTTTCTTGCACACTGGGACAAGTGAATTTTGTAAGAGGAAGCTACAATCAAGCAATGTAGTTGAGCTCATAGAATTGTAGCATTGGAAGGGACTCTGAGGGTCATTTAGTCCAACCCCTCTGGGGAATAGATATTCCATTGCAGCAACTGCAACCTGGATTCAAGTTGCCATTTGTCGCCTACCTTATATACCCAAGTTTCTAACCCTGTCATGTCTCTTCCGACTCCACAATTCTATGGGTCTGTTGCTGCGAGAGAAACACTTTTGTACTTCTGAGTAAACCTGCCTAGAACTGGGCTCCATGGCCCTCGAATGACCATCGACATGATGAGCAGTGAAACCTGCATATATTTGCGTAAATATTTGTGTGGCTAAAGTTGGATACAGCCCATAAACTTTGTGTGTTTTGCCTGTCAATCTAGGATCCCCCTCCTTCTTCCAAGAGGCTATAGGGGGTGCCTTCCTTTAATCAATTAAATATTCCAGCTCCAGCAGCGTTGCCAAAATCTTGCCACACACCCCCTCCTTGTTCACACAAACCAGCACAGCACGTTTCCGAAACTTCTCCGCTGTTGGTTGTTAATTACATTATGTCCTGGCCCAAACCCCGCAGGGAGCTACTGTCAGCCAGTGCCACATGCCCCGTCGTCAGGGATGATGGGAGCACTGTCCCTGGTGTAGACAGTACTGAACTAGATGCCCCAATGGCCTGAGTCTGTTCCTATTTAAGCCAGACTTTTGTGGGAAACCATGAGGACTAGATTCTTCCTCTTGCAGAAGGGATACAGCTCTGTATTCAGAATTCGCCAGGCACATTTTGCCCCTGGCTGTTGACAACTTGTGACCAAGTGAAGATGCCTGGGTGCCAGGATGGCACCTGACACTCCCACCAGCTGGGGATCCTTGGGCCTTGCCTGTTTTCACACACTAACAACACGTCCTGTAGAATTCTGTCTGTTATATTTTATCTGCACAATCGGAACAAATTTCGGAAACCAAAAAGTTGTTCTGACAAATAGGACTTTACAGCCGTCTGGCCCCAAAATGGCACCTAGACAGTAAACCAGGTTTACTTGGTGTAAGGAGCCATTTGGCACCCGGCTGAGATATCTGAGTTTCTAACACTGTTTGCAAGGTTTCATCATTGATAATGAGGACTAGAAACTCCAGGCAAAAAATACCTACGTGCTTAAACGAAGTGTGAGGGGCAGCGCAAGATCCTGTCTCTTCCAAGTATTCATCCCAGTTGAAATCAACGTCTTCGGAATTTGAACTTTCATCTGCTTAATATAAAACAAAAACACGTATGTTATGTGTTCAAGCCAGCAAGGAGGTCTTGTGTTGTACAGGTTATGTGAGAAAATGAAGAATGAGCGAATAGGCTCATTAGAAGCAGATTTGAATAGCTTTGCTTAGTTGCCTTTCAATCACTTTCCTTGCTTCTCTAATACGTTTAGTGGCACAACTTTAGCTGTTTATCAGCTGGTACTTAGTCAACTCTGTCTGCTCCACGAAAAGGTGGGCTTCTGTTAGGCTAGCCTTTTCTACATCATCAAAAAAAGAGGGAATGTATCGCCACAGGAAAGAAAGGAGAAAGGCATGAAACATCTGCATAAATTTTGTGTGTGCTAATGTACAGTGGTACCTCTAGATACGAACGGGATCCATTCCGGAGCCCCATTCGCATCGTGAAGTAAACATAACATGTGCGCAGGTCGCGTTTCGCCACTTCTGTGCATGCGCGTGACATCATTTTGAGCGTCTGAGCATGCGCGAGAGGCGAAACCCGGAAATAACGCGCTCCGTTACTCCCAGGTTGCCACAGAGCGCAACCCGAAAATACTTACCGTATTTTTCGCCCTATAGGACGCACTTTTTCCCCTCCAGAAATGAAGGTGAAATGTGTATGCGTCCTATGGGGCAAATGCAGGCTTCAGGAAGCTATCCGCAAGCCTTGGGAGCCCTTGGGGGGGAAATAATATTTTTTTTCTTTATTTCCCCCCCAAAAAAACTAGGTGCGCCCTATGGGCCGGTGCGCCCTATAGGGCGAAAAATACGGTAACTTGCAGCTACTTCAACCCGAGGTATGGCTGTACATGTATAGATTCAATTTTCTAAAAAATAAATAAATTTACAATTTAAATCAATATAAGAGCATAAGAAGCGTCTGCTGGATCAGGCCAATGACCCATCTAGTCCAGCACCCTGTTCTCACAGTGGCCAACCAGATGCCTGTGGGAAACCCGCAAGCAGGATTCGAACACAAGGCTTCCAGTGACTGGTATTCAGAAGTGTGGAGGCAGAGCACCCTAGCAGCCTGAGACGGTCCTCTCCTCCATGAATTTGTCTAACCCTCTTTTAAAGCCATCTATGCTGGTGACCAGGGACGCGGGTGGCGCTGTGGGTTAAACCACAGAGCCTAGGACTTGCCGATCAAAAGGTCGGTGGTTCGAATCCCCACAACGGGGTGAGCTCCCGTTGCTCAGTCTCTGCTCCTGCCCACCTAGCAGTTCAAAAGCACGCCAAAGTGCAAGTAGATAAATAGGTACCACTCCGGCGGGAAGGTAAATGGTGTTTCCGTGCGCTGCTCTGGTTAGCCAGAAGCGGCTTAGTCATGCTGGCCACATGACCCGGAAGCTGTAGGCCGGCTTCCTCGGCCAGTAAAGCGAGATGAGCGCCGCAACCCCAGAGTCGGCCATAACTGGACCTAATGGTCAGGGTTCCCTTTACCTTTATGCTGGTGACCATCCCTGCGGCCAGTGGGAGGGAGTTCCATAGTTTAACAATGCGCTGCGAGAAGTACTTTCAAAATGCACTATGTCTCACCAGGTGATTGGGGAAAGCAGTGACCATGTGGGCCTGCTGGCCAGGAGCTGAGCACTGATGAGCAACTTCACATACCCCACTTTCCTTAACATTTGGTGAGAACTAATAATAATAATAATAATAATAATAATAATAATAATTGCAAACTGATGCAGGGAAGCGAATATAAAATTGGGAAATGGAGAGCAACCAAAATGAACAGATTTCTCCATCCCTGTGAATTAGCTGTATTTATTTATATCCCAGCTCTTTTCCGATTGCTCAGGGCAGTGTGTTACTGTTCTCCCTAGTCTGTCACTAATCACAACATCCCTGTGAGGTAGGCTAGGCCAAGAGTTCGGGATTGGCTCAAGGTTGCCCAGCGACCTTCACAGCTGAGTAGGGACTTGAATCTAGCCACGCATGGCTCCTTCAAACACTTGCTGGCTGGCTTTTCTTTGGCCCATGTAGGACCAGTCTGGATATTTGGCCTTGGTGAAGTTTTGATGTTTTCATCCCCAAAAAGTTTTTGATTTGAGCTTCTACTGAAATGAGGTTGCGTTTTAATGTTGTACTTTAATCTTGTTTTTAAGTTGTATTTTAATCGATTGTTTTTATATCTGGTGTTAGCCACCCTGGGCCTGGTCTTGGCTTGGGAGGACGGGGTATAGATAAAATTATTATTGTTATTATTATTATTATTATTATTATTATTATTATTATCTTAACTGCTGCAGTACACCGGCTCGTAAAGCTTAAAGGTAAAGGTAAAGGGACCCCTGACCATTAGGTCCAGTCGTGACCGACTCTGGGGTTGCGGCGCTCATCTCGCTTTATTGGCCGAGGAAGCCGGCCTACAGCTTCCGGGTCATGTGGCCAGCATGACTAAGCCGCTTCTGGCGAACCAGAGCAGCGCACGGAAACGCCGTTTACCTTCCCGCCGGAGTGGTACCTATTTATCTACTTGCACTTTGATGTGCTTTCGAACTGCTAGGTTGGCAGGAGCAGGGACCGAGCAACGGGAGCTCACCCCGTCGCAGGGATTCGAACCGCCGACCTTCTGATCGGCAAGTCCTAGGCTCTGTGGTTTAACCCACAGCGCCACCCGCGTCCCTTCATAAAGCTTAGCCAAAAACAAAAAGCCCACCTGAATCAAACTGTTCAGCATCCCCATTGGCTAGGTCTGTATTTTCGTCCAAGGAGAGGCGCTGAGTCTCAGTCATGCTGAAGATCACAGACCCTCTTGTCTCCATTGCTCAGAGAAAGGATTCTCTGAGCCCTAATTCATCATCACGAAGCACAGCCTTCCTGTGGCGAGGAAGAAGACCTTTCAGTAATCAATCTACATTTCCCTCCCCCTGCTCTCTTTCACATCACCTGGCCCTCGGAGCAAAAGATTATCTCCAGATATACTTGGAGCAAACCCACCAAAATGAATGGTCCTAACTTAAGTCATCATGCCCATTAACCTCAATGAATCTACTCAACAGTGGCGTAGCGTGGGGGGTGCAGGGGGGGCCGGCCACACCGGGCGCAACATCTGGGGGGGGCGCGCTCGCACTCGCAGCTCTCTGCCCCTACCTGGCTCCACGGGTTAGGAGGCGCAAATTACTTGCCTTGCCCCGGGTGCTGACAACCCACGCTACGCCACTGCTACTCAAGATTACCACTAACATTGGCTTGAGTGACGAGATACCCTGAAAGCTTCTGGGTAATTTGTGGCAGAAGATGGTGAGGATGGAGGGACAGACCTTTCCCACTTAGAAACACGTTCTGACTTTGCAGATTCTTAGAATCATAGAATTGCAGAGTGGGAAGGGATCTAGTCCAATCCCGTCCAATCAAGAGTCCAGTCCTACCCACGTGATCCAGGGCCCACAAATTTTGGCCGGCCTTGGCCAAGCATTCGGGGTTGCCAGGTCCCTTACCGCCACCTGACAGGTGAGTTTTGTTCCTAACAATGCACCGTTTCTCTAAAATTGAAACAACATCTCCCTCCACAAAAAAATGCTTAGTGTGGGGGGCGGAGAGAGATATAAGCTGCGCAAACTGCCACCACTAACGGCGATCCCCGCCTGCGAAAAACTGATGGGAGAATTTCTCCCCCCCCGAAGAAATTCAGTGGGGCAGCCCCTCTTGATTTCTCTGTCGACAAATAAACGTGGAGACACAGAATTCCCAGAGGCTGCTTGCAGAGAAGTCTATCGTTCACAGGAGTCGTCCCTTGACGTTGCAGCTGTGGTATTGATGGCCATGGGTGCATGACAAACTTGTCTCCTGCCCTCTCCCAACACTCCCACACAGCCATCATCCCATGCAGGGGTCCCAATCGCCAGGCTCACCAGCTTGGGGGTCCCTCCTGCTTCCAGCTATAGGTGCAAGCCCCAGCCCCCCTCTGAAGTTTGGAACCGCCTACGACGCGAGGTTTCTATGACTGTTGTCAAAGGTTATACAGTGGTACCTCTGGTTGCGAACGAGATCCGTTCTGGAGGCCCATTCGCAACATGAGCAGAACGCAACCCGCGTCTGCACGTGTCGCGATTCTGCGCATGACGTCATTTTGTGCGTCTGCGCATGCGGCGAAACCCGGAAGTAACCCTTTCCAGTACTTCCGTGTCGCCGCGGGAAGCAACCTGAAAACGCTCAACCTGTTATACATTTATAAAGAAACCAGAAGCATTTTTACTAGGCATTGTTGGGCGTGATATAAATAGAAATGAATGTAAGCTCTTTTTATATGCAATAACAGCAGCAAGAATATTATTGGCCCAAAAATGGAAGCAAGAAGAATTACCGACGATTGAAGAATGGAGGATGAAGTTAATGGAGTATGCAGAACTAGATAAACTAACAGGAAGGATTCGAAACCAGCGGGACCAGAAATTCACGGAAGACTGGAGTAAATTTACGGACTATCTGAAAAGTATTTATGAAGATCAGACAACATTTGTAGGTTTGCAAGAAGTTTTGTGAGGAGTATTATTGGAAGTATTGCAAAAATGGATAAGGGGGAGGATGATTTGTTAAGAGATGTAAAGACAATATAAAGTTAAGAATTGCATAAGAAGTGGTTAAAACGGTGGATCATCAGAGGTGCTGATGGAAGTCTAAAAAGATTGTATAAGTGATAAGTTTTGTGGTACATTTTACAATTTATATGTTAAAATCAATAAAAATTTTATATATATATATATATATATATATATATATATATATATATATATGAAAACGCTCAACCTGAAGCAAACGTAACATGAGGTATGACTGTATAATATTTATAAACTGCACTCATATAAACGTCAAGTTACGAAACGCGCTGAAAACGGCATACGACTCTGCATTATCACTGGACTCGAACCCACAGCTTCAAGTTACAAGAAAGGAGTTTGTGACCAAACATCAGGAAGATGCTCTTTCTGACAGTAAGAGCTGTTTGACAGTGGAACAGTTTCCTTGCGAGGTGGTGGGCTCTCCTTCCGTGGAGGTTTTTAATGGCCATCTGTAAATGCAGTTTGGGCGAGTTTTTGAGCCGAGATGATGATGATGGTGATGGTGATTTCTAGACTGTCCTTCAACCGAGAAGGTTGAGAATCACAGGGTGGTTTACAATATAAAACCACAAAAATGCATAACATAGTAATAAAACATTTACAAATCTACTCTTCCTTTGTTGGTGTGTCCTGAGATTTCCATTTAGGTGAGTATATAGAACTGGCAAAATTAACTTCAATTATAAGATATCAATCAAATCAAAAGTTCAGAATGGAGTGGAAGTATTTCAAAAATTGTATGTCAAAATATTGTTCTGAAAATGACATGCTAACGGACTTAGAATAAAAAATGTAAGCAATAACAAAACCGATAAAGAAAGAAGGAAAATTCAGAATGTAACAAAAATAATTTATTATAGAATGGAAGGAGGAAAGGTAGAAAGAAATATAAAGAAGTCGAATTGCTGTGGAGGAAAGTGGTGGGTAGTGGGTTTTACAATTAAGTGTATAATTAAGCAGCTGTTGTAATTTAGATATTATATTTTATGTGAGGAATTTTGGGAATTTTGGTTATTATGTATACATGTTATCTTGGGGGGGGGGACACAGTAATAAAACAAAAACATTAACATACACACACATGCACCCCACATATTTTAAAAGGCTATGGATTATTTAATTAGCCGACAGCCTAAGAGAAAAGTTTTTTGAGAGCAATGAAGGATCCATAAATAAAAATCATGTTCTGCTATGTGTTTCAGTCCAGGAGATGCTAATTAATTTGGATAAAAAGGCCAGCAAAATGAAACACAGTTGGCGGAGCACGAGATTCTTTCTCTCGGGGTTGTGGGTTCGAGCCCCGCATTGGGCAGAAAGATTCCTGCCTTGCAGGGGGTTGGACTAGATGACCCTTGTGGTCCCTTCCAGCTCTAGGATTCTATGATTCCAATGCATTTGCTGTTCTAATACATCCCAAAGAAAACCTATTTCTCCATGAATTCATTGAGCTGAATTACTTGCACCCTCCCAGAGCAGGTTTAATAATCGAAGTTTTTAAAGCAATGTACATGCAGCCAAGGATGTAGCAGATTTTCTGTGTTGGCTAGGTGTCTTTTTGGTCCATTTCCAAGCTTAGGATTCTATAAACCCCAATAAACCATAGCTGACTTCTGTTAACCGCTAGCTATTTTGGCTCCAGTTTTAAAAAAGCACTCCTTCTACCTGCGAAATGAAGTTTGGACTGTAGCACACATTATGAAGGCCGTCACTCAGCTTTAAAGAGTCTTTAATCAAGCATATGAATTTTGTTTGATTCATTGAGGGATTCAATTTGCATACATTTACATGCAGGTGGAAACAATAGTTTCAAAGCAAGGAGTGCGGTTGCTTTTTAAATGATGCTTTTTAAATGACTTATGGAAAGTGATCCCTTAGAATGGGAGACAAGCTATCTTAACCACAGCAATCTCCACATCCATCTCTCTGGAAATGGAGAAGAGGCAAGTGGATTTCAAGAAATCTGAAAAGGGTGTATATAGGATTGTAAGAAGCAAAGGAGAACTGGGTTCACCTCTGCTTACAATTGCACATGGCACAGAAAACCTCCACTGGTGAAGTTTGTCATTAAGGGTGTGTGTGTGAGAGAGAGAAATCTACACATGAAATTTCCCCTTCAAGAAATAAGGTAAAGGTAAAGGGACCCCTGACCATTAGGTCCAGTCGTGGCCGACTCTGGGGTTGCGGCGCTCATCTCGCTTTATTGGCCGAGGGAGCCGGCGTACAGCTTCCGGGTCATGTGGCCAGCATGACTAAGCCACTTCTGGCGAACCAGAGCAGCGCACGGAAACGCCGTTTACCTTCCCGCCGGAGCAGTACCTATTTATCTACTTGCGCTAGCGTGCTTTCGAACTGCTAGGTTGGCAGGAGCAGGGACCGAGCAACGGAAGCTAACCCCGTCACGGGGATTCGAACCGCCAACCTTCTGATCGGCAAGTCCTAGGCTCTGTGGTTTAACCCACAGCGCCACCCGCATCCCTACTTTCAAGAAATTTGTTTCCGAGCACAATTCTAAGTACTCAGCTTGAAAAGCGCTTCTATGGCTTGGGAACAGGGTACCTGAGGGAGCTTATGTTATGCTGTGTCATTTTAACATATTTTATTAATTTCTTTCCAAGTTGATATCAAAAATTACAGGAAAATAAAATAAACAATAGTACCGTTCATTATAAAGAAACATTCATGCTTATTATATGAAAACTAAAATAAAGAAAAGAATGGGCTGTTCCTCCCTAGGTGTTAAAAAAAAAAAAGGTAGAGAAGCCTCTTTTAAAATGGGGACTTCCTAAAAATGTATAATCAGCTGAAAGGATGCCCATAGTTAACCATGTTTATGATTCACAAAACCAATTAATAGATTAAGCATTGCAGCATATTACAAAATATTGTGCCAGTTCGGGGGGAAATGAGTTCCTTGTCCTCTCTCTCCCCCACCTTCCACTTTCTTAAGAACAGACTGAAAGAACGGAGGAATTCTTTTCCACCCCTAACATTCCTGCGCTGTCCTTTTCTAGTTTTTAATTTAATATCGGCAAGCATTTGAAGTGGCGAAGCACTAGAAATGCTTACTGAAAACTCATGTGCTTTTAACAAAAAATAAAAGGAGGCGTGGGGTGGTTTGGAAATTTTAGACTCTGGACTTACGGGCGGGCTCATGGGGGGGCAACACTTTCGACATTAATAAGGGTTATTTGAACATGTGGTTAAGCCAGCCCTGTGTTGCGGGGGGCTTCTGCCCATTCTGCTGAGCCCCAGACTTCTGCGCTCTACCGACAGAGCTCTCCATCCTTACCCAGCAGAATCCCCAGAGATCCTTGCAGAGGTTATGTTCAGCCCAAAGAACCAAAAATATATTCTACAGCCATGTGAGCTATCCTCTCTGGAACCAGCAGCAACACCAGGGTAGGTAGGTAGCCGTGTTGGTCTGCCGTAGTCGAAACAAAATAAAAAAACTCCTTCCAGCGACACCTCGGAGATGAACTAAGTTTGTTATTGGTATGAGCTTTCATGTGCATGCACACTTCTTCAGATACCATGCACACGAAAGCACATACCAATAACAAACGTAGTTGGTGTCTAAGGTGCCACTGGAGGGAATTTTTTTATTTTGTTTCAACCAGGGTAGAAAGTCCTTTTTCACAGATACAATTCCCACACGCCTTCCCAAAAAGCTTTTATTCTGCAATGACTTGCAGCTATTTAATTAGCCACACGTCCGGACCACGTTTGCTTTGAAAATTGGATTGCTGCTGCAAGCCCTTTCTTGTCACTCCAATAGAAACAGTATTATCTCCTCTGTACTCCTTTGGCTATGCCGAGATTCGAACACAGAGCCTCGGGGTGAGATGCTCGAGGCTTCGTGGTCTTGGAAAGACTTGCTCACACAGGTGGGTCCCAGCCTGACTCCTCCACCCAACTTTCACAGATTCTCTTTTGTCAACATGATCCTTTCTGGGATGAATTTCCCCTCTAGGCTTCCCTTCCAGCCACCACCCTCACACAAGGATGCTGTGAGGAGTCAACTACATAAATTTAAAGGCGCTGTGAGCCCAAAGGACCCACCCAGAGAAGAGGCTGCCCACTGTGTCTCTGCGATGAGTTACTGTTCTGAACTTGCTTCCTTCTGAAAACCAGCTGCTTTGAGAGGTGGGCAGATTCTGCTACCTTTTACTGTATTGGGTGTGACTCTGACACTCTGGGTGCTGAGACACAGCCAGATTTACTTCCTTCCCAGAGGAGTCTGCCCAACGCATCTCTGCATGAGTTGCTGCTCCAGCCTTTCCTCCTTACAACAGAGGCCTCTGGTACGTCTGCATTTAAGGCAATTGAATCACTCACCCCTGAGATTCACGTAAAATCCCTAGTGATGAGGGTTCATAGAATTGTAGAGTTGGAAGGGACTTCCAAGGGTCATCTAGTCTAACCCCCTGCAATGCAGGAATCTCAACATGCCGTCCCATGGGTGTAGCCAGGATTTATGTTGGGTGGGGGGCCAGGACACTCACCCGTCCTGTTCCAGAACCGAGCTACTTGCGTTGCTAGAATATGCACCCAAGTGACCACAGGGAGCATTTCAATTTCAAATATTCTGATTATTTCTATTTTTTTAGTTGTTGTTGTTGTTTAGTCGTTTAGTCGCGTCCGACTCTTCGCGACCCCATGGACCAGAGCACGCCAGGCACTCCTGTCTTCCACTGCCTCCCGCAGTTTGGTCAAACTCATGCTGGTAGCTTCGAGAACACTGTCCAACCATCTCGTCCTCTGTCGTCCCCTTCTCCTTGTGCCCTCCATCTTTCCCAACATCAGGGTCTTTTCCAGGGAGTCTTCTCTTCTCAGGAGGTGGCCAAAGTATTGGAGCCTCAGCTTCACGATCTGTCCTTCCAGTGAGCACGCAGGGCTGATTTCCTTCAGAATGGAGAGGTTTGATCTTCTTGCAGTCCATGGGACTCTCAAGAGTCTCCTCCAGCACCAGAATTCAAAAGCATCCATTCTTCGGCAATCAGCCTTCTTTATGGTCCAGCTTTCACTTCCATACATAGTTAAGTATTTTTTATTATTTGCTCGATCTGCTCCCCCCTAGACCCATGTGCAGTTCCCCATCCAATTTGAAACCACATCAGACCCTGCTTAGCTTTGCAAAGGTGCTAGCACTTTTATTGCTGCACCACTCAGAGGGGGGTTGGTGGAGGGTTGAGAATCTCAACATTTTCACGACATAGAAGGCGAACGTTTTTGCAAACAAGAGTGATGCCTTAAGCCCAGTTTTAAGTCTGAAGGGGCTGTGAAAGGGTAGCAGCTATCCAAGTCCTGGGAAACAACTGGCTGAGGATTTTTTAAAAGGGGGGGAACCTGCACATCTGGTGCAGATGTGATGTGCCTCCAACAGCAGATGGCTGCAAAGGGTGACCTCTGCCGGGGCTTGCAATCCAATCCCGCAGGCGGCAGATCCACTTACACAGAAAAGGCTCCCCTGCCTTGTTGCTGATGGGAATTTGCAAAAGAAGGAAACACAGAAAGTTCTTCCAAAACAAAAAACAAAAAAACGTTCCAGCAACACGACTGAAAATCGACTCCCCCTTAGCCTCACTGTTGGCTGGTGATCAATCTGCGAGATTATATATATATATAATGTCCTAGTGCACGAGTCACCCCCTCCCCCAACTTTTTAATTTTATTTTTGCAAAGTGACTCTAAACATGACTTTGGGGAAAGTTCCCAACCCTCGTTCTCTAGCAAACAGCGAGAAATTCCGCCCTGCTTTTAAAGCAGACTGCCGCCCACCAGCGCCTTTAGAATTATAATTTTAGAAATCCACTTTCTTTTCTACCACGCAGAGAAGGCGGGGCTCTCTTGCGAGGCGCTCCTTGCGCCGATCCAGAGAGGGAGGCGCTCGCGCAGCACCGCGCAACTTCAGCCGCGCAGCGGTTTTCCTTTTTCCTCCTCGCCCGTCTCTCCTCCCAGCGCAGACATGCTTCCTCGGAAACAAGTCTCAGTTCAATGGGGTCTACCCGCGAGTAAGAGAGTGCATAGGATCGGATTGCGGGGTTGTTATTTTTTTTAAGTAGTTGCATTCTTTTTACGTCCTCAACAAACATTTACGCATGCAAGCCTTCTTTGCGTAAGGTAAGTCGGGAGTAAAGGGGTCGCTCAACGCAATGGGCTCGCTTCTAAGGACATTCACACGGGATCGTGCATTGCGCGCTTTGCTTCGGAGTCAGCCCCGCAAATCCTCGATACCGAGCTAACATGCGTAGTAGGATCGGGCGCAGTTAAAAAGCAGGGAAACGCGCGTAGCGTTGCAACCCTGCTCGGAGTAACCCAACTACAAGGCTGCGATGCGCGCGCGCGCACACAAACACCGCTTGGGGGCAACGCAGGTTGCAATCCTGCAAACATACCCGGGAGCAAGCCCTTCCAAGCGCAGAGAGGGTGTTTTTTTACTTCTGAGTAGTCCACCGCAAAGGGTTGGCAAAAGAGGCTCGACCTTCCAGAAAACGTGGCTCGGCTGCCCATCATAGCCGCATGCGTTTTTTTGGAGAGCAAAATTTGGGGCAGCGGACACCTGCTTTCCACGCAGGAGGCTGCATCCCCGATATCTCCAGGTAAAAGCTGGGAATATGACAGCCCGGAGCCCGATGGAGAGCGGCGAGAGATAACGCTCAGTCCGGATTGGCTTAGTCCAAGGCAGTTTCCCATCTTCCAATTTGGAAAGGACTTGTAATAGTTGGTACCCATTGGAACTGATAGGGCAGAAGGCAGGGAGCCCAACAGCAGGGGGCGCCAGAGCCAATCAGACGCTGAGCCCACTGGCGCTAATTTTGTCTTCTTCCCTGCGGAGTTCTGCTCTATCAACATCTATCTGTTTATTTAGGAGCTCAATATGGTGCAGATGGTCCTTCATTCTCACAACAGCCCTGTGAGGTAGGTCTGGCTGGGAGATGGGTGCCTGGCCCAAGGTCACCCAAGAAGCTAAATGGCTGAGTCTCTCAGGTCCCAGTCCAGTACTCTAACCATTAGGTGACACTGCCTCTCAGCGCATAACTGAAAGGAGGAGGGCACTGGTTGTAAGCAAGAATGGAGGCGGGGGTAGACCGAGGTCGGTGGGGCAGCGCCTCCATAGCTTTATGGGCGCAGTCCCCGGCATCCCAATGCCTCTGCCAGTCAGAGTAGACAGTGCTGGCTCCAATGGTTGAACTTGGTTAAAAAGCAACTTCCAAGGTCCCTCGAGTCCAGACGCTTTTTGCATCTTGACGATGGGATCAGACTTAGCAAGCAAAGGCTTTCTCCAGAACCCGGAGGCACATCTTTATAAAAAGCGCACAGCCTGCTGTTTTTCCGCAAGAGTAAGAGACCGACCAGTCCGTGATTCGACGGCTATCTTGGCTGATCTCCCCCAAAAAGTTCGGATCCAAAGTCCACACCACCCCCACCCGCTTCGGTCCCTGTGTCCTCACCCAGACTTTGGTCTCTGTCGATCGTTAACGCGCTTTCCCGCAGATAAGATCTCAATTGGGTAGGATCCTGCCAGCTCTACGTGCGCAGCCCACGTCTACTTAGAATCCAATGATTGTAGAATTGGAAGGGATCCTCCAAAGATCATCTAGCCCAACCCCCGTGCAAGGCAGGTATCTCAACTAAAGCATCCACAACGGGCGCCACACTGCAGCCTTATACAGTTAGACCTGCAACCCAACCTCTGCTTAAGAACCTCCGAGGAAGGAGAGTCCATCAGCTCTAGTGGGAGACCGTTCCGCTGGCGAACAGCTCTTACAGACAGAAAAGTCTTCCTGGTGTTTAGTCGGGAATCTCCTTTCTTGTAAAGTTAAACAAACAAAAAAGCATCTCCTTTACTTGGAAGTAAATCCCAACTTGTTGTGCAGGGCTTCACCCCTGCAGCCGCTGCCAGTCAGTGCTCATACTGCTGAGATAGTTGGACCCAACAAGCACTGACCGGCAGCGACTCTCCAAGATTTCAATGGCAGGCACTGAACCGTCTGCATGCCAAACAGATGTTGCGCAGTTGTGAGCTACAGCCCGCACGGAACCCTGGCCAACTAACGAGCCCGAAACCAAAAGCAGATGCAAAACTGTACTCAGTCCAAACTTGCGATCATTTACTCCGGAGCAAGCGCCGTAGGATACAATGGGGGGGGTGCGCTTCTGAGGCGGCCAGGATCGGGCCGTCTGCCTAGTTGCAGCGACACTTGCCTGCAGTTGCAAACGGTGCAGCTTACGCCGAAGTAAACCCTACCGCGCCAGGCAGGACCGAGGGTGCAATCCATAGTTTTGAGTGCGCATGTATAGGATTGCGTTGCGCTGCACGGCTCTAACCGCCGCCCGCCCCCCCGTAAGCAGATCGCGAGAAAATCAGCAGGTAGAGAACTCGGGCTGCCGGCGTCTAGCTCTATCCTAGCCGGATCCTAAACATGCTTACTCAGGAGCCCCAGAGATTTCCGCAGGATTTACGCCCAAGTAATGTGCCTACATAGGATGGCGTAGATTACACTGGAACACACACATTTCTCCGCCTTCCTCTACTCCACTTTGGGGGGGGGGGGACGTGTTTATTTTCAGTTTGTAGAGAGAAGCCTGAAACCCGCCATGTTGAAACTGACAAACCTCTTTAAATACCCATTTATACGGCAGTTACATAAAGGGAACTAAATCAATGAGGGGGGGAGGGGCCGGGAATTAGTTTGGGGCGATTTTATACACATATCTAATAATCTGTCTTCCATTGATCCGTCTCAGTTTCCCGTCCCTCCCTCCCCCGCTCCATGAAACTGACTCAAAAATTGTATTTTTTTCTTTTTTCTTTCTTTCAGTAAATTCTAAGCCGAGATCACATTAGATTTTTTTTTATGAGATAAGCATGTCCCCAAAAAAAGGTAGGGGGGCCACTCTTCGGTTAATCTGGCGCGTTTCCAAATAGGAACTGGAGTATCCACGCGATGACATTAAACACGAGCCGCGCATTCCGCTCATCTCTACTCGCTAGGGCACAGATCCAGAAACGTGCCTTGCAAAAGGAAAAAGAATACCTCAACACAGAGAAAAATGCGCGCCCGCCCGCGCACGCACACACAACCAGCAGCGGACCCGATGCATCTTTACGCAGAAGTAGGTCCAATTGCATGCAATGGATCGGACCACCCTAGGGAAAAAAGCGTGCATATTGGATCGCAACACCTCCCCAAAGAAATGCAACCCAGCGTGATGTAATCCACAATGAAGCGCGGGTTTAGGCGCGCCTAGAACTCCATGCGTAGGATCGGGCGCACAACAATACGTAGGAGAACCCTGAACTTGGAAGGGCTAATTTCCGAGTTAACATGCATAGGATAGCACGGCCCGCCTGGAACCTCAGGCAGGAGGAAAGACGAGAGAGGCACTTTTACTACTTCCGAGTAAGCGTGCACAGGATCGGGCTGCGCATTCGAAGCGGGGACGACGGACTTCTAGCAGAACGGCGAGATTAAAACACATTCAAAAAACAAATCACTTTGCAATAACTTGCTTTTTAGGGGGGTCCTTGTCAGCTTTTTCTGCGCAAAGCAGAACGCATGCTAATAAACCCAAAAAATCGGGGGGGATGAAGAGAGAGAAGCCGCCCCCCAAAAAACCACCGCGATCGGTCCATCCTCCGTAAGAAAAAAGGGGGGAGAGGGGAAAAAACCCCACCTTCCGTTAGATGCAGCCCGGGTAGATCCGCGCGCCGCTGCGCGGGGCCGCGCCTTACCTGCGCGAAGTTTCCCTCCCCCGCGATCCCTCCCCCGCGTCGAAGGGGCGCAGCCCCCGCCGCGCCAGCCGCCCGCCAGCGCGATCCGCGCCCGCCTCGCTCGCTGCCGCCGCCGCCGCCGCTGCTCCACACTCCTTCCAATATGGCATCCGCTCAATGCGCATGCCTCGCACTCGCTTGTACTTGGCGTGTGTGCGCCTCTGTGTGTGTGAGCGTGTGCCAGGGTGCGCGCCGGCTCCTTCGCTGACCTTTTTTTTTTTTATCCTCCGGCACAGTTGCCAAACACGCGCGCGCGCACCGTGCGCCCACAGCGTCTCCAGCCCCCGTGCAAATTCCCCCGCGGAATGGGAGAGATGAGTCTTACTCCCGAGTAAGCGTGACAGCTTTGCACGCCCGAAGGACGCGCGCTTCGGGATGAAGTCCCGTCCTGTTGCGGGTTTAGTCGGGAGGCCTTCCAAGGGGTTTAATATTGAACCCATTTCGCAGCTGTGTGCAGACATGAGTAATAGGGGTGGAATCCCAAAAAGCAGTTTTACAGCACAGTCCTAAATGGGGATTGCAGTCTGAGGCTGGGATTTTATTTCACTGAATTTTATTTTCACTGAATTTTATTTTATTGTTTTAAGGTTTATACACCAAGCCTTGGCTATTAAGGCTGCAGTCCTAAACCCACTTACCTGAGAGTAAGGTGCTCCACAGAATTCAATAGGATTTCCTTCTGGGTTAGCATGCTTAGGATTGTGCGGTGACTCTCTGAAAGGGCCACCTGATGTTGTTGTCTTTATAGAATAATAGAATTGTAGAGTTGGAAGGGGCACAAGGGTCATCTAGTCTAACCCCCTTCAAATCAGGTTTCTTTTGCCCAACATGTGGCTTGAACCCACGACCCTGAGATAAAGTCTCATTCTCGACAGACTGAGCTGTCTTATATTAATTACATTAGTTATTATATTAGTTATTATTATTACTACTACTGTACTACTATTACTACTTTGTGGTTGTTGGTGACCCGGTGAATTTTTTTTGTGCGGCAACTAATCTGTAGAAATAACCACAGGGTTGTATTTAGCTCTGTTGTACTCATGGGGGAAAACACTTGGAAATGAATAAATCTAAGTTAAAGTAAAGGTAAAGGACCCCTGACAGTTAAGTCCAGTTGCAAACAACTCTGGGGTTGCGGCGCTCAACTCGCTTTACTGGCCGAGGGAGCCGGCGTTTGTCCGCAGACAGTTTTTTCCGGGTCATGTGGCCAGCAGGTCTAAGCCGCTTCTGGCAAAACCAGAGCAGCACACGGAAACGCCTTTTACCTTCCCGCCGGAGCGGTACCTATTTATCTACTTGCGCTTTGACATGCTTTTGAACTGCTAGGTTGGCAGGAGCAGGGACCGAGCAACGGGAGCTCACCCCATCACGGGGATTTGAACCGCCGACCTTCCGATAGGCAAGCCCTAGGCTCAGTGGTTTAGACCACAGCGCCACCTGCGTCCCTTAAATCTAAGTTAGGCATGTCCAATAACTTCAGTGGGTCTCTGCGCTAAGTAGGTCCAATGTTGGAAACAACCCATAATAATTAAGCACTACGTTTTGCTCGTCAGTAAAATTTCATTTTCAAGTGAGACTGCTTATGAGTTTACTACTTGGTAAATGCAACATTTTTAGAAACAGGTCAACCACAAAGATACACAAACACAACCACCCTTATCTGAGGGGTATTGGGACTTACTCCTGAGGAGTTATGTATGATTTTGCACTGTGACGTTTTCGGTGACTTATTTGAATGCCATGAGAAGGACTCCTGAGTAAGCAGGCAAAAGATTGGGCTGGGAGCGAATAGTGCTCAGCGTTGGGCCTGTCAGATCTCAATTTTACACTTATTTACAGGGAAGCAAAAATTCTGTTCAATTGGACTTTGTCACTCACTCCCCACCTGGAGGGGGGGGGTCAGAGGATTACATTATTTAAAAATCAGAAAGCAAGTTCAGTTACTGAATTCTGCAGAGTAATAAGATTGGGGTTCATACACTCAAGAGATTTCAGTTTTTAGAAAAACACTTTTAGGACTGATAAATAGAAAAATTACAATGTTGGCAGAATAGTCCAACCATGTCACTAGGACATTTCAGAGTGCATATAACATATGTGCACTTCGTGTGTGTGAATTTCTGAGAAGCATGCGTGCAAATATGTATTTAACTCTTCCCTTCCCGTTCACTCTTCCTTTCGGAGCGTGGCAATTCCACTGTTTGCACATCACTTTCAAACCAAAAATCTTCTTTAGTGCTTTGGCAAAAAGTCAGGAAGGTATTGCAACCGGTCAGTAAACAAGCAGGCATGGGAGCAAGCAAACAACCCCCAAAGGATCACGCCTCTTCCAGTACGATCACAGGAAATTGGGAAACTCATGGATAAGAATAGAATATCTGGATGAAGGGGCAGAATTGTGGGGGTAGAATAAGCTCAGGGGCTCCCATTAAGTCCTGTGGGACAAAGTTAGGGGGTGCTCAGTTAAAGGTCCAAGCCTAATCTCTCTCGCAACTCCTCTAACCCAGCAGACAGGAAACTGGTTATCGAAGGAAAATAATTGCAAGGAGTTATCGCTGGCAAAAAAAGACCACATTTGGCACTGCTGAGAAAGCTGTGTTGCTGCCTCTTCTTCACCTATTTTCTGTTGACCATTGCCTTGTGCTTAGTAAGATTAGAGCAGCCCAGCCCTTATTTTATCTCCGTTGCTCCTGCGGTTTCTTCCCACCCACCACGTAGCTACAGTAGGGTGTCTCCAGAGACATTTCCCAGCTTTCTGTGGACTCGCAAGAATCCAGAAGCACCTTGAAGGTTATCTAGAGACCTGCGGTGGAGCACTGGAAGCTGTCTTACATGGAATCCATCTCGCCCAGTAATGTCTACACTGACGGGCAGCACCTCTCCAGGATTTCGGCAAGGGACATTTGCAGCCCTGCCTGCAGATGCCAGGGATTCTGCTGGCAAAGCCGATGTTCTTCCACAGAGCTATGGTCATTTCCCCAAAGGATGAAGCTGCTGAGATGCTGCTGCTTCATTAGATGGATTTGGCCCACTGGTCCACATCTGGACCAGGACTATCAATTCAACAGTGTGTCCCCCCTCCCAAGATGTTGCTGGGCTCTGATCCCCCCTGATCTTTGTCCAGGCTGGTTGGGCCTGATGTGAGACATCTGGAGAGCCAACCTCAGAGGGGGTCGAGAGGGGTCTCCCACAGTCTCGCCACTGAGATTCTTTGGATTAGCAATATTTCGAACTGAACCTGGTATGTTTTGAGTGCATTTGTACGCACGCTGAGCTGTGGTTTCTGCATCCATCCAGTTAGGTAAAAGGTAAAGGGACCCCTGACCATTACATCCAGTCGTGACCAACTCTGGGGTTGCGGCACTCATCTCACTTTATTGGCCGAGGGAGCCGGCGTACAGCTTCCGGGTCATATGGCCAGCATGACTAAGCCGCTTCTGGCGAACCAGAGCAGCACACGGAAACGCCGTTTACCTTCCTGCTGGAGCGGTACCTATTTATCTACTTGCACTTTGACGTGCTTTCGAACTGCTAGGTTGGCAGGAGCAGGGACCGAGCAACGGGAGCTCACCCCGTTGTGGGATCTGAACTGCCGACCTTCTGACCGGCAAGTCCTAGGCTCTGTGGTTTAACCCACAGTACCACCCATGTCCCTAAAGCCCTGAGCATACCATTACCAGAATTAATGTATTTAGCATACAGGTGTTATCTCCCCAGTTCTCCTACCCTGCTATAAAGAGCAATCAGAATAATCAACTTGGAAGCTGCTGGATCCAGCCCCAGTTGATCAACACATTATTACTGTCAATAATTGAGCTTGGAAAAATGGGGCAGGGGAGAATATGCTTCTGGGGTTACCTTCTGGGTGGGAGACAAAAGGCAGAGATGCATCTGTGCCTGATATAAACACAACGCTGTCTTTGTGGGTGTAAACTTCATCCAGCCCTCAGCACTTTGAGAAACCCATTTACCATATTAGGTCAAACTTTCAAAGAACAGCCACACAATTTAGGACTAGCAAGCAAGATCATTTCTTGACCTGGTGGGGTGTGATGTAGACACCTTGCAAGAGAGACAGAGAAAAGGTCAATTTCAACTTTTGCAGTCTTAAGTTCATTGTTCCACATAACCATATCAGTATGGTTTTTGTTTTTAAAAAAGAAAAGTTTGCAGGAAAATTCATTCCCATTTTGCACGCAATTTTGCCAAATGTACATAAATCTACAAAGCAATGTTTCCTGATAGAAAGCATTTTTCCATGTTCTTTTCATTCACACGGGCATTTTTATTCTCACTTTGCCTTGGTGTGTGCAATTTTGGACACATTACTTGGCCGAAGGGTGTTGCGAAACTTGGAGAAGTGCAAATTCCAAACGACGGCTAGGTTTCAGTTTGTGTACCGCTTTGGAAAATGTGAATTACGTAGGTTCATCTTTGAATTTGAACTGAATCAAATTTCTCCCCAAATTTTTAGCATATTTGTAGCATATTTTGGGTCGGTAGCTTAAACGAGTTCCATGATGGATGAAACTAGGTAGGATCTAAATTGCACAAAGCAGAATTTATCAATTGTCCCTTTTGCTGAAGTTTGGCTTTTGCCACGGCAGGTTCACTGGGCTCCCTGTTTGTGCCTCAGCTACACCGGAAGCTTTCATTCATGGAAATTAGATCGTTGCCATTTGTGGCTCACGTTTAAGCCCGTCACTGTAGCAAAGAGAGATCAGATGAGCTGGCTAAACACTGACATCGCAGCACCACCTGCTGGGGAATAATATCTGCTTTAAAGTGGAAACGGATGCAACTTCACATCCTTTTTGTTCTCTGTTACCAGTCTCTAACCCTACTAAGAATGCCTCTGGTTTTTTGCTAAAGTTTTATTTTAATATTTTTTTTAATTCATTGTAAATAATGTCCCAGAAAGCCTTGACCTTAGCACAGGACCACCCACTCTGATACCTCTCTTTCAGTGGCGTAGCAGTGTTTGCTGGTGCCCAGGACGGTGCAGATTCATACCAGGCAGGGGTGGGCCACAGAAGATGAATGGAGCCTGCCAGGCCAGACCAGCTCTTGCAACCAGAGCAAAGCGGGGGCCATGCTTACGCCACCTGCCCCCCCCCCGCACCCTTATCTCAGAGCCTCCAGATATAGAGGGAGGGCTCCTCAAGACGTCACAAGACCAAGTACTGCATAATTTAACCCACTGTTCACATTGCACCAACATAGCAAAGGGCTATGAAATTCAGCCCAGGGGTTCCTCTTACCCAGGGGTCAGCAACCTTTTTCAGCCGTGGGCCGGTCCACGTCCCTCAGACCACGTAGTGGGCCGGACTATATTTTGAAGGAAAAAATGGACGAATTCCTATGCCCCACAAATAACCCAGAGATGCATTTAAAATAAAAGCACACATTCCACTCATGTAAAAACATGCCGATTCCTGGACCGTCCGCGGGCCGGGTTGAGAAGGCGACTGGGCCAGATCCGGCCCCCAGGCCTTAGGTTACCTGCCCCTGCTCTTACCCATCGAGAGCTCCTTCTGCCTAGGTCAGTTCAGCACCACCACCAGCGATTCTGCAGGATGTTTGAAGGCAAGCTAAGGGCGTGCGCAGCTTGTCTGGGGAAGCGGGCAGCCTCAGAAGTTTCAGCAGACCAGCCGGTCCCAGAATCAAAGAATTGGAAGGGATCCTAAGGGTCATCTAGTCCAACCCCCTGCAATGCAGGAATCTTTTTGACCAGCATGGGGGCTCGAACCCACACGACCCTGAGGTCAGGAGTCCCGTGCTCTACCGACTGAGCTATTTTCTTGCCGTGTTGCTTATCCTTACAACAAGCCTTGGGGTTTGGACTGCAAGAGTCCCTCACTGCTATTGCTATTGCTATTGCTATGGCGTTGGGAATATTTCATTCCGTAAGCTTGAACAGAAGGGTGAGGAGTGGGCTTCCTATTGTTAGCTCACACTGCCTCTCAACTGAGTTGCATTGCTGGTTCCTAAGCAACCTAGATAGCAGCCGAGCAACTGGGCACTTCATATATTTTTCCTTCACAGATTCCATCAGTTGTTCTTGGTTTATTCTTCCTCTCTCTACATTTATACCCCACCTCCCCTCCAAGAGCTCTAGGCGGTGTTTGTGGTTCTTCTCCCTCCCAATAGCTCAGTTGGTAGAGCATGAGACTCTTAATCTCAGGGCTGTGGGTTTGAGTCCCACACTGGGCAAAAAGATCCTTGCCTGGAGATGGAAAGAAGATAATAATAATAATATTATAATAATTTATTTGTACCCCGCCCATCAGGCTGGGTTTCCCCAGCCACTCTGGGCAGCTTCCAACAAAGATTAAAAATACATTAAAATGTCACACATTAAAAACTCCCCTGAACAGGGCTGCCTTCAGATGTCTTCTCAATGTCAGGTAGTTGTTTATCTCTTTGACATCAGATAGGAGGGCGTTCCACAGGCCGGGTGCCACTACCGAGAAGGCCCTCTGCCTGGTTCCCTGTAGCTTTGCTTCTTGCAATGAGATAAAGTCCCTACCAGAGAGGAATGGCAAATTAAAATGTTGGACTATGCCGAAATGGCAAAATTGACTGGAAAGCTCAGGAACCAAGAAGAACAAAACTTCAACAAAGAATGGGGGAAAGTATAAGTTATCTTGGAGACTGTTGTAAGCAGATGGAAACACTAGCAGGATTGCAATGACACTTGTAATGTAGTAAGAACTATGGAGATAACGGAGTTGTATGAAAGATGGATTATTGAAAAAGATGCAGTAGAGAAGGTTTGATGACAGGACCTATGGAGGCAGTGGCATAGCGTGGGTTGTCAGCACCCGGGGCAAGGCAAGTAATTTGCGCCCCCTAACCTATGGATTTTAGTAGGGGCAGAGAGCTGCGAGTGCGAGCGCGCCCCCCCAGATGTTGCGCCCGGTGCGGCCGGCCCCCCCTGCACCCCCCACGCTACGCCACTGTATGGAGGGGAAGGTGGGAAATTCAGAGATTCAGAGGAATATTTTAATAGTAAAGGTAAAGGGACCCCTGACCATTAGGTCCAGTCGTGGCCGACTCTGGGGTTGCGGCGCTCATCTCACTTTATTGGCCGAGGGAGCCGGCATACAGCTTCCAGGTCATGTGGCCAGCATGACTAAGCTGCTTCTGGCAAACCAGAGCAGTGCACGGAAACGCCGTTTACCTTCCCGCCGGAGCGGTACCTATTTATCTACTTGCACTTTGACGTGCTTTCGAACAGCTAGGTTGGCAGGAGCAGGGACTGAGCAACGGGAGCTCACCCCGTCGCGGGGATTTGAACCACCCACCTTCTGATCGGCAAGCCCTAGGCTCTGTGGTTTAACCCACAGCGCCACCTGCGTCCCTTTTAATAGTGGGTGTATGTTATATTTTTATAATTTTATACTTGTGAAATAAAATAAAAATATTTCACACAAAAAAGATCTCTGCTTGACTCTACAGCTCTAGGATTCCTCCCAACAACCCTGCAAGGCTGTGGGGAACCTCAGGCCTGGATGTGGCCCTCTAAGTCACTCTGTCCGGCCCTCAGACACTGCCCAGCATGCACTGGCCCTGCCTGAGTGTTTTTGCCTTGAAGTCTGGCAATGCACCTTGCTTGCCTGAATGCAGGCTGGAGAAAAACGGTGTGTGAGTCTGCACAGAAACCGGCTTAGCATCCGCTCAGCCCAAACCCAAATATCTGTGCCACTGCCACTGCCAAGAAACTTCAGTGCTAAGATGAGAGGGAAATAGCTTTTAACTCTCTGGCAAAGGTCCAAGTGGCCAACAGGTCCCCAGAATGATATTTCTCCTTCAGCAAAGGAAATCCTGTATTTCACAGGGCAAGATGGGATTGTTTTGACACGTGAACTGGTGAGAATGTAAGCCAGACGTCTGCTTGGAGTTAAAGCATGATGGATCTGTTGAGAGACCAAAAGGAAACCTCTGTCACTGTGTAAAGCAAGAAGACGTCTGCGGCTTAGAGACGAGGGCATCCTAAAAGCTGTTGCTGCAGGAGTGCAGGAAAAAGAATGGGAAGGTTTATAGTAGAAAACCAAATTTAGGGGGCACCCCCACCAATTTTGCATTCTTAACCGGCTTCTTCCTTTTTAGAGTTTTTATGTTTTGTTTATTTCTTTAAAAGCATTTCTAAACTGCTCAATTAAAACAAAAATCTAAGTGGCAAACCAAAATACAGTGGAACCTTGGTTGTCGAATGCTTTGGAAGTCGAACGTCTTGGCTTTTGAACACCAGCAACCCGGAAGTGAATGTTTCCATTTTCGAACACGCCTAGGAAGTCAAATGGCTTCTGAGGCGTGTTTCTCCATTTTTTCAATGGATTTTGCCGACCGGCAATTGCGCTTTGGTTGTTGAACGTTTCAAACGGTCTTCCAGAATGGATTACGTTCGACAACCGAGGTTCCACTGTAAGCAAAACAACAACCCAGTACTGTGGAAACAGGATCGAATCTCATAGGTCAGGGAAATTTTGTGCAAAAAAAAAGAGAAGTTCTTTTGCAAGACATCTGAAGCAACTGATGGGTGAAGCTTCACATATACTGTATTTATTTGAGTCTAATGCACCATCGAATCTAATACAGCGGTACCTCGGGTTACATACGCTTCAGGTTACAGACTCTGCTAACCCAGAAATAGTGTTTCAGGTTAAGAACTTTGCTTCAGGATGAGAACAGAAATCGTGCTCCAGCAGCGCGGCAGCAGCAGGAGGCCCCATTAGCTAAAGTGGTGCTTCAGGTTAAGAAGAGTTTCAGGTTAAGAATGGACCTCCGGAACGAATTAAGTACTTAACCCGAGGTATACCACTGTATGCACCTTAATTTTCACAATGTCATTCCGCCCCCCCCCCAAAGGTGCACATTAGATTCGAGTAAGTAGCGCTGTGGTCTAAACCACAGAGCCTGGGACTTGCCAATCAGAAGGTTGGCGGTTTGAACACCCTGCGACAGGGTGAGCTCTCATTGCTCGGTCCCTGCTCCTGCCAACCTAGCTGTTTGAAAGCACGTCCAAGTGCAAGTAGATAAATAGGTACCGCTCCAGCGGGAAGGTAAACAGTGTTTCCGTGCGCTGCTCTGGTTCGCCAGAAGCGGCTTAGTCATGCTGGCCACATGACCCGGAAGCTGTACGCCGACTCCCTCGGCCAATAAAGTGAGATGAGCGCCGCAACCCCAGAGTCAGCCACAACTGGACCTAATGGTCAGGGGTCCCTTTACCTTTACGTTCAATGCACCATCGAATCTAATACTCACCTTAATTTTCACAACATAATTTCCACCCAAAGGTGCACATTAGATTTGAGTAAGTGCTGCTGTGGTCTAAAGCACAGAGTCTAGGACTTGCAAATCAAAAGGTCGGCGGTTCAAATCCCCGCGATGGGGTGAGCTCCCATTGCTCGGTCCCTGCTCCTGCCCACCTAGCAGTTCGAAAGCACGTCAAAGTGCAAGTAGATAAATAGTTACCGCTCCGGCGGGAAGGTAAATGGTGTTCCCGTGAGCTGCTCTGGTTCACCAGAAGTGGCTTAGTCATGCTGGCCACATATGACCCAAACGCTGTCTGCAGACAAACACTGGCTCCCTCGGCCAGTAAAGTGAGATGAGCACTGCAACCCCAGAGTTGTCCGCGACTGGACCCAATGGTCAGAGGTCCCTTTACCTTTAAATGTACTGTAATAGAGCAGGGCCAGCCCAAGACATTTGGGCATCTGAGGGGAGCCACAAAATGGTGCTGCGCCCCCAGCAGCCAGGGATGAAGGGGTGAGTGAAGATTTACAAGAGAGGGAGGAGATCAGAAGTGTCTTCTATTCACCGAGGCTGCTGTAGAATCGGTGAAATATACTCCGAGTTGAGTATGGATTTCATGCTCTTTATTCAGCTCATAGTAGTGAGGAATGGAAGTTCCCCCAAAATGTCTGCTTTATATACGTTATTTACACAATGGGTCGCACGTGATTGGCTAATTCTGGGATTCTCCTGTAGGCCAATCAGGTTGTGGATTCACTTCCACCTGGTGTTGGATTGGGTGGCTCCTGCGGACCAATCAGACTGCTGCATTCTGAATCCTATTGTTCTTGGACCAATCAGACAGCTGCATTTTGGATCCTATTCAACTCAGTACATAACAAGCAGGATGCCCGCCAAGGAGACGGCAGATCCGGCCTCCAAGGACCACCCTGTAATTCTTGCTGCCACTGCATCTTTTTGGGTCACCGCTGAATAATGTGATATGTTGCAGTGCGTGGAATGACCCAGTCCGGTTTCCCAAAGTTCACGCCATTAGTTCAAAAATCTCCGAGCTGCACCTGAAAATGGTTCCCACAATTGCTGTGTGAACTGCTGTGTGTTTGGGTGCCACTCACCTTGAGTGGAGTTGCGACAGATAAGAGTAAGGAGCCTCCAGAGTCCCAGGCTATCCCTATATCTTTATCTGTATGCTGACTTCTCTCTATCTATCTCTTTGTTGTTTAGACTGATAGGACTGAGGTTGCATCCCATTTACAGCTTCCTCCTCTTCAAAATTCTCTCCTGGATCTCAAGATGAGACGTTATCTTTGAACTGTCCTCTGAGAGAACGAAGGAGCCAGGATGGCTGGCTTGTTCTTCTTTAGGCGAGTTAGACTAGAATAAGAAACCTCTTTTATATCCTAGAAATGTATTTCCTACAATAAACAACTTAATTACCTACAAGCATCTGTGTGTGTTTGCGATAACAAACAGGTGAAGTCTACTCTTTTAAACAGATGTACCAGCCAAATGCGCGGTGGCACTGTGGTCTAAACCACAGAGCCTAGGACTTGCCAATCAGAAGGTCAGTGGTTCGAATCCCCGCGACGGGGTGAGCTCCCATTGCTCGGTCCCTGCTCCTGCCAACCTAGCAGTTCGAAAGCACGTCAAAGTGCAAGTAGATAAATAGGTACCGCTCCAGCGGGAAGGTAAACGGCGTTTCCGTGTGCTGCTCTGGTTCGCCAGAAGTGACTTAGTCATGCTGGCCATATGACCCGGAAGCTGTACGCCGGCTCCCTCGGCCAATAAAGCGAGATGAGCGCCGCAACCGCAGAGTCGGTCACGACTGGACCTAATGGTCAGGGGTCCCTTTACCTTTACCAGCTAAACGCTGCACACTTTGAACACTAATAATGGGAACCAATAGGTAATTGAGTCAGTCATCCCAATATGAACTGAATGCACAGTAAATTAAGTTCATTTGGGAGTAAAACGTTGAACAATTTCTAATTCAGCTTCAACTTCAAAATCCTCTCCCTACAACAGTTGCCTCATCAATGGTGGGAAGGGCACCTACTGCTATGTCCGTTCACGGAGAGAGAAGCCTGTGAGTCTCTCCTCTGTTCTGAACGGTGGGTGTTCAGTTCTGGCATCCAGTGAAAAGTGTGGCCAGTGAAAAGTGTGGCTTGTACTCAGTGCAGGAGAGACAGAGGCCTCAGCTACATTAGCCATGTTGCAATGCTATAACCGCGTTATAAACATGCAACACCAGATGGCGCTGTGGAGAACAAAACTTTTTCTATGCGATTTTACATAGAACTTGTTTTTAATCTTTTGTTACAACAATTTAATTTATAACTTATTTATAGTGGGTTTTTCCTGTGTGTAGATCCAGCCAGAGTCAGTGCAAGCAGGAAATGAGCAGGAAAAGCAAACCATCTTTTATGCACTGTGAGTTTTGGATGGGCTATTTACCGAGAACTTTTGTGGTTGCCCTAGGAGTTCCTGGAGGGTATATTGTCACTTGTGGGTACTGTGTTGGTGACCCCTGTCATATACTCTGATAAGAATGTAACTGAAGTCTTCCCCAGGATCCTGGTTTTTTTTCCTGCTAAATTGAAAGAATGGTACATCTAAAGAGGAAGAAAACATCACACATGGTTACTTACATCTTAGAAGAGAAGAATGGTTAAACTGATCGTTTATCAGAACAAGAGATAAAAAGCAAGGCCAAGACAAGATTGTGGTTAGCTTATCTTGACTATTGTGACTTCAAAATCACAACATGGTTTTAGAAGGTTATGACAAGAGGTTATGCCAGCTGCTGGGGCAGGGGCAAAACTAGGCTTTATTTTACCTGGGTCAAAGACACAGTTTGTCACCCACCCACCCCACGTGCTTTTGCATACCCTAAGGCTGTCATATTCTCAGACACCTGGGCTAGATCTAGACACATCAAAGAAGCGTTTCAAACTTTGTATGAGAAATCAGGTTGGTAAAACGGGACTCCACAGCGCCATCTGGTGTCACAGTGTTAGAATGCATAAACAACACATATAAAGCGCTTTTTATTTGCCAACGTAGCTGAATCTCTTAGTTAGCCGCCGTGAGAACAGGATCCTGGACCAGATGTGCCACTGGCCTGATCCAGCAGGCTTGTCTTATGTTCTGAAGTTACAAAATGAACTAGAGGCTTTTATCATCCGGGCGCTTCTAGGGTCTGAGGTCTTCTACACCAGGGGTCAACAAAACAGAGAGACTAGTGCATGGGCATAAAGGTAGAGGGACCCTTGACCATTAGGTCCAGTCGTGACCAACTCTGGGGTTGCGGCGCTCATCTCACTTTATTGGCCGAGGGAGCTGGCGTACAGCTTCCGGGTCATGTTGCCAGCATGACTAAGCCGCTTCTGGCGAACCAGAGCAGCGCACGGAAATGCCATTTACCTTCCTGCCAGAGCGGTACCTATTGATCTACTTGCACTTTGATGTGCTTTTGAACTGCTAGGTTGGCAGGAGCAGGGACCGAGCAATGGGAGCTCACCCCATCATGGGGATTCGAACCGCCGACCTTCTGATCGGCAAGTCCTAGGCTCTGTGGTTTAACCCACAGTGCCACCCATGTCCCTTGTGCATGGACGTAGCCCCCCCAATATAAATCTGAGGTTCTGCACCCCCCAACAAAAGCCCCTCCCCCAAATCCTGGCTACGCCTACGGACTAGTGGTCTGCTTCGCTATAAGACAGCTCTTTCCTGCGTTCCTATAGCAACTTTTTTAAAATTAAAAAAACACCCATGACTCTTCCCTTCCCATTTATTGTCCCCATTTGATTTTATTGATGGGATGGGCCACGTTCCCAGCCATGCTTTGCGCACCCTCTCCGGGGATGGAGGGAGAGGCTGGGAGAGGAGGGTAAAGCCCAAGCCATCAGGTAAAGGAGTAAGGCAGCGGTTCTCCACCTGTGGGTCCCCAGATGTTGTTGGACTACAACTCCCATCATCCCTGAGCTCTGGCCTTGCTAGCTAGGGGTGATGGGAGTTGTAGTTCAACAACATCTGGGGACCCACAGGTTGAGAAAGGCTGGAGTAAGGTCTTAGGCAGCCATAGGCAAACTCCAGCCCTCCAGATGTTTGGGACTACAATTCCCATCATCCCTGACCACTGGTCCTGCTAGCTAGGGATGATGGGAATTGTAGTCCCAAACATCTGGAGGGCCGGAATTCGCCTATGCCTGGTCTTAGGGGCACCAAGACCATCTGAGCTGGGGCCCCCCAAAGACCAGGCATAGGCAAATTCTGGCCCTCCAGATGTTTGGGACTACAACTCCCATCATCCCTGACCACTGGTCCTGCTAGCTCGGGATGGTGGGAATTGTAGTCCCAAACATCTGGAGGGCCGGGATTCGCCTCTGCCTGGTCTTAGGGGCCCAGATGGTCTTAGCGCCCCACCCCTCGGCGTCCATGGGTCTCTCCGCTGACCCCTCGCCCCCCCCCCCACGGCTCCTTTTCCTTTCCCCCGCGGGGGCGTTGCCCCCTGGCGCCCGGCCCCTTCCCGGGAGAAGCAGCTACAGGAGCCGCCTCCCTCCCCCTTTGAGCCCGCGGCGGCGCCAGCCTTTGTTCGGGGCGGAGGAAGGCGGACGCGCGGCGTTGCGCTCGCCTCGTCGGGGAGGCTCCGCCGGCCGGGATGGCGCTACTGCTGCGCCCTGCCGCGCCCGCCCGCCCGCTGCTGCCGCTGTCTCCGCCGCTGCCCGAGAGTCTGCCGGGCGCCAACGGCACCCAGGCGAAGAGCCGCCCGCACGGCTGCGACAACGGGGCGCTGCTGGACCGCTTCGGGGTGCTGGTGCAGGCGCTGCTGGCCGTGGTGGCCTTCAGCACCCTCATGCGTAAGTGGAGCCCTTGCCTGCCTGCCTGCCTGCCTGCCTGCCTGCCTGCCTTACACCTCCCTCTGACCCTTTCTCCTTTTACCTTTTCCTCCCCTCTTTTCCTGCAAATGACTCAGTGTCCTGGGTTCGAATCCCTCGCTGGGCAGAAAGGTTCCTGCTTTGCGCGGGGCTGGACTAGATGCCTCTCATGTTCCCCTCAAATTCTACAGTTCTGCGATTCTGCCTTTTCCTCCTTTCCCCCCCTTTCTTCATTCTCCCTTTTCTCTTCTCTCCTCCTTTTCTCTTCCTCTATTCTCCACCCTCTCTGTTCTCCACCTTTTATTTTAATTTGTTTTTATTAAAGGGTTTCCGTAGTTACCAAGGGTACATGCAACCTCTCTGTTTTCAATTCATAGAGTCCTTTCTGCGGGTCAGTTCGGTTGCATTTGGTGTGAGACACTGGTGTCGTAGATATTGTGAGGTTTAGGGTGGCGGGGGAGAGAATCTGGGAGAAAGAAGGCGAGTAATGAATTTTTATTCTTTATTATGTGTGCAGAAACAAACAAACAGACAAATAAAAAACCTACGGTATCCTCACAGTGCTGATCAAAAACTCCAGTTTTTTTTTATTTGTTCCTCTCCCTCACTTTTTCTTTCTTCTCTCTCTTTTTTTGCTTTCTGTTCCTCTTCCCTTCTTCTTCTTCTGCTTTCCCCTTCACCTATCCTGCTAAGGTGGGACGCGGGTGGCGCTGTGGGTTAAACCACAGAGCCTAGGACTTGCCGATCAGAAGGTCGGCGGTTCGAATCCCCACGACAGGGTGAACTCCCGTTGCTCGGTCCCTGCTCCTGCCAAACTAGCAGTTCGAAAGCACGTCAAAGTGCAAGTAGATAAATAGGTACCACTCCAGCGGGAAGGTAAACGGCATTTCCGTGCGCTGCTCTGGTTCGCCAGAAGTGGCTTAGTCATGCCAGAAGTGGCTTAGCCACATGACCTGGAAAAACTGTCTGCGGACAAGCACTGGCTCCCTCGCCTAGTAAAGCGAGATGAGCGCCGCAACCCCAGAGTCGGTCATGACTGGACCTAATGGTCAGGGGTCCCTTTACCTTTATCCTGCAAAGGTAGTTAGTTTGTTCAGGGACAGCAGTTGAGTTATTGAGTGTTGCCAGAATCCCAGCCTCCCAACAGCAAGGCTCTGCGGATCCTTGCGAAAGGACACTTTTGGTGGAGAAGATGCAGCAAAAGGCAAAAGTCGGATGCACTGAAATCCCATATGCTTGAGAAGCATCTCTGACACCTGGCCATTCAGCCGCCTTCCTTGAAGTGGTCTCCTCTTGCCCCCCCTCCTTTAGCCTTCCTCAGAGTGACCCTTTGCAATCTGCCTGCCTGCTGCCCCATCCTCCGGCCATCTTGCACCTCTGACTCTGAAACAGGTTCCCTACCCCCCTAAATATCGGTCAGATGAAATCATTAAAAACCTTGCAATCAATCAAAAAAGTGCCCTTAATTAATCTAGCAGCCAGTGGGGTTTTTTCATGGAAAAGTGCTGGCAATTCCTGTCTTGATCTGAGTGTTGTTGGCGGCAGCATAAAATGATTGCCGTTGTCTCAAAAAAAAAAAGAGGCGATGGTACTCCCGAACAAAAAGCAGTGTGTGTGTGTTATTATCTTTAATGCAAGTATTTAGAAAAGCTGCACCTAGAATTATAGAAATGTTGAGTTGGAAGGGACCCCGAGGGTCATCTAGTCCAACCCCCTGCGATTCAGGACTCTCAACTAAAGCATCCATGGCAGATGGCCTCCCAAAAGGTTCAAGGAAAGAGAGTCCACCACCTCTCAAGAGAGACGGTTCCACTCTTGAACCACTCTTACTGTCAGAAAACTCTTCTTGATATTGAGTCGGAATCTCCTTTCTTATAACTTGAAGCCATTGGTTTAGGTCCTACCCTCCAGAGCAAGAGAAAACAAGCTTGCTCCATCTTCCATGTGACAGCCCTTGAGATATTTGAAGATGGCTCTCATATCTCCTCTCAAGTTTCCTCTTATCCAGTCTAAACATACCCAGTTCCCTCAACCGTTCCTCTTAAGTCTTGGTTGCCTTCCTCTGAACACTTGTCAATATCCTTCTTAAATTGTGGCGCCCAGAACTGGACACAGTATTCCAGATCTATTTGGCCTGCCTTGTTGAGGAGTTGAGGTTAGACCGATGAAGGACTGATGGGCTTGAAGTTTGATGTTGCATCTTAGTCTGACTGAATATTAGGGTGCCTTAATTTTGTCCTAATAGGCTTTGCCCTGACTTTGTTATTATTAATTTATGTGACTTTATTAGTCACTTATCAGAAAAAGAAAAATCTCCAAATGGTTTATGTACCCTTGGCCTTCTAAAGAGTAATCTTAGCATGTAATGATGTCTCTTGGGCCTGTCCCAACTTCTCCCCAGACATGAAAGTTACTCTCTTGCGCTTCTCTTTTAATAACTGAGGGCCATGGTGGAATCTTCTGGGGGTATCACATATTCAGGTCTGTCAAGAGGCCTAGGAACTTAGCTTCTGTTTAAGGCTTGGACTTGTAAGTAGCAAGAGCTGTTGCTGTTTTAAGGGGACAAAAGTGAGGAGATAAGTTGCTCTCACAGCTAGTGCATGCATGCATCCTAAACCTGGATCGTAAACTTTGCCTATTATCTGAACGTCCTAAACATTTCCCCCCACCCAGCACCCCCTGGGTTTTGCTCTTTAGCCAGATGCACCAAGTGCATCCTAGCTGTTTGTCTTGCCATGTGTTGCTCCCGGGACTCCGCCACGCAGCTGCTGAGTCGGTTGCCTTGCATTGTTCTACAAAACTCAGCCATCTGGATGAGTGGCGTTGGTGAAGCTAAGAATGCAAAGAGGGGAGGGGCCTAGCTCATCGGCTGCGGGCAAGTCCTGTGTCTGCACATGTCCCTGACGGAGGGCTCTGTTTTGAGCTGGAGATGTGGATAAGCACAGAAATCCAAATCTTGCATGTGTTTTCCTTTTGTGCATTCCGCAGTCAGAGGCATTAAGAGCTTCTGAGTACCAATTGCTGGAAACCATAAGAAGAGGAGAGTGCTGTTGTATTTTGTTTTTTAACTTTTATTGATAAATGCAATGCTTACAAACACAAACCAGAACATTAAACAAACTTATGTTGTTGTTGTTGTTTAGTCATTTAGTCGTGTCCGACTCTTCGTGACCCCATGGACCCGAGCACGCCAGGCACTCCTGTCTCCCACTGCCTCCCGCAGTTTGGTCAAACTCATGCTGGTAGCTTCGAGAACACTGTCCAACCATCTCGTCCTCTGTCGTCCCCTTCTCCTTGTGCCCTCCATCTTTCCCAACATCAGGGTCTTTTCCAGGGAGTCTTCTCTTCTCATGAGGTGGCCAAAGTATTGGAGTATTTAACTGAGAATCAATCACTTTCAGTGCATCATTTGAGAAAAAAGACTGTAGAGCCATCTTGTTCAAGACTTTCCATTTTGTCGACTTCACCCTTGGTTTAAGAAGACATTTGGCACCTACCTTGTATATCTAAGTTTCTAATACTGCGTGGTGGTATTTGTAGATCTAGCTCCCTCCCTTAAGCACAATTTGTTTGGCTACCCCACCCCAGATGTTCACCAAGCCACAGAGACAAGAGGAAAGAGCACTGGAAGACCAAACCAAACTTTGGAAAAAGAAGTCATGGCTTGCTTTATCATCAGTGGGACAACTTGCTATTTTGTTAAACTGCAGTTTAGTGTTAATGCACTAAGTAGGCACTGCAGAGTGAACAGTCCTGTTCTACGCGGACTTGTAAATTTGGGTTTGAAATTTCACCTCGTTGGGTGAAGCTGAAGCAGAAACAAAGTGCCGCCGTCTCAGAGTTGCGACTGAAATTAATTTAAATGGTTCACAGAAAGACTCTGGGTCCCAGGGAGAATAGGAAAGTACACATACGGCCTCTCCAGATGTCCTTTTTATTGAACATTCATCATGATTTGTGCTCGTGATGTTATGTGGCAGTGATCTACGATACTGCTTTTAATCCCATTCGCACCTGTAGACTTTCCAAGGCGGTCGCACTGCTTTCTTCGTAATAAGTGTGCGTCCTGTCATTTCCTGCTAAAATCCTGTGACATTTCATACCACAAATGTTCTGATTAGAGGGTTTTTTCTGGTCCTGCTTTTGTTGTGCTATAGTGCAAGGGTGCTGCTCCATACAGAAAGAAAGCAGAAGCCATTGCAGAACAGCCAACAGAGGAAATATTGAGGAAACATTGCAGAACATCTAACAAAGCAGAACGGTGTGTGGAGGGTCTGGTATAAATTAATCACAAATGTGGTTTAATTGCATCAGTGATATTTTGCAGTATACACCCATCCTGTCCCCCCCCCCCCAAAGCAAGGAAAAACTAAGCCCAGTTGGAGTGGCCCATAGAATAAGGCTAAATAAAACTAAAGGTTTTTTAAAACTTTGCAAGGAAACCACCAATGGAAACCCATCATTCTGCCATTCCTCTGAAAGGAGCCCAGGGCAGAACTAAGGATTGGATCTGGTACAAAGGTGCTTCCTCTGTTCTTATAAGAACCTGCAAGGAAAATAACAACAACAACAACAACAACAACAACAACCACCACCTTCAAAGATCATTAGAGTTGTCATCCAGCAACATCCTGATTTAAGTTTTTCAGAACCCTCTCAAACGTACACAAGAAATACTGTATTTTTTGCTCTATAAGACTCACTTTTTCCCTCCTAAAAAGTAAGGGGAAATGTTTGCTGCTTTCACTGCCTAGCGATCCCTCTTGCTGTTCTGGCTTCTGAGAATATTTTTTTTCTTGCTTTCTTCCTCCAAAAACTAGATGTGTCTTGTGGTCTGGTGCATCTTATAGAGCGAAAAATGCGGTACCCCTTGTCATCTGAAATCATCAAATTTCAAGTGTGTGTGTTGTCCTCACGATGCCCTCCGTTGAAGATGCTGATTCCACAGCGGCATCCCAGAATTGCTTTGATGTGCATCTGACGCCCCCCCCCAACTTTTTAGGTCAAGCAAAATGAAATGGATCCCATGGCCCCCTTAAGCCCCCATAATCTTGGCTGGCGCTCTCCAGTGCAGAGCCATCTCTGAATTAATGCCCTATTAAGCAGTTAATTATTTCTCTCTCATACTCCCTTTTATCTTTTAATGCAGCCGTTTTACTGCCTGTGATAATTACACCGTCTCTGATAACTCTCTTAAATCTAATGAGGCCTGACAAGACCTGCTCAACAAGGCTGCACATCATTAACTCTCCTCCTTTCAAAGTTGTCATCTTATCACCCTCAACAACTGTATTATTTTGTGTCATTTTCCAGAAAGAGAGGATCTGTGTTTGTGTGTGTGTGTTATCCTCGGATCTCCTGGCTAGCTAAGAACCAGGTTCATCACTTCCAGGCTTCCTCACCCTGATTTGCTAGCAGAATGCTGCTTAGTGAAATTGACTTCCTGCGGCTTCTGCCATAAAACTGAATGGGTTCCCATTTAGTTCTGTGGGAGGAAGTTGTTGTTTAGTTGTTTAGTCGTGTCCGACTCTTCGTGACCCCTTGTGATCCTTGAGCCCAGAAGTCCCTGAAGCAAACCTTGACCTGTTGATGAATCTTTGTTTACTGTCCTTCTGGTTGACACTAAGAACAGAAGACCCTGCTGGATCAGTCCAGCGGCCCAGCATCCCTTTCTTGTGGTGGCCAACCAGATGCCCTGGTCCTGAATGGGGTAACTGTGCCCCTGAAGGACCAGGTGCGCAGCCTGGGAGTCATTTTGGGCTCACAGCTGTCCATGGAGGCGCAGGTCAATTCTGTGTCCAGGGCAGCTCCATCTGTACGCAGGCTGAGACCCTACCTGCCTGTGAGCTGCCTTGCCAAAGTGGTGCATTCTCTGGTTATCTCCTGCTTGGACTACTGCAATGCGCTCTACGTTGGGCTACCTTTGAAGATGACCCAGAAACTACAACTAATCCAGGATGCGGCAGCTAGACTGGTGACTGGGAGCGGCCGCCGAGACCACATAACACAGGTCCTGAAATACCTACATTGGCTCCCAGTACATTTCTGAGCACAATTCAAAGTGTTGGTGCTGAGCTTTAAAGCCCTAAACAGCCTTAGTCCAGCATACCTGAAGGAGCGTCTCCACCCCATCATTTTACCAACACGGAGGTCCAGCTCCGAGGGCCTTCTGGCGGTTCCCTCACTGCGAGAAGCATAGCTACAGGGAACCAGACAGAGGGCCTTCTCAGTGGTGGCGCCCACCCTGTGGAACACCCTCTCATCAGATGTCAAGGAAATAAACAACTATCTGACTTTTAGAAGACATCTGAAGGCAGCCCTGTTTAGGGAAGCTTTTAACATTTGATGAATTACTGTGTTTTAATATTTTGCTGGAAGCCACCCATAGTGGCTGGGGAAACCCAGCCAGATGGTTGGGGTATAAATAATAAATTATTATTATTATTATTTTACAGAACCGTCCCCCTGCCCTTTCTACAGCCATTAAAATGTTTGTCTTTCTTTACAGTAAAACGATTTAAGGAACCGAAAGGAGAGAGGCGACCCTGGAGAATATGGTGAGATCACTTTGTTTTTCCTTAAAAAAAAAAAAAATTGAAAAAAACCTCTGTATTACAGTATGTTGTAAGTCACTCAGAGGCTTTGTTGTGTAGCGAGCGACTTAAAAAAGTTCAATATATAATAGCAATGCGTTCCAAACTCTTTCAAGGTTTTACGATACGTCGAAGCAAGCCATAGGCGCCCTTTTCATCCACTTTGCCAACGTCTTCCTGTCTGACCTGACTGAAGAAGACCCCTGCTCTCTGTGAGTTTGGCTTTGCATGTGAAGGGACCTGGGTGGGCGTCGGGGGCTGGAGTCAGGCTCAGGTCAGCCATAAAGCACCCCGTGTCTGTGAAGTTAACTCTCCAAGGAAACCAAAACAGCTCAGGTCTAGTGATCACCACAGCTCTTCTCAGGAGGTGTTGCCCCAACGAGGCAGTTGCAAGGTGTTACATATGAAAAATGGTCCATCAAGACTTAAGGTCTTCTGGATCCTTAATAAAATGATCTTGAACAAGTTTGGTGAAATAGGAAAGCTTTATCGAATACGCTTGCAAGCTGGTAACCTGAGTACAGAACAGGCACACCAAGATACAGAAACCACAGCATGTCTTGTTTGTTTTATTAACATAATATCATCCCATTTCCCCTGCTAATCATTGTACAAATATGGTCAAGAGCCCCCTTAGATAATTTTATTGACCCATCAGCAGAATATCTGTATTGCAGGGTGGTCTTCATTACCTACTCACTGACCACAAGCTGCTCTACTTTTGTGCCTTAGCCATTGTCTGTCCCTAATACAAGTTCAAGCCAGTTTCTTTATCTGGTATTAACCAACAGGCATAGATATGTGCGGTTCCCATGTTCATGTTCACAACCGCAAGCTACATCCTTTGTGTGTCTTACAATGTGAACCTTGCAAGTGTGAGATGTTTGGTGTCTAGGAGATACATCACTTTTCTAATCTGTCTTCTTCATATCCTGGGGTTGTCTTGTGGTTACTTTTATCAGTTCTAAGCTGTCGGTTTCTGTACTCACTATTCGCCTAGCAGGCATCCGTTCTTTATATGAGAAGCAAATAAAGCATAAAACAGAATCAATGTAAGGGAAATAATTGCAAATGTAAGGGTAAAGAATTGCTTAGAAGCATCTTATTCAAAAATAGCCAACCTATAGATTAAAAAGCAGAGACATCACCTTGCCAACAAAGGTCCATATAGTTAAAGCTATGGTTTTCCCAGTAGTGATGTATGGAAGTGAGAGCTGGACCATAAAGAAGGCTGATCGTCGAAGAATTGATGCTTTTGAATTCTGGTGCTGGAGGAGACTCTTGAGAGTCCCATGGACTGCAAGAAGATAGGGCTGATTTCCTTAAGAATGGATAGGTTCTGAGTGCTCACTAGAAGGACAGATCCTGAAGCTGAGGCTCCAAGACTTTGGCCACCTCATGAGAAGAGAAGACTCCCTGGAAAAGACCCTGATGTTGGGAAAGATGGAGGGCACAAGGAGAAGGGGACGACAGAGGATGAGATGGTTGGATGGTGTTCTTGAAGCTACCAGCATGAGTTTGAACAGACTGCGGGAGGCAGTGGAAGACAGGAGTGCCTGGCGTGCTCTGGTCCATGGGGTCACGAAGAGTCGGACACGACTAAACGACTAAACAACAACAACAACATAGATTGAAATGTAGACTGTAATGAGTGTGCTCAAATAAATGTTTGGATAAAACATCTTATTTCATAAACAATGAAGAGGCAACAATATATTATTTCTCACACAATGTCCCCACGTTCCCACCACTCCCTAAGACTCCTTCTCCCCCTGGGTCCTTCCCAAGCAATCTCAGGCTCCTTCGCCCAGTGGCGTAGCGTGGGGGGTGCAGGGGGGGCCGGCCGCACCGGGCGCAACATCTGGGGGTTAGGGTTAGGGGGCGCAAATTCACGGGTTAGGGGGCGCAAATCCACGGGTTAGGGGGCGCAAATTACTTGCCTTGACCCGGGTGCTGACAACCCACGCTACGCCACTGCCTTCGCCTATTTTCTCATTGCTCCACCCTCTTCATTCCTCTTCGTTTTCTGGGAGACCGGGGAGAAAGGGAGCTGGTCCCAGCAAGAGGAAGAGGCTCTCTAGCTTCAACAACCTGCCTCCACTCTGCCTCTTGGTCCCCCTCTGATTCTGGCCTGCTCTCTGCCACAGACTCTTCCTGCTCACTAAGCCCTGTTGCCTCTTCAGCTTCCGAGACCTTATCCCCGCCTTCTTCCTCTGACCACTCAATGCCGTCCCACCACCACTTCCCGGGCTCTGAGCCCTCTGTCACGGTCCGGTTCATGGGCGATCAAAGTCCCGGCAGGGAATGTCAGGACCGGGGAAAAGATGGCGAGGTGGGTGCAGGAATGGGGGTCCGGAAGCCAGGAAGCCAAGCGTCCGAGGGTCAGAGAGCCGGGAGTCAAGAAGCCAAGGGTCCGAGGGTCAGGAAGCAAGGAGTCACAAAGTCAGGGGTCCGAGGATCAAGAAGCAAGGAGTCACGAATTCAGGGGTCTGAGGATCAAGAAGCAAGGAGTCACGAAGTCAGGGGTCTGAGGATCAAGAAGCAAGGAGTCACGAAGTCAGGGGTCTGAGGATCAAGAAGCAAGGAGTCACAAAGTCAGGGGTCTGAGGATCAAGAAGCAAGGAGTCACGAAGTCAGGGGTCTGAGGATCAAGAAGCAAGGAGTCACAAAGCCGAGGTTCAAGGATCAAGAAGCAAGAAGTCAAACACAGCAAGGAAGGAATCGTGTTCCTGTGGCAAAGAGCCAAAGGGAAATGCTGACCTTATATCCCTTCCCGGCTCTTGCCACCAGGTGCTGTGAGTTACCAATCGGCCTCATCTGTGCGGCCGCGCCTTGCCTCTTGAGAACAAACTTAGGAAGGTCCCAGTCCTGCAAAGTCCTGTTGGTCACAGGGCCTGGCTCCTGCACGCACACCTGACACCCTCTTCCTTTGGGGGTTCCCCAGCTGGTGCCTCCAATGCACCTCTTCGTCCAGCCAGCCCATAGCAGTGGGTCTATCTTCCGGGGCAGTGCATGTTTGGAACTGGGGAACACCCAGTGGAGAGTGATCTCCGCCTAAGTCAGACTGCAGAGAAAAAGCAATTTGGTTCCGGAAATTCATTCCGATTGTGCAGATAAAATATAACAGATAGCATTCTGCAGGATGGGGTATTAGTTTGTGAAAACAGTCCAGATCCAATGATCCCAAGATGGTGGAGATGTCAGGCACAATCCTGGCGGCCCAGGAAACTTCACTTAGTCGCAAGTGGCCGATAGATGCAAAATGCTCCTGGCGCCTGGCTAATTTCGAACACTGCCCTTGATGTGTCTGAACCAGAGCAGGAGGAGAAGGCCAGTGGTCTAGGGAATGGAGAACTGGGTCCCTGGTGTGGCAGGTTGGCAGAGGGGTGTTCCATCCCCATGACTTCAGACACCAGGAAGTATTTGTGTGGAGCCACACCTGACACACTCCTGTCGGCAAGGAGCCTCCTTCGAGGGAGACGGCTGAGGGTAAATAGGATGCTGAGCTCCCAAGGATGTTGAGATGCCAGCGCAAGAAGATCTCAAGACCCAACCTACTTGAAGGAGTGCTGTTTGCTCACCCAGTTCCATCCTCACCATGCTAAGAGCTGTGCTAACCTGCTTTTTCGAAAGGACGGTCCAGGAGTTTGTGTGTGTCACCTGGTAGAACAACAGTTTAGCTTGTGCTTAGCTGGGTATCCATATCTCTTAAGTATATGTTTCACTTTGTAACCTGAGCCCCGCCCAGGTACCAATCTGATTTATCCATTAAAGCCAGGGTGGATAAAAATCAATTATTATTATTTTTTTAAAAATAAAATTTAAAAATCAGATTTTATTTTTTATTTAAATCAGATTTTTTTTTTTTAAATTTAAATTGGATTTTTAAAATAAAAAGCTTTTGGAGGAATTTTTTTTCTAAAGAGAGTTTTCTATTGAAGTTACATTATAGTTTAAAGTTTTTCATGTATGCTAAAACTCAGTCTAGGTTTTTTTGTTTTTTGTTTTGTTTAACCACATCAGTTAGCAAACATGGATACATATGCTACAATGTTATTGTTTTAGTTAAATAAATTGTTTAAATTGTTATTAAGGAAATGATTATTTTTCTCCTTCCAATAAAGTATAGCAGAAAAGTTGTCCAAATATAAACAGTTAACTTATTAAACCTCATAATAATTTCATCATTATCTGTCTCTGTATTTCTAATAGTATAACCAAATCAGTATTTTTTGATATAACTGTAAAAACTACTCTGAAAATCTATTATTCCCAAAATTGAAACCTTCATCTGGTTGTCAACATTAATATGATACCAGCAAGAATGAGTATTTCTGTAAAAAGAAATGATTTAAATCAAGTCTTACTGACGAATAATTTAAATCCTGATTTAAATTGACTTGATTTAAATCAAATCCACCCTGATTAAAGCCTTGGGCAGAAATGGTGGGAGTTTTCAGTGTGTTCTGGAGTGTTCACATGGGTTTTTATTTTATTTTATTTATGTATTTACCTATACCCCACTCCCTCCCCCTTCATTGGGACTCAAGACGGCTTACAGATAAGAATAAGAACCGCTAAAAAACAGTTGTATTTTTTTATTACAGCTACCTGATGAATTTCATCCTGGACGCCACTTTGGGGATGCTGTTAATTTGGTTCGGCGTTAAAATGGTGTCCTGGGTTGTGGAGGGTCGGAAATGCATGCATCTTGTCTTCGGGGAGTATGGTAAGTCGAGACCAATCTACTTCAGATGGTTGGTGGTTCAAATCCGCACAATGGGGTGAGCTCCCGTTGCTCTGCCCCAGCTCCTGCCAGCCTAGCAGTTTGAAAGCACACCAGTGCAAGTAGATAAATAGGTACCATTGTGGCGGGAAGGTAAACGGTGTTTCCGTGCACTCTGGCTTCCATCATAGTGTCCCGTTGCACCAGAAGCGGTTTAGTGATGCTGGCCACATGACCCGGAAAGCTGTCTGTGGACAAACGCCGGCTCCCTTGGCCTAAAAGCGAGATGAGCACCGCAACCCCATAGGCGCCTCTGACTGGAGCTTTTACCTTGACCATGACCGTGGGCTAGTCACACTTCTTTGAAGTCTATCAGCCTCACTCACCTCACAGAGTGTTTGTTGTGGGGGAGGAAGGTAAAGGAACATTGTTAGCCATTTTGAGACCCCTTAGGGTAGTGATAAAGCGGGATATCAAATCCAAACTCTTATTCTTCTTTACCTTTACTTGTTTTGACCCAATAACAAAGGACATGTGCACAAGTTAAGTTGTCTTCCTGCCCAGAATAATGTGGCAAGATTCAGAGAAGCCGCTTTCATAGAATTGTTGAGTTGGAAGGGGTACCACGAGGATCATGTAGTCCAACCCCTTGCGAAAGACACACCATTGAAATTACAAAACACCACTTACCGTATTTTTCGCCCCATAGGACGCACTTTCCCCCCTCCAAAAATGAAGGGGAAATGTGTGTGAGTCTTTGGGGCGAATGCAGGCTTTCGCTGAAGCCTGGAGAGCGAGAGGCATCGGTGCGCACCGACCCCTCTCGCTCTCCAGGCTTCAGGAAGCTATCCGCAAGCCTTGCAGCCCCGGCGAGTGTCCGCAAGCCTTGTGCGCCCGGCAGAAGGTCCAGCTGGGTGCGCGAGGCTTGGGGCGGCAGCCTGTCGCCCGAAGCACGGGGAGCCCTCCGGAGGGCTCCCCGTGCTTCGGGCAGGTGTGCGCAAGGCTTGGGGCGGCAGCCGCGGCGGGGGGGGGATATATTTTGTTTATTCATTCCCCCCCCAAAAAACGAGGTGCGTCCTATGGGCCGGTGCGCCCTATAGGACGAAAAATACGGTAATTTTGGTCTGTTCTGAAATTGTCTTTTTTGTGGCAGCTTGTCCTTACAGTTCCACTGGGTGGCAGCAGTTCCTACCAAATGCGAAATCTGACTTCACAGACAGATCTTAAACCGCACTTTGCCTGATGTGAGATAAATTGTCAGTCCTGATACTTAAAGAGCAGCTCGCCCACCCACCCACCCCCCAGTTTAATTTTCGTTTTATAACATATATACCACAGGGAGAGCAATTATAACAGGCAAAAATTAAAAGATCAAAACAACACCACAAAACAGGCATTCAGAATGAGTACAATTGCGCAGGGGTTAAAGTAAAAGTCCAAGTAAAGACTATCGGCGTTATCATGTTGTAAGTTAGTTGGATGTTAGTAGGGGAGCTGGCACTGGTCTTATTGGCTAATGGAACAGGCCAGAAAATAGCTTATCTCCTGAGTTTACGCCAATAAAACTCAGAGATGTGAGGAGTTAGGAGTCCATTGTTTATTGCAAAGCAATAGGTTACAGTCGGATCCTTCCGCAAAACTGCAACCCCGCCTGGAGGTCCAGGCAGTGGTATTCATAAAGTTTCAAACAAAGCATTTCAATTTCCACCAATCATATACATCATTACCTCATTTCATCTTTAATACGCATGCGCAATAAGCACTGGCAATTTCTGCTGATTAAGTTCTGATTCCCACCGTGTTCTGTTACATTGTGTTAGTGTGCATGTTGGGGACCTGTGTTACGTGTAGCCATTTGCACCACGTAGCAACTTGTTGTTGTTTAGTCGTCTAGTCGTGTCCGACTCTTCGTGACCCCCTGGACCAGAGCACGCCAGGCACTCCTGTCTTCCACTGCCTCCCGCAGTTTGGTCAAACTCATGCTGGTAGCTTCGAGAACACTGTCCAACCATCTCGTCCTCTGTCCCCCCCCTTCTCCTTGTGCCCTCCATCTTTCCCAACATCAGGGTATTTTCCAGGAGTCTTCTCATGAGGTGGCCAAAGTCTTGGAGCCTCAGCTTCACGATCTGTCCTTCCAGTGAGCACTCAGGGCTGATTTCCTTCAGAATGGAGAGGTTTGATCTTCTTGCAGTCCATGGGACTCTCAAGAGTCTCCTCCAGCACCATAATTCAAATTCTGGCGGTTCTGGTCCTTGCCAAAACCATCCTTGCTGAAATATCACATGGCAGTGAACTCAAAACAGACCATTTTCTACCATTGCCCTGCCTTGCCTTCCCCTCTGTTCTTCATGAAACATCAACCATCGCTCGCCTCAGGCAACTTAGCAAAGGCATCTCTTTTTGACCAGGCTTTCCTGATCTGTGGCATTCTTTCTGAATTCCTGCTTTTTTATCTGTGCTACGGCTGGGTAATATAGCAATATATCATCTGAAACCGGTTTGAAGGCCATATAGTGATATCGGTTTCATAATTTTTGACCTGGCAATATGTCACAAATCATGACGTCTGTTTGTGCGCTGTGCAAAAATCACAATGTGGGGAAAACTGTGAAGCGACCCAACCAGGGCCGGATTAAGGTTTGATGAGGCCCTAAGCTACTGAAGGTATTGGGGCCATTTATATGTCCAGCTATCCTTTGTCAACAACAAATTGCCACTGGTTTTTGTGTTGAATATATGCTATCTGGTAATTTCTGGACCTATAGGGACGCGGCTGGCACTGTGGGTTAAACCACAGAGCCTAGGACTTGCCAATCGGAAGGTCGGTGGTTCGAATCCCCGCGACGGAGTGAGTTCCTGTGGCTCTGTACCAGCTCCTGCCAACCTAGCAGTTTGAAAGCACGCCAGTGCAAGTAGATAAATAGGTACCGCTCCGGTGGGAAGGTAAACGGCGTTTCCCTGTGCTGCTCTGGTTCGCCAGAAGCGGCTTAGTCATGCTGGCCACATGGCACGGAAGCTGTACACCGGCTCCCTCGGCCAGTAAAGCGAGATGAGCGCTACAATCCCAGAGTCGGTCACAACTGGACCTAATGGACCATTCAGAGCCCTTTACCTTTAATAGGTATCTCAAGCCATTTGCACATGTTGCCATGCAACCAGTCCATGCAGAATGTAGGCACCTTATATATAGAAATGAGCAAAATGAGTAGTATTTTAGGGAGCAGGCTAGCAGGCGGAGCCCATTACTTACATCATAGGCGCCTACACAACACAAAACACTGTTGCTGTATGTAGGTTTTAATTTATTTGTTTTTTATCTTATATTTTGGAAATGTACATCCAGGTGTTTTTTCCTTTACATTTTTTTGGGGGCCCCAAGAGAGTGGGGCCCTAAGCTATAGTTTGTGTATCTTATACGTAAATCCGGCACAGCACCCAATGGCTCTACATTTCTCCATCCTTATTTCAGACATCGCGTTACATCAGCATATTGCGATGTTTCGTTGGTGACATATCACAATGTTGAAAACCAGCCCTAATCAGTGTTTATAATACTCCTTTTACTGTTTATGCTGTACCTTGGTTTTTATAACGTTGCGTTTATGCTCTGTTTTTGTATACATATGTGGTTTTAAAAGATCAAGCAGTTTTGAAATGCTTTTTAAAAAGAAGTGTTTAAAAGTGTGCACTAAAAACAAAATAAAGCCCAAGCACCCAGCCCCTAAGATTGCAAAGACAGGGTGGGCTTGTTGAAAACATGTGAGACTGCGACTGGTTAAAATCTCAGGAACTAGAAGATGAAGCTGAGAGCAAAACATTGGCTAGGACAAATTAGGGTTTCCGATCCTTTTCAAAACTTAAAAATATTTAGTTATTTGTCTCCTTTTCCAGGCAAAGCCAGTACAGCTGCCTGGGGTGGGGGTGGGAGGGAGGGAGCTATAGTTTAGAGGGCGCCCGGTTGACTTAAGACTGTTCAAGCATCTTCCATGATCAGGTTTGTGTTTGGGCTGTGGGAAACATGAGTCTTTTGTTTTGGTTGCTGGATTTTGAACCGAAGGCCCGTGTGTGTGTGTTTGTGTGTGTGTGTGTGTGTGTGTGTGTGTGTGTGTGTTTTGATTCTGGCCTGTTGTCATGGCGACGTTCAAACATTTCCATCACAATTCTTACTCCCCGAAGAGCAGCCAAAACGAGTTCTTAACCATTTTTGTTTGGCTTCAAAAAGAAATCATTCTTCCTCCCCATCTTCTGCTCTCCCCACCCCTACCCTCCATGGAGATTTTTGAAGCGTGAGCAATCAAGATAGGGAAACACCTGCCTCCTTTTAAAAACCCAGCGTCGCGAATTTGCTGGCAGGCAAACCTGTTTGCAGACCTTTGGAGGCTGATGGGGACACATATCTCTGTGTGGGAGCATCAAAAGGTTTTTTTCCAGGCAAGGCAGGGCCTCCTTGGTGGTGGTTTTCTGCTTGTTGAATGTCCTCCCTGGTGAGGTGCATGTCCTCCTCCCCCCCCTTATTAACATTGAGGAGAAATTAAAAATATTCCTGCTCACCCTGATATTGGGTTGCTAAACGGTGCTGTGTGTTGTTCAGCTGAGTTTTACTTCGATGCTGAAGAAATATAGAATTGTTGAGTCGCAAGGGACCCCGTGGGTCATCTAGTCCAACCCCCTGAAATGCAGGAATCTTTCACTCAACGTGGGGTTCGAACCCACAACCCTGAAATTAAGAGTCTTGTGCTCTTTGGTCCCAGGCTCAACCCCCAGTCATCTGAATCCCACTCCCTCCTCATCTCGGCACCTAGCCAACTTCACAGGGCTGTTGTGGAATTAAATTGGAAGAGAGAAACATGTACGCTGCCAAGATCTCTCAGGGCGGGGTGTCACAGCCCGGTTCATGGGTGATTGAAGTCCAGGTTGGGGACGTCGGGACAGGGGTCAAGATGGTGGGGTGGGAGCAGGAACAGGGGTCCAGAAGCCAGGAGTCAGGGGGTCAGAGAGCCAGGAGTCAAGAAGCCAAGAGTCCGAGGGTCAGGAAACAAGGAGTCACGAAATCAGGGGTCTGAAGATCAAGGAACAAGGAGTCATGAAGTCAAGGGTCCGAAGATCAAGGAACAAGGAGTCACGAAGTCAGGGGTCCAAGGATCAAGAAGCAGGGAGTCAAACGCAGCAAGGCAGGAAGCATGTTGTTGTGGCAAAGAGCCAAAGGGAAATGCTGGCCTTATATCCCTTCCCAGCTCTTGCCACCAGGTGCTGTGAGTTACCAATCGGCCTCATCTGTGCCTCTCCAGAACAAACTTAGGAAGGCCCCAGTCCTGCAAAGTCCTATTGGTCACAGGGCCTGGCTCCAGCACACACACCTGACACTGGGGGCGGGGGGAGAGAAAGGTGAGATCTAAGCATATTAAAAAATATAAAAATTACTTGGATTGAATTATCTGAACCATGGGTAGGCAAACTAAGGCCTGGGGGCCGGATCTGGCCCAATCGCCTTCTCAATCTGGCCCGCGGACGGTCCGGGAATCAGCGTGTTTTTACATGAGTAGAATGTGTCCTTTTATTTAAAATGCCTCTCTAGGTTATTTGTGGGGCATAGGAATTCATTCAATAATTTTTTTCAAAATATAGTGTGGCCCCCCACATGGTCTGAGGGACAGTGGACCGGCCCTCTGCTGAAAAAGTTTGCTGACCCCTAATCTGGACTGTTGTCTTGATTTCAAGTGCTTCTGGGGAAAACCAGCGACCATCTGGATGCTTTAGCTGTGATACCTGCATTGCTGCGGGTTGGACTAGATGACCCTCGGGTCCCTTCAGACTCTATGGTTCTGTGAAGCGCTCTCTGTCCAGCTAAAGCATCGTGGGCAAATGGCCTGCCTGTTCAATTCTGTTGCCTGTACCGCGTGACGCAAGGGCATCATTCATCTTCAATGCACGACCTCCTTTGCCAAGATGTCAAGCAGAGCTCTCCCCCTTTAAATGCAAGTGACCTTTCAATATTGGCTTTTGTGCTTTGTACAGAGGAGTAACTGTTCTCTGGGCTTTTTTCCAGCCTTTGCTGTCTTTTATAGCTGCTCGTGCGTCTTCCGATTTGTACGTGAGTTTGCACAGTTTCACACAAAGACTCAGTAAATCAGGCAGGCTAATGTCTCGGGGCTGCTGCCTGCTCAGGACCTTGGAATCGCGGCGGATTAAAAATAATCCCAGGGTGCAGCTCATAGCAAAAGCAGCAACGCTCCCTTACAAGGCAGTCAAATTCCACCATCTCCTGGGAAGTGCGTGTACACCCTGGAGGGGAAGTTTTGGTGCTAGAGGGCAGTGGAGAAACGAGCTAGGAAAGACGGAAGCTGAGATTTGGGACTTGTCTTTGCTGCAGACAGTGGTGGCAATGGGTGCTCAATGGTACTTGTGCTGTGGGTGGTAGGAAGACCACCAGCAGGGGGCGCCAGAGCCAGCCACAGGCAGAGCCGTCTGCCGGAAAGGACCATAGCTCAGTGGTAGAGCATCTGCTTTGCAGGCGCAAGGTCCTGGGTTCAAGTCCCGGCACTTTCAGGTAGGGCTAGGAATTGCATTTGTGAAGAGTTGCCCCGCTGCCAGTCAGTGAAGGCCATTCTGAGCTAGATGTGGCCGGATTTCATATAAGGCCATTTCCTGTGTTAAAACCCTCCCGACTGGTCGTAAGTAAGACGACAGGAAGGTGGGAGCTGGCTGAGAGGTCTAAGGCTGGTGGGGCGCAGTGCTTACGGAAGCTTTTCATGTTTGATGCATTATTGTATTTTAATACAGTGCTACCTCTGGATGCGAACGGGATACGTTCCGGAGCCCCGTTCGCATCCTGAAGCAAACGCAACCCGCACCTGCGTGTCTGTGTATGTGCAGGCTGTAATTCGCCACTTCTGCGCATGCGCATGACGTCATTTTGAGCGTCTGCGCAAGCGGCAAAACCCGGAAGTAACGCAACTCCAACCTGAGGTACGACTGTATTTTGTTGGAAGTCGCCCAGAGTGGCTGGGGAGGCCCAGCCAGATAGGCAGGGTATAAATAAAAAATTATTATTATTATTATTATTATTATTATTATTATTATTATTAAGTGCCCAGTTTGCCCTAATGAGTAGTCACTGGTTGCCCCGACCCAGCAGGCTCCTCTTATTTCATTACGTATTGAATTGTAGAGTCTGAAGGGACCCCGAGGGTCATCTAGTCCAACCCCCTGCAATGCAGGGGAATCTCAGCTAAAGCATCCATGACAGATGGCCCTACAACCTCTGCTTAAAAACCTCCAAGGATGGAGAGCCCACAGCCTCCCGAGAGAGACCATTTCACTCTGTTGTATTTTGCATAAACACACCTTTATTTTATTTTTTTTAATAAATGTTTTTATTAGCATTTTCAACATATCAAAACGTATCATATTCATTATTTCCCCCCCTTTCCTCTCAAACCCTCCCTCCCCTCCCCCAAAGACTTCCCTCAGCTCCTCTCTGATTTCTCCTCTCCTCTGATTTCTCAGCACATATTATTCTCTGCATAATATAAAATTATACAAGTCCTTCTATTATCTGTCTACCATGTTATCAATCAATAAATTTGTGTATGTTTATTCAAAACCTGCCAAGGAGTCCAGTTCATTTTGTTCTTTTTAAATAGTTTGTGAAAAGTCACAGTTGTCCTTGTCTCACAGTTTAGCCAATTCTGCATAGTTTGTCAATTTCTCTTGCCACTGTTCTTTTGTCGGGGTTTCCTCATTCTTCCATCTTTGTGCTATCAAGACGCTGTTGTTGCATACATAAATAAATTCTTTGTTTTCCATGGCAGGTCTTGTCCTACTATCCCTAACAAAAATGCTTCTGGTTTTTTAAAGAAATGTCATTTTAAACATTTTCTTCAACTCATTATATATCATTTCCCAATTTTTTAAAACTGCATAAACACACCTTTAACGGCTCAAAAAGTGTTTCGCTTACGTTGTCCCAGAGATCTTCCACTTGTTGCCATCTCAGTAAAAGTTGTGCCAAGGTTTAGTGCGGACACAGCCATTGGTAGTGGAGCGTCCTGCTTCTTCTCTGCCCGGCCCTTGACACTCAACAACAGGGATGAACTAGGAAGATGGTCCAGTGACTTTTCCATCATTTCTCTTACAGATGCCATTGGATTTCGCTTCTCCAAAGTCTAAAAGCAGCAGCCCTTGTTTCTTAGGAAGGCCTGCATGCTAAACAAACCCTTTCCCTGCCTTTCCTCTGTCTCATCCCTCTTTCCACTTGATGCATGTGCAGCCTTTGGGGAGAGATGATATTTTGGGGGCTGGCTCGGACTCTTGACTTTGAAAAACATGCGGTTTCGTCTCAGCTTCTTTTTCAGTCTCTGCCAGAAACAGTCTGCTTCCTCGCAGCATAACTCAAGGAACGGGATGGGCTGCATTCTTACACGGACCAGCCATTCCAGTTTCAAGCAGTGCTCAGTGTATTTAAATAATAATAATAATAATAATAATAATAATAGCATAAGATATCTATAGAATACAGACAGCCCTGCTTGGAAATGAGTTGCTGAATCAATTTCTCCTCCTGCTAAGTGCAGAAGAAACTACGGAGCAGTTTGCTGATTGACCTGGCTAAAACTCATATGGTTTGCTGTCTAGGGGCCGTTAACTCTGTTCGGCTTTCTCAATATCTTCCAAATTTGTCATTGCTAATGCACGCTTTTGTTCCTGAGTGGGGGGGGGGGGCGGCTTGGGCAAGTGAATCTTGAGTGAAGCCCCCAACAGGCCCTTGGCTGCATTTTTACTGGCAGGTCAAAATGTTTTCAGTTACTAATTTCCAGAGGGGAAGCTGTGATCGCCTGCTACAGTAGAAGCGGATAAATAATAATGCAGTAACCTTGTGGCAGGGACGCGGGTGGCGCTGTGGGTTAAACCACAGAGCCTAGGACTTGCTGATCAGAAGGTCGGTGGTTCGAATCCCCACAACGAGGTGAGCTCCCGTTGCTCAGTCCCTGCTCCTGCCAACCTAGCAGTTCGAAAGCATGTCAAGTGCAAGTAAATAAATAGGTACTGCTCCGGCGGGAAGGTAAACAGCGTTTCTGTGTGCTGCTCTGGTTCGCCAGAAGCGGCTTAGTCATGCTGGCCACATGACCCGGAAGCTGTACACCGGCCGCAACCCCAGAGTCGACCACGACTGGACCTAATGGTCAGGGGTCCCTTTACCTTTTAACCTTGTGGTGCCTTAAAGGCAGCAAGTTCATTGGGGGCAGCAGTTCCTAAACTGTGGCCTGTGAGCATCATCCAGGTTTCCCGCAGTGTGTCTGGAAAAATACAATTAAAAATCATGCATCATCTAGCACAGCACTTTACAGGTGCTACAGTGAGCGGAAGAATTATGAAGGGGTCCACCAAGACCCTCAGCAATTTTCAAGTGGTCCATGGGGGAACCATAGTATTAGGGTATGTGCTCTGCAGAACTCTACAGTGGTACCTCGGGTTAAGTACTTAATTCGTTCCGGAGGTCCGTTCTTAACCCCAAACTGTTCTTAACCTGAAGCACCACTTTAGCTAATGGGGCCTCCTGCTGCTGCCGCGCCGCCGGAGCACAATTTCTGTTCTTATCCCGAAGCAAAGTTCTTAACCTGAAGCACTATTTCTGGGTTAGCGGAGTCTGTAACCTGAAGCGTCTGTAACCTGAAGCATATGTAACCCGAGGTACCACTGTAGTTTCCTTACACTTGTGGCATAATAAACTGGTTGGTCATTTAAGGTGAATTTTAGTTGCTCCATCAGCTTGGATAACAAAACAGTTATCAATAGCAATTTTTCTTGCAGGTCTTACTGCTTTCTGCTTTTGTTCTTGTATCTGTTTTAAGGTATGTGGGTTGGTTGGGTTTTTAAGCCTTTTGTGCATGCTCCTTTTTAGACATTGCATTTGGAAAAGGAGCCAAGAAAAGGTTCAAGTGAATTATAACTTGTGGGCGGTTTTTGCCTATTTAGTGTGCCATATTTCTGTGACATATTTTTAATTTTGCAAATAGACACTTTGACTATTGGCACTGGCCAGGGATGTTTTGTCGAATGTGCTGCGATTCCTTAGGAGTGTCAGAAGCACTTATAAGCGCAGAACGTAACTCAGCTTCCTGAGGATGTCAGCTTTCATTCTTTCCACATATAATACAGACATACAGGAAACAGGTTTCTAGCCCTTATGTTTATGAAGAGATGGATGAAAGAATATTGGCTCTACAGACGCAGATGCAAATAAAAAACAGAAATACAGACCGGAAAAGTACACAACCAAACAATTCAAAAAAGAGAAAAAGAACCCACCAAAGATTTAAAAGAAAGATTTGGGGGCAAGGGAATGCAGATTTATTCCAAAATATCTGTGGTAAAAAGCTCTTTCTGTCTGTCTGTCTTGGCCAGGGGCCAGCAAATTTTTTCAGCAGGGGGCCAGTCCACTGTCCCTCAGACCTTGTGGGGGGCCGGACTATATTTTGAAGGGAAAAAATAAACTAATTCCTATGCCCCCAAAATAACCCAGAGATGCATTTTAAATAAAAGCACACATTCTACTCATGTAAAAACACGCTGATTCCCAGACTGTCTGTGGGCCGGATTTAGAAGGTGATTGGGCCGGATCTGGCCCCCAGGCCTTAGTTTGCCTGCCCATGGTCTTGATGCATTTTGTCCTAAAATGCAGTGTTTTTTAGATGTATTTTGGTCCTTTAAAAAATAAATAAAAACAACTGACTATTTTGCAGAATGTGCAGAATCCAAAGGGTAATTTGTTCCAGCCCAGGTATCATTAGTCCAGGAGGTCGTAATTAGGTCAATGTGCTTAAAAAGGCAGCCCTGGCAGAATTCTCCATCCCTAGCCAAACACAAAGGCCTCCAGTCCTGTGGGATTTTCAATTGCCTTGGAATAACACCCACCCCCCACTGGCACATCACACAAAGTTTGGGGGTCTGCCCTAGATCCCCAGACACCGTACCCTGCACTGGGAAGGGAGGCCAGCAGGACTGGTATTGGAGAAACAGAAACCCAGAGCTCCCTCAGGCATGCAAACTAATTTCCCCCATTTCTTCTGGACCCTGGCCTATAAATTCTCCCATAAACACTTCATTTGCAACCCTCTTCTTTTTCGCAAGAAAATATTTTGCAGATGTCTTCGTGCCTCTAAATCTTCATTACCCCCCCTTCTCTTCCAGTGTTCAGATCTTTGGGGACATCTGTTCTTTGCACTGATGCCGCAGTGAACAACTGAGCGTTTTGAGGGGTGCAAAACTTGTTTTATGTGGTTGCAAGCAGAGAGAGAACTTGGTTGTATCTGCAGTGCTTTTCCCATCCCAGTTGGCAGTAGCAGGTGGGCAGCTATGCTGCTTTTTTTAATTTACACAGCACATCATTTGCACCCGAGCTTGACATTGCATCTGGAAATGTTTAGTGGCGTTGGAACAGCTGCGAGATGTTTAAAGGACCCTGTAGTTTTGTTGTGGGTTTGTCTGTCTTTCTTTTTTTCCTGTTAGCTAACCTTTTCTTCTTCAAGGGTCACTGCGCACTGGCAGGGAGTAGATGACGAGCTCAAGAGAAGCAGAGTTCAAGTGCAGAAAGGAAACAATCCATTTGTTCTCTCTCACGGCCATGGAAGACAAGGGGTTTTTTTTGCCCATGACCCTGACCATTTGAGCCTCTGTCTGTGTTTTGTGCAATGCCTGAATGATGTTAATGTCATTGCATCATTCAGCGGCAGGGAATCTTTTTTCAGACTGAGGGCCACATTAACCTTCTGGGCAATGTTCTGAGGGCCATTTGCTGATAATGGTTGAGGCCAATTTCTAATTGGAAATCACAAGAAGTTCCTACCATTGTGGAGTGGCAGTCGAAAATGACAGACTATGCGGAACTAGCCAGACTGACCGGAAGGATTTGGAACCAGGATGACCAGAGATTCCAGGACAATTGGAGTAAATTTATTGAGTATTTGAAGGACACCTGCAAAAGCTTAAAAACACTAGCAGGATTGAAGTAACTCCTACACTGTAAAATAGATAAAATGTGATGATAAAATACGTGAAAAGAAAGTGATAAGGGATATCAACTGAAGGGAGGGAGGGAGGTCACAGCTCGGCAGAGCAAAAAGGTTTATATATTGATGAATGTATGGAAAGAAAGAATATGTAAAAAAAAAAAAAAATTATTGGGGGGGAGATAATGGGCGGGGCCAGATACAATAACAATAATATTATTTGAACCCCATCCATCTGACCGGGTTGCCCCCGCCACTCTGGGCAGCTTCCATCACACATAAAACATAATAAAACCTCAAACATTGAGAACTTCCCTATACAGTGGTACCTTGGGTTAAGTACTTAATTCGTTCCAGAGGTTCGTTCTTAACTTGAAACTGTTCTTAACCTGAAGCACCACTTTAGCTAATGGGGCCTCCCGCTGCTGCTGCGCCGCCAGAGCACAATTTCTGTTCTCATCCTGAAGCAAAGTTCTTAACCCGAGGTACTATTTCTGGGTTGGCAGAGTCTGTAACCTGAAGCGTATGTAACCCGAGGTACCACTGTACAGGGCTGCCTTCAGATGTCTTCTAAGGGTTATATAGTTATGCCATCTGACGGAAGGGCATTCCACAGAGAGGGTGCTGCTACCGAGAAGGCCCTCAGCCTGGTTCCCTGTAGCTTCACTTCTCGCAGCAAGTGAACCGCCAGATGGTCCTCAAAGCTGGACCTCAGTGTCCGGGCTGGATGATGGAGGTGGAGACGCTCCTTCAGGTAGACAGGGCAGAAGCCATTAAGGGCTTTAAAGGTCAGCACCAACAGTGAATTGTGCTGTGAAACATATAAGGGCATTGTCTTCTTTCTCTCGCAGAGCAAAATAGGGCAAGGAAGGTGCATGGCTTCTCGCGCAAAACTCGGCACCCACTTGAACCCAAGTCTCTGCAGCGCTGGTCTCCACACCAGTGCACTGACTCTCCAGAATTTGCTCTTTGTGCAAAGGGTTGACGTCAGTGAGCCACTGGGTTGCTTCTAAATCTTACGTAACTTTTGGAAATGTAGCAACCGTCTTTTTATCCCCGCAAGAGAACATCTGGATTTTCTTTTGAACGAGGTTGACCGCTTTTCTTCATAAGACGATCATTTCAGAATGCCTGAATAAATTCTAATTTCTTTCCCCCTTTTTTATTAAATACACCACATGCAAAAAGAAAATATAAAGATACACAAATATCCATCACCTCCTAACAACAACAAAAAGAAAAAGAAAAAACAACAACAGCAACAACAACAACACCAACACCAATACATTAAATAAATTTTCATTTCTTGCTGCTTACAATGTTCTTCTCACTCGTCCTGCCTGCATAATTCAGGGTGGCTGGTTACATGCCAGCAAACCCTCACAGCTTCTGGTGTTTCAGATCCTCAAGATAGGAGACTCTCCAAGGGCCCAGAATCTCCCTAAGATTTTGATGGTGTCTCTTGCACTTCCTCATTCACCATCTCTATGGGTGCTGAAAAGTGCCCTCTGCCTTTGAGCTTTTTGCTCTCCTGCTTTCAAGGCTTGCTGGGTGCTGGGAGAGGGGTGTGGTCTGGAATGCTTTCTAAAGACACTGTGTCCGTCAGCTGTCGCCCCCCTGGTGCTTCCTCTTCCTCTTCCTCCTTCTCCTCCTCCTCCTCCTCCTCCCATTATTTCCCAGCTTTCCCCCTCATCTGCCTCTGAACTGTGACCTCCCTCAAACCCCTGTTATAATTCTGAACTGTTGTCTTCTTCTCTGGAAGGTTCAGGCTGGGGGAGGGGGGGTCTCCACCATTCCTCCTCTGCCCAGTCCTGACACTTACTTAGTCGTTCTCCCCACTTTATTCTCACAACAGCCCTGTGAGGTAGGTTAGACTGAGAGTAAGTGTCTGGGCCCAAGTGCACCCAGTGGACTGAGTGGGGATTTGAACCCTGCTCTACGAGGTCCTAGTCCAACACTCTAACCACTGTACTACAATAGCTCTTGCAGATATGCATCAGTGTAAAGGAAAAAGCGGCTGGTGGTTGTTGAGTGCTATTGGGTGATTGGCTTCCTTGTCAGCTTTGCCGATTCTTTTATAGGTCCACGGACTTGGGGTTCACCTCCATCGTTTCGTTTTCTTCCAGGTGATCCTCCACAAGCAGCTGCTTGGATTGGGCAGTGCATCCTCTACCTGTTGATTATGGTCTTTGAGAAGACGACAGTTGGCCTTGTCTTGCTCATTCCTGGCTGGACGAAGGTAAGAAAGGTGTATGTTAACTATTCCTTAAGAGGAGGCAGAAAAGGCTTGGCCTGAGGACAGGGAGGGGAACAAGCCGTCCCAAAGCTTTCCCCCAAAGAATCCTGGGAACTATCGTTGGATAAGGGAGCTACAGTGTTCTGAGCGGTGAAACAAACAATCCCTCTTTCTAGGGAACTCTGGGTATTGTAGGTCTGTAAGGGGAAGAGGGGGTCTCCAAACAACTCTCAGCACCCTTCTTAAACTACAATTCCCAGAATTCCCAGCCCTAACTGCTTAAAGCGGTACGATACTGTTTTGAATGCATAGTGCAGATGGGACCTTAATCTAGAGCATGGGTAGGCAAACTAAGGCCCAGGGGCTGGATCCGGCCCAATCGCCTTCTCAATCTGCCCCATGGACGGTCCGGGAATCAGTGTGTTTTTACATGAGTAGAATGTGTCCTATAATTTAAAATGCACCTCTGGGTTATTTGTGGGGCCTGCCTGGTGTTTTTACATGAGTAGAACGTGTGCTTTTATTTAAAATGCATCTCTGGGTTATTTGTGGGGAACAAAATATAGCCCCCCACAAGGTCTGAGGGACAGTGGACGGGCCCCCTGCTGAAAAAGTTTGCTGTCCCCTGGTCTAGAGATACTTCTTGGGTTAGATTCAGTGGAGTCGCCCATACTTTCATGCATGGCTAATGGGTGAATTTGTAAAAAAACTGTCCAGTAGCACCTTAGAGACCAACTAAGTTTGTTCTGGGTATAAGCTTTGTGATGCGTTCCTTTGAGCAACAGATGAGACACCTGAAACCCTGGGTTTGTTTTTAACCTGTGGATCTGCTCGCAAGGAAGGAATAGGGAAAACTATAGGGATGTGGGTGGCGCTGTGGGTTAAACCACAGAGCCTAGGACTTGCCGATCAGAAGGTCGGCGGTTTGAATCCCTGCGACGGGGTGAGTTCCCGTTGCTCTGTCCCAGCTCCTGCCAACCTAGCAGTTCGAAAGCACATCAAAGTGCAAGTAGATAAATAGGTACCACTCTGGCGGGAAGGTAAACAGTGTTTCTGTGTGCTGCTCTGGTTCACCAGAAGCGGCTCAGTCATGCTGCTCACATGACCCGGAAGCTGTACACCAGCTCCCTCAGCCAGTAAAGTGAGTCGTCTGCGACTGGACCTAACGGTCAGGGGCCTTTACCTTTAACCACCACGAAGGAATCCCTGATTCGCACATTCTTGCAAACGCATTCCCAAATGGGCTGGGGACAGCTGAGTGTGATGCGTGGCTGCAGTTTTAAAATCTGTAGATCATTGTGAGATGAAAGGAAAATCGCAAACAACTTGGGTGTCTAGATTTCCTGAAATGCTGGGCTTGAAACTCACCAACTCTGCGCGAAGCCAGTTGTAACATTTTCAGACTTGGCAAGGCACATTTACGAATGTCCTCAACTGCAAATGTACCCTTTCCTCTCTAGATAGTGTGGGTAGGGATGATGGGATTTGTAGTCCTACCTAACATCTGAAGGGGATCACATGGACCAGACCTTGTTTAGTAAGCATGCAAGACACATTTAATCTCTTTGAAAGGTGTATGGTATTTTATGCCTTTTCCAGCTTCAAGAGATTCTTCTGAACTACATTCCTGATCCACAGCTGGAGCTGGTGTTGGTGATGCTTGTGGTCCCTTTTATAGTCAACGTGAGTAACTTCTGGGAGGAAATCTTGAGCTTTCTGTCTGTTTTGAGGCTGCAATCTTGAAGCGGCTGGGGGGGGGGGATTTTCACCCTGTGATAAAATACTGATGTGGAGGAAGACCTCAGCCTTTGGAAATATGAGGTGGTGGCTGGGCTCTGAGGAAAGCCAGGTGGACTGGAGGCATGAATCGGGGAGAAATTTGATTCTGTTATATTTAAAGGCACACATACCTAATTCACACTTGCTGGGGGGTGGGGAAGTGTGCTGAGACACAGTCGTCCTTCAGAACTTGCTCTCTTCAAGCACGTAATGCCTAGATTAAGTACCGTATTTTTTGCTCTATAAGACTCACTTTTTCCCTCCTAAAAAGTAAGGGGAAATGTGTGTGCGTCTTGTGGTGCGAATGCATGCTGCGCAGCTATCCCAGAAGCCAGAACAGCAAGAGGGATTGCTGCTTTCACTGCACAGCGATCCCTCTTGCTGTTCTGGCTTCTGAGATTCAGAATTATTTTTTTCTTGTTTTCCTCCTCCAAAAACTAGGTGCGTCTTGTGGTCTGGTGCGTCTTATAGAGCGAAAAATACGGTACATGCCCTGGGTCAAAGTGTGCATTAGAAATGCATAGATTCGTGCAAAACAGTGTAATGGAAGTGCATTATATTGGGTGAAATTGCTTTGCAAAAATACATCCACGCAGGGCCGTAGCTAGGGGGTGTCGAGGAAGGCCCCCGCCATGGGTGCATGTGAGGGCTGGGTGCAAAATCAGCTAGAATATGCCCATAAATATGTTTATAAATAAAAAATATTGATTATTGCCTCATAAGAAAAGGTTTTTAATAGAGGGTCTTTATATGACATGCACGGGGGGGGGGGGTCGCGTTTCCCCCTATTTTTCTTGGCTGGGGGGCGCAATCTGGACGTTTTCTGCCAGGGGCGCAAGATCACCTAGCTATGGCTCTGCGTCTACTAGGGCAAACTCTTTTAAAAATGTGAGGGATAAATTAGCACTAAATAAATATAAATGTAAACTATATTTATTTATACCCTGCCTTTTTCCCTGGCAGGACTCAAAAGGGGCTTACAGATAAAAGTGCTGGTGCATTTTTGTGCAGACGTTAAAAAAATAAAATTTCCACAAACTGAGATGGAGAACTGAGAGTTAAAGACGAACATGAGAAACAGAGAGAGACTGAAATTGACAGATTTGTCCATTATTGATTCTTCTTCTTCGGCAATCCCTCGTAGCCGAGTAAGATTGTCTTCCATAAACACGGTTTTAACAATGAGTCCGTAAGTGACTGTGGAGGTCAATTCTGGATCCACACGTCCTTCCACAGCGGGGACATTGGTTTCCAGGCGGGAGCTGATCACAGTGTGGATTTACCAAGCGTGCCTTCCTCCTAGCACGTTTCTCCCTTGCGTCCTGAGTTCGAGTGTCTTCAAAGCCCATGACACCTTTGGCAAAGGCTGTTCTCTAACTGGAGCTTGCAGGCCAGTGTTTCCCAGTTGCCAGTGTTTATACTACATTTTTTTAGCTTTGCCTTGAGATAGTCTTTAAACCTCTTTTGTTGACCACCAGCATTACGCTTTCCATTTTTAAGTTGGGAATAGAGTAGTTGCTTTGGAAGACGATCATCAGGCATCCGCACAACATGACCAGTCCAACAGAACTGATGTTGAAGAATCATTGCTTCAACACTGGTGATCTACTGGTTCATGATGACATAGGAAACCCTCTTTATGCTGAGTGGAGACCGTGGGTCAATTTAGGTCAGTATTTGCTATGCTGACTGGCAATAGCTATCCGGGATTTCGGTCAGGGCTCTCAGCCATACCTGGAGGTGCCAGCAATCAATATCTTCTGCATATAAAACAGGCTCTCTACTACAGAGCAATGGCAATTGGCTCTTTCTGAAGCTGGGAAGCTGACGCTGAGGTTGGAAGCTCAATGCAGCATTAAAAAGATTTGCCCTTTAATTGTCTGCCCCTGATGAAGAGGAACAAATACCCCTCTCTTTTTGCTCTGAGGCCTGGGGGAAAGAGGTGGGAGGAGACTGACCAGAACCCACGGATTCCGTAATCCAGAGACCTCTTGGCAAGGCAACAAAACCAGAAAGTTGCATTCTCAAATTCTCTTCAATAAGAAGCAAGAGTTTGGAAAATAACAGGCATTTTGCATGTCTGCAAAAATCTAAAGGATATATAATACAAGCACAAGTAGTGATGACTGTACAGTGGTACCTCGGGTTAAGTACTTAATTCGTTCCGGAGGTCCGTACTTAACCTGAAACTGTTCTTAACCTGAAGCACCACTTTAGCTAATTGGGCCTCCTGGCACCACCGGAGCACGATTTCTGTTCTCATCCTGAAGTTCTTAACCTGAAGCACTAACGATTTCTGTTCTCATCCTGAAGTTCTTAACCTGAAGCACTATTTCTGGGTTAGTGGAGTCTGTAACCTGAAGCGTATGTAACCAGAGGTACCACTGTATCTGGTTTAAGGGTGCTGGCTTTTTTGCATATCTGACAGAGCAGAATTATTTTTAAAGGGGATTGGACCGGAGCTATAAAAACATGCTAGTAAAAAAAACCAGGAAGCTGCTATCTGCACCCCAGCTTGTTCTATCAAATGACAAATCGTACGGTGGTTGTTGTTTAAAAGAAGAAAACGTAGAGCATTTATGGGAAATCTTTTCATCTGCTGTTAAAACTGGCAGAGCAGTAGGAAGCCATCAGCCGGGGAGGGGCGTAGAAAGATTTGGCATGTAGTGTTACTATGTGAGCTCATTATAAATTAATTTCTTGCTATCATTTTCCACACTGAGACAGTCATTATTTTGCAACGAAGCGTTTTGGGATCATATAAGTTGAGAGCGTTGCAGCTGTTTTCTTGACCAAAACTCGGTTTTACCTCTACCCTCGGTATTTGTGCTGACGTTACAGTTCACAAGAAATAATAGTCTCTTAGTTTACAGTGCAGCGGTGGAGCGGTTGTGTGTGCGGTTGTGTGTGTGTGTGTGTGTGCACCCCATGCCAGGGGTAGGGCACAAACAGAGCCCACCTTGCCTGCCCAGCCCCCATCAAGGCCACACCAGCCCCGATCGGCACGGCTGTCTTGCCCTTCTCGCGCCAGCTTCCCCAGAATTGAGCCTTGCAATTCCGCTTGGGGACAGCGACAACCACATGTTGCACCCCCTGCCGCCCGCTGGGCAGCCGATGAAGCACTTGGCAGGTGCAAACCCTCACATCAGGCCCCCAGCACAGCATGGCCTGGTGCTCCTTTCCGTGAGCGTTGGTTTCCCCAATGCCAGAACAGGAGCGCCAGGCATGAGGGTGCCCGCTTCACGAACCCCTAAAAAATCTGTGCCCGGGGCCACAGCCTCTCTTGCACCCCCTACACTATGCCCCTGTTACAGCGGTATGTCTCTGATGTCAGAGCCCTGTGGCAGGAGAGCGTTCAGTTTAAATGCTTAGAAGAAACACAGGATGGCTTTGTTTCTGATCAGTCACTCTTAACTTTTGCTTTTTGTAAAGGAGTTCCTTGAAGTCCTGCCAGGGAACCATGAATGGATTTGCTCCACCCTCCAAAACGCTGGCTTTTGTTTTATGTGTCTGGGTGCTGCTTGTTCTTTTCTTGCGGTTTTTTTTTTGGACAGTGGTACCTCGGGTTAAGAACTTACCGTATTTTTTGCTCTATAAGACTCACTTTTTCCCTCCTAAAAAGTAAGGGGAAATGTGTGTGCGTCTTATGGAGTGAATGCAGGCTGCACAGCTATCCCTCTTGCTGTTCTGGCTTCTGAGATTCAGAATATTTTTTTTCTTGTTTTCCTCCTCCAAAAACTAGGTGCATCTTATGGTCTGGTGCATCCTATAGAGCGAAAAATACGGTAATTCATTCTGGAGGTCCGTTCTTAACCTGAAACTGTTCTTAACCTGAGGTACCACTTTAGCTAATGGGACCTCCTACTGCCGCTGCACTGCCAGAGCACGATTTCTGTTCTCATCCTGAAGCAAAGTTCCTAACCCGAGGTACTATTTCTGGGTTAGCGGAGTCTGTAACCTGAAGCATCTGTAGCCTGAGGTACCACTGTCCTGACATGGAATCTTCTTTACATTTTAGTGGGGACCCAAAACTGAACAACAGCAATAACAAAGTATAGCCTATCTTCTGCGAAGAATTTCCGTTTTTCCGCCCTGGAAGTACAGAGCCTAATGTCTGTCCCTCTGTTCTTCAAGTACAGTTGTACCTCGGAAGTCGAACCGAATCTGTTCTGGTAGTCCATTCGACTTCCAAAACATACGGAAACCAAAGTGTGGCTTCAGATTGGCTGCAGGAAGGTCCTGCAGCCAATTGGAAACCGCAGAAGCCCCGTTGGAGGTTCAGGTTCCAAAGAACATTCGCAAACCAGAACACTCTTTTCCCGGATTGTGGCATTCGGGAGCCAAAACGTTTGAGAACTAAGCTGTTCAATAACCAAGGTACATCTGTATTAATAGTTCCCCCCCTTTGTTTTTCTCTCTTTTTAAGGCTGTTATGTTCTGGGTAGTGGACAGCTTGATCATGAAGAAGCACAAGCAGAAAGAAAGCTTTGAAATCAGTGGAGTGATGGAAATCTCACGAGCTTTGCGGGATGAAGAATACCAGGTGAGGGGGGCCACTAGGGGGCGCATTGGAAGATGGCCGAAAATACCATCTCTCCGACCCACACGGGGTAATTAAGAGGCTGTTATGGGAGTAGGCAGCCTCCCTTGTTGCCCCAAGGAAATAGGGAACACTGCCCTTGCCTGCTGTGCCCATAAATCACCCCCTAATTCGAAAGAAGGGGGTGAGGGCCCTAGGCAGAATGGCCCCGTGTGGACCTCGGCTCTCCTGGACGCTGTCTCTGATCGCGCACTAGTTGCAGCAATTTGGAATAATTAATTACAAAAGAAGCAAATGCACGTATTTCAAGTGAAGAAGGGAGTGAAGTCTGCTAATTTAAGTGACCTCTGCGAAAGAAGACGACGGGCTGGAGAAACAGGAATATTTTACGATGAAGATACACCAAAGGCGGGGTATGTTGACAACGGGGCTGAATGGGGGGACCTTTTTACTTTCCTTCTATGTGATTTACAAGAACCCCCCTCATTAGAACCGTCGGTTGAACTGACCCAAGCAGGATGATTAAGGTCTGTGTGGAGATAAACTTTAACCAAAAGTATGCTTTATGGAGACCGAGAAGCAATAAGAGCTTTTGGGAATGGCGCAGCAATTAATTCGAGTCGCCATCTTGCCAAAGGATTTATAGCCGGGAGGAAGAACGGACTTGTTTTCAGACTGCATTCCTAGTGAATCTCCTCAGAGGTTTTGAGAAAGGAGGCAGATTGGTGAAGATTAATGACGCTAAGACTGTTTTGATGTATGGAAGTGATGTTATATGGAAAACGTCTGGATATGGCTACTGGATAAAAAAAATAATATCCACGCAGGATTACAAACTGTTCTAACCAGCTTGCGAAGACTATCAGAGGTCACAGAGAGAAAGGAAAAATATATGAAAATAACAACAAGAGATGTGGAAAAATAATAAGAAAGGACTGGATAGTACTGTGAACATCATAAGGTTAGATTTGTGGACATTAAAACAGCAGTAAGAAGCAAGAAGTTGATTGGATCCCTTCGGAACTTGAAATATGGGTACCCCCAACAAAAATTTAAAATTCGGCTGTGTAATTTGGAATTTATGTAATTTGGTTTGATTTGATGTGATTGGTCGGTTAATAAAAAATTATTCATAAAAAAAAAGAATACCAGGTGAGAACAGAAGACCCATCAAATTAAAAAGGTAAAGGTAAAGGGACCCCTGACCATTAGGTCCAGTCGTGACCAACTCTGGGGTTGCGGCGCTCATCTCGCTTTATTGGCTGAGGGAGCCGGCATACAGCTTCCGGGTCATGTGGCCAGCATGACAAAGCCGCTTCTGGCGAACCAGAGCAGTGCACAGAAACGCCATTTACCTTCCCGCCGGAGCGGTACCTATTGATCTACTTGCACTTTGACGTGCTTTCAAACTGCTAGGTTGGCAGGAGCAGGGACCGAGCAACGGGAGCTCACCCCGTCAAAGGGATTTGAACCGCCAACCTTCTGATTGGCAAGCCCTAGGCTCAGTGGTTTAACCCACAGCGCCACCCACGTCCCTAATTCTCTTACCTTTTTATTATCATTTTTATTCCACCTTTCCCCCAGAACTGGGAGTCAAGATGTCTTACAAAAACTGGCACGACACTGCTTTAAATGTATGGTGCAGATGTCACCTGAGATTTCTTTTGAATAAGTGGTTGTACACAATGCGGAGATTCTGCCCTCTGGGATATTGGCTGTCCTGTTTGCAGAAGTCCTTCTGAGGATTTCCCCAACATTTTCACAGCGTTAAATGCTCCCTCTTGCCCTTTCTCTTTTCTTTTAAGAAGAAGCTAAAAGGAAAAGAGGGACGCAGGTGGCGCTGTGGGTTAAACCACAGAGCCTGGGACTTGCCGATCAGAAGGTCGGCGGTTCGAATCCCCGCGACGGGGTGAGTTCCCGTTGCTCGGTCCCTTTGCCTTTGTAAAAGGAAAAGATTTTCTAAAAGGAAAAGAAAGTCCAGCTGATTTTGTGTGCATCAAGCACAAGATTCTAAAAATGGACATTGCTCTGCTATCCAGCGCAAGCCAAACATCCTTTAAAATCCTAGTAAAACCTCCAGATATTTTGCAGGACAACTCCTGGTCCCTGTACTCCCTCCTGTTCCAGAACTTCTGCAGGGCATCTGGTTGGCAAAGGATGAAATAGAAGTTCTTGTGAGGTTCTCAATTTTCCGCCATAAAATGAGCAGCGGTGACTCACTGACTTGGTGCAAGGAAGAAATCTTAAGAAAAGGGGGGGGGGAAATCCCCACCCCACATTGGAACACTCAATGCAGGCAATGGACAGTAACCAGGCAGGTCGAAATCTTCCTGTTGTTCCCAAAAGCAGGCAAGGAAGCTCTTCCTCTCGGCTCAGTGTCCTCCACGACCTTCGTTGCAAGTTCAAAGGAAAAGATCCATAATATTTTCCCGGCAGGTCTTTGTTCTCGGCCTTTGCTAACACAACTTGGGCCCCTGGGGAGGTTGTGTTTGTAGCATCCCATGTCTCTGTTTGCATATGACATTATGGTCAAAGGGCATAACGAGGGTAGTTGATCGTTTAACCTCGCTCCTGTCGGTTTCCAGGGACTGCGTGTGTTTGTATTGAAAATTCAGATCTTTGGCAATGTACAAATTCTAGCTGGAAGGAAGAGGAGGAGACCTCCTAGTTGCAGTAGACAGTGGTTGGCTCGCTGCCTCTGTCTACTGTATAGAGAGACCTTCACTCTGTCCAGGGCAATTAAAAATTGAGCCTTAAAAACCAGCCTTTCTCAACCTGGGGGTCCCCAGATGTTGTTGAACTACAACTCCCATCACCCTTAGCTAGCAAGGCCAGAGCTCAGGTGAAATATACTCGGAGTCGAGAGTGGATTTCATGCTCTTTATTCAGCTCATAGTGGTGAGGAGGAATGGAAGTTCCCCCAGAATGTCTGCTTTATATACATTATTTACACAATGGGCCCCACGTGATTGGCTAATTCCGGGATTCACCTGTAGCCAATCTGGTTGCGGATTCACTTCCACCTGGAGCTGGATTGGGTGGCTCGTGTGGACCACTCAGACTGCTGCATTCTGGACCCTATTGTTCTAGGACCAATCAGACTGCTGCATTCTGAATCCTATTGTTCTAGGACCAATCAGACTGCTGCCTTTTGGATTCTATTCAACTCCCAACATCAGGGATGATGGGAGTTGTAGTCCAACAACATCTGGGGACCCACAGGTTGAGAACCACTGCAAAACAGTTTAAAACAAACATCAGCCGCAGAAATTTTAGATATAGCAGCGTGCAAGTGGACCCTCTGGAACGTGAAGGATTGGTTGAGGTCGATCTTAATCATAGTTCTTTGCTCACTCAGCTGAAAATACTTGGAACAGACTTCCCTTCAGTTTCTCCTCCTGCTCCTCAAAGAGATGTAGAGACTTTTATTTTATTTTTTTACCTGGACTCCTGGCTTCACTTCTGGTCAAGTACCTCAAAAGCTTTATCCGCATTGATCAGGTCTGGCTGCAAGCAGGCGCCAAGAGCTATCCACCCCACTTAGATTTCAGGTCCTATCTTTGAAATAAAGCTCTCCATTCTTCGCAGTGCGGAGTGCGGCAGAGGGGGCAAAGTATACAGCTCCTGCACGGCTTGAATAGGGGCAGACCAAATATTCATGCAGTCCTTTGCTTTCCTTCGCAAGGAAATAAATGCCAGGCTTGCTGCCCATTCTGGAAGGAGAAATGCGCAAAACCTGCCTAGAAATCGTACCTTTAGAAACTCGAGTATAATAATAATAATAATAATAAATTTGGTGGGTTTTTTGCCCCCAGCTGTCTCAAGAGACAATAGAGTATGTCTCCACAGGTGAAGACAAACCACCGTGTTAGCAGCCCTGAGGTGATCTTCCTGGGACACCAAGGGTCATCTAGTCCTACCCCCTGCAATGCCAGAATCTCAACACTCAGTCCCCCACCCAGTTTGAAACCACCCTAGACCCTGCTTAGCTTTGTAAATGTGCAAGCCCTTTTATTGCTGCTCCACTAGGAGGACAGGAGTATTATATTGCTTTAAATCAGCCTTTCTCAACTTGTGGGTCCCCAGATGTTGTTGAACTACAACTCCCATCACCCCTAGCTAGCAAGGCCAGAGCTCAGGGATGATGGCAGTTGCAGTCCAACAACATCTGGGGACCCACAGGTTGAGAACCACTGCGTCACGTCTTTCCCCCAGAGGATCCTGGGAGCTGTAGCTTGATAAGGGTGCCAAGACCCCATTTCCCCTCACAGTGCTCCATTTCCCAGAATTCCTTGGGAAAGAGGGACTGACTGACTGGCTTGACAAGACTTAGAGCAGACAGAAGGGGGAAGCAATTATTCACACAGCATATAGTTAAACAGTGGAACTCGCTCCCAAGGGATGCCCACCACCTTGGACGGCTTTAAAGAGGATTAGGCAAATTCATCACAGGGATGCGGGTGGCACTGTGGGTTAAATCACAGAGCCTAGGACTTGCCGATCAGAAGATCGGCGGTTCGAATCCCCGCGATGAGGTGAGCTCCTGTTGCTCGGTCCCAGCTCCTGCCCACCTAGCAGTTCGAAAGCACGTCAAAGTGCAAGTAGCTAAAATAGCTACTGCTTCAGCAGGAAGGTAAATGGCATTTCTGTGCGCTGCTCTGGTTTGCCAGAAGCGGCTTAATTATTCTGGCCACATGACCCGGAAGCTGTACGCCGGCTCCCTCAGCCAGTAAAGTGAGATGAGCGCTGCAACCCCAGAGTCGGTCACGACTGGACCTAATGGTCAGGGGTCCCTTTACCTTTATCTTTTGGCAAATTCATGGCTACATTTTGTATTCACTGTCAGCTCTGAATGCCAATTGCTGGAAATTGCAAGCCAGGAGCGAACTATTAAGCTCAGATCCTGCTTCCATACTTCCCCTTAGAGCAGGGGTAGGCAACCTAAGGCCCGGGGGCTGGATCCGGCCCAATCACATTCTCAATCCGGCGTGCGGACGGTCTGGGAATCTGTGTGTTTTTACATGAGTAGAATGTGTCCTTTTATTTAAAATGCATCTCTGGGTTATTTGTGGGGCCTGTCTGGTGTTTTTACACGAGTAGAATGTGTGCTTTTATTTAAAATGTGGCTCTGGGTTATTTGTGGGGCATAGGAATTTGTTCATTTCCACCCCCCAAAAAATGTAGTCCGGCCCCTCACAAGGTCTGAGGGACAGTGGACCGGCCCCTGCTGAAAAAGTTTGCTGACCCCTGCCTTAGAGTGTCTGCTTGGCCACTGTGAGAAATCGGTAGCTCACTGGCCTGATCCTGCAAGGCTTTTTTTTCCCTTACGACTTTAGGCACTACATACTGTGGTGTTTGCCATCCTCTCCCACTTCCTCCTTAAATGGGAGGATGTTCACTGTGTTTGGATTTCCCCTTTAGCTTTCTGGTCATCACAGGGGCTGCCTCCTCCCCACCCCCACCCTCGGCCTTCCTGCCCATTGCAGCCTTAACAGTAACTAAAACACGGGCAGTTCCTACTGTTCCGTTTTCTGCAAATGAACGTGCAACTTTGGGAGGTAGACAAGAAAGGAACAAACAGTCATTTGTGCTGGAGCCAAGAAGAGCTGTTGGTACATTGTTAACTACCCTGTTTTTCCGGGGGTGAGCTTTCAAAGCACTCTGCTGAATGTTTGCGTTACATTCTCTAAACAGTCCTATGCACCTTGCGAGTAACCCCTGTTGAACTCAATGGGACTTGCTTCTGAATAGACGTGTATAGGATTGTACGGTGGTTAAATAAATTGGGGCAATGCAGGGAATGCCATTAAGCTGAATCTTTCTGCAACAGCGTCAGAATTATAGAACAATCCATCCGTTTTTGATGGCCATGGGTTGGTCAGTGTGGTGATCAAATTTGCTCGGCATGTGTTTTAATTTGTTTTAAGCTTACTGTTAAGGGACGCGGGCGGCGCTGTGGGTTAAACCACAGAGCCTAGGACTTGCCGATCAGAAGGTCGGCGGTTCGAATCCCTGCGACAGGGTGAGCTTCCGTTGCTTGGTCCCTGCCCCTGCCAACCTAGCAGTTCGAAAGCACGTCAAAGTGCAAGTAGATAAATAGGTACTGCTCTGGCGGGAAGGTAAACGGTGTTTCCGTGTGCTGCTCTGGTTCACCAGAAGCGGTTTAGTCATGCTGGGCACATGACCCGGAACCTGTACGCCGGCTCCCTCAGCCAGTAAAGCGAGATGAGCGCCACAACCCGAGTCGGCCACGACTGGACCTAATGGTCAGGGGTCCCTTTGCCTTTACCTTTACTAAGCTTACTGTTATATTTTAAATGCCTGTTTTTAACAGTCTCTTATTGATTATTTTAATGGGGTTTTTTTTGTTAGTCGCTTAAAGGTTTTATTATAACAAATGGTAGGTAAATAAAAAAAAAATTGAATATTTTTAAGTTTTTAATCTGATCTGTGTAGGTAGGGTTTAATCCATAGGATTTCCTTTTCCCAAAATTGTCCCACAAGGCAGCGAGTATGGATTGTACCTCAGGTTTCAGTCCCGAAGCCTTTCTCACAAATGAGTGTGGCTGCAACAGTTTAGGATCAGAGTCTTCCTTCTCCTAGATGGGCTACATTACACAAATATTAAAAATATGAAGCCTTAATTAAGATACACAATAAAACAACCCCATTGAAACATTTAAATACAAATTTCCCTGGTTTAAAAGTGGCACTGTATAAATAAAATAAGAATTAAGTTGGCATCTTGGTTTTCTGCTTTGGTTTTGCAGGTGCTGCTGTGTCCGGCTGTGGATTTTGACCATCCTGCGAGCGACCAGGAACAGTCAGGGTCTTTCCTCAGAGTGAATCCGACGACAAGACCATTGGACCACCCGGTTTCAGTTTAAATGGGGATTGCAAGCTGAGCCGAAAGGTGGGGACAGTGGCAACTGAGAGACCTGCAATAAGGATGCTTCTTCACAAATGATGCACCCATCTTTGGTTTTCCGGAAAAGTGGAGCGTCTGTGGCAATTATGCATTTAAATAAGGACCACAAGGTGGCGCCATCCCATTGCATCCAAATGTGATAATGCGCATGGGATTCTCCATCATTCTTGGCCTTTTCTTGGTAGTGTGGTGTCGGGTATTTGATCGACAGAAGATTACATTGTTGGTTGCATTTTGTTCTCCTGAGCTGTGCTCACACAGATGAGACAGCGTGGGTTGACTTGATTCTGGCTGGCCAGCTGGTGGCAGATTTTGTTTGCGTCTGAATGGTAACACTGCATCCTTGAAAGAATCAAGATTGTATGTCTGGAGTGACTCTTCTGGCACGCAAACTGCACAGATCACTCGTAAAAAAAAAAACCAGGTTGCAAAACTCTGTTTTGAAAACAGAAAGCCTGAGGACTAATCTCGACTCAACTGTTGTTGCTTTTTTACGCTTTTATTATAAGAAGTGTAATAAATGTTTGATATTTAAACTTTCCTCGTATTTGGAAGCCATGCTTGTCCTTTGAATCGTCTCTTGAGGGGAGTCTATTCTGAGTGTTTGGTTGCTGGTTATTCAAGCTGGATAGTTTCTGAGTGGAAACTGTTCCATAACCGGTAAACCTCAGGAGAAGCTTTTTCTTCATGTTGGGTTCTGTACCCAAAATCCACCCATTCCCAGTGTCAGGATGGCTTTAGAATCCCGGTAATAAGAGGGCGACATCATCTAGCTTTCCATGCCAGGTACCTGTCAGGGGCTGGCTGGATGCTGATAAGTACCGTATTTTTCGCTCTATAAGACACACTTTTTTCCTCCTAAAAAGTAAGGGGAAATGTCTGTGCGTCTTATGGAGCCGAATTGCCCAGGGGCGAAAAGCAGATCATGCCTTTTTTTTTTTTAGAAAGAAGGAAGGGGGTGTTGAAACAAAACCGCTGAGCAGCTGATCGGCAAGCGATTGGGAGGGATAAGGGACTCTAGAGATAAAGGAGGCTGCCTGGGAGAGGGGAGGTAAAAGTACATTTGGGTCACCCCAAATTCATCATCAGACCACATAGCATGTCCATGGCTATAGCCTGCATCAAAAAACCAGGCATCCACTGTTTCATGGGGCCGCAATGGCACGGATCCACATGGATTCTCAGGATTTTTGCATTGGGCTACCCCAAACTCACCATCAAATCATATATCATGTGTGATGGCCTGGGAATCCGATTCAGAGGCCAAACCGGAGGAATCCCAGCCTGCACAGGAGTCCCCGCCTCCAGGGCCAGCTGAACTGGGGCAGGGCCTTGATTCTGAAGCACCTGCACCTGTGCCGGATCCTCAGGAGCAGGCACCAGGTGAATCCACTCTGGCTCCGGAGGTGGTTGAGGACTCAGTGCCTACAGGTGAGCCTTCCCCTGGGTCCACTAACCCTTCAGCCTCTCCTGAACTGCAGAGGCTCAGGGCAGAGAGGCGGAGGGAACTGGTTTCTCCCAGGAGGAGTGCTCGCCTTAAGGCCAGGAGAGGCGGGTCTCCTGGGGGCCGGGACCGCCCCTGGCCTCAGAGAAGATAAAGGCCAGTCGGCCCGGTCCCAGGTTGCGGGAGCAACGTCGTTGAAGAGCTGTTTCGGCCATCACCCAGTCCGGTTCCCCCAGAGTTCCTGTCCTTGCCTGGCTCCTCGCTGTGGACCCCGCTTTGCCCGTGGAGGACTGTCTGCCGACCCTCGACTCAGGTCCTGGACCTCGCCCCACGGTAACCTCCCCCCTGGACCAGCACATCATGTCTGTGGCCACAGCATGAACCACAAAAATCATACATCCACAGTTTCGTTCAGAATATTTTTTTTCTTGTTTTCCTCCTCTAAAAACTAGGTGCGTCTTATGGTCAGGTGCGTCTTATGGAGCAAAAAATATGGTAGATAGTGGGGGAAGAAGGGATGAAGTCTGACTTGGGAGAAGGGGCTAGTGATTTGTGGGGAGCTGTACCGGTCAGGAGGCAAGAGTCGGAATCAGGGGAAGCTTCAGAGCTGGAGGGTGGACCACAGGATGGGTTGGAGGGTGGAGCAGAGGGAGGGAGGCCAGGCAAGTGAAGGAGCCAGCTTGGGCCAGGCAAAAGCTACAGTCAGGCAAAGAATCATAGACACCGAGAGACAACAGGACTGCTCAAGGTGCCCCGACTATAAAATTGGAGAAATCGAGAGAGATATAGCCGCACCGGCAGCATATCTCTTCTTTCTCGTATCCAAAAATGCAAGGAGGGCCTTTACACTCGCCAGAAGCTTGGCTCTGCCCTTGCAGGTCCTGGAAGGATCCTTTTAAAAAGTCCCATATGCTCAGAGACTTTGCGCCTGTTCATTGGGGGACGTAGGAAGCTCAGAGCACTTGTTCTTTAGATGTCCCTTTTATGAAGAGGCACATAGTGAGACCATTGATCCTCTGCTGGTGAGGCTCGCTGACCTCCCGGAAAAGCAAAAATTCGACCTTTTCCTGTTAGGCAAAGATCATAAGACGACCCGGATGGTCACCAGATTCCGTGTACAGATCTGTAGGTGCAGACCATCCCCCAACCCAAACTAGTTCATTAAGAAAATCCCCAAACTCAGTTCCATGGGTGACTCTGGGTCATCTCTCTGCGGTTGCTTATCTTAAAGTTTTACGTGTCTATTCACTTATCACATTTATAAATTTTAAATTTATTGTTGTACATTGTTTTAAATGTTTGTTTTCTTTTGGGATTGTACCCAAGTGTGTTTTATAAGCTGGTCTCCGACCATAATAAATTATCTATCTAAGTGAAGGAGCAGGTACTTCCCTGCCGTCTCCTGCACCACTGTCTCCCAGAACCAGGAGGGAACTGAAAAGAGAGGAGCAGAGGAAGTTTCCATGCAGGCATAGTCTCTGGTTACATGTGTGCAGCCCATCAGGGGAAAGTACATAAATGAGTGGAGGGGGAATGCCCCCTGTTGCTGCAACTGTGGACCTGGAATAGCTGCCTAGACACTAGATTAGTGTGCGTAGGTCTCTATGCTATCTTTGACAAGGAAAAGGTAACTTATCTTCCATGTGCATTCCTTTGGCTACAGAGCACCCTTGACAACACCCAAGGAAGTGGGGAAAACCTAAATTCTGTATCTTAAGGTGGGGAGAAAACATTGCAGTCACAAAACGGTACATGCTAATCAAAACTGCATCCACTCGTATAGTTTTGTTTGCAAAATTCAAGTTCTTAATGCAATGCTTTTGTGCATGCAGGAGTTCTGTTTCCAGGTCTGCCTAGTACAGGATGGGGGAAGAAGAAGAAGAAGGAGGAGGAGGAGGAGGAGGAGGAGGAGGAGGAGGAGGAGGAGGGTTTGGACTTGATATCCTGCCTTTCTCTCCCCTTAAGGAGTCTCAAAGCAGCTAACAATCTCCTTTCCCTTCCTCCCCCACAACAAACACTCTGTGAGGTGAGTGAGGCTGAGGGACTTCAGAGAAGTGTGACTAGCCCAAGGTCACCCAACATGTGGAGGAGCGGGGAATCAAACCTGGTTCACCAGGTTACGAGTCCACCGCTCTTAACCACTACACCATGCCGGCTCCCTTATGGCCTCCAGATGTTGGATTCCAGTTCCCATCAGCCCCAGCTGCCATGGCCAGTAGTCAGGGATGATGGGAGTTGTAGTCCAACAACATCCAGAGGGCCACAGGTTCCCTGCCTCTGGTATGTCAGATTCTCTTACGGCAGGGATAGGGAACCTGGGGCTCTCTAGACTACAACTCCCATCATCCAGGACTGCTGGCCATGCTGGTTGGCACTGATGGGAGTTGGAGTCCAGCAGCAATTGAAGGGTGGCAGATTCCTCAACTCTGATGAGGAAGGAGGGGCCCTGTCACTAGGCGGGATTGGACAGCTTGCCTCAGGTGGCAGAATTTAGGGTGCCTGATTCCTGGGGCAGAAAACCTAAATGATGCCTCTCCCATGCTCCATCAATAATTTTACAGCTTGACAGAGAATGGGAGAGGCATCACTTAGGTTTTCTGCCCTGGGCCCCAGGAATTCTAGGGAGGCATCTGCAACGGAATAACACTTGACCGCCACACCCCTTGCTATTTATAAATTGTGCTTCCCTTTGCAGAAATGTGTGCTTGTGCAAGCTAGTGTGACTTTTAGCAAGCCTAAATCATGTCTCCAAGGAAGGGAGAAGTATTTCAGCATTGGGCATCTGGCAGAAAGACGCCTAAATGATAAATATTTCTCTCTTAATTTGCTCGCTGTATCCAGGCCAGTGAGTACAATTAAAACGTTAGCGGATCATCTAGGTGTGCCTCCATCCTTTCGCGGCAAGGAGCCAATTTTTGGCCTGGCAGCAGAGTTACTTCCAATTCCTTAAATGCACCTCATTGCTCATTCTCTAATTATTCTGTTGTTGGGCTGGAATGTTGGTTTGTTTTGCAGCAAGAAGGTTTCTTGAGCTGGAGGCTTTGGGAGGTAGATCAGTGCCTGGAAGGAGAACTGAATCCCATATTCTTTGGGTTGTATCCAGCAGAGTAAAGGTAAAGGTACCCCTGCCCGTACGGGCCAGTTGTGTCCGACTCTAGGGTTGTGCGCCCATCTCACTTAAGAGGCCGGGGGCCAGCGCTGTCCGGAGACACTTCCGGGTCACGTGGCCAGCGTGACGAAGCTGCTCTGGCGAGCCAGCACCAGCGCAGCACATGGAAACGCCATTTACCTTCCCGCTATAAAGCAGTACCTATTTATCTACTTGCACTTAGGGGTGCTTTCGAACTGCTAGGTGGGCAGGAGCTGGGACCGAAGACGTGAGCTCACCCCGCCGTGGGGATTCGAACCGCCGACCTTGCGATCAGCAAGTCCTAGGCACTGAGGTTTTACCCACAGCGCCACTCGCGTTTTTACCCAGCAGAGTAGACCCACTCAAATTAATGGACCCAAGTTACTATTCAGGGGGTTTACTCTGAATAGAACTAGCCTTGGATACAACCCTTGGTGTGTGGACCCTTGTGTAGTTAAAACAAAAAAAAACCATCTCCAGTGTCCTAGAAGCCACCCAACCAGCATGAAAGGGGAGCTTTTCAGTCGCTGTATGCACCAAAGCTAAGCATTTAGGAACACTGAAAAGACGAGGTACTTCAGTTAAATGAGAACGGGGTGCAAGTTCTGTTACCTTCCATGGAACTTCATGGAAATCACAACTTAGCAATCAGTCATTCTGCAGGAAGATATTGAAGTGGTCCAATATCTTCTGCCCATATCCTTGCACAGAAAATAGTAGATCTGTTTAACAGGCAGCACATGGAGATCTGAACTGGTCATTCCTAACTGTTATTACTGCATAGTTATTAAGATTATTGCATATAACAGAAAGGGCATGATCATGAAGGAACTTCGCACATCTGCATTTGCCTCTACACTACTGGTTTCAAGGGCCAGTTGGGGGGCTGTACTTAGACCCTGTACTAGACAGTATCTTAAAAAGCAGAGACATCACCTTGCCAACAAAGGTCCGTATAGTAAAAGCTATGGTTTTCCCAGTAGTGATGTATGGAAGTGAGAGCTGGACCATAAAGAAGGCTGATTGCCGAAGAATGGATGCTTTTGAATTCTGGTGCTGGAGGAGACTCTTGAGAGTCCCATGGACTGCAAGAAGATCACACTGATCCATTCTGAAGGAAATCAGCCCTGAGTGCTCACCGGAAGGACAGATCCTGAAGCTGAGGCTCCAAGACTTTGGCCACCTCATGAGAAGAGAAGACTCCCTGGAAAAGACCCTGATGTTGGGAAAGATGGAGGGCACAAGGAGAAGGGGACGACAGAGGATGAGATGGTTGGACAGTGTTCTTGAAGCTACCAGCATGAGTTTGACCAAACTGCGGGAAGCAGTGGAAGACAGGAGTGCCTGGCGTGCTCTGGTCCATGGGGTCACAAAGAGTTGGGCACGACTAAACAACTAAACAACAACAACTTAGACCCTAGCCCTGGGGCTCCCTCCCCTCAATGTAAAGTTTCCCATTGGGAGGAATCCTTGAGTTGAAACCTGGAAACGATTAAAATCTAGGCAGGGTTCAGTGGGAGTGAGATTGCTTCCTTGAATTCCAGGCTTCCTGGGGCCTGTTGGCTTGGAAGAAACTCTCAGCATTGCTGTTGCTGGCTGATCTTTTCTCTTTTTTAAAAATTGAAAATCCTTCCAAAACAGCAGGGACAAATAGGATATTTATAAAAAGCAGTGACACCACCTTGCCGACAAAGGTCCATATGATTAAAGCTATGGTTTTCCCAGTAGTGATGTATGGAAGCGAGAGCTGGACCATAAAGAAGGCTGATCGCCAAAGAATTGATGCTTTTGAATTCTGGTGCTGGAGGAGACTCTTGAGAGTCCCATGGACTGCAAGAAGATCAAACCTATCCATTCTGAAGGAAATCAGCCCTGAGTGCTCACTGGAAGGACAGATCTTGAAGCTGAGGCTCCAAGACTTTGGCCACCTCATGAGAAGAGAAGACTCCCTGGAAAAGACCCTGATGTTGGGAAAGATGGAGGGCACAAGGAGAAGGGGAGGACAGAGGACGAGATGGTTGGACAGTGTTCTCGAAGCTACCAGCATGAGTTTGAGCAAACTGCGCGAGGCAGTGGAAGACAGGAGTGCCTGGCGTGCTCTGGTCCATGGGGTCACGAAGAATCAGACATGACTAAATGACTAAACAACAACAACAAAAGTTAGGACTTGCAAGAGGAAACTATTTACAGCAGGTGCGGGCGGTAAAATTGGAGGATGGGTCGCAAGGCGAGGAAGGTTGTGCACATTCTGTGACTTCTGCCATAGCTGTCAACTTTTCCCTTTTCTTGCGAGGAATCCTATTTGGAATAAGGGAATTTCCCTTTAAAAAAGGGAAATGTTGACAGCTATGACTTCTGCACCAGCATAGGAGAAGTCATGGGAAAAAGCAAGCCACCTTCATCTTCTTCCATGCTTTGAATAAATTAAAAATTATGCCTGCCGTGCTAATGAAGCATATACCAAGCAGGTACGTTAGCGGCCAGCGCTTTGCATTTATGGTATATTTTATGATATGCCCCTCAACACTGAAGAGAAGGCACTCAGAACAAGAATGCATCCTGCAAACAGAGTGGGCCCATTCCTAACCTCCTCCCCACTTCTTTAATAGCACAGCTTCTCTGAGTTTTGTGCTGCTTCTGTTGACTCCTAGGAAGGAACAAACACATTCTTTCCCCAGCCTACTGCTGTCATCCTTCGTATTTTGGCCCAGTTTCCAGCTTTTTCTCCCCAGGGGCCTGGCACAGGGAAGAAAACAAGCCCTTGCATCTGTAAAAACATGTTCACAGCCCCAGGGGAGGTCAACGGCACTGAAACGCCTTGAGCCAAAGAAGGTTTGTGCAACCTGTAAGCTCTGGGATAGCTCAGTTGGTAAAGCATGAGACTCTTAATCTCAGGGTTGGGGGTTCGAGCCCCATGTTAGGCAAAAGGTCCTAGTGGTCCCTTCCGACTCTACAATTCTATGAACTAGACTTCCTTCACTGGGAGCCTTTGGATTTGAGGCACCACTGTGGAAGGAAGCACATTGCAATACAGTGGTACCTTGGTTCTCAAACGGCTTAGTAGTCAAACAACTTGAAGCCCCAATACTGCAAACCCGGAAGTAAGTGTTCCGGTTTGTGAACCTTTTTCGGAAGCTGAACATTCTCCATTTTGAGTGCCACACTTCCAAATGAGTGCCACACTTCTGTTCTGAGTGCTATGCTGAGGTCTGTCTGTTTTTGCTATTTATTTGTATTTTTGTTTTTGCAGCTTTTGTTTTGTTCTTGTGACTCTGTGGAACCCCGTTCAGCTCCTGATTTATTGATTGTGTGACTGCAGTACATTGTTTATTGCTTTCATTTTATGGATCAATGGTCTCGTTAGATAGTAAATTGCTGTTTTAGGGGTTGTTTTTAAAAGTCTGGAATGGATTAATCCGTTTTGCATTGCTTTTATGGGCAAGCGCACCTTGGTTTTGGAACACTTTGGTTTTGGAATGGACTTCCAGAACGGATTAAGTTTGAGAACCAAGGTACCACTGTAATGGGACGCTTAATACCTTTGCCCTACTAAATGAGTTCCTAAGAATCTATCGGATGCTCTCTTACGGAGCAATAAATACTAAACTATCTGCCATGTGCATTCCTTTCTCCGGCAAGCATCCTCGACGCTCTCATTTCTCCTCTCGGTCTCCTCTTATCCAGGCGAAACTCTTTCAACTGTTCCTCATAAAACTTGGCTTCCAGACCCTTGATCGTCTTGGTCGCCCTCCTCTGCACACGTTCCAAATTGTCAATATCCTTCTTAAATTGCAGCGCCGAGAACCGGACACAGTACTCCAGGTAGGGTCTGACCAAAGCAGAATAGAGTGGGACTATTACCTTGATTAAAAGGGACGCGGGTGGCACTGTGGGTTAAACCACAGAGCTTAGGACTTGCCGATCAGAAGGTCGGCGGTTCGAATCCCCGCGACGGGGTGAGCTCCCGTTGCTCGGTCCCAGCTCCTGCCAACCTAGCAGTTCGAAAGCACGTCAAAGTGCAAGTAGATAAATAGGTACCACTCCGGTGTGAAGGTAAACGGCATTTCCGTGCGCTGCTCTGGTTCGCCAGAAGCGGCTTAGTCATGCTGGCCACATGACCCGGAAGCTGTACGCCGGCTCCCTCGGCCAACAAAGCGAGATGAGCGCCACAACCCCAGAGTTGGTCACGACTGGACCTAATGGTCAGAGGTCCCTTTACCCTTTACCTATTACCTTGATTGGGACACTATACTTCTGTTGGTCTGTCGCTGATTGGATTCAGGGTCCACCCAGTTTTAATTTTTCCAGCAGAGGGGCTACCTACATTCAAGCTTATCTGAAAAATGAACTGGAAACTCTGGCCCCAAGTCTGAGCACCTGTGATAACCCAATGCAGCAAAACAAACAAACAAAAAACAAACAAACACTCTGCACATTGTCAGAGACACCCTTTCCTTTATTATTTACATGTCACTGGGGTGAGTCTGTTTTCCAAGGAGGACTGGAGGCTAAGTGCTGGTTTCAACTGGACCTGTGGATACACAGCATGTCAGATCTTCAGAGGTCTGCGCACTGCACAATCAAACAATAGATTGGAACCTGGAATGTCGGGATGCAGTCAGCTCTGGGGCTACATTTCCTTTTTTAGCCTCAGTAAAATTGAATTAATCTATTGACAGGCATCACAAAGGGATTTTTAAGGATATTACACAAACACTTTCCTAAATCTAGTCTCCCACCTTTTTTTTTCTTTTAACAACAAAAATCTTCCTCAGTGAATGATAAAAGAAATTGCACTGCAGAATTATCAAAGGAGAGAAAAATCCAGTGGGATTATCATGGGCAGCGGGCAGGGGTAGTATTGAGTTTACCATCATTTTCAGGTGGGTGATTTTTTGTGTGAGTGTGCCATTGTTTCGTTCTGCAAATCATCCCACCAGTGGTCTACATTCGTCAGCCTCCCCAGCTGCCCACCTTTCAACGAAAGCCTAGGGCAGGCATCCCCAAACTCAGCCCTCCAAATGTTTTGGGACTACAATTCCCATCATCCCTGAACACCGGTCCTGTTAGCTAGGGATGATGGGAGTTGTAGTCCCAAAACATCTGGAGGGCCAAGTTTGGGGATGCCTGGCCTAGGCGAACACAGCAAGCGGTAACTCCTCCCCTGGAGCGTTCACAGATCAACAGGTTCAGGCAGCCAGGGAGGCTGCACAGCACTGGAGAAGGGAGTTTATAATAAGATAAATAATAAGATAAATTCAAAGCACCATGTGGGGGAAAATTCTAAAGTGCCCTGAGGAACGAGGCAGGAAAATAGAAGCCTCTTTTCACAAGAAAGTTAGTAACTGGAGGGCAACAGATTTGGAAACCACGCTTCCAAAAATGTTGTTCTGTTCTGAGTCAAAGGAAACACTTGAAAGGAGCTTTCTGTTGCCTGCATTTACATGAATGTCCCCACTGTGGAAGGACGTGTGGATCCAGAATTGGCCTCCACAGTTACTTACGGACTCACTGTTAAAACCGTGTTTATGGAAGACAATCTTACTCGGCTACGAGTGATCGCCAAAGAAGAAGAAGAAGACGGTGTAAATTGAGCTGTGCATGGACTTGCATTCTTATTCTTAACTACAACATGGAAAACTGCCTTATAGTAAGTCAGACCATTGGTCCATCTAGCTCAGTAGTGCTTACACGGACTGGCAGCAACCCTCTAGGGTTTCAGACAGGGAGACATTCCCAGCCATATCTGGACATGGTTGGGGATTGGACTGGGAACCTTTTGCATGCAATCACAGGAAGACACTCTCCCCGCCGGTTTGATTGTGATAGGCATGATTCAATTGAAGCGAAGGGCATTTAAATCCCATTGATCTCAAGGGAGAAATTAACCTTGCTTGATGAAATCAATGGGATCTATTAAAAGTGCTTCATTTGGGCTGGTTTGTGACCTTTCAGACTCAATGAAAACATAGCACCAGAACTGTGGAGGTCAAAAATAAGCACTTTTAAAAATCGTTCATTTGAATGAAATAGCCCACATTCTGCAAGCTATTTCCTGTATTACGGGCACTGCGGACAATATTCGCAATCTTTTATTGTTCCTTTCTTTTTTTAAAAGTCCACATTAGACCTTATTATAGTCACTCGGGAAAACGTCCTTAGAGAGCAGGCAGCTGTCTTGTATGAATGGAATTCCTTTTGAAATAAATCTTGAATTTCTTTGGCTTTACAAAACGCTGTCAAGGTGCAGGAATCGCCTCGGGACCGGATGGCTTCCTATGTGTCAAAAAGCAAGTGGGGTTCTTTTTCTCCTCAGAGTTGGTTTTCCGTCAAGGAGCTAGTCCCTGTGTCAAAAGGGTGAGAAGCCAAGTAATCCTTATAGGCCCCGTCGATCAGTTTCTCTGCGTTGTTCTTGGCAAACCAGCAGTCCACTTCCTGTTCGCCATTGTAGATCTTCCTCTGCTTCCATACGACGGGAATCAAGCGCCCTTTCAGCTCTAACGCGTTCCCAGCCTTTATGTCTTGGGTAGTGAGCTTAACGTCTTGGTGTAAGAACTGGCCTGTGTAGGAGGAAAGGGAGAGCTTGTCAGAGGTATGAATACAGATAAGTCTTGCAGTCATCTTGGAGCCACTCATAGCAGGGCCTTCACTGTGGTGGCTCCTGCCATGTGACACATCCTCCCCTTAGAACAGAGGGGGAGATTTTTCAGCAATAAATCACACCACGTTTGTGAAGTTAACTCTTTATTCAAGGAAACAAGGTCGACTCGGGGGGGGGGGGGCAGTCCTACTGAACACAGCAGTTTGTCCCAGTGGATCTTGCACCTATGACACAGTTGGGACTGAAGATCCTTGCCTTCCCACAGTTGTCCTCCTCCCTCGGGTCCTTCCTAGGCAATCTGAGACTCCCCCAGCATACCTGTCTCTCTTCCTACCTCTTCCTACCTCTTCTGGTCCTGGGAGACCGGGGTGGGGGAGCTAGTCACAGCAGCAGGAGGAGACACCTTGGCTTCTTCACAAATTTGTGTGATGGCCTGGGATTCGAACTCGGAGGCTGAACCTGAGGAATCCCAGCCTGCACAGGAGTCCCCACCTCCAGAACCAGCTGAGCCGGGGCTGGGGCATGAGCCTGAAGGGTCCTCACCTGTGCTGGGTCCTCAGGTGCAGGCACCAGCCGAGTCTGCTATGGCTCCCGAGGTGATGGAGGACCCATTGCCTGCAGGTGCTCCACTCTCAGCCCCGTCAGGGGAAGCTGAGGTTGCCTCTGGGTCCGGTAACCCTCCAGTCTCTCCTGAGCTGCAGAGGCTCAGGGCAGAGAGGCAGAGGGAACTAAGTTCCCGCAGGAGGAGTGCTCGCCTTCAGGCCAGGAGAGGCGAGTCCCCTGTGGACCAGGGCCGCCCCATGCCTCGGGGCAGATAAAAGCCAGCCAGCCCCAGTCCCAGGTTGCGGGAGCAACATTGTTGGTAGCCTATTCCTGCCTGCACCCTGTCCTGCTCTTCTGCCAGAGTTCCTGACCTCACCCGACTCCCTGCCTTGGACCCAGCTACAGCTTTGATGGACAGCCTCCATACCGCACCCTCGACCTCGGACTGGACTCGGACCTCGCCGCACGGTTAACCCTCGGGACCAGCACAATTTGACTCATCTCTGCCTCTTGGCCCCCCTTCTCTCTTGCATCTGCCTCTGATTCTGGACTGCTATCTGCCGCAGCCTCTTCCTGCTCACTAAGTCCTGTTACCTCTTCTAGCCAGTATGGTGTAGTGGTTAAGAGCGGTAGTCTCATTATCTGGGGAACCGGGTTCGCGTCTCCGCTCCTCCACATGCAGCTGCTGGGTGACCTTGGGCCAGTCACACTTCTTTGAAGTCTCTCAGCCCCACTCACCTCACAGAGTGTTTGTTGTGGGGGAGGAAGGGAAAGGAGAATGTTAGTCGCTTTGAGATTCCTTAAAGGGAGTGAAAGGCGGGATATCAAATCCAAACTCTTCTTCTTCTTAAAACTATAGCATGATTAGTTTTTAGACGCACAAAGACTCAGAGGTCTATCACCCAACCACCACTGACACAGGATTCTTTATAGCTGGGATATATTCCAAAAACATGAATGTGGTATGATAATGTAATAAATAAATAAAAGAAGGATGCTCTCTCACCCCTTAGGTAGCCAAAACACTAGCCCTCTGCTGCAAAAGTGTGGCTTGGTGGAACCCCAAGGATTGCAAAAATTCCAAAGATCTTTGGGGCGGGGGGAATCCTAGAGAGGTATACCTCCCATGCTGAGTGGCCACTAAATGCTAACTTGGGGGGTGAGGAACGGGGAGAGAACAGGAGAGGGAATTGAAGGAGGAGCAATAACCCTGAACAGAAGCATTCTACGTTGCAACATTTTGTTGCAGGTCCCCATTTGCCTCATTCTTAAAAGCGCAAAAATGGCAGCTGGGGGGCACAGGAGGGTGAGTTCACGTGCTCTGCTGGACCCCTAGGATCCCCACTCCTCCGTGGGGAGTTTTTCAGGGGGCGCCTGGCCCTGGCGCTCACCCCCAAAGCTCTAGCCGCCAGAACCGTGCCGTCCTTTAAGCGGACAACACGGAACACGCCGCCATTGCCGCTGCAGCGAACCAGAAGTCTCCCATTTGCCTCATTCTTAAAAGGATAATAATAATAATAAATTTTATTTATACCCCGCCCTCCCCAGCCAAGGCCGGGCTCAGGGTGGCTAACAACCAATAATAAAAACAAGTTGACTGAATACAACTTAAAAACAAGATTAAAATACAACATTAAAACATTAAAATGCAGCCTCATCACAGGAGGTGAAAGGAAAAAAGAGGGGGAGGGAATCAAACTGATTCTAAGCCAAAGACCAGGTGTGACAACTCTGTCTTACAGGCCCTGTGGAAAGAAATCAGATCCTACAGGGCCCTGGTCTCATGAGACAGAGCGTTCCACCAGGCTGGAGCCAGTGTTGAAAAGGCCCCGTGCTCTGGTACAGGCTAATCTAACTTCCTTAGGGCCCAGGACCACTAGGGTGTTGCTATTTATGGACCTTAAGGTCCTCTGTGGGGCATACCGGGAGAGGCGGTCCCGGAGGTACGAGGGCCCTAGGTCCTATGATAGGCAATGTACCAACTCATTCTTGTACAATTGGGATCTTCTGCTTTCCACTTTGAAGTTCCCTGTCCCTAATTCCTGGAGACGGTGCTGGGATAAGCTGGAACATCCGCTCTAATTTAGGCTCCATGGCCTGGCACCATACGTTCTCAGAGTGTTTCCCTCTTACCGATCAGCCCATGGGAGCTTGGGGAAAGGCCTTGGCTGTTGGAGATGTAGAAGCCCAGATGATCCTTTTGGTAGGGAGCGGGGTTCTTGTAGTGGTGGATCAGAACGACGAAACCGACGGTGCCCCTTATGGCCACAGTGACGTTGGAACGGGCTGCAATGGACACCTCGAGGTTCCTGCTTGCTACTGTGGCGCTGCGGTCGCAAGGCAGGATGAGCCTCTTCCCATCATCCATGATGACCTTCGTGGGAGTGACCTCCAGGTAGGACCGTTCTGGTTTGTTGCTGAGAATGGTGATGCTTCTGAAGTAGGTTCTTTGCTTCTTATGGCCTCTACGAGGGGCAGGGGCTCCCACCAGCTGGCCATTCACGGTCACACCTTAAGGGGCAAGGAAGAATCAAAAGGCAATGGTTCGGATGCTGAGCTGAGAGGAAAGACAATCTTTTGTAGAGTCTGCTACATGAATTAGATTTCTGGGACACACCTTTTTTTTTTTTTTTTGAGGATCATAAAATTGCAGAGTTGGAAGGGACCCCAAATATAGTCTCTTCCAACCCCCTGCAATGCAGGAATCTCAACTACAGAATCCATGGCAGATGGCCATCCAACCTCTGTTTGAAAACCTCCAACGAAGGAGTGTCCACCATCTTCCGATGGAGTCCGTTTCACTATTGAACAGTTCTTCCTAATATTTAAACTTCTTATAGACTTTCTGCATGGAAGGGAAAATGAACTTGTAATATCTGGATTCGAAGACTGACAAAATATTGGTTTATAGGAAATAGAATAGTTGGATGTTAATGAATGAATAGTATATTTAGCCGCAGGTCAGAGAACCAAAAGTTATTTTATTTTATTATTTCTCTCTTTTTCTTTCTCTCACCCCCCCAACTTTTCCTCTTTTCTTCTTTTTGTTTTTATTCCTTTTTAGGTTAGATTGTTAAAAGCATTTCTTTTATTCTGGTGTATTACAAAATGATACTTGCATTGGGTATGGACTTTTGTGTATCTTTGGGCAAGTATCGATCAAAATAGATATTTGCAGAAAGTTCTTCCTAAAAGAAAAGCACATACTTGGGTAAAGCGTGCATAAAAGGAAAAATCGCTTTGCAAAAATATGTGTCATATTGCTTAGGCATGAATATATTAAGAGAAACCCATACTAAAATGCGGGCGAATTTTTGTGAGGACTTGAAAATATAGTTGTGAACATGGAGAAATGAACTTAAAGACTTGGGGAAAAATAAGAAACAGAAATTGACAGCTTCACCCATCCTTATTCCTAAGTAGTTTTGGGTTGTCCTAATCGAGGGGAAGGCAGAGCTAGTCAATGGGAGTGCCTGAGTGAATTATTTGTGTCTGTCTTCACTGAAAAAGCTGTTGTGTTCGAATGAACTTTCACAGAGAATCAGAGGGACTGAGGTGTATAGACATGATCAGGGGCCAAGTTTAATTAACAAATTAAAAGCTAATCAATCTCCAAATCCAGATGCCACCCACCTGTGAGATCTTAAAGAACTCAAAGGTAAAACTGCCGATCCTCTAACAAAAATAGGTACCGTATTTTTCGCTCTATAAGACGCACCAGACCACAAGAGTTTTTGGAGGAGGAAAACAAGAAAAAAAATATTCTGAATCTCAGAAGCCAGAACAGCAAGAGGGATCGCTGCGCAGTGAAAGCAGCAATCCCTCTTGCTGTTCTGGCTTCTGGGATAGCTGTGCAGCCTGAATTCGCTCCATAAGACGCACACACATTTCCCCTTACTTTTTAGGAGGGGAAAAGTGAGTCTTATAGAGCAAAAAATACGGTAACTTGTCCCTAAAATCAGCCTTCCTACTGGAGAATTGCAAAGTGGCCTGTGGAGTACCAGTTTGCTCTCGGTATTTATTACCCCTGCTATGCAAAAATCTCCCAATGAATCCGAACTTCAATGTCTAAAATCCCTGGTAGAGGACGAGGATCCTGAGATCACGTTAAGGGTAGCCAAATTCTGTGCGATTGCCATAAAACTGAGGAAACAAGCTGTGCTATCATAATGATTAAGGTTTTAAATGATAATTTTAGGTTATATGTTAGTGACTAAGTTTTAATTTCTATCTTTTTTTAACTGTTGCTATATCTGTATTGTCCCTGTTATACCTAATTGCAAATTCAAATGTATCCCTAGCGTGTTTTATGACTCCCTTGATATTGTATGTGGGCTGGAACTGGTCTGTGACCGAAATAATAAAATTCAATTCAATGATGGCTTTAAAAGAGGATAAGGCAAATTCATACAAGACCATCAAGGGCTTCTAACCACGATGCCTATGCGCTGTCCCCACTATCAGAGGCAATATGCCTCTAATTGCCAGTTGCTGCTGTTAGAATGCTGTTGTGCTCATGTCCTGTTAGAAGACGATGCTGAACTATTAGATGTGTCACTGGAACTGATCCAGCGAGTTCTTTAATTTTTAAATATCTCTTATCTTTATACACTCCTATCATGTCCCCCTTACCTTTTCTTCTAACCTAAACAACCCCTTTCCTTGTAGGGGACTTGTTCCAGTCCTCTATCATTTTGGTTGCTTATTTCTGAACAGTTTCCAGCTCTGCAATATTCTTTTGGATACGATTGTCAATTAATAATAATAATAATAATAATAATAATAATAATTTATTTATACCCCGCCCTTCCCGGTTCAGAAAACTGGGCTCTGGGTGGCCAACAACAAATTTAAAACACTTAATTGGTGCAACAAAAAACAGCATAAAATACAGTATAAAATGTGAATAACAATAAATTCAGAATTCAAAAATCAATTTAGGGGGGAAATTCATCCAATAAACATTAGATGATCACCAGGGCTAGCTGGCTAAATTAGTCCTGTTTGGGCCAGCGAGGAGACCAGGGGAGGAATTAGCTGTGAGATCCCAGAGCAGGTAATCTTCATAAAAAGGGGAGGGGAAGGGAAGGAAGGGGAATAAAAGATCAGGCTAAGTTCAAATTGAAAGCCAGGCAGAATAGCTCTGTCTTACAGGCCCTGCGGAAGGAAGTTCAATACTGCAGGGCCCTGGTCTCATGGGACAGAGCATTCCACCAGGTCGGAGCCATCACTGAGAAGGCCCTGGCCCTGGTGGAGGATAATCTGACTTCCTTAGGGCCTGGGACCTCTAAACTGTGGTTATTTATGGACCTTAAGGTCCTCTGCGGGGCAGACCAGGAGAGGCGGTCCCATAAATACGAGGGCCCTAAGCCACAAAGGGCTTTAAAGGTCAAAACCAGCACCTTAAAGACACCTGTGATGAGTATGAGTTACTCGTGCGTAAACTGGTGCCTCTCCAGGCTAATTTGCCTTGTTAAACCTTTCTGACTGCACAGCCCTTTCTCATCATGACTGTCTCAGTCACTAGCAGAATCCGTCAGTGGGCGTTTCTTGAATCTCTTCCAACATAAGAGTTGTTTGACACCCAGTCTCCTCCGCCTCTCACTGCGCGGGAGCCTTCTGCGCAGGGTGGGCGTAGGTAGCGGAGGACCTGTCCCCTCCTCACTGAGTTCCAGTGAAGAGTCCGTGAGCCCTCTCTCCGATTTCCCCATCTGCCCACTTTTGTTCCTGGTGTTGCGCTTAAATGCTTCCCCCTCCACTGAGCTGCTTCTCCCCCTGCTGCTGGGTCCTTCTCCAGCATCATCTAGGAGCCTCCCCTTCGCCTCCCGCTCTGATGTCAGTTCCCTGACAACACCCATAGATTAGAATCACAAATTCTATCTAAAATGTGGCTTGAGTGCAGGTGTCAGAAAAGGTTATTTATGTATGTCACTACTGCGGCTCGTGTTTCGTTAGCCCAAAAATGGAAAACGAGCAAAGTCCTAACGAAAGAAGAATGGCAACTCAAACTGGTGGAATATGTGCAGCTTGCAGACCTAACATATAGAATAAGAGAACAAGAAGAACATATGTTTAAAGAAGACTGGAAAATGTTTATTGAATATATGGGGGGAAATTGTGTATATTTGAAAATGTGGGCAGCATTGAGATAAATTCAACAGTGTAAATAAGTTTTGATGGATGTGATAATGGAATACTGAATTGTTTAGTTTATATAAAATATGCAGGGATTTATGTTCTGCAAAGTGAACCATGGAAAGAGAAGAAGTGGAGTCACTGATATTTTAAGGTTGTTTAAATGAATATTCCAAAATGCAAAACAGAAAATTTAATAAAAACTATAGGGAAAAAATAAAATAAAATGTGGCTTCAGCACCAGTGTAACAAACAAAATTCGATCCAAGCTGTAGAAGCTGCCAAGCCACAGAATATTCCCTCCCAGACATTCAGTTGAACAAAACTATACAAATTCCCTGTTCAGGGAAGTTTTTAATGTGTGACATGTTAATGTATTTTTAATCTTTGTTGGAAGCCGCCCAGAGTGGCTGGGGAGACCCAGCCAGATGGGTGGGGTACAAATAAACAATAATAATAATAATAATAATTAATTTAACTATCCAACTAATGAAGTACACTGAATTATGGAGTGAGTGGAACAAGGGAGAGGTCATTAGATAGATTCCTCTTAAAGGTCTTGTTTGCCTTCTCTTTTGTAAATCTATGGTTGCCTTGTCTTCCTCACTCTCGTGGTCACCCCCCCCCCACTGCCCTGGCTGGTCAAGAACTTTGCTGCCATATAAATAATCCTCTTACAAATCACAGCTGCTTAGGAATTCCAGGCCAGATCAGAAGCTCAAGACCTCTAAAACCATTAGGACGGAAACATTTTAACTCAAGAGCTCCCATCGCCTTGATTTAATCTGCTTCTGGAGGCAAACTGTACCAAAGGAATTGTGGGGGGGACACAAGGGTCCAAATCCACACAGACATTCAATGACATAGCTGTCAACGTTTCCCCTTTTTTAAGGGAAATTCCCTTATTCTGAATAGGATTCCTCGCAAGAAAAGGGAAAAGTTGACAGCTATGTTCAAATGATGTATGGTAGTGATGTATGGAAGTGAGAGCGGGACCATAAAGAAGGCTGATCGCCAAAGAATTAATGCTTTTGAATTCTGGTGCTGGAGGAGACTCTTGAGAGTCCCATGGACTGCAAGAAGATCAAACCTATCCATTCTGCAGGAAATCAGCCCTGAGTGCTCACTGGAAGGACAAAGATAATCATGCAGAGCCAAAATTCACTGAAAAGCTGTTGCCTACACTACCATCAACCAACTGTTGGCTGAGAGGTGAGAAGGAAAGCACTCAGTGGATTTCTTAGAGCCTTCCCGGAAGAGGAAGAATTTCTGTAATTCTAGCTCTGAAATAATGCTAACTGAGACCCGGTACTAGTGATTCTGTGTACTGTACAGTTAGTATGCATTCTGTGGAGTGGGATTGTGACTGGCTCAGTTTAAAGGCAAACTTGCTTAAGTCACCCTTTAAGAAGTGCGGGTGGGTTAAACCACAGAGCCTAGCGCTTGCCAATCAGAAGGTCCCATTGCTCGGTCCCTGCTCCTGCCCACCTAGCAGTTTGAAAGCACGTCAGAGTACAATTAGATAAATAGGTACCACTCCAGCAGGAAGCTAAAAGGCATTTCCGTGTGCTGCTCTGGTTCACCAGAAGCGGCTTAGTCATGCTGGCCACATGACCCGGAAGCTGTCTGCGGACAAACGTTGGCTCCCTTGGCCTATAGAGCGAGATGAGCACCGCAACCCCAGAGTCGTCCACGACTGGACTTAACTGTTTAATCTAGCTCTGCTGATACAGAAACTAAACATTTCTTTCTTCTTCCAACATACCAGAGTTCTTATGGTCGGAAACCAATCTGAGGATGTCTCCTGGTTCCCCGTCAATGTTGAAGCAGACCGTTAGCTTGCTCAAGGGGAAATCGACGACAAAATGAGGGTCCCCATCCGCTGGAAAGACAAGAATTAAATAAGAATATTGCAGAATTGCAGACTTTAAGGCTCCCACCCACACCAAAGAAAAATGCTACCCCATTTGACGAGAGACCTCTTCCTTCTCTCCTCCATCACCAGCACCACCATGAACATTTTGTAGCTTTGGGGGTAAGGTTTTCCTAAAAGGAAAAACAAACTAGACCATAGGTAAGACTCCAGCGAAAACCATCCACAATGGACTACTGTTGAATGTAGGGAAATGAATTTGAGATGCCTTCAAGACTACGATTGGGGCAGATGTTTTAGTGGGTTTTATCTGATGCAGCTTGGAACGAGCCTCAAACTCACTCTAGCTTCCAATCTTGGTTGTGTGCACAAACCATAGTCTGCCATGTTTTGGATGGAACAAAGAAACAAACTATGGTTTGTCTTGAAGCAGGATAGGCAGGAGGAGGTCATTGGTCATTTAGCAGAAAAGGGGTGAAGAGTTGAGGCTCAATCCACACCCCTTTAAAAAATTATTTATGCTTTTCAGATTGATACATTTCACTGATTTTACAATCATTTTGTCATTTCTAAACTCGACTTCCTTCCCCCTTTTTCTACAGTTCCTTAAATTTATTTTTAATATCGTCTGCATATCCAAATTATCTTAATTTCCTCTTTTATTCATCTACTTTAAATATAAACTCACTATAAAACTGCAGGTTATTACAATAATCTTGCCAATGTCCTTATCTGTTTACAATTTATCTGTAAATATTCAATAAACTATTTCCATTCTTTTATAAAAAGTTTGTTGTCTTGATTTCTTATTCTTCCGGTAAGTTTCGCCATTTCTGCAAATTCCATTAGCTTCTGTATTCATTCTTCCTTTGCCGGGACTTCTGCTTCTTTCCACATATGGGCAAATAACATTCTCGCACTGTAGTAGCATACATGAAAAGATTTCTATACATTTTAGGTAGTTCTGTCCCTATAATTCCCAAAAGAAAAGCTTCTAGTGTTTGTTTTCTACAAAGGTTATTTTAAACATCCTTTTCATTACATTATATATCATTTCCCAGTAAACATTAACCTTACTACAAGACCACCACATATGATAAAAAACACTTTCTTTCCATTTCCAACACTTATTTGATTTAGATTTATACACATGAGGCTCATGCTACTCTTGCGCATGTAACGTTGAACAACCCCATTGTGACATTTCTACACAAAGCTCAAAACATCCAACGAAAGGAAAGCACTTCAGTTATTGAATTGTTTTGCTGCCATATAAGTGAAATCCAAGTTGTGTTCACTTCTGGGTCAAAACTGGTGGCCCAATTCGCCACCAACATATGGGGACGACTCTTCCATGTTGCACTTTGTTCCTTGATACCAGCAGATGAGGGGTCACGGTTTAAGGTGCTCCCAACCCAACTTGGAAGAAATGGAGGCAGTGAGAGATTTTACTTTCTTGGGCTCCATGATCACTGCAGATGGTGACAGGAGTCACGAAATTAAAAGATGCCTGCTTCTTGGGAGGAAAGCAATGACAAACCTAGACAGCATCTTAAAAAGCAGAGACATCACCTTGCCAACAAAGGTCCGTATAGTTGAAGCTATGGTTTTCCCAGTAGTGATGTATGGAAGTGAGAGCTGGACCATAAAGAAGGCTGATCGCTAAAGAATGGATGCTTTTGAATTATGGTGCTGGAGGAGACTCTTGAGAGTCCCATGGACTGCAAGAAGATCAAACGCATCCATTCTTAAGGAAATCAGCCCTGAGTGCTCACTGAAAGAACAGATCATGAAGCTGAAGCTCCAATACTTTGGCCACCTCATGAGAAGAGAAGACTCCCTGGAAAAGACCCTGATATTGGCACAAGGAGAAGGGGAGGACAGAGGACGAGATGGTTGGACAGTGTTCTCAAAGCTACCAGCATGAGTTTGAGCAAACTGCGGGAGGCAGTGGAAGACAGGAGTGCCTGGCGTGCTCTGGTCCATGGGGTCACGAAGAGTCGGAAATGCCTAAACGCCTAAACAACAACAGCCCAACTTGTCTGAGGTCTCATGAATGGTGACGAGATCCAAGGCCTTCTTGGTAATATTCTCCTGCGCTCAAAAGAGTCCTGCTTGCTCAGTGTACCAACGCCTTTTGGAGGAAACTGTTAAGATACTTCCAGAAAGTTTGTGCTAAGTTAAGAGAATATGCTGAACGGGAACGACCTGCCTTGCTAGGGGACTTACCTGATGTTTTAGTGACTTCAACTTTTTGTTTCGCTGGCTTTGCAACAACAGGCCCTAGATAGCCAGGAGAAAACAGGGAGGAGAAAACAAACATGATAAGGAATAACATGGCTATTTCATACTGTAATTTAAGGTTCCCTTTTGTCCAAAGAATATCATAGAATTGTAGAGTTGACTCAAAGAGCCATCTAGTCCAACCTACTACAATGCAAGAATCACAGCTATCTGAAGTTTCCCTCCTTTTCCCTTCTCTTCTTTAATTTCTGTGTTTTAATAAAATGCTTAATATTTGGTGCTTATTTCTGTATACTGTTTTTCCTTTGTCCTTTCAAGCTTTAATGGTAGTAAAAATGGAATTGCAACAATATACCATATTGGCCTGAATATAAGCTTCACTTTTTTTACCAAATTCTGACCTTGAAAAGTTCAAGTGCGACTTAAATTCGCGACCTTACAAAAATTGGCTTTTACGATATTGATCCTGAAACAGACATATGGTAAAACGGAACGAGTGTGAGTGCCTGCGGAATATTAAGGGAACGGCTTATATTCGGGTACAGTGAACCCTCCGTATATGAACTTAATTCATTCCTGGGGTCCGCACTTACCCCGAAAAGTCTGCATCCGGAGGCGCCGCTTTTGCGCATATGCGATAGAGTGCTTCTGTGCACGTGTGAAGCATGCTGACTGCTTCTGCACATGCGTGTGCGGCAATACTGCATTTGTAACTCAAAATTGCATTACCCAAAGGTAACGTAACCCGAGGTACCACTGTATTATCTTTTTTCCTCCCCCCCCCCTTGAATTTTAAAGGTACGGCTCATATTTGGGTGTGGCTTATATTCGGGCCAATACGGTAGTTGTGGCTCAATTTAAATTAATCCGTTTATGTGGGATTTAAATGACATTGCCTGCTCCACAGTTCTCCATTTCATTCCCCCTGCCATCGAGTTTTCTGCTCCCCCCACCCAATGATCGGTCTGATTTCCATGGCCACTCAGCCTTCCTGGGGCTGTTTTGGGGCCTCTGCCCCCACCATATATTTCCCTAACTTCTGCAAGCCTTGGGGTCCCCCAGCCTGCTGAAACCTTCTCCTTGTACATGAATAGGCTACATAAAGCCCAAAACTTGAAGAACCAGTGTGAGAAGAGCCAGTGTGGTGTAGTGGTTAAGAACGGTAGTCTCGTAATCTGGTGAACCGGCTTCGCTTCTCCGCTCCTCCACATGCAGCTGCTGGGTGACCTTGGGCCAGTCACACTTCTCTGAAGTCTCTCAGAGTGTTTGTTGTGGGGGAGGAAGGGAAAGGAGAATGTTAGCCGCTTTGAGACTCCTTAAATGGAGTGAAAGGCGGGATATCAAATCCAAACTCTTCTTCTTCTTCAAACCAAGACCACAACTAAACTGCATGGTGACAGACACATTGCATTCCCACATCGTTTGACATAATACCTGCACACCATTCTTGGGACTCAGAACATAAGAAAATGTGCATCATGCTTACCTGATGGTGCCCGGTGACCTTGAAGTCCCTGCACAATCTCCCCAACTCCTTCAGTTGATGGGCCGGTGTAAACCTCCTTTGGGAGGTCCGCCTGGCTCGCAAGCTCCTTCATCTTCAGCGTGGTGAAGGGGGTGACGAAATTGTATGCAAGGGCCAGCTTCTCGGCTCTCTCCCTCAAGGTCTCCTTCTCCTCACTGTCGTCGCTCTTCAGCCAGGAGGTCATCAGCTCCTTGATGGTGAGGTAGCTCCAAGTCCGTTCGACGTAGTTCTGATCATCTGTGGGGTCTTCGGCACCTCCAGAGACCAGTCCAACATGGTTTTTGCCAGAGAGGTCTACGGCCACGTCCGTTTTCAGAAGGACATACTTGTCGCTGTTGCTGGCTGTCACTTCCACATGTAAGCGGTCGGCTGTCTTGTTGAAGAGCTTCCCGGCAATGACAATTTCAGACCCATTGAAGTAGTTGGGGAAGAGGTTCTGGGTCACTTGCTCCACGCTGTCTGTAGGGTAATCGATCCGGATGTCGGAAAGAAGAGGCGTCCCAATCTCGTCATAGAATCTGCGTAGGTACAGTTTGTTATTGAGAAGGGCATCCAAGGGGCGACATTACTGATATATAAGCAGAACATAGTGGAAGCAGACAGGCGTCCTTACAGCAGATAACAAATATAATAGCCCTGCATCAGATTTCCAACTTGTGCAGCGCTGTGGTCTAAAACATTGAGCTTTTCGGGCTTGCCGATCAGAAGATCGGCGGTTCGAATCCCCGTGATGGGGTGAGCTCTGTCCCGGCTCCTGCCAATCTAGCAATTTGGAAGCACGCCAGTGAGGGGAGCGGCCTGTTGCAACAGTTCAATAAAGATCAGGCTTACTAGCTGCTTTGCTTCTCAATATTCTCTGGTTGGCCTCTGTTATTTTCTCCGACTGATGGAGAACCTGCAAAGGACTCTATAATAACACTTGTGTCCCCCATAAGGCAATCAGGGCAGATTTTAGTTTATTGCAGACCAGTGGTCTGACTCGCCAACTACCTATGTCCCTACGAGCAGCACAAAGTCCACAGCAAACGGCCTTGTGGAAGTTATTTGGAGTTTGACAGCTTGCTTCCAAGCTGAGAGAGAGAGATGGCGAAAACAGGGTTTTTATGGAGACAGTGCGACTTTTGCAGCTGCTGCTAAAGTTGCAAAACAATGAAGCAGGGACAGAGGAATGGAGAACTTCTGAAACAACAATGGGACACTAGCCCAGCAAGAACTGGCAACAGACAGACATAATATTCTACGGGGACAGGAAGAAACATTACGGACAGAATAATTGCCACACACAGGAAGGAGTGAGTTTGAATGCTTCACCTCTGTAGGTGTACAAATCATTTAATGTGTCGATACGAATGGAAGTCGTTAAAACTGCAGTTGCGATATAAGGGATTGGTATCTTGACTGGAGCATAATTGAAATTTAAGTATAAGGGTTTGGAACACAGAAATAAAGTAAATTATCAAACCATTAATTCTAGCACCGGGGGGGACCGGGGACCAAGATTGTATAATTTGGCATCTCAGTGATTGCTGTTATTAATCTGGCATTGTTATAATGAGGCATTGTTATTGGATTGTTGTATTTGAAAACTAATAAAAATTATTATTAATTTTTTTTAAAAAAAAATAGTGTAGATTAATGTATTTTTAACCTTCACTTGGAAGCCGTCCAGAATGGCTGGGGAAACCCAGCCAGATGGGTGGGGCAGAAATAATAAATTATTATTGTTATTATTATTATTATTAACCCCACAGGAAACCAGAATATTTCTCCACAGACTTACTAACTGAAAAGAGATAACCGAAATATGTATTATTAGGGACCGTTTGGGAGTGGAGGGAAGCCAATATATAAATCAGGGAGTTGAGCCAGAAGTAGCAAAAGGAGATATTACTAAAATAGAAGAGGACCACAACATGGCTTGTATTCCTTATATAAGATGTGTATTTGAGAGTATTTTTCTTTTGGTTTTTCTTTTCTTTATATTTTCTTTATATTTTCTTTATATTTTCTTTCTTTCTTTCTTTCTTTCTTTCTTTCTTTCTTTCTTTCTTTCTTTCTTTCTTTCTTTCTTCTATTTTGTTTGTATATGTAATATGGATATGTAAAGGTAAAGGGACCCCTGACCATTAGGTCCGGTCGTGGCCGACTCTGGGGTTGCGCGCTCATCTCGTTTTACTGGCCGAGGGAGCTTCCCCTTGAGCAAGCTAATGGTCTGCTTCAACATTGACGGGGAGCCAGGAGAGATCCTCAGATTGGTTTTCGACCATAAGTACTCTGGTATGTTGGAAGAAGAAAGAAATGTTTCATTTCTGTATCAGCAGAGCTAGATTAAAAGTAAAGGTACCCTTGACAGTTAAGTCCAGTCACGGGGTTGCGGCACTCATCTCACTCTATAAACTGAAGGAGCCGCCGTTTGTCCGCAGACAGCTTCCGGGTCATGTGGCCAGCATGACTAAGCCGCTTCTGGAGAACCAGAGCAGCACACGGAAACGCCGTTTATCTTCCTGCCGCAGTGGTACATATTTATCTATTTGCACTTTGACGTGCTTTTGAACTGCTAGGTTGGCAGGAGCAGGGACTGAGCAACGGGAGCTCACCCCATCGTGGGGATTCGAACTGCCGACCTTTTGATCGGCAAGTCCTAGGCTCTGTGGTTTAACCCACAGCGCCACCCAGGTCCCAATATGGATATGTACTTAATTTAAATAAAAACAAAAATAAAAAATAAGCTGACCAATGGTCCGACTCTGCAACTTCCTACGTCGCTACGAGCAGCAACAAGTCCGCAACAAACTGCCTCGTGAAAGTGCCCCAGGTCCCACCGAAGTCCACAGCTGGATTTGCGCCCAGCAAACAGAACATCCAAACAGCCAGGGCTAAAACTGGTTGTGTTTTCTCTACTCACCCTTTCAGCTGCGCCGCAGCATCCTCGTCTTCCTGTATCCGCCGCGTCATCCCACAATTCTCCAGCGCCAGCCTCTCCAATAGTTTGTAGTCCACGTCGTTGCCGATGCCGATGGTGAAGAGGCAGAACCTGTTGCGTATGGCCGCTTTGGTGTTGCTGACGATCTTGGCGGACTGCGTCTCTCCAACCGTCGGCCGCCCGTCCGTCAGGAAGATGATCAAGGAGACGCTCTGAGCTTCAATGTCGTTCTGGGTGATGTAGTCATTGAGGATCTGCGTGCTGATTTGTAGGGCTCCATTGATGTTTGTGCCTAGGAAGACACAACAGAATTAACCTTTCGGGGCATGGGGAAGAGGGAGTTAGTTGCTCAGCCCCTTCCTCCGCCATTGATACTGCCTGTGTTTTCTTGCTGCTGTATGGAAAAACACATGAATCTGACCTTTGAAGCGTTTGTAAGTAAACCATTTTTAACTTACCCAGCGTGTGGTAAGTGGGTAGTTTTGGAAGTAACTTAAAAGGCAATATTTTAAAGGTCTAACACAGAGCTTTCCAAACTATGTGTCATGACTGCAGTGTGTCGGCTGCAGTGTATAGCTGTGTTTTGCGAACGCTCCACACACCCCTCCCAGGGCTGGAAAGGGATTAGTTTAACCTTTTGTCCGCTAGTAAAACTGAACTAAAGGTAAAGGTAAAGAGACCCCTGACCATTAGGTCCAGTCGTGGGTGACTCTGGGATTGCAGTGCTCATCTCGCTTTATTGGCCGAGGGAGCCGGCGTACAGCTTCCGGGTCACGTGGCCAGCATGACTAAGCCGCTTCTGGAGTACCAGAGCAGCACATGGAAACGCCATTTACCTTCCTGCCGGAGTGGTACCTATTTATCTACTTGCACTTTGACGTGCTTTCGAACTGCTAGGTTGGCAGGAGCAGGGACCAAGCAATGGGAGCTCACCCCATCGCGGGGATTCGAACCGCCAGCCTTCTGATCGGCAAGTCCTAGGCTCTGTGGTTTAACCCACAGCGCCACCCGCGTCCCTTAAAACTGAACTACTGTGTCGCAAAATGATGCATGTCTAAAAAGTGTGTCACCAACATGAAAAGTTTGGAAAGCTCTGGTCTAACAGCCTATATTTCCATGCTTTATCTTGCTGCACGTTTTGTGATTTTAAATCTCTGCTGGAGCTCTCTCACCAAAGAGTGCTTGCCCCAAACCTGGATCTAGGCTTCCAGTGAAATCTCCTTCTATCAATCTATTTTTTCCCCTTTAAACAAAACATTAACATAAAGTACATCAGCGCTGAGTTTGCTGTTCCACGGTTGGACTAAAGCTACCTAAGGTTCTTTGGAAATGTCCCACTGGGCGAGAAAGCTAATTCTTTCAGTATGTGTGTGTCAACAGCCAAGTTGATTCCACCCTACCCCTTGGCTTCACAGCTCTGCATGGTACATGCCAAAAATTATTCCCTCCTGTGATGAGCCAATACCTAGAGGCTCGTAACAATATCTCTTTTTTGGAGGACCGAGAGTCTTTCCTAGCGTTCCAGGAAAAGGCAAACTTCATTTTCCCTTGTCTGTGTATGACATGTAGATTTTCACAAAAGGGAATTAAGACAAATTCATGGAGGACTATCCATAGCCACTAGTCATGGTGGCCTTATGTTCACAGAACATGGATTTGGAGGTTGAGAGGAGACAGGCCAACACATTTGGGTTGCTTTCTCCTCTTGTAGGAGGAGGCAACCCCTCCTTTGTTTCCAAGTCCCAGTACCTTGTCTCTGTGCCTTTAAGATCGGCTCGAAAGGCTGACATCCAACAGGTATAGCTTTTCTCAGCCTAGAGATGCGGCTCTGGAAGAAAGCTGCACCTGCTGAACTTTTGGATCATAAGGTAAAGGTAAAGGGACCCCTGACCATCAGGTCCAGTTGTGGCCGGCTCTGGGGTTGCGGTGCTCATCTCGCTTTATTGGCCGAGGGAGCCGGCGTACAGCTTCCGGGTCATGTGGCCAGCATGACTAAGCCGCTTCTGGCGAACCAGAGCAGTGCACGGAAATGCCGTTTACCTTCCTGCTGGAGCGGTACCTATTTATCTACTTGCACTTTGACGTGCTTTCGAACTGCTAGGTTGGCAGGAGCAGGGACCAAGCAACAGGAGCTCACCCCGTCGTGGGGATTCGAACCGCCAACCTTCTGATCGGAAAGTCCTAGGCTCTGTGGTTTAATCCACAGCGCCACCCGCGTTGTTCTTGTTGTTGCTGGTAGCTTCAAGAACACTGTCCAACCATTTGGATCATAAGTCTAGTCAAAAGTGTAGAGCGCCTCTGTCTCAGAAAGGATGATTATTTAGTAATAATAATAATAATATGGAATTTATTACTCTGGTGCAGCCTTCCTTTATGTTTTGTGCCATAAATGAAGTCGCAGGTTCACTGAAAAAGCACAAGCCATCCCCCCACCCCCTTGACACCAGGAGTACCTCCAGTAGGTGACATGTTATGGATGTAGATCTTGGCATCTCTTATGTTGTTGAGAGTCACGGGCACCAGCTGGTCTTGTTGCCAAACCTTGATTCGATTGGAGAAGCCAATAATATTGAAGTGATCCTCAGGCCTTAAATCCTGGAGAATAGTGAAGAGGGCATCTTTGGTCTGAAACGAGAGACGCAACCTGGATGTATATTTACACTAGATACAGCAATGTATACATGCACTTTGCAACAGTTTATAACTGGTTTTATTATTATTATTATTTCAATTGATTGATTCTACTTCGTGAGCCGCCCTGAGATCTACAGACGAAGGGCAGTGTCTGCAAATTAAATTAATAATAAGAACACTTACCAAAGTACCAAGAGATTACATGTATGTGTGAATGTGCTGTCACGGACAAAACACATTACTGTAAGCAAGTTGTGCTTCCTTTTTGTGGTTATTTGGCTATACCTTTTGATAGAATACAGGTAATTGAACAAACTTTGTTGCATTGCATTATTCATTAAATTATCATTCCGTTGATATATAAATTTATGGCATTACTAAAAATAAAAGTGGTGTTATGAGCCATCAAACCCCGGAAACACACTTTTCCCAAAAGGTTTCCTCAAATTTGGCCACTAGTGTACTTTGGTGAGCCTTTCCTGATACACAGTACGATTGCTGCTTTGCAAAAAAACATCCCTACTTTAACTGTGCACGTTCTCCATGCCATGGATATTTTAATTAACCTCTTATTTGCCTTTTTTCAGAACCCAAACATCCCCAACACTGCAATTAGATTCCCAGGATTCCAGATTTGTCTGAATTCCCCCCCCAATACAAAGATACTTTTAATACTTTTGTAGTCCCATACCCTCTTTTCTTCCCATACAACCCCCAAATCTTCTTCAAGGGTAGTAGGAACCCCCAGAACAGATTTGTTGCAGAAGGAGGGGGGGCAGGAAAGTCCCAAGCTCAGTGACAGAGCAGCGGCTTTGTGCGCAGAGGGTTCTGGATTCAAATCCTACCAGGAGGCAAAACTGAGCTAAAAGGACCAATTGTCTGGCCCAGTATGAGGTAATTTGTTTTGTTCCTGGATACCATTTATTTATTTATTTATTTATTTATTTAGCAATATTCATATGCAATTGATTATAGTAAAACCTCTGAGTGGTTTACAGGAACTATTAAAAGTATCTGTAAAAAAAGCAAACAGTTTAAAAACATTTAAGACTGTCTGGTGTCAATGGGCAGGGAGTTCCAAAGTTTGGATGCCACCACACTAAAATATCAATTTCTTACAACTGTGTAATGAGTATTTTATGTGGCACCTTTCTAAGTGTCCCTACTGACTGATGTGCAATCATCTATGTCACTTGGGTCTTCTCAGCCTGATTGGCTCGTCAGTCACATTCACTGTCTCTGAAATCTTTGGCATGTTCTTTGTTTAATATAATGTTTTCTTCTCTCGCTAATGATGCTGTTATAAATGTGTATTTTACTACTCTCAGCAGCCAGAAACATCATAACCAGACACTGGAGACACCTGTCAGGAATAAGCATGGACCAATAGTACCAAATAGTATGGGAAACAGCCTTACTAGAAAAATTAACCAATAAACTGAAACTGACACAGGGACAAATAGAAGAAGATGCCTTCACCCTGGTATGGCTCCCCTTTATCGCATACACAGCCCAACAAGACAATGACATTAATCCACCAACGGCATACAAATCAATATGGCTAACCTGATCCAAAACACCCACCCACCCCACTCACACACGAAAACAAAGACCACCACAGCCAACCACAAATGAACAGCCACACCCTTGACCAACCCCAACCTCTCTCACCACCAAAGGAACACAAGTGAACAGCAGAGAACCTGCACAAGCAACGCTGACACAAAATCCCACATATATTAAGTATAATAGAAACATCGCCACCCGACCCCACCCCCACTCATCTTTCCCCCTATTCTTCCTAATGTCTCAACAAATGAAACCGATTTGTAAAAAAAAAAATGTTACATGGGGAAAAAAATATGAGAGAGAGACATTGCACATACACTTGTAAATCAAGAAAATCTTTAATAAAAATACATTTTTTATAAATAAATAAATAAATATATGTGTATTTTATATTTGACCTCCTTTAGCAATGCCTTGTTTTGAAATGTTTAAGGTGATATTTTCAGTTCCCTGTTAATCATGTTGCTTTGAATGTATATTGGATTTTCTTCTGTAATGCTTTGTTTTGATCTTTTAATGTTGGTTGTAAACTGCTTTGAGATTTTTCTTCTCTTAAAAATATAAAGGGGTATAGAAATAAAATTAATTATAATGATAATATTTTCAAGGCGCCTGCGATGAAAGAGCCCAAAGTCAAAAACGTCCACCCAGATGAATGTTTTCTACATTTGGGGTTATATAATTTGACAGACTCAAGTGCTAAATGATTGCTGCCTGCAATCCGATATTTAACACAACAGCTTCCCTGAAGAGCCCCGTGCCAAGTCCATTCCCTTTCCATCTTCAAATATTGAAGGCTTCTTGGTCCCAGATGCAAGGATAAATTTGGAGAGCATCCGAAACATCTTAGTCGTCTCTGTTCAACTTCCCTTGTGATCTCGAATGGAAGCTGATGATGTCATGGCAAAACACATTACCCACCGCAATGGAATCTGGAGTCATCTCTCCAGCTGGCGACCTTGGGGTCGGATCCAAGGGCTATCAAGGACAATGGAGGGGGGTTTTGTGTGTGTTTTTAAAGAAACTTTTCTAGCACCGATGTGATTCAGTAGGGAGCATTTTGGGCACAGGCCCGAGACACTAGTTTTGGTTGAAATCCTTGCTCATGTACATGCCGTGTGGCTTTTTGAGGCACCCATTCTATCTCCAGCCTCAGTGCTCCATCTCTAAAATGGAGACATAAGACCATAAGAAAGGGTGTGGTCAAAAAGTCATCTAGTCAAGCATTCTGTTGAAATAAAAAATTTAAGGTCATATGTATCACTGCAGATGGTGACAGCAGTCACAAATTAAAAGACACCTGCTTCTTGGGAGAAAAGCAATGACAAATCTAGACAGCATCTTAAAAAGCAGAGACATCACCTTGCTGACAAAGGTCCGTATACTTCAAGCTATGGTTTCCCCAGTAGTGATGTATGGAAGTGAGAGCTGGACCACAAAGAAGGCTGATCGCCGAAGAATGGATGCTTTTGAATTATGGTGCTGGAGGAGACTCTTGAGAGTCCCATAGACTGCAAGAAGATCAAACCTATCCATTCTGAAGGAAATCAGCCCTGAGTGCTCACTGGAAGGACAGATTCTGAAGCTGAGGCTCCAATACGTTGGCCACCTCATGAGAAGAGAAGACTCCTTGGAAAAGACCCTGATGTTGGGAAAGATGGAGGGCACAAGGAGAAGAGGACGACAGAGGACAAGATGGTTGGACAGTGTTCTCGAAGCTACCAGCATGAGTTTGACCAAACTGTGGGAAGCAGTGGAAGACAGGAGTGCCTGGCATGCTCTGGTCCATGGGGTCACGAAGAATCGGACACGACTAAATGACTAAACAACAACAAATATATATATATGTGTGTGTGTGTGTGTGTGTGTGTGTGTGTGTGCCGGCCAGGCGCGTACAAGGATATGTGGACCACATGTCTGGAGCAGCACAGGAAGACCGCCCTGAAACCATTTTGACTCCCAAACTGACCAAATGTTTTCTCTGCAAGGAGGGAGGGGGAACCTTCCCATTGTCTCAGGAATTGGGAAATCAACATCTCAAAGGAATGGCCAGACTACCAGGAAAGGCAATCAGATAAGATATTATCAAATAACCTGACAGACAGGAAAAACAACAACATTCAAATTGCTGTTGTCGACCCCCTTTTCTGTGATGCAGGTATGATGTTTGTGGGGGGGTGGTCTTGGGTTACACCCCTTCTGCGATGTAGGTATGATGTATGGAGGGGTGGTCTTGGACCCCAGAGCGGGCAATTAAAAATGTCTATATAAGGGCGGTCACACCTGGGTTCTGGGTCCTCCTCCTTTCCTGTGTGTGAGGGGAGCACCTTGTTGCAACTGTTCAATAATCATTTAATCATACATCCTTTAACCCTGCTTGAAATTCCTCAGCACATGTAGTATTCCAGAGGTCGTTGTACTCCAGATCCTGTTACCTCTGACCATTTGCTCTCTGGGGCTGATGGGAGTTGGAGTTCAACAACCACTGGAGTGCTCTAGGTTCTCCATCTCTGGACCAAGTTGTGGAGACCAAAGGCAGTTGGGAGAATGCTAACTGGGCACTTTCCACCTGTCCAAACTAGTGACAGGCTCATTCCCAGAAGCTGAGGTGACGGCATGAGGCCAGACGGAGGTCCTTCTGAAATGGGAGCCGTTGTTGGTGATATTTGTCTCACACAATCCCTCCGTTGTTACGCAGCGTGGGCCGGGGGTTGGGGGCGGGGAGGTGGCCCCGGCTGGGAAGTGGAAGTCAAGTCAGTTCATAGGGACACAAGAGCTCAGTTGTTCAGAACGCACTTGGTTTGCCTCACACAGAAAACTTCCTATGAAGTAATGGCCTGGCAACAATAACCCCATTCTGGTGCCTCGTCCATCTCCTTTCATCCACTCGGAGGCTAAGGGCCACTTTCCTTTACATGTTCGGTGACTATTATCTTGCCATTCTGTACACAGAGCCAGACCAAGGAAACTTAGGAACGCTGCTGGAATGGTATACAAAGGATGAGGAGGTTAAGTCGGTTATGATCCATTGGGCCAAAGATTTTGGATATAATATACAATTAAAAGATTGGACAAAATTGTGGAATGAAGGAATGAAATTTACTGCTTGTACTACAATAAAAGAAAATGTGATGAAAATGATATATAGATGGTATGTAACACCAGTAAAGTTAGCAAAAATGTATAAAGTAAGTAATAAATGTTGGAAATGTAAAGAAAAAGAGGGAACATTTTATCATATGTGGTGGGAATGTAAAAAAGTGAAATGCTTCTGGGAAATGATATATAATGAGTTTTTTAAAATGTTGAAATATACATTTATAAAGAAACCAGAAGCATTTCTATTAGGAATAATAGGAAATGAAATTAATAAGAAAGAATGGAAGTTGTTTTTATATGCAGTAACAGCAGCAAGAATATTATTGGCCCAAAAATGGAAACAAGAAGAACTACCTAAGATTGAAGAGTGGAGGATGAAATTAATGGACTACGCAGAACTTGATAAACTAACAGGAAGGATCCGGAACCAGCGAGACCAGAAATTCACTGAGGACTGGAATAAATTTACAGATTATATGAAAAAATTATGTGATAATCAGACAACGTTTGTAAGTTTTCAGGAAGCTCTGTGAGAATTAATAGTAGAAATATTGTTAAAAAGAATAAGATGGGTTAAGCTATTATTATATTGCAATATAAATTAGGGAATGTGAAAAAAAAGTGATTAAGATGGAGAATTATCAGATGAGCTGATGGAAGTCCAAAAAAGAGGATGTTGGTGATAAAGTGGGTGTCTTTTTATAATTTTATATTGGAAAATCTATATATATATATATATATATATATATATATATATATATATATATATTTAAAAAGAAACTTAGGAACACAGGAAGCTGCCTTATATACTGACTCAGCACTGTATACACTGACTGGCTGAGGCGGTTGTGTTTTTTTCAGTCCGACCTGGAGAATGCTGTGCCTCTCTCAAGTCTCAAGGCTGGATAGCCATCCATCATGGATGCAGGGGCCTAGACGACACTTGGGGTAGGGTTACCAGACGTCCCCGGTTCCCGGGGACAGTCCCTGGATTTGCAAATCTGTCCCCGGACAAATTCCGTCCCCAGAATGTCCCCAGATTTGCAAATCTGTCCCAGGGAAACATGGCAGTGGCAGTCTCAGCAGCCCAGAGCCAGCCTGGTAGCGCAGTTGGCTCTGGCTGGCTTCAGAAGCTGCTTGCTGCTTGCTGCTGTGGCACCTGCCATCATATGGGGACTTCTGGCGAGGAAAAATGGTGGGTGCCATGGCAGCGAGCAGCTCCTGAAGCCAGCCAGAGCCAACTGCATCACCAGGCTGGCTCCAGGCTGATTACTGCCGCTGATGCCACTACTGCCGAAGGGGAACCGGGGATGTCCAGTGGTACAGATCTCCTGCCCCCTTCCCCCTTTGTTTTGACTGATCGGGGGAGGCTCGGGAGTTGCGGGCAGGCGGCCATTGCCCAGTTTTTTAAAAACTCTGGGCATTTATGTTTCACAGGGTGGGAAAGAAGGGCTTTGCACGTTGCCTGGCAGATAAACCGTGCGCCTTACACCCCTCCTGGGCAACAGCCACCCGCCCACAACTCCTGAGCCTCCCCCAATCTGTCAAAACAAAGGGGGGAGTGGGAAGGATATCGGGGAAGGCTCGGGAGACACAGGTGTGTGAAAGAAGGGCTTTGCACCTTTATACAATATGCATGTTTGCTTGGGCCCAGGTTTTTTTTGCCTCACCATCCCCACTACTGACTCCCTGTTGCTATTCAGCTTCAAAAAAAAGAAGTGTCCCCAGATTCACTGAAAAAAAATCTGGTAACCAGAGCTTGGGGTCCCTTCCAGCTCTACAGTTCTCTGAGTCCATGTTTCTCAGCTGTCTATTGTTTTAACTGGCGATGCCATGGACTGAGCCCAAGATCTCCCGCAAGGAGAGCATCTGCTCTAGCCCTGAACTTTGTTCCGGAGGCTTTCCAGGTTTCTGGCAGGGAATATCTCCCATCTCCCCTCTGGAGATGCTAAGGACCGAACCTGAGACCTTTCACATGCAAAGCAGACGCTCTACTATCGAGAGATGGCTATCCTCTTCATAGCTCCTCATTCATCACAAGACTCGCAGCTTCATCTGTTAGAAACAGACACAGCCGTCGCATCCTTCTGCTCTGCCCTTGGGAATACAGTGGTGCCTTGGTTGTCAAACGTAATCCATTCCGGAAGGCTGTCCGATTTCCGAAACATTTGACAACCGAGGCGCAAAGGGCGATCGGCAAAGCCAATGGGAAAAAATTGAAAAACATGCAGCAGAAGCCGTTCGATTTCCGAGGCGCGTTCAAAAACGGAAGCAATTACTTCAAGGTTTTCAGCGTTTGGGTTCTGAATCGTTCAGCTTCCAAGACGCTCAAAAACCGAGGTAGCACTGTATAAGAAGAGCCTTCTAATTTGTCTGTTTTTTGGGTCTGAGCGGTTTTTCTTTTGTTCATCCACTTTCCCTAGGAAAACCCACAATTTACTGCTCAATTGGAAAAAAACATCCATACAGTTGTACCTCCGGTTGTGAATGGGATCCGTTCCGTAGATCCAGCCGCATCCTGAGGAATTCACAACCAGAGGACCGCTTCTGCGCATGCGTGCGGCATGGTTTAGCGCTTCTGCGCATATGTGCGTGGTGAAATCCGGAAAAATACTTCTGGGTTTGCTGCGTTTGCATCCCAAAGTTTACGTATCCAGAGGGATACATAAGCGGAGGTACAACTGTACACAGAAAACTCAGTTGACGTTTGTTCCAATTCAGCAATAAACCCAGGGAAAGCAGTGGGGGAAAAGGAAAACCTTTCAGACCTGTGTTTAGAAATCATGGGACAAACAGAAGTGGGCATAAACTCCGTGTCCTCACCACACTTTGTGGCACATGTTATAAGAATTTTAAGGTCTTAGATATATAATAAATGGTCGTAAATGTACCAAGCAAACACGTACATAAATATATAAACCACATGTCTGGAGCAGCACAGGAATACAGTCCTGAAACCATTTTGACTCCCAGACTGACCAAATTGTCAGGGAACTGCCATCGGAAGGAAGGGAGGTGAAAGGGCTCACACAGGTTGGGAGAGACTCAGCAGCTGAAGAGGGAACCAGTAGGGGGAGAGGAGCTGAGCTGAGGGAAAGTGAGCTGGAGGGATGGCTCAGAGACACTTCCAGCGAAAACAGTGGGGAGGTTTCAGGACCTCCTGTAGGAACACCCACTCCTCGCCGGAAACTGTCACGCAGAGAGTCCAGAAGACGTGTTTCCGTTAAGGAGCTTTTATGTTGGAAGCGATTCCAAAGCAACCACTGTCGGAATCTGCTAGTGACTAGAGGAGCCATGTCTGAGGGGCTCCGTCACAGACAGAGGTTTGTGGACTTGAACAAACTCTGAGGGGATACTATTTTACGCACAAGCAGCTCATCATCCCATCACACAAATGTTTTCTCTGCAAGGAGGGATAGGGTGAGGGAACCTTCCCATTGTCACAGGAATTAAGTGATTACCATCTCAAAGGAATGGCCAGACTACCAGGAAAGGCAGTCAGATAAGGCATTGTCAGATAACCTGGCAGACAGGAGATAAACAAAAGCACTCAGATTTCTGTTGTAGACTGCCTTTTCTATGATGGTAGGTATGGTGTATCGGGGGCGGGGTGTCTTGGGCTACACCCCTTCTGTGATGTATGTATGATATTTCTGGGGGTGGTCTTGAGCTCCAGGGCAGGGAATTTAAAAATGTCTATATAAGGGGACGCACACCTTTGTTCTGGGTCCTCCTCCACTCTCTGTTATTTTCTCCTACCGATGGAGAACCTATAAGGACTCTATAAGGGCTCTTGTATACCCAGTAAGGGAATAAGGGCAGATTTTGTATCCTATAAATTTATTTCACCTCGGAAAAGAGGCATACAGTAGTTCATTTCATTTTATCCTGCTAAACCAACTGCATGGGGTGACCTCAAATTCTAAAACTGTCACCCTTTTTAAAGCCAAATCTCCAGTGTCTTTAACAGCAAACTAAATCAACAAATGCTCTCCCTCATTTCCTGGAAGATTTAAACGTGCAGGAAGCGTCTCCGATTGAATGTCTACCTGGCACACATCCCTGAAAGGCGCAGAAATCCTGCCAAGAAGCCATGCGGATAACCTTTAGCCCCAAACACCTTCCGCAGTCCGGGCGGTTTTCTAATCATCCCGCCAGGCAGGCTATCTGTAATTTAAATTTAACCTCCAGCCCATTTCCAAAACTTGAAATCTGCCTTTCTCAGCACATCTCACATTCCTCTTCCCGTCTTCGCACTCCCTCGTTCGCGCTATCGCTTTCCCCTCCAGCAAAGTGTGCAGAACTGAAGGGAGCAAAGCTTCCCCACGGCCTCTGATAATAAGGGCTTTGTTCCAACTTCCTAGATTGCACTCCCAGGAAAGAAACAGGACCTGCGTCTAGCTGTAGAGATAAGCCCATTTCTGTATTGTTGCCTCCTGCCCTTAAAATCGCTTCCTAGCAAACATGGCACCTAGACATGATGCTTATTGTGTGGTTGCCATGATCAAATATAGTTTGAAAATAACAGTAGGGTTTTATTCCTTATTCCTGCTGTAAAGGTAAAGGTAAATGTAAAGGTAAAGGTAAAGGTAAAGGGACCCCTGACCATTAGGTCCAGTCGTGGCCGACTCTGGGGTTGCAGTGCTCATCTCGCTTTACTGGCCGAGGGAGCTGGCGTACATCTTCCGGGTCATGTGGCCAGCATGACTAAGCCGCTTCTGGCGAACCAGAGCAGCGCACAAAAACGCCGTTTACCTTCCTGCTGGAGCGGTACCTATTTATCTACTTGCACTGGCATGCTTTCGAACAGCTAGGTTGGCAGGAGCTGGGACTGAGCAACGGGAGCTCACCCCGTCGTGAGGATTCGAACCTCCAACCTTCCGATCGGCAAGTCCTAGGCGCCACCTAGTGTCAATCTCCCTGCCTTCCGCCCAACCAGTCCTAATGAGCACTGCCCCCTGCTGGAAGGAAGCTTTTGTTGCTGCCTTTCATCAGGGGCAGAAGGGTTAGATCAGGCATAGGCAACCTTCGGGCTTCCAGATGTTTTGGACTACAATTCCCATCATCCCTCACCACTGGTCCTGTTAGCTAGGGATCATGGGAGTTGTAGGCCAAAACATCTGGAGGGCTGAAGGTTGCCTATGCCTGGGTTAGATCTACCTCGTCCTACATTGAGCAAAAGATTCCTCCATTAAAGGAAGTTGTATCAGTTCAGGGCCCCTTACAACGCTACAATTTTATGATTCTAGGAGGATCACAATTCCTCCATCAAAGGACTAATAGGATGAGGTGTGGGTCACTGTTGTTGTTTTGCAATTTTCATTGGGACTACAGCATGGGAATAGGGGCTTATGCAGCCTGAGGGTAGCAGGGTTTCCTCAGTACCCTTAAACTACAGCTCCCAGAATTTGTGGGGGAAAGCCATGGCTGTTAAAGTGACATAGCAGTGGTAACATAGCACTTTAAACACATGATACCAATGTGGCCTAAGCGCTGTTCATGTCTATTACTACTACTACTATTATTATTATTATTATTATTATTATACTCCACCTATCTGACTGGGTTGCCCCAGCCACACTGGGTGGCTTCCAACAAATATAAAAGCTCAATAAAACATCAAACATCAACAGCTCCCCTATACAAGGCTGCCTTCAGATGTCTTCTAAAAGTTGTATAGTTAACAGTCTTTGCAATATGTTCCTTATCTGGGGGCTCTTGGGATGGCAAACCCTTTAAGTTCCTCCCTTCCGAAAACATTATACATATATGTTTTCCTGTCTTCATGCTTTAAGATTATGACAACGACTCAGTGCACCATTGAAGCACACACACACCTTAAAAAAATAAAAGCAGCAAGATCAAAACTCACTGCTGGCATTTGAGCACAGCTCTTTGAGGGTTAACCTGAGACTGTACTGTGCAAACCAACCCTCCTCCTAATCCGAGCCCCATCAGGAGGAAAGTAAAAGTGCTTGCAAAGGTTAATCCCTGACCTAAAACAGAGCTGGCCTGTTCACACCAACTCCTGGCTGGAAAAAGACTTAATCCTTTGTTCCCAGCCATAGGTGGCTAAGCCTTTAGTTGTTCATTTCTGCCCTGTTCAGCAAACTGGGCTTAATTGAGGTGAGGCCGCGGCTTAACTTTGGGGAGTGAATTTAGGGGACCCAGAGAGGTGAAAGACCCCTTTGGTCCATGCAAATAACTCCAGAGCAACACAATCTGATGCAAGACACAACACCAACTGCCTTCGTTCTAGCAGAACTTCCTTCATCTCTAGATCATCAGAAAGGAATTTCCTTTACTCCCATCTCTTCACCAAACCATAAAGAAGGCTGATCGCCGAAGAATGGATTCTTTTGAATTCTGGTGCTGGAGGAGACTCTTGAGAGTCCCATGGACTGCAAGAAGATCAAACCTATCCATTCTGAAGGAAATCAGCCCTGAGTGCTCACTGGGAGGACAGATCCTGAAGCTGAGGCTCCAATATTCTGGCACCTCATGAGAAGAGAAGACTCCTTGGAAAAGACCCTGATGTTGGAAAAGATGGAGGGCACAAGGAGAAGGGGATGACAGAGGACGAGAAGGTTGGACAGTGTTCTCGAAGCTACCAGCATGAGTTTGACCAAACTGCGGGAGGCAGTGGAAGACAGGAGTGCCTGGCGTGCTCTGGTCCATGGGGTCACAAAGAGTCGGACACAACTAAACGACTAAACAACAACATTCACCAAACGCAGTGGGAATGCAGGTCCAACACTCCCCCCCCCCCGAGAAGGAGCTTTGATGCCATCAGGCAGAGGGTCAGGGTAACGAATTGCCAGAACCCCAGACTCTCACCTGCCTCAGCTTGGTTCCCACCATGGAGGCGCTGCTGTCGAGCACAAACACCACGTTCTTCGGCAATGGAGGGAGGTCCTTGGGGGCAAAATAGTGCACAAAGTATCCATTCAAAACCTGGTGGGATGAGAAAGAAAGAAATCAGGAGCTTAGCGCTGTGCCAACCACCTTGTAGAACTTCAGACCCAGGAAGTCCCACACAGCCAAGCCTAAAGGATGCTAGCAGCCCAGGTGTCACTGCAGAACTCTGGAAAAAGGCAATGAAAACTGGTCCATTAAGAGCATAGGAAGAGCCTATTGAATTTCTCTAATCTTCTTCTAAAGCCATCTAGGTTGGTGGCCCAAACTGCCTCCTGTGAAAGCAGGTTCATCAGTATGTGCTTTTTCATCTCTCCCGAATCTTCCAACAGAATGGGAAGAATAGAGCAAATCGGAATTGGTTGGCTGCGTCTGTTGTTGGCTCCGGCGCCACCTACTGTTCACCTCCCTCCTTCCTGTCCTACCAATTGCAATGAGCCTCAGTCTCCAGTTATCGGCCAAAGATCTGGGCGTTGCTTAGATCTCAGCAAACTGTCTGCGCCTTCAGATCCATGACTACAAGGTAACTGGCCGGGTCTGATCCAGGTTTGAATAGCAGCTTCTAGGAAATAGTTGCTGTTACAGGATCAAGATCAAACTTTGGGGAAAGGAAGAGATTATCTCTATCCCCTTGACCGTGACCATTGCATAACAAAAGGTTATGCTTAATTATAAGTTCACAAAGATATTTCCCAGCGTGGTTAGAGGTGGTGTCCATTGCTGCCCTCTGACAGATTTCAGGTTCGTCCTCCAAGTTTAGTCCAGGAAATATTGTATTTTGTGGGGAAACAAGGCCGATCCGGGCATTGAAGTTGCCTCCCAAGACAAGCCGAGGGTTGGGTGACAGAGAGTCTATACTTTCGAGTAGGTGGTCAAGTTTTCCCCAATATGATCTCAGTTCCCCACAAGACTCTACTGGAGGTATGTACACACAGATACAGTAAGTATTTCTCAGGAGACTATCAGAAAGGGACAACACTTAAAAACTAGGGGTGTTCAACAAGGGACACTGTTGAATTGATAGATTAAGAGAGGTTGACACCAGCACTGCCAGCCCCCTGCTAGGCCTTCCATACTTTACAGTTTTAATCATGCATTGCTTCTGGAATTTCCCAGGAGGCTTAAATCTACCCATGCCAATTTGCACTGTGTTGGCCAGGTAGCCTTTTCCCTTCAGAAATCTCTTTCACGAATTGCACAGCAAATAATGAAACGAATAGCAGGACATGCTACCTGGACATCTCCAGCACTCAGCTCCCTGCTGACGTCATATCTGACAACAAAATCTCCCAGGATGCCATTCCGTGCTATCTTGGATTGCTGGACAACGTTGGGGTTGAAGGTCACCTTGGCTAAAGTTTTTGTCTGGCCAACCACCGTTGAGGGTGGCGGGGAGATGTAATCTGGTGGGGAAACACACCGTTAAGTACCTAAGACAAGCTTCGTAAATAAGATCACTTCGTGCTACAACATTTTGTCGCAGTACCCACTTGTATTGCTGACTCTGGAACCCTGCAGCAAGCTTGTTCGTTATAACTCTGGCCCTTAATTGATCCCTGCATTGCTTTGGGATCCTTCCAACTCTATAATTTTATGATTATTACTGTCAAAAACGGTGGTGCAAAATTCAAAGAGCACTCGGTTGTTGTTTTTCCCAACCTTAAAACTGGTTCTGCACAATTCTTTAATTTTTTTCAATGAAAATTTGAATGCAACAGTTTAGTGCAAAAGTCTCCTAATGTACACATATCTGTATGCTGCCTTGCCTAATAGAAACATTTTTTACAACACAGTTTTCGCTAATTTAATGCATTTTTGTATGTCATTTCCAGTGATATATGCATATTGTGCACACCTTACCATGGTATATACATTCTGGTACACGTTTAGGGTTGCCACAATTTGAAGAGCAAAAATTGGGACACATTTGCCTACTTCTGCATTTAACTATTCATCACTATGACAACTCTACCTTGAAATGGAGGACATGTTCTGGGAAAAGAGGACATATGGCAACCAGATGGAGAACTGCGAGACAAGCGTCAGATAAGTAAAGGTAAAGGTAAAGGGACCCCTGACCATTAGGTCCAGTCGTGACCGACTCTGGGGTTGCGGCGCTCATCTCGCTTTGTTGGCCGAACCAGAGCAGCGCACGGAAACACTGTTTACCTTCCCTCCAGAGCAGTACCTATTTATCTACTTGCACTTTGATGTGCTTTCGTACTGCTAGGTTGGCAGGAGCAGGGACCGAGCAACGGGAGCTCACCCCGTCGCGGGGATTCGAACCGCCGACCTTCTGATCAGCAAGCCCTAGGCTCTGTGGTTTAACCCACAGTACCACCCGCGTCCTTACAGATAAGTAGCTCATTGCAAATTGGGTAAGTTCACCTTTAAATGTGAACTGAATCCAATTTCATAGAATTATAGAGTTGGAAGGGACCATGAGGGTCATCTAGTCCAACCGCTGTTGCAATGCAGGAATCTCAACAAAAGCATCCCTGACAGATGGCCACCCAACCTCTGCTTAAAAACCTCCAAGGAAGGAGAGTCCACCACCTTCTGACAGAGCTAGCGCTGCTGTTGAGGAGCTCTCACCATCAAAAAGTTCTTCGTCCATCTATAGCTGAGAATAAAATGACATTTCAGCAGGGATGGAGAGAGGAACTCTGGACTTTTGATGTCAGCTGGAATGAAGCCTGGGCATGAGATCATCCAAAAGGGCAAAACATATTGGCTTCAGTTCCCTATCCATCATTTTGTTGGTGGCAGCCCAAATCATTATAATAACTAATTTTTAATATCCCAACACCTGCCTGGCTCAGAAAACCGTTTTCCAAAAGTTGGTGGCTTGCAAGTTTCCTGCCTGGGGAAAACAAAATAGCTGGGTTCACATGTATCTTACGAAGAGAGCTGTCCATTTGCAGCCAACTATTTCATCGTCAGTCCCCTGGTCTCCTCGCTGACCCAAATAGGACTAATTTAGCCAGCTAGCCCTGGTGATCATCTAATGTTTATTGGATGGATTTCCCCCAAAAATTCATTTTTGAATTCTGAATTTATTGTTATTCACGTTTTTATACTGTATTTCATGCTGTTGCATCAATTAAGTGTTTTAAATTTGTTGTTAGCCGCCCTGAGCCCGGTTTTCTGAACTGGGAAGGGCGGGGTATAAATAAAAAATTATTATTATTTATTCCTCTTCTTGTTCAAGACGTACCATTTTTCTATCCCTCATTAATAGAGGGTTTCCGGGACGTGTGGGTGCAATTGATGTAAAAGCAAGCAAGGTTGGTCTTAATTTAAGGGTCCATCAGGGAAGGTTCATGAAGGAAACAGACTTAACTATCTGCAGAGGAAGACTAGAGGACCCCTTTTCATGAGTGGAGAAGGAGTTCAACTTGGAGGGGCACTGGGACGAGTGAACCCCTCAATTCTGGTTTCTCTCAGTTTCCATTCCTAAGTTCAGTTCTCCATAACATTTCCATTCACTTTCCCCTAAAGCAATTTCCCCTAAAACAATGCATGTCTGCATGTTCCCTTAACCAATATATACCGTATTTTTCGCTCTATAAGACGCAGTTTCCCCCTCCTAAAAACTAAGGGGAAATGTGTGTGCATCTTACGGAGCGAATGCAGGCGGGAGGCTCTGCTCAGCGCTCCCTTTAAAGAGCCACGTGCAGCGTGTGTGTGGCTCTTGGGGGCTTTTCCCCAAGGAGGGAGAAAAGCCCCCAAGAGCCGCACACACACTCCGCGTGCTCTTTAAAGGGAGTGCAGCCTCTCCTGGGCAGAGGAATGAAGGCTCCCCCTGCCCGGGAGAGGCTGCACGCAGCTATCCCATAAGCCAGAACAGCAAGAGGCTATCCCAGAAGCCAGATCCCTCTTGCTGTTCTGGCTTCTGGGATTCAGAATATTTTTTTTCTTGTTTTCCTCTTCCCAAAACTAGGTGCATCTTATGGTCTGGTGCATCTTATAGAGCGAAAAATACTGTATATGCAATTTACTGCACAATTAAGCCCAGCGTGTGACTTTTTGTGCACACTATTTGGCGGGAGAACTGCATTCTAAATTCAGCAAAGTGTGAATTTTGAAGGACGATTGCGTTTCGGTTCACGTGTTGCCTCGAATATTCAAATTAGACAGGTCCACCTTTAAATGAGAACGGAGTCAAATTTACTCCCATCCCTGCATCCAGAGACAGGGGTGGAATCTAGACACATATAAAAAACGCTGTGAAAATGCTTTAAAAAAAAGCGTTTTGAAAAATATATCGAATTTGCCATAAGCTCACCATCACCATCTAGTGTCACATTTGTATAATGCACTTAAAACATTGCATTTGCAGCTGAGGATCTCAGTCCTGAGTCCGTCTGAGCATCTTACAAGCAGAACATGAAGACTACCTTCTGTCTCCAGAGGAAGATTACAGCCCCTTTCCAATGCGTGGAAAGGAAGTTTAAGAGTGGGATTTTGAATGGGAAATGACTGGAGGGAAAGGGATTTTTTTGTTGGTTTCTCTAGATCATAAACACCCACAGTTGTTTTCCATTGTGAAGGCGGCTGCAGCAAAGAGTCTATTAAACCCATCTGCCATGTAACATTTTGTTTGACTCCAACACAGCAAGAAGTGAGGATGGGATCTTGGAAAAGACCGTCGGCTAGTTTAATGCCACCGAATTTCTTGCAACAGACACAGGCTGCTGTTCTTGAAATCTGAGCGTTGGCACACGACGCAGGTTCAGTCCCCACCTTGGGTCATTTAGCAAGACAGCCTTGCTAATTTAGCATGGTGTCTGCTAGGCTAAGCAACAGCGTCCGCATCCTTTCCCTCAGAGCTGCCAGTGTACAAAGGAACAATGAAAACTATGGACAGGGAAAAACAGAGGAGTGGCAGAATGGCTCTGCGTCGCCTGCTGGCTACTGCTTTTGGCAAACAGGGGGATTTCCATCACTGTAGAGCTGCTGGACTTCCTATGCGATTTGGCACAGCCAGATGGAAAAAACAATTTGCTTAAAATAAGCACGTTCCCAGGAGGAGATCAGGAGTCAGAGAGAATCGTTCTCAGATGCCGAAAAGTATTTTATTTCTCTGTTTACGTTTCCATCCCATCCTACGACAGGGTGACATGCATCTCTCCACTCGAACCTCACAACAACCCTGTGAGGTTGGCAGTGATGGATAGTAGGTAATAATAATAATAATAATAATAATAATAATATACCCATCTGACTGAGTTTCCCCAGCCACTCTGGGCAGCTTACAGGATATATAAAACGTAGTAAAATATCAAGCATTTAAAACTTTCCAATTCTAACTGGTCAATTTTGGTTTCTCTCAGGGGGTTTTCTTCTTCTTTCAAACTTAGATTCAGTTCCATAAATTTCTGCACCCATTTCTGATTTATATGTTTATTTAAAATCTACTAATTTACTAAAATATTTGTATACCGCTGTGTCGCAAAACATTCATTGAAGTGGTTTGCAACAATAAAAACCATATAATAAAAATCACTAAAATAGTAAAAAAAAACCAAAACCCAGACATTTAATCATTGCGGAAGGAAGTATTCTTAATTGCCTGTATATGCCTGGTGGAACAGAAAAGTTCTCAGCAAGCATTTAAAAGCTGGCACAGAAAAAACAAAAAACAAAAAAACAGAAGGCATCCGCTGAATCTCTAATGGCAAGATATTCAACAGTACTGGGCCACTTTCTCCTAATACACAATTTTGTGTCTGCAAATTTGCAAAACACACGCAGGTCCCGCTATATGTCTGTGCAAAAATTCACGTATCCAGACACACAAAAATTATACCCTGACCTTGCTACCTGCACAGCTGATTCAGATATCCGAACAGATGGAGCTTGCCATCTTCCTTACTGGTTTGTGCCCTGCTAGTCAACTGTGGCCACTTGTGGGCAAGACCCATGGAAAGAGGGAGCAGGAAGCGAGAACAGACAAATCAGGGAGCAGAACAGATTGGACAAACCAGTGTTTCTTTTGCCTCTCTTTTGCTGGTTGGCTGGTTGCCATTTTTGGAAGAAACCATGGTGTTGGCAGAGGTGGAGAAACCATGGATTGGAAATGCTCCCATAGGAAATAGAGGAAGCCGTCAGCCCGCTAAGCAAACCCTCAATGAATTAACAGTTTCCTGGGAACGCATTGTGTTCAGTAAGCGGGACCTGTGCGTATACATATTTTTGAGGTTTCCTTGAACTCTGATAGTGCCTCTTGCTTGCCTGGATGAAGAAACTAGTCCACTGTACAGAGGTAAAGATTGCCTCTGGCCATGCCCTCCTCTCCCAGCTGGCCCCTCAAAGATTGCCTAGAATGGAATTTGGCCCTTGGTGTGATAGCCTGGGACTCGGACTCGGACTCAGAACCAGAGGAGTCTCAGTCCGCACTGGATCCTTTGCCTCAGGCGGCATCTGAACCTAGTCTGGGGCCTGATTCTGAAGAGTCCCAGTCTGCACAGGTTCCCCTGCAACAAACACCAGCTGGGCCGAGTCAGGGGCCTGAGCCTGCCCTGGCTCCAGATGCAGGGATGACCTCGTTGCCTTCAGCTGGGCCATCACTTACAGCTGCTCCACTACCGGTTGGGTCAGGGGAGGCTGAGGCAGCCCCTGGGTCTGGTAACCCACTGACATCTCCCGAGTTGCAGGGACTAAGCTCTGAGAGAAGGAGAGACCTGAGTACTCGCAGGAGGAGTGCTTGCCTTTGGGCGAGACAGGGAAGTGAGTCACCGGGGGATCAGGACCGGCCATTACCCCGACAAAGATAAAAGGCTGTCGGACCCTGCCCCAGGTTGCGGGAGCAACATTACTGTTTGTTAGAACCTGCCTGTGATCCTGTGCCTGACCTTGCCTGGTGTCCTACCTCAGCCCTGTCGGACTGGCTCCTCGAGGAACCCTTGGATTTGGGACCGGACCTGGACCGTGTTGCTTGGGTTAACCCCTGGGCCCAGCACACTTGGCTGAAAAGCATTCCTTGCCCCCGTGTTAAGTTCTACTCACCTTCGCTGCTCCCATTGCCTCTGCTCTTGCTGTTTTGGAGAGGAAGGACTTCCAGAGAGACGATGCCCGAATTTTCAAGGATGTTCACCTCCACCCGTAACTTCCCTACCAGCTGCTGAGGCCGGATGCTGACCGTGTACTGATACTTCCCCAACCGTCTCTGCAAAAGCTCCTCATAGTGCAGTAGGAAGACGGCTTCTGTTTTCCGGGGAATTGTTCCGGAGGCTTTGAATGTCTCAACTCTGTGTTCCCTACCAGGAGAATTCAAAGGTGCATTTAGCATGTGGGTTTCAACAGGGCGTGTATTTTCATATACTTAGCACCTCATCCCCCACGGAGGCAAAAGGGCAGAAAGGAGACTACTTTGGTCTCAAAAACCAGGAGGAGGCGGTAGCCATCAAAGCAACCACAGCTCAATGGTACAGCATCTGTTTTCTGGGCCTTCGTTGCAGTCAAACCAACAATTCATATTTTGCCAGATAGGCACATGAAGGGCTAAAGCTCACAGAGCTTTCCCGTAAAATTTGCTAGAGAGAACTCTGTGACATCACTTCCTTTGTCTGCCTTGGCAGGAAGCTGTAACACTACATCCTTCCTTCCTGCCCGGGCATCTCTTTTCTTCTTCCTCATGTCTCCAAGCTGACCACATGTGCATGCCTGAGCTCTGCAGCTCAGATACCATTTTCAACACAGATTTTGTACTTTTGTAACTTAGACGGTGGGGACACGGGTGGTGCTGTGGTCTAAACCACTGAGCCTCTTGGGCTTGCCGATCAGAAGGTCGACAGTTCGAATCCCCACAATGGGGTATGCTCTCGTTGCTCAGTTCCAGCTCCTGCCAACCTAGCAGTTTGAATGCACGCCAAAAAGTGCAAGTAGATAAATAGGTACTGCTCCAGCCGGAAGGTAAATGGCGTTTCCATGCGCTGCTCTGGTGTTGGTGTTCTGTTGCACCAGAGGCGGTTTAGTCATGCTGGCCACATGACCCAGAAAAACTGTCTGCGGACAAACTCCGGCTCCCTCAGCCTGTAAAGCGAGATGAGCGCCACAACCCCAGAGTCGTCTGCAACTGGACTTAACTGTCAGGGGTCCCTTTACCTTTACCTTTTTAAAACTTAGATGGTAATCATAAACCTGCCTTCCTTTTGCTGCTGCTTCAATACCTAGCTTATGTAAGTAGATAGTACTTTTATTTCTTCACAAAACATTTTCTGTTTGGTTATTTTTAAGGGGGAGAAAAGGGACAATAACAGGGGAAATCCAGTTTGCCATAAAATAGCCTGGATTATTGTTTCTAGAAGGTTAAATCAGGCAGAGGGCCTTCTTGGTAGTGGCGCCTGCTCTGTGGAACGCCCTCCCATCAGATGTCAAGGAAATAAACAACTACCTGAGTTTTAGAAAGCATCTGAAGGCAGCCCTGTTTAGGGAAGTGTTTAATGTTTGATGTTTTATCATGTTAATATTCTATTGGGAGCCATCCCAATAGAAGTAGCTGGGGAAACCCAGCCAGATGGGCGGGGTATAAAATATTATTATTATTATTATTAGCCTTGTTTTAGCTTCCAAGTTTAAAGCTGCAAAGGATGGTACTCTGCTGATCTCACTCATGTGAGCAAGGAAGGATAATAACTAAATAATATATCCTCTCCTAAATCCATTCCTACATATTTCGCATGCAGAAGGTCTCAGGTTTAATCCCTGACCTCTACAGGTCAGGCTGGGAATTTCCCGTCTGAAATCCACGGAGAGGTGCTGCCAGTCAGTGTAGACAATACTGAGTAGATGGACCAACGCTAATGCTATTCTAGGCTGTGTCAACAGAAGTCTAGTGCCCAGATCAAGGGAAGTAATCGTACCGCTCAATTCTGCCTTGGTCAGACCCCACCTGGAGTCCTGCGTCCAATTCTGGGTACCACCATTTAATGAGGATATTGATAGGCTGGAATGTGCCTGAATCCTGCCTTGAAAGTTTTCATTGAGGCATGGTGACAAGAAGCCTCACATGCAAGCCACTCCAAACTGCAAACAGCTGGGTGGTTTCTGACGCTTTGAAACAGGGTTGCTTTTTTTAAGAAATGGAAAGAGTGAAATCCTTGCATTGCCTTGTAAGTAATGATCCACCCCCTTTTTCACATTTGCATTTCCACATGAATTGGCCAGGATTTCCCCTTAGAAATCTGTCCAGAGACCAGATGGGTCAAGTCCCCCATGTAAGACCTGGAACAGATCAAACTGCAGGAGGTTTGCCCCTCTCTATGCAATACCTACCCGTTATCTGTGGGTCTCGAATATCTGTTCTTTCTGTCTGTGCCCCCGTACTTCTGGTCCTTCCCGATTACTTCCCCGTGGTAAACCCTCTCACCGATGACCCTGGAGCCACGAAAGAGAGAATATTAGCTGCTGAAATATACATTTATTTAAAAAACCAGAAGCCTTTCTACTTGGAATAATAGGATTGGAATTGCCCAGAAAAGATGTTAGATTGATTTTGTATGCCACAACTGCAGCAAGAATTTTGTTAGCTAAAAACTGGAAATTGCAAGAAATACCAGCAGTGGAGGAATGGCGTATGAAGATGATGGACTTTCTGGACCCGGTCAACCTGACTGGAAGAATCAGCAATCAGAAAGAGGAGATACATCAAGAAGATTGGAAGAAATTTAAGGACTATTTAGCTAGATATTCCAATATAACGTAAGTAAAACTATTGTAAGTACCAAATTGGCCTAGGAGTAAAATGTGTTGAATTGTATAACATTTTGGACTGAAAATATTATGAGAAAGAAAGATAGCAACTTGATTAAGTTAATTTTATTAGAAAGTGGATACAGTGGTACCTCAGGTTAAGTACTTAATTCATTCCGGAGGTCTGCACTTAACCTGAAACTGTTCTTAACCTGAAGCACCACTTTAGCTAATGGGGCCTCCAGCTGCCAGAGCCCAAGCCCGATTTCTGTTTTCATCCTGAAGCAAAGTTCTTAACCTGAAGCACTATTTCTGGGTTAGCGGAGTCTGTAACCTGAAGCGTATGTAACCCGAGGTACCACTGTATTGGAAAACTGCTACAATGAGATCTATGGAAACTCAGTTAGGGGGGATTCAAGGAAGTCATTTAACAATGAAAACTAAATTGGGCTCTCAACAGATAGGTGTCTATATGTCTGTTTGTTTTTTTCCTTTTAATATTGCAAAAAAAATATATTATGTGTGTTTGTTGTAAATTTGGAAAACCAATAAAAAATTGGGGGGGGGGAGAGAATGTTAGCACGAAGGGGTGTAGGATCAAGTGGATTCTGCCAGCCACAGCTTTCCTTGTGGTGGTGAGAAGCACTACAGCTGGGTGGGCATTCCAGCCTTCTTATAAAACTGTCATTTTAAAAAATCTGAAATATTTTTTCCACCAGAAAGGAGATTTTTATGACTGTTTTATAGGAAGGCTGGAATGCCCAGATGCATCGCATCTCACCATTGTGAGGATCGGCTGTGACCCATTGGCCTGTGTGCCTCCTTCGGCTGCTGTTGAGGGGCAATTTCAAACTCTCCCCACCCCAGCTTTCCCCCACTTAAGGTTCTTCACCGTCAAATAAAGGACTGTTTCTGCAAAGTAGGCCACACGGCCATGTAGCTAAGTGGTCACATTTACACCTGGGCATTCCAGCCTTCATACAAAACGCTCATCAAAATCTCCTCTCATTGGGAAAATTGGTTATTTAAGTACGGCGAGCATTTTTGAATGCCGTTATACGACTGATTCTAGCAGGAGTTCCCAAATTGAGCTGGGGGGAGGCCATGGGATAACCTGGGAGGGATGCAAAAGAAGCAATGGGGTACCAGGCAGATGTTGGAGGTGTGTTTGACTACCAGACTTTGAAAAGCAAGTAGCAATATATCATGTTCATCAGGTTTGATGAATTAAGTACACTAAATAGTTTGTATCGGATTCTGAATACAGTGGTACCTCGGGTTACATACGCTTCAGGTTACATACGCTTCAGGTTACAGACTCCGCTAAGCCAGAAATAGTGCTTCAGGTTAAGAACTTTGCTTCAGGATGAGAACAGAAATCGTGCTCCGGTGACGCAGCAGCAGCGGGAGGCCCCATTAGCTAAAGTGGTGCTTCAGGTTAAGAACAGATTCAGGTTACGGACCTCCAGAACGAATTAAGTACTTAACCTGAGGTACTACTGTATTGCTGACATCCATGTGTCTCGAGAGGCAGTAGAAGGGGGTAAAGACAAACTGTTGGGGTTTTTTTATAAGATGTGCAATTACCGGTTTGAATCTTTATTGTGTTATAGTCCTTAGTGGGTCATGCAAACTGCTATTCTGAATAACATTTTTTATAGGGTAGGGGGCAATTAAAAAGCAGAGACATCACCTTGTCAACAAAGGTCTGTATAGTTAAAGCTATGGTTTTCTCAGTAGTGATGTATGGAAGTGAGAGCTGGACCATAAAGAAGGCTGATCACCGAAGAATTGATCCTTTTGAATTCTGGTGCTGGAGGAGACTCTTGAGAGTCCCATGGACTGCAAGAAGATCAAACCTATCCATTCTGAAGGAAATCAGCCCTGAGTGCTCACTGGAAGGACAGATCCTGAAGCTGCGGCTCCAAGACTTTGGCCACCTCATGAGAAGAGAAAACTCCCTGGAAAAGACCCTGATGTTGGGAAAGATGGAGGGCCCAAGGAGAAGGGGACAACAGAGGACGAGATGGTTGGGCAGTGTTCTCGAAGCTACCAGCATGAGTTTGACCAAACTGTGGGAGGCACTGGAAGACAGGAGTGCCTGGCGTGCTCTGGTCCAGGGGGTCACGAAGAGTCGGGCACGACTAAACGACTAAACAACAGGGGGCACTAGGGATGAGTTTATGGAACCAAGAGGGCAGTGGCCCAGAAAAAACCTGGGGGGAAAACTGGTTTATATAAATGCTGGAATACCCGAATGCACTACATCTCAGCATGATATACAGTGGTACCTTGCCTTAAGAACAGTCCTGTTTAAGAACGATTCAGTTTACAAACTCTGCAAAACTGGAAATAGTGTCCCGGTTTGCGAACTTTACCCCGGTCTAAGAACAGAATCCGAACAGTGGAAGGGCACCGGCGGCAGGAGGCCTCATTAGGGAATGCGTGCCTTAGTTTAAGAACAGTTTCGGTTTAAGAACGGACTTCCGAAATAGATTAAGTTCGTAAACAGAGGTACCACTGTATATTAAAAGGTATTCCTACATTCTATTGCGAGATCAAATTCCAGAAATTTGGTGTGCTGGGGTTTTTTTTGGGGGGAGGGTGTGTTATCATTTCAGAAAGTGCAAATATGTCTTGTCTGTAAATGCAATGTGGATCCCTTCATTCCTAGCCACAGGCTCAGCAAAACCTCTCACCTACATGGTAAAATTGGAGATGAAGGCGGTGATGGGTATCTGCATCTCAAACTGGCCTTCCCTGGGCTCCGAGCCGCTGTTCACCAGAGTGCAGGAGACGGTCGTAAATGCATAGCGAGAAATTATTGTGGATCTCACCAAGAATTCAGACATCCGGGGCCTGGTCTCCTGTTGGAAGAGAGCAGCCATTCCTTAGCGGCATCGCAACGTGTCGATGCACCTCCAGCAATCCATTACAGCTCTCTGAGCTTTGAGTACAAACGGCTTTCATTCATAACTGACTGCCAAGCAAATCCCTGCATGAAAGACCCATAGGCAAAGGAGTGTTGGAGTCTCCTTGGGTGTGAATGGAAGTTTGTGAAAGGCGGGGAGCTCAGCTTAGCAGTTGCAAATCATTCACGAAAGGTGAAGTCAGGACGTGGCACGTTCCTCAAGATCATTGATTCCGGATGGGTGGTTCCAAACGCCACGAGCAGAAGGGCAATTGGTTTTCTACACTGCTGGAGATATCCAACTTACTCCTCTTATGTTCTGCTACCCCCGGTGGGTGTGGCATAATCACTCGTAATTATTTCCAAATGTGCATCTTCTGATAAGTGCACTTTTTCAAATGGTTGTAATGTGTGTTCCTTCCCCTCCCCAGTTTTTTGTTTTTTTTTAAAACTGCTTTGAGGTTTTCTTAATAGTAAGCCAGGGATGGGGAACCTGCGATGCTCCAGGTTTTGCAAGACTACAAATCGCACAACCCCCTTGGCTCCACTGGCCATACTGAAAGGGCTGATGGGAGTCCAGAAACATATTGAAACCCTCAGGTGTAGTACAGGTGTCTCCCCACATGATTGTGTAGATCAGGCATCCCCAAACTCAGCCCTCCAGTTGTTTTGGGACTACAACTCCCATCATCCCTAGCTAACAGGATCAGTGGTCAGGGATGATGGGAATTGTAGTCCCAAAACATCTGGAAGGCCGAGTTTGGGATTCCTGGTGTAGATGCATACAGAAGGAAACTCCTTCTGAACTAAACAGCCAATCAGAGTGCCTCATGTCATGCTGCCTGGTTGCTAAGCAACACCTCCACCCATCTTCCCCCTTGGCTAGTTGAGTTTAACGCTAACAGGGTTAACCCTTAAGTTACAAACAGAATGATCTCTGCGGTTGCAACACAGAATATTGCCAACTTGTAACTCCGGTGCTTAAGAGCTTGCACACAGGTTACCAGCCAAGCTCAAGGTTCTTGTATTAATCTGCAAGTCTTAACAACATGACTCCAGGACATCTTGAGGACTTTATCTCCCTACCCGATCACTGAGATCCTCAGAGGGAGTCTCTGTTACTTGCACCCAATGGTTGAGATGTACAGCTTATCTCTACCAGGAGCTGTTGTGGCCCAAATTCTGTGCAACTCTCTCCCAGCCAAGATCAGACAAGCCCCCCTGTTGAACTTCAGATACTTGATGAGGACCTTTCCATTTCAGCAGGAGACTTAAGTAAGTTGCGCTTTATGTTTTCACCTGCAGTTTTTGTTTGTTTTAAGCGTCGTATTACTTTGATGGATGAGTTGATCTATGGGTTGTTGTGTGAACTGTTTTGTCACCCTCTACGGTGAAAAGAAGTCTAGAAATATTGGGAACAAAACAAGCAAACAAACTTGCAAACTCATCCTTTCTTTTCTTGCAAGGACAACAGCTTTTTGTAGGGAAATAGTAAGCACTGTGAACCTACCAATCTCTGCAGAAACCGGTTATGCCTTGGGACTCTTCGAGCAACCTGTAAAGGTAGGGACACTGTTATTCATTGTTGTTATGTACTGAGTTGAATAGGATCCAAAATGCAGCAGTCTGATTGGTCCTAGAACAATAGGATTCAGAATGCAGCAGTCTGATTGGTCCTAGAAAAATGTAGCAGTATGATTGGTCTGCAGGTTTCCGCAACGCAGAGTGCAGGCAGTGCAGAAAATCGGGACACATCGCCCGGGTGTGTCGGGCTCGGTCCACCCGATGCCAGGCATCAGATGACCGATCCAAGAGCCCCAGGTCCCGTGGCCCAACACACCAAGGCAACTCGACGGAGCTCACGGACTTCCAGGTATACCAGTTGCCCCACCCCAACGTAGAGAAAATTTATGTAGAGGTACAGATAGAGGGGGCCCCATGCCGCATGGAGCTTGACACGGGTTCAATTCTATCCATAATCTCGGCAAGGACCTTAAGGAAACTATGTCCTATTGGGGGTCCCAAACTCAGGCCAGGATGGTTTCAGGAAAATGTGTTGTAAACCTCATAATGGGAAATCACATTGCCAAAAGATGGGACTCCACAGCGCCATCTGGTGCCACAGTATTATAACGCATTTTTTAGAAACACAAACCTAACGAAGCTGATTTCAGAATTCAAAAAGAATTTCAGAAGCAGACTTGAAAGAGAAGTTGCTGAATTACAACTTATCACTAAGCTGAAAACTATGGAGAGACCTGGTCTGAATAGAGATATTGGATTTTTGTCTCATTACATATGCTAAAGTTATTTTTGGTCATCTGCATACTATCCCTTGCTTTTTGATGTAGGACTAATTGCAGTTGTTAACAGTCGTCAGCAGGTTTTCCATATCCTTTGAGTCAATCACCCATCTCCTACTACCCTCCTGAGAAAAACCCCCACCCCACCATCCCACTATATATAAGGGTCTGGTGACTTCTGTTTCAGCGTATCTGAACAAGCGTGCATGCACATGAAAGCTTATACCAAGAACAAACTTAGTTGGTCTAGGACTTGCCTATCAGAAGGTCGGTGGTTCGAATCCCCATGACGGGGTGAGCTCCCGTTACTCGGTCCCAGCTCCTGCCAACCTAGCAGTTCGAAAGCACGTCAAAATGCAAGTAGATAAATAGGTACCGCTCTGGCAGGAAGGTAAACGGCATTTCCGTGCGCTGCTCTGGTTCTCCAGAAGCGGCTTAGTCATGCTGGCCACATGACCCGGAAGCTGTACGCCGGCTCCCTCGGCCAATAAAGTGAGATGAGCGCTGCAACCCCAGAGTCATCCGGGACTGGACCTAACGGTCAGGGGTCCCTTTAACTTTAATGTGCTACTGGACCTTTTAAAATATATTTCTAATGAAGATGAGTCTCCCAAGATTAAAAGTCTCATGTTCTACCAACGGAACTATGGAATGAAGATTTCTTGCACTTCTCTGCAAGGGATGGTTGCCCCATTTCGGAATTTTTAGTTTAGAGAAAAAGTGAGTAAGAAGAAACTTAATGGAAGTTTGCACAAATTATGCATGGCATGGAGAAAGCATAATAGCGCACGTCTTTCTCCATCTCTTATAAAACTAGGACTCATGGATAGCCAATGAGGCTTGATGATGGAAGATTCAGGACAGTGTGATAAGAATTTTAAGGCCTCAGATATATATTAAATATTCATAAATGTACCAACCAAGCACGTACATAGATTAGCACAGGAAGACCGACCTGAAATCATTTTGATTCCCAAACTGACCAGATGTTTTCTCTGCAAGGTCAAAGGAAAATGGAAAAGCCTCCCCATTGTCTCTTTCCTCACAAATCCTGTCTTAAGGGCACATTTATGATATGCATAGGGTGTGAGCCTGTGACCTGGCTCAGGAACTAAGTATTTATCATTACAAAAGACTGGCCAGGCTCCAAGGCAATCCAATCAAGTGACCATTAAACAGGTAACCTGGCAGACAGGAGGTAAACAAAGCACTCAGATTTCTGCTGTAGACCGCCCTTTCTGTGATGTAGGTATGATGTATCTGGGGGGGGGTCTTGAGCTACACCCCTTCTGTGATATGCATGATGTATGGAGGGGTGGTCTTGAGCTCCAGGGCAGGGAATTTAAGATGTCTATATAAGGCCTTGCGCGCCATTGTTTGAGGTTCCTCCTCCCTCCTGCGTGTGGTGAGTGAGGACCCTGTTGCAACAGATCAATAAAGATCAGGTTTACAAGCTGCTTACAATATTCTCTGGTTGGCCTCTGTTATTTTCTCCTACCAATAGGGAACCTATGTAAAGACTCTATTATGGGCTCTTGGATACCCCATAAGGGGGGGAAAGGGGCAGATTTTTGTTTACAACAACAGCTAGAAGAAAGTCCTACTTCATGCAGCGCAGTGTGCCCAAGTCTTGCTAACAGGCTCCCTGCAGGCATCACTGAACTCATGAGTACCACACTGGCAATCCATGGTATAGGAAAGAAATCATTTTAACTGAGAAATAAACGGTTGCGGTCACGGGCAGTTTTGTACTGATCGATTGCTTGTTTAACCGTCAAGTTCTCCTTATATTTATACACACACACGTGCGCTTGAAGGCAAACAAATTCACAGGACAAAGCTGCGAAAATGGAATTGTGATTGTATTGCCAAGTTATCGTCGGTTGTGTCCTGGTTTGAATGCTGGAACGTGCAGCAGTCCAGCTAAGGAATGCATGGTCCTTGGCGCAAAGCCAAGCTATCCCCATAAAGTGTACACACACAGAGAGAGAGAGAGAGAGAGAGAGAGAGAGAGAGAGAGAGAGAGAGAGCCAGCTATGCAGGGAACCTTTTAGAATTCTGTAAGTCACGTTGCAGCCGTGCTGCTGCGATCCATGCTCTGGTAAAATACAAATAAGACCCCACTGATCTGTTATACATAGGACTACCCTTGGAACAGCCGTTGTTTCTGAGATGTTTATTTATTTATTTATTTATTTATTTATTTATTTCTTGCACTTATAGCCCTCTTTTTTCTCTTGAAGGAGCTCAAGGGGAAGGGGTACATAGCTCTCCCTGTTTTATCCTCACCACAACCCTGTTGTGGCAGGGAATGAATGATTGGGCCAAGATCACCCAGAGAGCTTCATGGCCAGGTGCAGATTTGAACCCTAGTCTCCCAGGTCCTGGAGATCTATGGCTGGAGGGCGGTATACAAATTTAATAAATAATAATAGCTATAACAATTGTCCAGTGTGGTGTAGTGGTTAAGAGCTATAGACTTGTAATCTGGTGAACGGGGTTTGATTCCCCGCTCCTCCACATGCAGCTGCTGGGTGACCTTGGGCCAGTCACACTTCTCTGAAGTCTCTCAGCCCCACTCACCTCACAGAGTGTTTGTTGTGGGGGAGGAAGGGAAAGGAGAATGTTAGCCGCTTTGAGACTCCTTCGGGTAGTGATAAAGCGGGATATCAAATCCAAACTCTTCTTCTTCTTCCACTACGCCCAGGGCTGGATTTAGATTTGATGAGGCCCTGAGCTACTGAAGATAAAAAAGGTAAAGGGACCCCTGACCATTAGGTCCAGTCGTGGCCAACTCTGGGGTTGCGGTGCTCATCTCGCTTTACTGGCAGAGGGAGCCAGCGTGCAGCTTCCGGGTCATGTGGCCAGCATGACTAAGCTGCTTCTGGAGAACCAGAGCAGCGCACGGAAATGCCGTTTACCTTCCTGCCGGAGCGGTACCTATTTATCTACTTGCACTTTAACGTGCTTTTGAACTGCTAGGTTGGCAGGAGCTGGGACCGAGCAACAGGAGCTCACCCCGTCGAGGGGATTCGAACCGCCGGCCTTCTGATTGGCAAGTCTGAGGTTAAGAACGGACCTCCAGAACGAATTAAGTTCTTAACCTGAGGTACCACTGTACAAACTAACAAACTGCTGGCTTGCATGAGTGTTACATCTCCCACTCAGCCATCTAGTCACCACATAGATAAGACGCTCTCCACACACAGAGTCAGGCAGTCAGGCAGGAGCAGAAGAGTAGAAGAAGAAGAGTTTGGATTTGATATCCCGCTTTATCACTACCCAAAGGAGTCTCAAAGCGGCTAACATTCTCCTTTCCCTTCCTCTCCCACAACACACACTCTGTGAGGTGAGTGGGGCTGAGAGACTTCAGAGAAGTGTGACTGGCCCAAGGTCACCCAGCAGCTGCATGTGGAGGAGCGGGGAAGCGAACCCGGTTCACCAGGTTACAAGTCTACTGCTCCTAACTACTACACCACACTGTTTGGTTTCCACCCCTTCTTTCTCAAAAAGATCAGGAGATTCTGTCAATGGGAGGGGTGAAAATATCAACACCCACCACCTCCTGAGGGAGTCCATTCCCCTGTCCAAGAGCTCTTACTGTCATAAAGTTCTTCCTGATGAGGGTGCAATCTGAATTTCGCATATTATGTGCAATATTTCGGCAAGGAAGAAAGGATGGTGTTCAGGGAAAGTGTTTCTACAGAATTCCCCTCTTAAAAGTGAGCAGTAAGCCCTTTCCCTGGTGAAAAGGAACAGGAACTTCAGGAATGTAAGGGTATATTTTGCCTCCCACCCACCCTACAATTTTCCTTGCTGTCAATTTATATCTGCTGATTTGCCTCCCAGAAATGAGATTTTTATGACTGTTTACATGGAGGCTGGAATGCCAAGTTGCTGGAGCTAAGTCACGCATTCCCCAGTGTCAAAATACACAAACAGCCTCGGTCCAGTATATCTGAAGGAGCATCTCCACCCCCATCGTTCTGCCTGGACACTGAGGTCCAGCGCTGTGGGCCTTCTGGCAGTTCCCTCACTGTGAGAAGCCAAGTTACAGGGAACCAGGCAGAGGGCCTTTTCAGTAGTGGCACCTGCCCTGTGGAACACCCTCCCACCAAACGTCAAAGAGAACAACAACTACCTGACATTTAGAAGACATCTGAAGGCAGCCCTGTTTAGGGAAGTTTTTAATGTTTGATGCATTACTGTAATTTTGGAAGCTGCACAGAGTGGCTGGGGAAGCCCAGCCAGATGGGCGGGGTATAAATAATATATTATTATTATTATTATTATTATTATTATTATTATTATTATTAGACCTCCTCTGCATCTGTTTCCACCCTTCTCTTGCAGACGCAGATTGGAAGTGATTTTGGTTCCAAGTATGGCACCTTCATTCATTTTCTTTCCAGCGATTTGACTCATTGAGGGTGTGGGGAGGGCTACCTCCATTTGTGGCTGGTGCCTATTGGAACTGGTAGGGCAGAAGGAAGGGAGCTCAACAGTAGGGGGAGCCAGAGCCAAGGGCAGGCAAAGCCGACTAGATCTAGCTTTGTCCTCATCCGCATTCCTGCTGTGTTCTACAAGTGGAACACTGAAAACCAAGGAGGAATCCAACAGCCAAGGCTACCTTCTGAACTGGTTGTAAGAAAGAAGATTGGCAGGTGAGGACAGCCTGAGGCTGTTGGGGCACTGACCCATTTGCCCTAATGGACTACCCTCCGCTGACCATGTTTCTTCATGGTCAGCTGTCATGGATTGGCTGGAAGAATAGGAATGGTGGGAGACACCAGCTGCGGAACCCCAAGGGAAGAAAGCTCAGAGCCTGGTGGGACGACAATGTGTGGTCAGAAGGAGAAGAGGAAGCAGACTGGGAGGAGAAGGAAGCTGAAGAGGCAACAGGGCTTAGTGAGCAGGAAGAGTCTGTGGCAGAGAGCAGCCCAGAATCAGAGGTAGAAGCAGAGGTTAGAGAGGAGGGAGGCCAAGAAGCAGAAATGAGTCAGGCTGGTTAGGAAGCCAGGCTGTCTCCCCTTCCTGCAGCGACCAGCTCCCTTCCGCTGGGTCTCCCAGAACCCAAAGAGGTATGAAGAGAGCAGAGCAAAGACAGGCAAGACAAAGGAGCCTCAGATTGGAAGGAACCTGCGGAGAAGAGTTGCTGTGCTCGCTAGGCCTGGATTCCTGAGTTGTTTGTTTGAATAAAGAGAGAGAACTTCACTGGCACCATGCGAGATATTGCTGGCCTGCTCCTGACACCAGCCCTCCCAGGACTGCATGCCAAGGGTGGTCGTGACCAGAGGCAAAAGTGGAAGGAACATGTTAAGTTGTGGGTGAACATATCAGACGACACAGCGATTCTTCAAACAGCTCTTGTTTATTCACAGGCCAGAACAGAACTGGGCTGAAGGGTTCAGCCAACCTGCTTATATACAGCTCAACTACAACGCAACTGTAACAACTTTCTGTAAATATCCAATCACTGAACATCACTTTCAATTTCTTATTTGCATATGTGGACCTGAGTGAAAACTATCTACAGTATCGCCCTGCTGGCCCAGGGTGAGAACTTCAGTACATAACAGAACAAACATGATACCTTTGCACAGCAGGCTACATCCCAACCATGCAAAAGTCACACTCACCTCTCCATCCTCAGTCTGAGCAAGCAAGAGATATTTTCTCAGCTCCAGAACACATGCCGTTGCTGTTTTCTGTTTTTAGCTAGTTTATTTTTATTGCCCTGTGCTCTGTGATGATGTTTTTAAATGTTGTAAACTGCCAACTTGGAAGAAAGGTGGAATCTAAATATATTTATAATTATAATAATAATTGCAACCAGACCAATGCACTGGAGAAGAGATCCGAGAAGTGCTGACTAGGGCTGTAGCCCAGAGAGATGGGTGTTGCCTAGGGAAGATTCTGAGGGCCATATAGTGTGGCCTGGGGGGGCCGCATTCACACACACACACACACACACGGCTGAAACACAACACCCTTGATCTAAAGCTTTTCTAGAATTTGAAGCAGGTATCAGGCATGTGAAAATGTACACTTGGCAAGTTATCATGCTAGTATTTCGAAGATTATATGTCAAAATATTGTTCTAAAAATGACATGCTAATAGGCTTAGAATAAAAAATGTAAGCAATAACAAAACCAATAAAGAAAGAAGGAAATAATCAGAATTTAACAAAAATAATTTGTTACAGAATGCAAGGAAAAAAGGTAGAAAGAAATATAATGAAGTCAAATTGCTGTGGAGGGAAGTAGAGGGTGGTGGGTTTTATAATTAAGTGTATGCAGCTGTTGTAATTTAGATATTATATTTTATGTGAGGGAATCATTGGGAATTCGGGTGATTGTGTATATATGTTAAGTTTCAATAAAGATTTTTGAAACAAAATGATGGGGGGGGGAATGATGGGGAGATAGTGCTGTGTAGTGGTTACAGTGTTGGGATATGACTTGGGAGACACAAGTTCAAATCCCTACTCAGAAATGAAACTCAGCCGAGTGACTTTGGGCCAGACACTGTTTCTCAGCCTAAACTACCTCACAGGGTTGTTGCAGAGATTTAATAAGTGGGGAGAACCATGTGCCCCACTATGAGCTTCTTGAAGAAAAAGCTGTGTTTTGAATACAATAAATGCATAATGCAATAAAATGTTATTAATAAATAAAACAACTGATTGGTTCAAAATTGGGAAAGGAGTACGACAGGGTGAAAGAGGAGAGCACAAAATATGGTTTGAAGCTCAACATCAAAAAAACGAAGATCATGGCCACTGGGCCCATCACCTCCTGGCAGATAGAAGGGGAAGAAATGGAGGCAGTGAGAGATTTTACTTTCTGGGGGATCCATGGTCACTGCAGATGGTGACAGCAGCCACGAAATTAAAGGACGCCTGCTTCTTGGGAGAAAAGCAATGACAAACCTAGACAGCATCTTAAAAAGCAGAGACATCACCTTGCCAACAAAGGTCCATATAGTTAAAGCTATGGTTTCCCCAGTAGTGATGTATGGAAGTGAGAGCTGGACCATAAAGAAGGCTGATCGCCAAAGAATGGATGCTTTTGAATTCTGGTGCTGGAGGAGACTCTAGAGAGTCCCATGGACTGCAAGAAGATCAAACCTATCCATTCTGAAGGGAATCGGCCCTGAGTGCTCACTGGAAGGACAGATCCTGAAGCTGCGGCTCCAATACTTTGGTCACCTCATGAGAAGAGAAGACTCCCTGGAAAAAACCCTGATGTTGGGAAAGAAGGAGGGCACAAGGAGAAGGGGACGACAGAGGACGAGATGGTTGGACAGTGTTCTCGAAGCTACCAGCATGAGTTTGACCAAACTGCGGGAGGCAGTGGAAGACAGGAGTGCCTGGCGTGCTCTGGTCCATGGGGTCACAAAGAGTTGGACACAACTAAACGACTAAACAACAACAATAAATAAAAAATAATTCCCCAGTGAAAAACCCCAGAGGGCAGACCTGTCAGCAATTTGGCTTATGCCTGTCTGACCCAGTGGCCCTTTCTTTAGAACGTCCTAAGAAACAAGACCTGCAGAGCAGATGTGTAGAAAACGCAATTGACGGACCGTTTTGCAGATTGCATTTCTGTCCTTGCAAAGCAATAACCCACAGGAAGGGCATGTGAGCAATTCAGTAGGCCGGGCTGACAGCTTTATAAACCTCTTGCTGGAACAGATGATGTTAACCAGCGCTACCACAACAACCCCTGGCAACAAGCGTGGGCATTTGTTTATTTCTGCCCCGGGGCGGAAAAGTGAATGACGTTAATATATCCTACGGCCAAGTCATTCCTTTGCAATGTCTCCCGCCCAACTAGCAACTAAGCTGCTCTCTCAAATGTAGTTCTGCAACCCAGTTTTGATTGCAGAGAAATCCCCTGGATTTGGAAATGCTTCTCTGACTTAAATATAGAATGAACCGGGGGGAGTAAAGTCCCCTCGACTGGGCTGGGGAAACCTTTGTCCAGATTCCAAAATATTGCAAATAGGAAACAGAGTTCTGTAAAACTATTTCATGGACCTGAAACCTTTCAGATGTGGCTGGAATTTGACTCTCATCCTCCCTCCCCACTGACCAGGCTGGCTGGAGACGATGGGAGTTGGAGTCCAACAACATCTGGACGTGGGGATATAAGAACCTAAGGAGAGTCTGCAGGATCAGGCCAATGGCCCCATCTAGTCCAGCATCCTTTCCTCACAGCAGCCAGACAGGATTCGAACACAAGACCCCTCTCGCCTCCTGTGGTTTCCAGCAACTGGTATTCAGAAGCACTACTTTAAAGCCCTATGCGGCCTAGGACCCTCGTACCTACGGGACCGCCTCTCCTGGTATGCCCTGCAGAGGACCTTAAGGTCCACAAATGACAACATTTTGGAGGTCCCAGGTTGCAAGGTGGTTCGGTTGGTTTCAACTAGGGCCAGGGCCTTTTCAGTACTGGCCCCGACTTGGTGGAATGCTCTGTCATAAGAAACTAGGGCCCTGCAGGACTTGACATCTTTCCGCAGGGCCTGCAAGACAGAGCTGTTCCGCCTGGCCTTTGGTTTGGACTCAGTCTGACCCTTATGTTTCCTTCCCCTTATGGTTTTGATCTATGGGCTACTTTTAAAATGAGGCTGCATTTTAAACTGCATTTTAACCTGTATCTTAAATTGGTTTCCCCACCTCCCCTATTATGTTTTTATTGTGATTTTACTGGTGTTAGCCGCCCTGAGCCTGGCTCTGGCCGGGGAGGGCGAGGTATAAATATTATTATTATTATTATTATTATTATTATTATTATTACTACTACTACTACTGTGGAGGCAGGGCAGAGCCATTGTGGCAAGTTGTTGGGATACTGCCAGGGAGATAAAGTCCATCAAGGCCCCCAAGCCGTCTGCCGGACGATCCATCGACCTCCCGTAGGCACGCAGCGACATGAGTTTCTAGAAAATATCTTGCCACATTCCAGACTCATGCACACTCTATCAGCAGATAATGCACAGCCAAAAGTTGCACTCAGGAGAGCATTATTTACAAGTTTATTCAGCGTTGATCAGAACACAGAAAAACATGACTGCCTGCTTTAGTGTCTATGACACAGAGAGAAAACGAAAGCAATAGCAAACATAAACATCCTGTGAACAGGACATGCGCAGACTCTGACTCACAAAGCCTGCTCCCTTTTAAGGTGGAACGGAAATATCCTAACACAAATAACCATTGGTAGCTCTTTCTTCCATGACTTTGTCTAATCCTGTTTTAAAGCCATCAAGGTTGGTCCTGTGGAAGAGGGTTCCATAGTTTCGGTTCCTCATCTTTGATGAATACACTGTAAACAACTTTAGTTACATTAACTGTACCCCAAAGGCACTTCCGCCCTGCAGAGGAGGTGGGATTGCGGGTGTCACGGCCCCACCACGCGCACGGCGGCTGGAGCCCAGCCCCTGCACGACTGGGGGAATCCCTGGCCGCGTCACCTCCTGGCCAGCCAATCGGCTGGCTCTGGGGGCGTGGCCTGCCCTATGTAATGCAGGCGTGGCCGGGGATCTCCCTCTTTTCCTGCCTACCAGCTGTTCTGGTTTCCCCCACCCTCCCGCCCTATAAGGTTTTCGTTCCTTGACCTTGCTATGGACCTTGGTTGGTCGCCGTTGAGGGGCCTGGTAAGAATTTTTCCACTTGGCAAATTGGCACCAGCCACTTGGTTTTCACCTACCTCGTAGCAAATCGTCACAACTTTCTTGGTATTGGCGGTTAGGCATTGGTATTGTTCTGTAGATGGAAGAGGGGAGGTAGCGCCATCACCTGCCCCACATATTGAAGGGTAGTCCGATAAAGGATTCCAGGGGGCGTGGCCCTGCCGGAAGCCTATGGAGGCGAGGGCCTAAGGCACACCCCCTAGCGGTGACCCCGGGGGAGTTCCTAGTTGATGTGCATCAGCAGGACTCCCCCTACTGGTGGTTAACCCTTCCCGGTCTTCAAGCGGACGGGCTGAAGCCGGATATAGTCGGTTAGGACCAATGCCTAAGCCAATACCGCTCATCACCTGTAACCAATAAAGTTGTGGCTTTATTTAGCCCATTAACCTTAATAATTGTGTCCAGTGGGGGGGGGGCGGTGTTAGGATATAGTTTCATTCCACCTTAAAAGGGTCAGGCATGATTGTTGTGTATCACATGCCTGTTTACTCCCAGCACTGTCTGCTGGGTACTTCCGTTTGTATATAGCTTTTGTATTCTGGCTGTTTTCCTGGACACAGAGGCAAGCAGTCATGTTTTTCCTTTGTTCTGAACTACGTTGAATAAAGCTGTAAATATGCTCTCCTGTCTGCATCTTTCGTTGTGGAGACTTACACTGTGCTGAAAGCGTGTGCACGGGTCTTGGAATGTCTTGGAGGCTCGTGTCGCTAATTGACTGATGCTGTTCCACGGGAGACCGGTGATCGTCCGGAGACAACTTGGGGGCCTGCCTGATGCCTCCGTCTCCCTGGCAGTATCCCAACAACAGGTTATGGGCCCAGATTCACGACTCTTACAAGAGAGTAAAACTGCTGAAGACTGTGAGAGGTATGTGGAACTCGCCACGCAAATGGTATGAAACTATTCAGGTAATGTTGGCTCTTCCCGCAAAATGCAACGAGTGCTTCACTGCCACCATTATTCCTTCTGTTTCCAGTGTCCTAGCATGAGTGCTGTTGGTCATGTAAACAAAATTGCTGTTCTCTCTCATACACACACACTGGGGAGTATTCGTATGCTGGGGAACACCCCAAAATTTTCACAACTACAAAAAAATGGGAGACGGATGCCACATAACCCTCACGCTCCGAGGTTGTAAGAAATTGATCATTTAGTGGGGCAGCTTATTGACTTTGGAACTCCCTGCCTATTGACAACAGCATACATCAAGAGACATCTTATTTCTCTCTCAGGGCTACCGTTTCCAGAGTGGTTTAACAATAAATCCTTCTTTCCCAGGGAACTCTGGGAATCAAAGCTCTGTAAGGGGACCAGGGGCTTCTTAGTACCCTCAACAAACTACAGCTCCCAGAATCCTTTGGGGCAAGACACGGCTGTTTAAAGCGACATGCTAATGCTTTAAATGCATGAATGTGGCCCAGGGCTGGTTTAATGATAATGAGTTGTTAAGAAAAGGAAGTAGGAGGAGCCTTGAAGTTGCCCATTAACAGCGAGCCTCTGGACGACAAATTCAGAGGCACATCTTTCACCCGCTATGGTGAAATGCATTCTGTTTCTACTGCAGTTATAGAATATTTTATTCAGTTCGTAACCCGCCCTTCCTCCCAAGGGAATCGAGGGCGGCAAACACATCAATTGCAATATCATTAACAACATTTTAAAAAGAAGGTTAAATGCGATCATATTTTCTCAGTCCGTGATTTCAGGCTTGTCAGGGGCAGTAACTTCCAGTCACCAAATGCCTGGAGTAAACAGGGATGTTTTTTGAATTCACTCCTGAAAGTCAATAATGAAGGATGGAGACACACCTCACGAGGGAGGGCATTCCACGAATGGGGAGCCACCACTGAAAAGGCCCTGTCATGGCTCGGATGTCAACTGAGCAAAGTAGAACAATGGGTCTACTTGGATATCATACCCTAGATGTTAGCCAGATGTCACCCACAGCCATTGACGCCAAATGTGCATTGATAAATATAAATCAGGGTGTGAAAAATGTATGCAGACCTATGCCTTCTTCCTGAGATCAGTTCCTTCTTTTTTGGTGATGTGTAAGTGGCTGCCTTAGGGACGCAGGTGGCGCTGTGGGTTAAACCACAGAGCCTAGGGCTTGCCGTTCAGAAGGTCGGCGGTTCGAATCCCCGTGATGGGGTGAGCTCCTGTTGCTCGGTCCCTGCTCCTGCCAACCTAGCAGTAACGAAAGCATGTCAAAGTGCAAGTAGATAAATAGGTACCGCTCCGGCAGGAAGGTAAACAGCGTTTCCGTGCGCTGCTCTGGTTCGCCAAAAGCGGCTTAATCCTGCTGGCCACATGACCCGGAAGCTGTACACCGGCTCCCTTGGCCAATAAAGCGAGATGAGTGCCGCAACCCCAGAGTCGGCCACGACTGGACCTAATGGTCAGCGGTCCCTTTACCTTTAAGTGGTTGCCTAAAGCTGCCAGGTGGGGGAGGATAAGGCTTGCTTAACCTTTACCCAGCCTGCTGCTGTTCAAGCCCTCTTTTCAGCTGTTGCCCCAAATGGAGTCGTCCCCCACCCCCTCACGAAAGACGCATAGGTAAAACACATTGAAAACTGCCCCTGTGGCCAGTGGCAGAATTGCAGAGGGAAAGTAGTGGGCATGGAAAGGGTTAAGCCTGTGGTGGGCAACCTGCAGGTGGGCCCTCCAGATGCTACTGGACTCCAACTCCCATCTTCCCCTGCCTGTTGCCCTTGATGGCTGGGGCTGATGGGACTTGGTGTCCAATAGCCTCCGGAGAACCTGCATCTCACCTCCAGATCACCTATTCCCCCCCACACACACTGTAAAAGTTCCTATTTCCTTTTGTTCTGCGTGTTTGCCTCTCACCTGCCGTCCAACCCAGGATTTCCTAGTGAATTCCTCAGGCTTGTTTAGTTAGGTGTTCCTGCGGTGTAAAGGACAACACGCCACTCGCTTTGCACGAGATCCCAAACAAAACACAGAGAATCTATGGAAGCTGAGAAAACAACCTGTGGATACCAGAGATAGCACCTTGAAATTGTCCGAAGGGGCGAGGTGCAACCCCAAGACGGACGAAGGGATATTTGAGCATTCTGACCTTGGCTTCTGAGAGAGTTGGGAATGGAAGGAAAGCCTTCCTAGATCAGACCAAAGGTCTATTTACAGTAAAGTCCTATGTCTACCTGGGAGAAAGTCTCATCAGGATGAGTGGGCCTTACTCTCGATTAAGTGTGCATAGGATCGCAGCTGAAGCCTAGTATTCTGATGAGCCAGATTGATTGAAATTCCAAAATGTCCATCATCAGGATGGGTTGCAGGGCAATATACAGCAAACCCCTCCCCCAAAAAGAATCACAGTATAATAGATGAGTTTGGATTTGATATCCCGCTTTATCACTACCCGAAGGAGTCTCAAAGCAGCTAACAATCTCCTTCCCTTCCTCCCCCACAACAAACACTCTGTGAGGTGAGTGGGGCTGAGAGACTTCAGAGAAGTATGACTGGCCCAAGGTCACCCAGCAGCTGCATGTGGAGGAACGGGGAATCGAACCCCGTTCACCAGATTACGAGTCTACTGCTCTTAACCACTACACCACACTGGCTCAGATATCTCAGTTATCCTTCAGCACAGAATAAAACTGAGAGGCAAGGAAACTATATTAAGCAAGCAGAGAGGGCTACAGGAAGCATCCAAGCCGGGTGATGAACATCCTCTGTTGTTTGTCCTCAGTACCAAGGTATACTGCAGTTGAAAAGGGAGGTTCTAGTTAGCTACCTGGGGTGGCATCATTCATGTTTAAGCAGGGCTGTCAAATCCAGCCTTCAAGAATGGGGTCCTCCTGCACCTTGAGTGTGCATATTGGTTTATTTATTTGCCAGGTGTGACTATCACCCCTCCAAAGTTAGGGTTTTCTTTAGCTGAGATTCCTGCATTGCAGGGGGTTGGACTAGATGATCCTCAGAGGTCCCTTCCAACTCTACAATTCTATGGTTCTGTGAAAGAACCATATGGACTGTCTCGCCAGAGTTGTGCATGCTCTGGTTATCTCTCGCTTGGACTACTGCAATGCGCTCTACGTGGGGCTACCTTTGAAGGTGACTCGGAAACTACAACTAATCCAGAATGCGGCAGCTAGACTGGTGACTGGGAGCGGCTACCGAGACCACATAACACAAGTCCTGAAATATCTACATTGGCTCCCAGTACGTTTCCGAGCACAATTCAAAGTGTTGGTGTTGAACTTTAAAGCCCTAAACGGCCTCGGTCCAGTATATCTGAATGATCCACCCCCACTGTTCTGCCCGGACACTGAGGTCCAGCTCTGAGGGTCTTCTGGTGGTTCCCTCGCTGCGAGAAGCCAAGTTACAGGGAACCAGGCAGAGGGCCTTCTCGGTAGTGGCCCCCGCCCTGTGGAATGCCCTCCTGTCAGATGTCAAAGAGAAAAACAACTACCAGACTTCTAAGACATCTGAAGGCAGCCCTGTTTAGGGAAGCTTTTAATGTTTAATAGACTATTGTATTTTAATATTTTGTTGGCAGCTGCCTAGAGTGGTTGGGGAAACCCAGCCAGATGGGCGTGGATACAAATAATCTATTATTATTATTATTCTATTACTATAAAGCGCTGCAAGAAATGGGAGCAGCTGGCTGCATTTCTCGTAGAACTCTTATTTATATGATAAGGAATCCCTTTTAGAGTCTAAACTTGCCAACTCTGCATATAAGGGGCGATTGCGAAGGTCTTTTCTTTAATTAGGCTTGCCACTTTAAAAAAAAATTCAGCTACCCCACCCTTTCATTTTAACAGCAGCTGGACACGCAGGAAGAAAACCAGCGAACCTATACCCACTGGGCTAGGAGAAAAGCTTTGCTTGCTAAATTATGTCGGATTGCTCCTCAAGTCACAAGAGCTGAGCTCCACACACCCTTTTGGCCACAGACCCACAGCAATAATAAAACCATTATTATTATTATTATTATTATTATTATTATTATTATTAAGATCTTACATTGTCAATGAGGCTGTAATCCAAAATCTCAGCTTCTTCTAGGTCCCTGGCTAGGAGTTCAGGATCTTGCTGTGCAGAAACGGCCGAGAGATGACAGCAAAGCCATACCAGCCAGATCATGGTGGAAAACACAAGCCAAAATTAGAGGAACTGGGTGGGAAAAGATGGGAAAGTTGTGGAGGGGGGGAGGTATTTGCTGCGGCTTCAGCCTGCCGCTCACTGAGATGGGGAAAGCATCTGACAGCAGTCTGCTTGGCTGCTCGCCTCGCCCTACTCTCCTCCCCTGGACCCAGCCCCTCTGCCAGAGTTCATAGCCAAGCCCGGGGTTTCCTCGCTCAAGTTTAATTTACCAGAAAGGGAAACACAAGCTGATCTTGCTGGATTTCCTGATAAAGTCTAGTTGCTCAGAAGCACCGCTTGCTTCGGCCAAGATTCTGGGTTTCATTTCTTCCAGATTCAGCTCAGTTAGGGAGAAGGGAGGGGGTGGGATTCGATTCAGTTTGCATTTAAAGGTGAGCCCACTTGTCCTGCACTTTCCTAAAGAGTGCACGAGCCGAAAACAAGGCTGCCCACCAAAATCCACGCTGTTCCAAATTTTGCAATGCAAAGGAATGTGCGCAGGAATGCATATACAGTGCATACACACAAGTGGCTATATTGTTTACAATGGAGCACGAATGTGCATTGTCTTGCAGGGAACGGCTTGCAAAGATGTGCAAAGCGGAATTCAAACAGATGTTTGTGTAGCATTGTGTGACTTTTCATAGTGGCTTTTTAAAAACTGGTGGGGAAGTGTGGAAAGCTGAATTTGGGGGGGAAATGAGAAACTGGTATTGACAGGTTTTCTCATCCCTGGTCCCAGATGTGCTCATGTCCTGCTTTCGGGCTTCCCTCGAACATCCGGTTGGGCCCTGTAAGACCAAGATGCTCGCCTGATCCTCCAAGGCTCTTTATCTGTGCTCCCAGCATCAGGCTGAAAGCTCTGGGTGATGTAAAGTAAGGCAAAGGTAGTGCCTTGGTGCATGTGAAGAGTGCTGTTATCGCTTTCTTCGCCCTAGGATTACAGGCCACAGCTTCCAGCAGAACTGAGCCCCACCACCTAGTTATTTCATGGAAATAACCTAGTTTCATGGAAATAACTAGGCAGCCTTCTGCAGGAATTAATTGTGGGAAACTCGGCAGGTCCTAGCCTCTCTCTTCTTCCACATCCACTAAAAGTAGCTGAAGGAAAGGAAGCTTTCTGCATTGTCGGCTCAGAGGAGGACTGCTGTATCATGACAACTGTTATGTACTGAAGTTCTCACCCTGGGCCAGCAGGGGGATACTGTAGATAGTTTTCACTCAGGTCCACATATGCAAATAAGGAATTGAAAGTGATGTTCAGTGATTGGATAGTTACAGAAAGTTGTTACTGTTGCGTTGTAGTGGAACTCTATATAAGCAGGCTGGCGGAACCCTTCAGTTCAGTTCTGTTCTGGGTCTGCGAATAAACAAGAGCTGTTTGAAGAATCGCTGTGTCGTCTGATGTGTTCACCCACAACTTAACAACAACCAATTGTCACGTTCCCCTAGAAACATAGGAAGCTGGCTTAAATGACTCAGGACCCTCAAGAACCTCGTCCCCACCCTATAAACCGACCTGGACTCTGCATTAATCATCTGAGGCCTTTCTTCACGTGCCTCCTTCACCTGAGGTCTGGAGGGTACCCACATGAGAAAGGGCCTTTTCTGCAGTGGCCCCCTGTTTGTAGAATGCTCTTCCTTTTCAACCAAGCCTTTGGCTGATTAATATTCTTACAGCCTTTTAAATGTGTTTGTGAGAGGACGGTTCTTGTTTTGTTGTTTCTGTTTTAGTTGTGCTTTATCTCATGTTTTTATCTTGTGGACCGCCCTGAGATCTTTTGACGAAAGGGTGGCATATAAATTAAATAAATAAATAAATAAATAAATAAATAAAATAGTGTATACCAAGTCAGACCGTTGGTCCATCCAGTTCAGTAACGTCTTCACTGACTGGCAGAGGCTGTCCAGGATTCTAGATCAGGGTCTGTCCTAGTTCTGCTTAGTTGCCAGGATTTGAACCTGGGACCTTCTGCATGCAAAACAGATGATCTGCCACTGAGAGCCATTCCTCTTCTCTCTCTCATCTCCCTCTCTCCTTTTGATAGTCAAGAACAGCTTTTGAGTGTCTGTTTTGTTTGGCACTGCACGCTTCACAAACGGGAACACGCGGATGCGAGCTTGTTTCTGCTCTTTGGCTGCTCCCAAGGAACAAAACTGTGCCCAAACAAACAGGTGTGTTACATGAATGAGTACATGCTCGGCCGTGTGGCGTGTCTGCAGGGCTCGGCGCAAGAGCTGTGCCCTGCAAAGTGGCCTGCATGCTCCAGAATGAAACATCTGAACACGTTTCCACTCCAAAGTGACAGTGAGCTGCTTGTGCCATCACCTGCCTTTCCACATTAGTTGTCGGCAACTGGTCAGTCCTGGGCCAAGGCCAGCCCGAAAAAGGTTGCCAGCTCTCTCGGAGGTCAAATAAGAACACCCACCCACACACTCTGTCCTGACTTGCCGGCTAATCATGCAACCAGCTGTTATTTCTGCCTCGGAGCCAGTTCCATACCAGCAGGGGAAACAACTGCAGGAAACTGAATAGGAATTCCTTTTCTGAATTTATTCCCAGGCTTCCACGAAGCTTGCTATCAGCACCACTGCCAACTGACCAGATAACCCCCAACCTGGAGTGTTCTTGTGTCCTTAACAGCGGTCGGAGGTGGCAAAAAATCAGTATGAGGAGCATGAAATGCGATTGCTAATGATTTTGCAATTGGTGGCATGTTTTGCTGCTGATGTTTCTTGCTCCTGTTTTTTTTGGGGGGGGGGTCTGTTTGATTGTTTATTGTATAGCTTGTTTTGTAGTGTAATTTCCTGTCACGGTCCAGTTCATGGGCGATCGAAGTCCCGGCTGGGGACGTTGGGACCAGGGCAAGATAGCGGTGTGGGAGCAGGAATGGGAGTCCAGAAGCCAGGAGTCAGAAAGCCAAGGGTCCGAGGGTCAGGAAGCAAGGAGTCACGAAGTCAGGGGTCCGAGGATCAAGAAGCAAGGAGTCAGGAAGCCAGGGGTCCGAGGATCAAGAAGCAGGGAGTCACGAAGTCAGGGGTCCGAGGATCAAGAAGCAGGGAGTCAAACACAGCAACGCAGGGAAAGTGTTGCTGTGGCAAAGAGCCAAATGGAAATGCTGACCTTATATCCCTTCCCGGCTCTTGCCACCAGGTGCTGTGAGTTACCAATCGGCCTCATCTGTGCGGCCGCGCCTTGCCTCTCCAGAACAAACTTAAGAAGGCCCCAGTCCTGCAAAGTCCTATTCGTCACAGGGCCTGGCTCCTGCATGCACACCTGACATTTCCCCCCATAACTTAAAAAAATGACTGCAGTATTCACCAATTCAAAACAAATTTGTGCAGGAGACAAAACTGTTCTATGAGCTATGCTTGAAAGTACTCTCAACGTTTGCAACGGCACAGAGAGAGCAGAGTAGCGGGAGGTCTCCTCGGGAGTAGGGAGGAATTTGATTCCGTTTGCATTCAAGGTGAACCTACCTAATTCACACTTTCTGACCACAGGAGGAATGACCACTGGAAGAAATGCCCTGGTGCATCTGCAGCGGCACAGCTGGATGCCTTTGCCTGCCCCAGCTGCAACAAAACATGTCTCTCCCATATCGGTCTCTACAGGCACAACAGGTGCTGCAACCTTCCAAAAGTTTGACAATGGCACACTCCTCCATCGTCTCCCGAGACAGATGGATGCCAACAAGGAATGTAAATCAAAATTGAGCCATCCTTTGAATACCACACATCTTCAGATTTTGCAACGCAGTTCTCCAGTCAAGTAATTTGTAAAGAACAAAACACAAAGTATATCCTCGGTTGTGCATAAGTATGTATAAAATGCATCTATTAGTGAACAGACCAGAAAGAATGCATTATATTAGGTGAAATCGCTTTGCAAAAATGTCTATGTAAGGCAAGACTGCATACACAAATGTGTTTTTAGGACCTGTTATGTACTGAAGTTCTCACCCTGGGCCAGCAGGGGGATACTGTAGATAGTTATGCAAATGAAGGATCGAAAGTGACATTCGGTGATTGGATAGTTTGTATGCAAATGAAGGATCGAAAGTGACGTTCAGTGATTGGCTAGTTACAGAAAATGGTTACTGTTGCATTCTAGTGGAGCTCTATATATGCAGGCTGACTGAGCTCCTCAGTTCAGTTCTGTTCCAGCTTACAAATAAAGAGCTGCTTTGGAAGAATCGCTGTGTCGTCTGATATGTTCGCCCACAACTTAACAGGACCCATCTTACTTTTATGGTTGTAAATCACAAGTTGTTTTAAATGCTTTTTAATATGGTTTTTATTTAATGTGTGACCTGCCCTGGGAGCTTACAGGGAAGGAAAGGTAGTAATAATAATTTTAAAAAGCCAGTGCATTGCCATGAGAACATTTATTATTTAAAAAACTAAACAAACTCACAGACTGATGTGGAAATGTGAAGAACCCGACTTGAGATCAGAAAAATGACAAATGCAGAGAAACAAAAATTGACAGATTTATTTATTTCTTACTCAGGAATCTGGAGCCAAGATCATAGAGGGGAGGTTTCTGGGTTCACATGTGTGGGGGCTCCTAGAGTTGGAGTGTGTTGTTTGTTTATGCAGGTTCTGGGAATGCCGTGTACTGGGATCAAAGTGAACAAAATCCGGAGCTAGATTGCTTTATTTGCAAAAACAAGTACAAAAAAGCAGAGACGCCACCTTGCCGACAAAGGTCAATATAGTTCAAGCTATGGTTTTCCCAGTAGTGATGTATGGAAGTGAGAGCTGGACCATAAAGAAGGCTGATAGCCGAAGAATTGATGCTTTTGAATTATGGTGCTGGAGGAGACTCTTGAGAGTCCCGTGGACTGCAAGAAGATCAAACTGATCCATTCTGAAGGAAATCAGCCCTGCGTGCTCACTGGAAGGACAGATCCTGAAGCTGAGGCTCCAATACTTTGGCCACCTCATGAGAAGAGAAGACTCCCTGGAAAAGACCCTGATGCTGGGAAAGATTGAGGGCACAAGCAGAAGGGGATGACAGAGGACGAGATGGTTGGACAGTGTTCTCGAAGCTACCAGCATGAGTTTGACCAAACTGCGGGAGACAGTGGAAGACAGGAGTGCCTGGCGTGCTCTGGTCCATGGGGTTACGAAGAATCGGCCACAACTAAATGACTAAACAACTAAACAACACAAGTACAGTGGTACCTCGGGTTAAGTACTTAATTCATTTTAGAGGTCCGTTCTTAACCTGAAACTGTTCTTAACCTGAAGCACCACTTTAGCTAATGGGGCCTCCTGCTGCTGCTGCGCTGCCAGAGCACGATTTTTGTTCTCATCCTGAAGCAAAGTTCTTAACCCGAGGTACTATTTCTGGGTTAGTGGAGTCTGTAACCTGAAGCGTCTGTAACCTGAAGCGTCTTTAACCCGAGGTACCACTGTACATAATGTGAAATCCGTAGCTAAATTATTTTCCCCGCCTTTGAACTATAACTGAGCACATCCCGCCACCTAGTGGTGCCCTGGGTAAGTACCGCCATCACACGCAAATAAGTTGGCCTGATGGTATTTGTTTTGCTAAGTTTCCCTTGGGATTTTTCTGCTCTCTAAGGCAGAGGATAGGGACCCTGTGGCCCTCCAGAGACCACAACTCCCATCATCCCTGGCTATTGTTGATGCTGGCAGCAGCTGATGGGAGTTGGAGTCCACTAATCTCTGGCGAACCACAGGATTCGCCCATCCCTGGTATATGGGCTCACCCGGATTAGCCTTTGATAATCCAGTTTTCTTCCACTTTTTAGGTGATTTTTTTAAAAAAAAAATCACCATGATGAAAGTTCTGGAAACCAAGCCTTGTGAGGGAACAGCTGATGAAGTTGGTTATGTTTAGCCTGGAGAAGAAGAGGAAGAGGTGATATGAATGCCATCGTCAAATATTTGAAGGGCCTTCACATGGAAGATTCTTGGGAGAAAAGCAATGACAAACCTAGACAGCATCTTAAAAAGCAGAGACATCACCTTGCCAACAAAGGTCCGTATAGTTAAAGCTATGGTTTTCCCAGTAGTGATGTATGGAAGTGAGAGCTGGACCATAAAGAAGGCTGATTGCCGAAGAATGGATGCTTTTGAATTCTGGTGCTGGAGGAGACTCTAGAGAGTCCCATGGACTGCAAGAACATCAAATCTATCCATTCTGAAGGAAATCAGCCCTGAGTGCTCACTGGAAGGACAGATCCTGAAGCTGAGGCTCCAATATTTTGGCCACCTCATGAGACGAGAAGACTCCCTGGAAAAGACCCTGATGCTGGGAAAGATGGAGGGCACAAGGAGAAGGGGACGACAGAGGACGAGATGGTTGGACAGTGTTCTCGAAGCTACCAGCATGAGTTTGACCAAACTGCGGGAGGCAGTGGAAGACAGGAGTGTCTGGTGTGCTCTGGTCCATGGGGTCACGAAGTCGGACATGACTAAACAACAACAACATCAACAACACACATGGGAGATGGAGCAAGCTTCTTTTCTCCTACTCTGGAGGGTAGGACGTGAACCAATGGCTTCAAGTTGCAAGAAAGGAAGAAGAGGAGTTTGGATTTGATATCCCGCCTTTCACTCCCTTTAAGGAGTCTCAAAGCAGCTAACATTCTCCTTTCCCTTTCTCCCCCACAACAAACACTCTGTGAGGTGAGTGAGGCTGAGAGACTTCAAAGAAGCGTGACTAGCCCAAGGTCACCCAGCAGCTGCATGTGGAGGAGTGGAGACGCGAACCCGGTTCACCAGATTACGAGTCCACTGCTCTTAACCACTACACCACACATGAGATTCTGACCAAAGGAGATTCTGACCAAAGAACAGGAAGAATGTTCTGAGGGTAAGAGCTCTTTGAGAGTGGGATGGATTCTCTCAGGAGGTGAACTCTCCTTCCTTGGAGGTTTTTTAGCAGAGGTTGGGTGGCCACCTGTCCTGGATGCTTTAGCTGAGATTCCTGCATTTCAGGGGGTTGGACTAGATGACCGTCGGGGTCCCTTCTAACTCTACTATTCCCCGCCGTTGGCCTCACCAGCCCCCGGTGCACCTGCAATTTCTGGTTCCTTCAAATAGCTGGAGGAAGAGGGCTTTTGACACTTAGGGGCTGTCTGAATTGGAATTCCCACTCCCCCACTGAGCATGCTCAGTGGCCACTGAATGTTGACCATCTACTGCAGGGGAGGGAAAAAGAATGGCTTGGCCGGGTTCCTGCACAGGGGAGCACCCTGCGCTGCAACATTCTGTTGCAGGACCAACTGATGTCTATTAACTAGAATAGGGGTCAGCAAACTTTTTCAGCAGGGGGCCGGTCCACTGTCCCTCAGACCTTGTGGGGGGCCGGACTATATTTTTTTTTGGGGGGGTGGGAAATGAATGAATTCCTATGCCCCACAAATAACCCAGAGATGCATTTTAAATAAAAGCACACATTCTACTCATGTCAAAACACCAGGCAGGCCCCACAAATAAGCCAGAGATGCATTTGAAATAAAAGGACACATTCTTCTCATGTGAAAACAAGCTGATTCCTGGATCGTCCGCGGGCCGGATTGAGAAGGTGATTGGGCCGGATCTGGCCCCCAGGCCTTAGTTTGCCTACCCATGGACTAGAAGATCCTTCCATGGATGTTACCAGCTAGGCCACCCCTGTTCTTTGGTGTTCTCCTTTGCGGCACGTCCCCCCCACTTGTTCTCCCCTCTCCTCCCCATCCTGAGCCGTGGCCAGGCTGATCTCCCATAATAGCACGTGACTCAGTCCAGAGGTAGAGGGCAAAAGCTACAAAGAGAAGCGGAGCAGAGCCTATCCAAAGCGGAGCCATTATCAGAGAATGCCGGCATGGAGAAGCCCCTGTTTGCACAACCCCTAACCTGTGCCCCCACTTGCGTTAGCAGGCAAATATTTGCCCGAGTCCGACCAAAGTTAGCATTTCTAAAGAGCCTTCAAAATACTAGAGAGCCTTCGGCGGCTGTTTTTAACTCCTCCTTGAACTTGGTTCGGCAGAGCAGAGAGACCGGCCACCCAGCCTTTATGCTTGCCGTTCTCAGGAAAGCAACAAAATGAAGCCTCTCGCTTATTTCTTCGTTTTGCTGTTTGCTTTGGAAATACGGGGCTTTGATTTCATCACTGAAGAAAACCCAGAGGTAAGCGTCCATTTCCACCTTAGGCCGCAACATTCTAAATCTACGGAGGAAAACAAGGAACAGGTTGCCTTCATTTCTCCCTCGGCTCTTTCTTTCTTATGAACTTTACGCACAAACCTCTTACAGGTCTACGCAGAAGTAAGCCCTGCTGAGTTCATTGGGGCTCATTCCCCAGCTAATAGGAACAGGACTCTGCTGACTTAATCAGCACAGTTGCTTTAAGTAAGATGGAACCAATTTAACCAGCTGGCAGTGCGATTCTATACATATACCTGAGTTTGCTTTTTACCTCCTCCTCTCTCATTCCCTTTTCCTCTTGTCTCTTTGGTCAAGTCTCTTAAATTATGAGCATGAGGGCAAGGATTGCCTTCTCTGTGATAAGTCGTCCTGGGAGTCTCTTTTCCAGCAGAAGAGTGGGGTGAAAAAGGCTTCTGCTAGTAATATTAACACTGAGTGGGCTGTTATTATTATTATTATCTGACCCATTCTCAAAGGACCTCAAAACGGAATACAGGGTCCTCCTCTCAATAGCCCTGTGAGGTAGTCAAGGCCAAAAAGTTATGATTAGCCGGAGATCACCCTACGGAACAACAGTTCTCAGAGTGCTTGAAAAATCCATCCATCTTCCCAGTGAGCTCTGGGAATTATAGGTCTGTGAAGGAAATTGTTGTTGTTTAGTCGTGTCCGACTCTTCGTGACCCCATGGACCAGAGCACGCCAGGCACTCCTGTCTTCCACTGCCTCCCGCAGTTTGGTCAAACTCATGCTGGTAGCTTCGAGAACACTGTCCAACCATCTCATCCTCTGTTGTCCCCTTCTCCTTGTGCTCTCAATCTTTCCCAACATCAGGGTCTTTCCCAGGGAGTCTTCTCTTCTCATGAGGTGGCCAAAGTCTTGGAGCCTCAGCTTCAGGATCTGTCCTTCCAGTGAGCACTCAGGGCTGGTTTCCTTCAGAATGGATAGGTTTGATCTTCTTGCAGTCCACGGGACTCTCTAGAGTCTCCTCCAGCACCAGAATTCAAAAGCATCCATTCTTCGGCAATCAGCCTTCTTTATGGTCCAGGTCTCACTTCCATACATCACTAGTGGGAAAACCATAGCTTTAACTATACGGACCTTTGTTGGCAAGGTGATGTCTCTGAATAGGAGTCTCCCAACAGTTCTCAGCACCCTGAATGAACTACAACTCCCAGGATTCCTTGCAGGAAGCCATGGCCACTAACGTGGTATAACAAGGCTTTAAATGGGGCCTCAATCGGATGGGGATTTGTGTTTCTGCATCTGCGTGTTCTTGGCAAGGGTATATTCTCTCGTTAGTAGCCGACTTGTAAAGTTTCGGCACCATTGCAAAATTCGGATATGTGCAAATTTCAGAGTTTTAGATGTGTTTCGGTTTGCATATCATTTTGGAAAGCACAGATTTGATAGATTTAAATGTGCACCGAACCAAATGTCTCCTCCATCCCAAATCCCAAGCCAACACTCTCTGATTCTTGATAGTGCAGCTAGGCATAACGTTTTGCAGATCAGTACGCAACGGGAGTGACAAACGCACATCAATTGTGCATCCTGCACAAAGCGAATTGCTGTTGTCTAGCCATCTTGGGTTGCTTGCAGCCTCCGTTAGCTTGACCGTCTTCATTCGCTTTCGGGTGGTAAGTTCACCATTGGTGTGTCTTGAACTGAACACATACCTTGCTCCCCTGATCTTGGCATTGGTTTTTTTCCTAGGATCTGGTTGATGTGAAGATTGATGGGTTCTCTGCGAGATCCGCTCTGCACCATGGCAGATACCAGGTACAAATTGCTCACTTATTTACTTATTTTACAAAGCACAGAAGGGAAAGACGTATAATGAAGAGGAGGAGAAAAACAGAATAGATACCTTGCAAAGCAAATAATTTTCTTAGAAGACATCTGCAGGCAGCCCTGTTTAGAGAAGTTCTTAATATTTGACGTATTATTGTGCTTTTAATTTTCTGTTGGGAGCTGATACCCCAGATTGGCTGGGGAAACTCAGCCAGATGGGCGGGGTATAAATAATAAATTATTATAATATTATTATTACTTAAATCCTGTGAGGTGATCTGCTCTTGGAATGTTGCACTCCCTCGAGTGGTTTTTTCTTTTTCTAACAAACATTTTTTTACTTGGTTTTTAAACAAATGCAAATGCAAGAACCATTAAACACTTTTCCAGCAGTACATCTAATGAAGTTTGTTTTATCCATTGTCTCTAGACATACACTTACATATTCAGCATTCAAACATATCACTCAATGTAACCCCTGCACTGAGAATATTGAACGTTTTTGTATAAAAAAGTCTTGAGATTTCGGTCATTAACATAGTTAAAGAAAGGGGACCGTGTTTCTTGAAAGGTGTCTCTATTCATTATGCCTTTAATGGCCCTCCTATGTCTGGTGAAAGGGACGTGGGTGGCGCTGTGGGTTAAACCACAGAGCCTAGGGCTTGCCGATCAGAAGGTTGGCGGTTCAAATCCCCACAACAGGATGAGCTCCCATTGCTCAGTCCCTGCTCCTGCCAACCTAGCAGTTCGAAAGTACATCAAAGTGCAAGTAGATAAATAGGTACCGCTCTGGCGGGAAGGTAAACGGCGTTTCCGTGCGCTGCTCTGGTTCGCCAGAAGTGGCTTAGTCATGCTGGCCACATGACCCGGAAGCTGTACGCTGGCTCCCTTGGCCAATAAAGCGAGATGAGCACCGCAACCCCAGAGTCGGCCACGACTGGACCTAATGTCCAGGGGTCCCTTTACCTTTTTATGTCTGGTGAGATGCTCAGACATTGCTATATCCCAGATATTATTTTCCCATAGTATTTCAGTCTGGTTCTTCCGTTGCTGAGCTAATCGTGCTGCGGTCAGTTAGAAGCCAACTAGTTTGCTGTGGCGCAGGCTGGAGCCTAAGTCTATGTCCAAAGACAGTTGGGCTAAGGCAGGATTCAGAGAAATGGGTTGGCCTGTAATTGCAGGTATAATGGAGAATACTCTATCCCAAAAGTTTTCAAAGTAAGGGCATTCCCACCATACACGAATAAATGAATCAAGCTTGCCACCTCCAGTGCTGCAGGTTCTCTGTTTCTCAATGCCAGATGCAAGTTGGACGGGCGTTGTTGTTGTTGTTGTTATTTTATACCCCGCCCATCTGGCTGGGCTTCCCCAGCCACTCTGGGGAATCAGCTCCCAACAGAAAATTAAAAGGACAATAAAACTTTTTTCTGACCTACTTTGGAGGCATCTGACTGGCTATTGTGAGAACAGGACGCGTGACCTTGTGTGTCTTCTGAAGTTCTTTAGGTTCGTACATTCACACAAGCTTTGTGTGCCGGAGGGCTCTGGGTCAATTCCAGTTATAAAAGGATCAGCTAGATGATAGACCTTCCTCTGCCTGAGACTCTGAACTTCTGCAGATCAGTGTAGACCAGTGTAGACCAGTGTATTACTGGTCTAGGTGGGCCCCTGGTATAAGGCAGCTGTGTATGTTACTATTCATTCAACCATTTTTAACCCAAGGTATTTATACAGGGATACAGGGCCGGATTTAGGTTTGATGAGGCCCTAAGCTGATGAAGGTTATGGGGCTGTCCTTTGTCAACAACAAATTGTCGCTGTTTTTCGTGTCGAATATATGCCATATGGTAATTTATGGACGTAATAGGTATCTAAAGCCATTTGCACATAACAAAATATGTATTTTATCAAAGTAATTGTGGAACTGAAATACAATTAAGAAGAAGTATATTAACAGTGAAATACAATTAAGAAGAAGTACCGGTATATTAATAGTGAAATAATTATTAAGCTCTAACTTAAAATGATTTTTTATCCATAACAAACTTAATAATGCAAACACATTGGCATTCGGCAATAACAAAAGTTCCTTTCGAAACACAATTTACAAAGACTCATAAGCTAGTCTCTAGAAACTTGCTATAACGTGAAATAATAATTGCAAACCAGTGATTTTTTTAGGGAGCAGGCTAGCAGGTGGAGCCCATTACTTACATCAGGCTTCCTCAACCTCGGCCCTCCAGATGTTTTGAGACTACAATTCCCATCATCCCTGACCACTGGTCCTGCTAGCTAGGGATCATGGGAGTTGTAGGCCAAAAACATCTGGAGGGCTGAGACTGAGGAAGCCTGGCTTACATCATAGGAGCCTACACAACACAAAACACTGTTGCTGTTATGTAGGTTTTATTTTATTTGTTTTTTATCTTATATTTTGGAAATGTACATCCAGGTTTTTTTCCTTAAATTTTTTTTGGGGGGGGCCAAGAGAGTGGGGCCCTAAGCTGTAGCTTGTTTAGCTTATACGTATATATGGCACTGTATTTATACAAGTATGAAGTCTAAGTCTTGGTTCTCATTTTATTCAACTCTCCCCCCCCCCCACACTCCCCAGAGAAGCACATCCGGTGATGACGACTCAGGAGAATTGGTGAGCCTGCTTATTGATTTTTCCTCTTTCTCTTCTATAATTTCCTGCCCCCCCCACCCTCAACCCAGTTAACCATTAGCAGGAGATCAATCCCACTGTTTGTTCAGAGTCCCCCCCACCCAACCAACCCCTTGATCTAGGTACCAGGATATTAACCAGCTAGGGTTTGGAAACAGTTGCACAATATTGTCCCAGGAGGCTGGAATGCAGATTGACAAAGCACCTCACCTCGCGGGGAGCACATCAAAAGCCACTTGTATTTTTCTTTCCAAAACATAATTACAGGATATTACAGTCTTTTGTTATTAGCCTGCAATCAATATATTTTTATACGCCATTTTATTTTAATATGCAATCTGTTGTGTGACATCACGTATGTTTGTAAGACCACTGATTTTATTTCTATCTTGCAAAACTGTAGGTTAACTTGTGGGCTGTTGTTTTTTACCATCTGATCTCACCCATAATTGTCACGTACGTTCTATATTTTCTGTAAACAGCTTAGAGGTTTAGATGATTGTGCCTGTTGAATAAATAGGCACCTGGGGTGGCAGTGGCTCGATTTGGCTCTCGGCGCCTTCTCATGTGGCTAGTCCTCATTTCGGGACCCCTCTGACGGCAGATCCATCTCTACTTTCACAAACATTCTCATGATCACTCATTGCTGGGGCTGGTGAATATAGAGGCACGGTCAGCTCAGCTGATGATCTCTAGGCTTGACTGATTCAGGAAAGGCTTCTCAAAACAAGTGCATCACTTGGCAAACCTTCCCCAAATCTCCCCACCCTAGAGATAATAAGCTGAGCTGACCATTCCCCAGGGCCAGATTTAGGTTTGATGAGGCCCTAAGCTACTGAAGGTAATGGGGCCCTTTATATGTGCAGCTGTCCTTTGTCAACAACAAATTGTCACTTTTTTTGTGTTGAATATATGCTATATGGTCATTTACGGACCCAAAAGGTAAAGGTAAAGGGACCCCTGACCATTAGGTCCAGTCATGACCGACCCTGGGGTTGCGGCGCTCATCTCGCTTTATTGGCCGAGGGAGCTGGCGTACAGCTTCCGGGTCATGTGGCCAGCATGACTAAGCTGCTTCTGGCGAACCCGAACAGCACACGGAAATGCCGCTTACCTTCCTGCCGGAGCAGTACCTATTGATCTATTTGCACTTTGACGTGCTTTCGAACTGCTAGGTTGGCAGGAGCAGGGAGCAATGGGAGCTCACCCTGTTGCGAGGATTCAAACCACTGACCTTCCAATTGGCAAGCCCAAGAGGCTCAGTGGTTTAGACCACAGTGCCACCCGCATCCCTTTATGGACCTAATAGGTATCTAAAGCCATTTGCACATAACAAAATACGCGCTCCGTTACTTCCGGGTCGCTGCAGAGTGCAACCCGAAAGCTCTCAGCCTGAAGCATATTTATCCCGAGGTATGACTGTACCACTGTATTTGGAGTTGCACCTGTCCCTTCTCTGACTCCTGTCGAAATCTGTTGATTCCTCCAGGTGGCGGGCGATGACAACATAATCCTCCATAGCTACAAGGTCCAGTCCACCATCACATCTCGACTGGCCAACACGATGGTGCGGACCAAAGTGGAAAACCGAGCCAGGCACCCACAGAACCTGGTCTTCGATGTTCAGATCCCAAAAGGAGCTTTCATTCACAACTTTACCATGTAAGTAAGAGCTGGCCTGGTTCCACCAGCTGGTATATGTGCAGGTGACTGTCTGCAGCCGGAGTGGGGAGTCGTACCTCGGAAGTCGAACAGAATCTGTTCCGGAAGTCTCTTGGGCTCCCGAAACATTCGACTTCCAAAGCGTGGCTTCTGATTGGCTGCAGGAAGCTCCTGCAGCCAATTGGAAGCCGCGGAAGCCCCGTCGGATGGTCGGCTTCCAAAAGAATGTTCAAAAAACGGAACAAGTACTTCTGAATTTTGATGGTTTGGGAGTCGAGATGTTTGACTCTCAAGGCGTTTGGAAGCTGAGGTATGACATTATTATTATTATTATTAATAATAATAATACCCCGCCACTCTGGGTGGCTTCCAGCGCCGATAAAAATAAAATGAAAACCTACTTTAAAAAAAACTTGAACCAGGCATGAACTAGAGGTTCCTGCAGAAAAACAGACACCACTTTTTAATTTTATTAATTTATTTGTATGTGTACTGCCCTTCATCCAAATATCTCAGGATAAAAAAATACAAAACAAAAAACAAAAACAAAATACATAACAAGAACAAAACAAACCCATACCCACCCCCCTCCCACAAGCACATTTATTTCAAAAAAAAAATCCGATGGCACATTATTCCACATCCTGGGACCTGAGGCAACCACCACCATTCTCCTTTCAGATCACAATCGTTCTTTAGAGGTATTTCTCGTGCTGCAGTGACAAAGGAATTCCCCTGCATTCCTCACACCTCCACTACCATTCCCCATCAACCAACGAGAAAAGAAATCACCTTTGAGAACTGTCAAATTATTGTCAGAGAAATTTTCATGGGATTTTTGTCATGCTTAGCTTATCATTCCAGGAGGCTGAGGGACACATGGATGAAATTTTGTGTGTGTGGTGATATCATTTTTGGATATATATATATATCCAAAAAATATATATCCAAAATATATATATTTCTAAAAAGAAAAAGTAGAAAGAACAAGAAAATTCCCCTCTCCTGCTTCCAAGTGCTTTGCGGCTGTTGATAAGATTCCTTGTTTGTGACTGGCTTTCTGCCCCTCAGGAATGTCAACGGCATCACATTCACTAGTTCCGTGAAGGAAAAATCTGCAGCCAGAAGTCAATATGCCCAAGCGAGAGCAAAAGGCAAAGCGGCAGGAATATTGAGGTATGAACCTGACTATAAATATATATATATATAGTGATGGACTAGGAGCTGGGAGACCAGGGTTCAAATCTACACTCTGCCATGAAGTTCACCAGGTGACCTTGGGCCAGTCAGTGTCTGTTGACCAACCCTACCTCACAGGGTTGTTGTTTTGAGGGTGAAATGGGGAGGAGGGACCTTGAGGTCCTTGGAAAAAAGGTGGGAATCAAATGAATAAAATTTAAAAGGAGGAATTCTCTCCTTGAGGGCCTCAGTCTCCAAAACCCAAAGGCCCGTTTTAAATGGATGGAAAATTGGTAGAAAGGCTTATCTCTCCCAGAAGTATTGGCCTCTGGGGGAGTGGGGAATCTGTTGCCGATCAATGCCTTATAGAACGTATTTCTGTGGAACGCCATAGTGAAACATCTACAGAAATGGCTTTTGAATAAAAAGCGCTGGTCACATTAATGGGCAACAGGTGCCCCAGTTAACATTAGACATGGCAAGCTGAGCCTGCAACAAATAACTACCGGTTTATCCTCACCTTCGAACAGGTGTGCAGACTGCCAGCCAGCCAGCCATTCCCTGTTCCAGGATACTCCATTCCATGCCCCCTTTCCATGGCTACAATGCTCAGTTTTGTTTTGGAGGGGGAATGTTACCCCTTAGGGCTTTTAAAAACATGTCTTGTAGTTCTGCAAACCTCCCGAGTTCACTGCCAGAGTGATATTTAGGTCTGTAGCCTTCTTGTTCAAAGAACTACCACTATTATGAACTGTTTGAGAGATTTCTAGGGGCAACTGGCTGACCACCGTTGGAAACAGAATTCTGGCCAATATTGGTCTGATCCACATAGGCAGTCCTTATATTTGAATGCCAGAAGGATGGCAAAGAACCAGCTCATTGATTCCCGGTTCACATAAGCTTATTTTTAATATGGCAGAAGCACAAGATGTTGGCTTGTCAGGGGACTGGTGAACCAGTCCTCCAAAAGTCTCAGAGCAATCCTTGTGTCCTGGCTTCACCCACCTTTTAATGATTTTCTGGCACGTGACGACTCATCATGTGGATCAGTGTTATCCTGAATCCTCAGATGCTGCTGGACTACAACTTCCATCGCCCCCTTGACTGTTGGTGAAATCAGCTGGGGATGATGGGAGTTGTGGTCCACCCAATCAGCTGGGAATGATGGGAATTGTAGTCCATCAAATCAGCTGGGGATGATGGGAGTTGTAGTCCACCCAATGAGCTGAGGATTATGGGAGTTGTAGTCCACCCAATGAGCTGAGGATGATGGGAGTTGTAGTCCACCCAATGAGCTGGGGGGTGATGGGAGTTGTAGCCCACCCAATCAGCTGGGGATGATGGGAGTTGTATTCCACCCAATCAGCTGAGTATGATGGGAGTTCTAGTCCGCCAAATCAGCTGGGGATGATGGGAGTTGTAGTCCACTTCTGGGGAACTCCGACAACGAACACTTATCTAGAAGATCTTGAGATGCCTGGAAGCTTTCCCAAGCCTGGTGCAACATATATGATTAGCAGAGAAGGTTAAATTGGTTATCAAATCAAATAAAATGGTTGTGTGGAAGATTTGTTTTCTGATGAACTGAATGGAAAATATTTTAAAGTGCAGAGATTTTTTTGAGATGTTTGGGGTCCTCTACCTGCCCCTGTCTCAATTTACTGCTGGCATTTTGGTGGCATGTTAAGGGCTAGGGAGTTTCTCCTCCCCTGTGTGTATTGATGACTGAATTCAGGAGCAACACCCTGGACATGGAGAACTTCAAAGCTGAACTCAACGTGCCAGGAGGAACCAAAGTCCAGTTTGAAATCCATTACCAAGAGCCAATTCGGAGGAAGCTATCGACGTACGAACATGTTATCCCCCTTCAGCCAGGCAGGCTGGCCAAACACTTGGAGGTAAAGCGAAAAGACAGGGTTGAAATTGTGGGTTTGGAGCACCACTTTAAAGACTTAGTTAATTTAATTTGCGGTCATATTTCATCAGAAATCTCTCAACAAAAAGGAATCTGTGTAACACAACACGAATTCCGTGTTCAAACCAAAGGAATGCTTGTGAGAGCCAGTGTGGTGTAGTGGTTAAGAGCAGTAGACTCATAATCTGGGGAACCGGGTTCGCGTCTCCGCTCCTCCACATGCAGCTGCTGGGTGACCTTGGGCCAGTCACACTTCTCTGAAGTCTCCCAGCCTCACTCACCTCACAGAGTGTTTGTTGTGGGGGAGGAAGGGAAAGGAGAATGTTAGCCGCTTTGAGACTCCTTCGGGTAGTGATAAAGCGGGATATCAAATCCAAACTCTTCTTCTTCTTCTTGTGCTGCTGCTACTACTGATTTTATGAAATAATTAAAAAAACACTAATTGCAATTCCACATTTTAAGTGCCGCAAATAAGCATCTCTGAACAATGTACACAAAACAAAACACAAATATAAATCATGCCCAATTATCAGAATCTATTAAGATGCATCAAAACGCAGCGTAATTTTGAAGCCATCCTAAATCGAAGATTCTTCCTGGCATGCTTTGGAAAGATGCACCGCATTTTTCTAGAGATGTTCCTGCTATTTCACTGTTTCTGTTTGTTGCTTCTAAACGCCTCTGCGCTGTGTGACCACAGGTGGACGTTCGCATCATCGAGCCTCAGGGCCTTCACTTTGTCCATGTCCCCAGTTCACTTGGAGACCAGTTTGAAGGTGTCCATACCATCTCCAAAGGAGAGAAAAAGGTAATGGGGACAGTCTCCCTGTGGGGAGAAACAGAGCTGCTGTTGGGGCAGGATTCTGGGGGCGGGAGCACAGGGCCCCACACAGCAGGAGAAGCAGGAGGGACCCACAAAAGCAAACGGGTGGCTTTCCACATTTTGAAGGAAGTGCTGTCCCCATCTAAAGAGGAACCCCTCCTTAAGACCACAAAGTCCAGACTGGTGAACCTCAGAAATGTTAGAAACCTGGAAGGTTGAGGGGCAGATAAAAGAAAGTACTTTTTCATGTAGTGCATAGTTACACTATGGAACCCCCTCATGAGGCAGTTTTGGATGGTTTTAAATAATGTTTAGGCACATTCATTGAGTTTAAGGCGACCAGTGGCTACTAGTCATGGTTACTAGTCATGAGGGATGCGGATGGCGCTGCGGTCTAAACCACTGAGCCTCTTGGGCTTGCCAATCAGAAGGTCGGTGGTTCGATTCCCCGCAACGAAGTGAAATCCTGTTTCTCTGTCCCAGCTCCTGCCAACCTAGCAGTTCGAGAGCACGCCAGTGCAAGTAGATAAATAGGTACCACTGCAGCAGGAAAGTAAAGGGTGTTTCTGTGTGCTTTGGTTTCCATCATGGTGTTCCATTGCGCCAGAAGCAGTTTAGTCCCGAGTTTGCCTATGCCTGTTCTATATCCTCCACAGTTTTGCAGTGGAAGGAAAATTTGTTTTGATGTTAAAGGGCCTAATCCAGACTGAGATTGCAGTTGGAGGGGGAGGAATAAAGCCCCTGTAACTGAAATCCCAATCTGGGATTTATTTAAACCCATGCATGCATAAAATTGCTTGTTTATCCGAACGGCACTGCATGAAACCATCCAGAGAATATAACCGAGGGGCACTGTAAAAACATTTAGGATAGACAGATAGTTGTTTTTTTAATTCTGCGTCATCTGCAAATGCAGGACTGAAAGGGGAAAGGAGAGCTTTTAAAACTGCCCGCAGGTTTTGCATTCAAATTATAGCTGTGGTTTATGCAAATACAAGGGGACACAGGTGGCACTGTGGGTTAAACCAAAGAGCCTAGGGCTTGCCGATCAGAAGGTCGGCGGTTTGAATCCCCATGACAGGGTGAGCTCCCGTTGCTCGGTCCCTGCTCCTGGCAACCTAGCAGTTCAAAAGCACATCAAAGTGCAAGTAGATAAATAGGTACCGCTCCAGCGGGAAGGTAAACGGCGTTTCCGTGCGCTGCTCTGGTTCGCCAGAAGCGGTTTAGTAATACTGGCCACATGACCCGGAAGCTGTATGCCGGCTCCCTCGGCCAATAAAGCAAGATGAGCACTGCAACCGCAGAGTCGGTCACGACTGGACCTAATGGTCAGGGGTCCCTTTACCCTTTACCTTTATGCAAATACAATCCGTTGCATGAAAATGCCTCACTTATGCCATTGTGATCTTCCTTCAAGGCTCATGTGTCCTTCAAACCAACAGTGGCGCAGCAACGAAAGTGTCCCACCTGTTCTTCTACAGCAGTCGATGGCCATTTTGTGGTCACTTATGATGTCAACAGAGACAGCAAAGCTGGCGAACTGGAGGTACATTAGCTCTGCAGATGGGGAGTGCTTTAAGGAGCATGCTTAGAAATGCGGGCTAGATAGTCGTCTATCAATTGGACTCTCTGGCACCAAAGCAAACGGCTTGGGGAGACACAGGCTAAAATATTCCATAGGAATGAGCAAGCCATAACTGCTTATTATTTCAATTTCATGACCCGCAAGGGTTGCCAGAAGTCGTGCCCATTTCAGAACTTCCAAAAATAAGTTCCTTTTCTAGGAAATGAAGCAGCTGGGTTCCTTCTTCTTATTTTGCAGATCTTCAACGGGTATTTTATCCACTACTTTGCTCCTGAAAACCTGGATCCCCTGCCGAAAAACATCCTCTTTGTGATCGACGTCAGCGGTTCGATGTGGGGATTGAAAATGAGGCAGGTAAGTGGCAGAAGCAGCAAGACATCTAACGTGGGAAGGTGTCTTCCTTTGGATAGGAGATGGTTTCATTGTTGCTGCTTTTTTAAGAAATATGGGGCAGGGGAACCTTTTTCCAGCCTGAGGGTGGCATTCGTTTCTGATCTTGCCAGAGGCAAAATTTTGCAGAGCTTCATGAAAAAGACCAATGGAATCAGTTTGACCTTGTGAAAGGTAACGTGTGTTTGGAGGGGAATAAAACACTGCATGTCCAGATTATTTAAAGAAATATTGTTACAGTGGTACCTCGGGTTAAGAATTTACGGTACAGTGGTACCTCGGGTTACATAAGCTTCAGGTTACATATGCTTCAGGTTACAGACTCCGCTGACCCAGAAATAGTGCTTCAGGTTAAGAACTTTGCTTCAGGATGAGAACAGAAATCGTGCTCCGGTGGCGTGGCGGCAGCAGGAGGCCCCATTAGCTAAAGTGGTGCTTCAGGTTAAGAACAGTTTCAGGTTAAGAACAGACCTCCAGAATGAATTAAGTACTTAACCTGAGGTACCACTGTAATTCGTTCTGGAGGTCCATTCTTAACCTGAAACTGTTCTTAACCTGAGGTACCACTGTAATTCGTTCTGGAGGTCCATTCTTAACCTGAAACTGTTCTTAACCTGAGGTACCACTGTAATTCGTTCTGGAGGTCCATTCTTAACCTGAAACTGTTCTTAACCTGAGGTACCACTTTAGCTAATGGGGCCTCCTGCTGCCACCGCGCCACCGCCATGCGATTTCTGTTCTCATCCTGAAACAAAGTTCTTAACCCGAGGTACTATTTCTGGGTTAGCAGAGTCTGTAACCTGAAGCGTCTGTAACCTGAAGCATCTGTAACCCGAGGTACCACTGTATATGATGAACACACAAGCAGGATTTGAAGTATGAACAACAGAAGGGATTGAAGATTCCAGGAGTTTTGTTGAGGTTTAAGAGATAGAAGACAGAGCACAGCAGAGGGAGAGGAACAGAAACACCTTGGAATAGGGGGTTGGGAAGTCGGGGGGGGGGGAGTTTTTTATTATCATGTATTGAAATGTATGTGTGAAAATTGGGAAAACTTAATAAAAAACTTTTTGGGGGGGTCTTTTAACAATGCAATAGCTTGATACAAGAATTAAGATAATGAGCTGTTAACGGTTCAGGGTTGTTTATTTTTTCATGCCTCTAAGAGGTTTTTAATGGAAAGGGAAAGTGCGCATCAGGGTTTATGAGATTCCATAGGAGTTAACACTGGGAGACCAGGTGCCATCTCTGCATACCTGTATCCCTGAAATATAAACAGATGCCAGAGGGTTTGCGGCATGTCAGGTGTCCGTGCATCAGCCAGGGTAGGCTCTGACCCATTAAAACTAAAATTTATCCCCTAATAATGAAAAATGTAGTCCATAATCTTAAACACCCTTACAAGGGAGAAATCTCCACTGAAGACAGTGGGTTTTGCATCTGAGAAAATAGGCAAGGGATTGCATTTGAGGTCATCATCGCCGCAATTGTTGATGGCCACATAGCTCACGAGATGAAGAAAATTGCACAATTCGCTAAGTTGCAAAATAGAACAAAATTTAGTATCTGCCAGTCGTTTTAGGCAATGCAGTGCTACAATTGTAAAATGGGTTAATATTCTATGGTTTTACGTTATAGTGGACGCTTGGGTTGTGAACGTGATCTGTGCGGTAGGCACGTTCGCAACCCGCAAAGCCCGCAACCTGCAGCGCCGCGTCTGCGCATGCGCAGGTTGCGCTTCGGCACTTCTGTGCATGCGCAAAGCACAATTTATCGCTTCTGTGCATGTGCAAGCACCAAAACCCAGAAGTAACCCGTTCTGGTACTTCCGGGTTTCGGCACGTCCGTAACCCAAAAACACGCAACCTGAAGCGTCTGTAACCCGAGGTATGACTATATATGAATGGAGAGTGGCAACCATAGTTATCACTGCAACGGTTCATTTTACAGACGGTTGAAGCCATGAGAACCATCCTAGGGGAACTCCGCTCCGCGGACCAGTTTTCAGTCGTCGACTTCAACCACAACGTCCGGTGCTGGAGAGACCAATTGGTGCGAGCCTCCAGATCAGAGACAGAAGCCGCAAAGAAGTACATTGAGGGGATCCATCCCAATGGAGGTGAGCATGGTACCAAAGTAGGTTTATGGAATGCATCATAGAAGCAATTAGAGTCAGAGGGAATCTTGCAGATCATCGTGCACAAGCCCTTGCTCAGCACAGGAAGCTTCAAACCACAGCATTGCTGGTAGGGGGTCATCTATCGTCTGTTTAAATGCCTCTGGTAAAAGAAACCATCACCTCCCAAGGCAAGCTCTTGCTTTTCATGTTCAGCTGAAATCTGTTTCCATTAAATTTGCATTACTTAGATCCCTGGATCAACCGTGAACTAGTCCAATCCATCTTCTCCATGACATCCTTTTCCGTTTTTGAATACATCTCACTTTAATCTTATATTCCCAGACTAAACACGCCCTGCTCTTGAAATCTCCAGTGCCAGATGGAATAATAGCAAAATATTACAAAAAACCAAGTGAGCAGCTGGTGAAGCCTTTGAAAGGCACAATGAATGAGATTTTAAAAACAGGAGAAGTTCTGGAAACATGGAAAGAGGCCTATATAACTTTGATACCAAAGCAAGATTTGGATGTGACGTTAGTAAAAAATTATAGGCAGATTTATAGGCAGATCTCATTATTAAATAATGATTATAAATTATTTGCATTTGTATTGGCAAATAGAATGATTTTTCTAAAAAATAATTCATTCATCATGACCAGGCTGGATTCCTTCCAGGCAGACAAATTAAAGATAATATCAGAAATGTATTGAATATTATAGAGTACCTGGAAGTGAGAAAAAAGCAGCATTAATGTTCGTAGATGCAGAAAAAGAATTTGATAGCGTTTCTCAGAGCTTCATGAAGAGGGTGATGGAGGAGATGGGATTTGGAATAAATTTTAATAGGGGAATGCCCACCATTTGTAGACGCCTCACCATCTTGGGTAACCCCCTTTTGCAGGACATGCTCTTGTTCAGCCTTCCCCAACCTGGTGCCCCCCCCAGCTGTTTTGGACTACAGTTCTCCTAATTCCTGACCATTGGCCATGCGGACTGGGGCTGGTGGGAGTTGGAGTCCAACCACACTGGGGAGGGGCATCATGTTGGGGAAGGCAGCCCTACTTCACCAATATATATGAGAGAAAAATAAGCAACAGAGTCTCATGCATGCAGTTGGAGGCAGCAAGGCTTCTGAATACCAGTTGCTGGAAACCAGAGGATGAGGAGGGTGTTATTGTGCTTGAGTCCTGCTTGCAGGTTTCTCACAGTCATCTGGTCAGCCACTGTGAGAATGGGATTTTAGTTTCTGTTTGCCACTGTGCAGCTGCTTGGAGTCACAGGACTCTGTTTACATTCCAGAGACCTTCTAGGCTGTTGGAAGTCTCACGGGAGACAGGATGTGACGTTAGTGGTTTCCTGTTCCTTTGTTCCTTAGTTGTTCAATTGCTCTTTGCTTTCATAAAGAGAGGATGTCTTTTCTGTCTGCATAGCTTAGAAATAAAACTCTTTGCAATGTAGCCATAAATCTCATCACTTCCGCATGCTGCTGGAAACTCCTCTTAATGGGAACGTGCCTGAGGCCTCATCAAAGGCTCAGGTCGTTAATTATTCGTCGGAGGTGATTCCGAAGGCTTGGCCGGAGGAAAATGAGGCTTTATCAGCTTGGCAGAGTGGAGATGCCGACATGGGATGCTAGACTTCATGGGTCTCTGGTCTAATCCAGCAGCCTCTTCTTGTGTTCTCATGTTCTTGGGACCCACCTGCACTACAAGGAAGCTCTATAACAGGCACCCCCAACACCCTCCAGATGTTTTGGACTACAATTCCTATCATCCCTGACCACTGGTCCTGTTAGCTAGGGATCATGGGAGTTGTAGGCCAAAGCATCTGGAGGGCCACAGGTTGGGGGATGCCTGCTCTATAATCATTTAAATACAAATTGAATTGTAATAGTTTCACCCAAAGAATCCTAGGATTTGTAGTTTGTTGAGAATGCTAAGCATTAGCTCTACTCTCGGGATGATTTGGGAGTGAGTGATCGTAGAATCATGGAATGGCAGGGTTGGGAGGGACCATGGGGGTCATCTAGTCCAACTTCCTGCAACGCAGGAATCTTTTGCCCACCGTGGGGCTCAAACCCACAACCCTGAGATTAAGAGCCTCATGCTCTACCGACTGAGCTATCTGCAGTGATGATCTATTAAATCAGATTATGTACACAGTATACTTGTAAAGCACATTTGAAGCGTGTTCCTCCCCCTGAAATAATTTTAGCTGCTGTAGTTCATTAAGGGTCACTGGTAATTGTAACTTGAGGAGGAGGAGGAGGAGGAGGAGGAGGAGGAGGAGTAAACTATTGTACTCAGAATTCAGTGCTCCAAAATTAAGGGTCCGAAAGCCCCACTAAATACTATGCCTGCAATACTACGCTCACTTACCTGGAAGTAAGCCCAATTGAACTCAACTCATTGAAGCCGCATTGAACTTGGCTTTACTTTTGAGTAAACATCTATAGGACTGCTCTGTAACTCTCCCATTGATTGGGGGAAATAGGGATGTCCTTAAATTCAATAGGATTTAAATGCGCCTATTTCCCTCTGTATCTGTCTGCTTATTGCCTCTTTCTCATTTTTTGAAACAGGAACAAACATCAACGACGCCCTTCTCCGGGCCATCTTTATTTTAAATGAAGCTACAAGTCTAGGATTGTTGGATCCAAACTCTGTATCCATGATCGTGCTGGTGTCAGATGGAGATCCTACCGTTGGTAAGAATCCTGCGGCTACAATGTGGTCCTGCTGTTGTTGTTTAGTCGTTTACTCGTGTCCGACTCTTCATGACCCCCTGGACCAGAGCACACCAGGCACTCCTGTCTTCCACTGCCTCCCACAGTTTGGCCAAACTCATGCTGGTAGCTTCGAGAACACTATCCAACAATCTCGTCCTCTGTCGTTCCCTTCTCCTTGTGGTCCTAAACATGACTAACTAGCCTGTGGCACCACTGAGTTCAGTGAAACCTGTTGCATGCATGCATGCATGTGCACACACAATATCCTTTCCATTGCCCATTCATGAATATTTGTTCTCATGATGCTATTGGGGCGGTCAAGCGTTTGGGAGCAGGGGAGAGATTGTCTCACTTTTATTGTGCTATATCTCCTCTGAAGAGCAATAATGTGGTAGCATTGGGGAGAGCATCGCAGCACAAAGGAGGTTTTTGGGTTGGGTGGCCAGTCCATCAGGGATTCTTTAGCTGTGATTGCAGGGGATCGGAATAGATCAGGGGTCGGCAAGGTTTACCTCACCCGGGCCGGTTCACACCAGCGGAGATCCCTCCATGGGCCGGACTGTGAGCGCCAGTGATTTCCAGTGTCTGCATCTTCATCTGCGCAGACGCGATTTCCAGTGACTGTGTCTGCACAGACACATTTAGCGCAGCACGCGGGGACTCGCCGAGTGGGTGGCTCGGTTTGGGGGCAGCTCGTGGACCGGTTAAACGACCCACCATCGGCCGCTTGTGGTCCATGGGCCTTAGGTTGCTTACCCCTGGAATAGATGATCAATTAATCAATCAATCAGTAGCTGAACTGGGTTCCACACAGTCATAAAAACAAAACAAAAAAGAGCCACAAAAACGCAAAGTAGATAGCAAAAACAGACAGCGTAACACTCAAAACAGAAGTGCGGCACTCAAATTGGAAGCACAACGCTCAAAATGGAGCACGTTCAGCTTCCGAAAAAAGTTCACGAACCGGAACACTTACTTCCGGGTTTGCAGTGTTCGGGTTCCAAGTTGTTTGAGTACCAAGGCGTTTGAGAACCAAGGTACCATTTCACCAAGAAACAGCATCTTGATTTATTCTTTTCCTTCATTTTGGGACTCACATGCAACACTTTAATGGAACAGTCCTGGGTGAATGTGACCATTTCCTTCTTTTCCATTCCCCATCAGGAGAACTTAAGCTGCCTACAATTCAGAAGAACGTGAAGAAGAACATTCGGGACGATATCTCTTTGTTCTGCCTTGGTATCGGATTCGACGTAGATTATGATTTTCTGAAAAGGCTGGCTCATGAAAACAATGGCGTTGCCCAGAGGGTTTTTGGGAACCAGGAGACCTCATCTCAAATGAAGGTGAATTTCCACTCTCTCTCCCCATTATACAAAATTTCATGGAACACAAAGGAGGGTGAGAATGAAAGGAAAACATGACACATCCATCCTCTTTACAAAAATCATCATCATCATCTTATCATCTGGTTATCTGTTAAATTATCTGGATTTAACAGAACCAAAGACTTGCAAGGGTTGTTGGAGGACATCTAAACTAACTTCTTGCAGGTGCAAGAAGTTCAGGGTCCCTGAACAGATGGCTATCCAGCCTCTGTTTAAAAATACATGGTGTGAAAGTGACCCCGTCAACTCCCAAGGCAATCTGTTACACTGTTGAACAGCTTATACAATTAGGACCTTTCTTCTAATAGAGGTGTTTTAGCTTGAGGGGCCAGATAACTGTGACAAGTTGGTGAGGCAAACCCACCTGTCCATCCCATGACATTCAGGTGTCTCACGATTGGCAGGTGGGTTGTCCTATCTATCTGTTGAAATCCCCTGCCTGTGGTTTTCAAACACCCAGCAGCCAGCTAGTTGGCTGTTGAACACTTAGGAATCACGGCGCAAAGGACATTAGCAGCAGCAGGCTTATTGCTAGTTCACGTTAGCTGAAAAAGGGACAGGAGAGAGCAAGAAGCAAGCAGTTGTGCTTACCTGGTTTAGCTGGCCAGTTGAATGGTTGCACACTAAAAATAGGACACCTGGAGGAACCCTTACAAAAAATAACTTTTATAGAATGAATGTAGAGGGTCTTGACTAAAGATCTTTGAATCCCATCTTCTCCTCCCTGTCCCCAGTTCCCCCACTGCTGTTCTGTCCTGTTCTTCTTAGGATACCAGACTCCCAGTACATTTCCGAGCACAATTCAAAGTGCTGGTGCTGACCTTTAAAGCCCTAAACGGCCTCGGCCCAGTAGACCTGAAGGAGCATCTCCACCCCCATCATTCTACCCGGACACTGAGGTCCAGCGCCGAGGGCCTTCTGGCAGTTCCCTCCCTGCGAGAAGCCAAGTTACAGGGAACCAGGCAGAGGGCCTTCTCGGTAGTGGCACCCGCCCTGTGGAACGCCCTCCCACCAGGTGTCAAAGAGAACAACAACTACCAGACTTTTAGAAGACATCTGAAGGCAGCCCTGTTTAGGGAAGCTTTTAATGTTTGATGCATTACTGTATTTTAATATTTTGTTGGAAGCCGCCCAGAGTGGCTGGGGAGGCCCGGCCAGATGGGCGGGGTATAAATAATAGATTATTATTATTATATTATTATTACTATCTTGCACATGCCTGATGCAAGTTTCTCTTAAAAACCAAGCTGTCCTCACTTCTCCTCCTCCTTGGGTTTTGCAGAAATTCTACAACCAAGTCTCCACGCCACTTCTCAAAAAGCTGGAGTTCAACTACCCGCACGGAATGGTGTCCGATGTCACCCACAACACTTTCCAAAACTATTTTGGAGGCTCTGAGATTGTGGTAGCAGGAAAAGTAGACACTGAAAACGTGCAACACTTGCAGAGTATGATTACAGCCACTGCCGTGAGTATAGTGTTTGCCCATTTATCTCTTTCCCCAGTGCAGATGTTTATGCCACTGTGGGGAGCTTTCTCAGTAGGGGTGGGGGGTGAAATTTGAATCAGTTTTTTATTTACCAGGTGAACTTACCTAATTCACAGTTCCTGAAACGATACGCAAACCAAATTGCAGCCATCTTTCAAAATTCACATCTGTAATGCAGTTCTCCAGCTGTTGCAACATGTACAGAAATGCATAGACTAGGCAAAACATATGTGAGATACGTATCCTAGCAAAAATAACATGCAACAGATGCATTTTATTCGGGGGAAATTGCTTGCAAAATTAAGTAAATTAGCCAAAATTGCATATAAAAATGTGCATATATTAGGAGCAATTCTCCCTAAAATGCTGAAGGATTTTATTGAGGACTTTTAAAATCAGGAATTCCCAAACCAATGTGGAAATGTGAAAAACTGAACTTTTGATCGGAAAATGGAGAAACTGGAAATGGACCGATTTTCCCATTCCTGTTTTTGAAGGATGGGTAAGAAACACTTTAACTGCATCAACATAGCACCTGAGGGGAAGTTTCTCACAAAAGGTCTTTGTATCGCTCTTATTTCTCTTCCCCATTTTTAGTCCAATGCACAGCTGGTCTTGGAGACTCTGGCCGATGTTGAGGGACTGGATGAGTTCCTGAGCAAAGATAATCATGCAGACCCAAAATTCACTGAAAAGCTGTGGGCCTACATTACCATCAACCAACTGATGGCGGAAAGGTGAGAAGGAAAGCATTCAGTGGATTTCCTAGAGCCTTCCCGGAAGAGAAAGAATTTCTGTAATTCTAGCTCTGAAATAATGCTAGTTGGGACCCAGTACTAGTGATTCTGTGTACTGTACAGTTAATACACATTCTGTGGAGTGGGATAGTGACTGGCTCAGTTTAAAGGCAAACTTGCTTAAATCACCCTTTAAGAAGCGCGGGTGGTGCTGTGGGTTAAACCACAGAGCCTAGGACTTGCCGATCAGAAGGTCGGTGGTTCGAATCCCCGCGAAGGGGTGAGCTCCCGTTGCTCGGTCCCTGCTCCTGCCAACCTAGCAGATCGAAAGCACGTCAAAGTGCAAGTAGATAAATAGGTACCACTCCAGCGGGAAGGTAAACGGCACTTCCGTACACTGCTCTGGTTCTCCAGAAGCGGCTTAGTCATGCTGGCCACATGACCTAGAAGCTGTACGCCGGCTCCCTCGGCCAATAAAGCGAGATGAGCGCTGCAATCCCAGAGTCAGTCACGACTGGACTTAATGGTCAGGGGTCCCTTTACCTTTAAGAAGCAACATGCAAACCAAAACAGTTTGAGAAATTCTCCCCCCCAAAATATATATATATATATATATATTCACAAATGGATATGGATATGAAAGGGAGAGAAACAAAATTTGACAGATTCACTCATCCCTTGGTAGTGGAGAGGGTTCATAGAATCACAGAATCATAGAAGGGAAAGGATCCTGAGGGTCATCTAGTCCAACCCCTGCAATGCAGGAATCTCTTTTAAAGTATCCATGACAGATGGCCATCCCACCTCTCCTTAAAAACCTCCAAGGAAGGAGAGTCTGCAAGCTTGTGAGGGAGACCATTCCATAGTCAAACAGCTCTAACAGTTGGAAAGTTCTTTGTAATGTTGAATCGGAAATCTCCTTCCTTGCAACTTGAAGCCATTGGTTTGAGTCCTACCCTCCAGAGTAGGAGAAAAGAAGCTTGCTCTATCTTACATGGGGCAGCCTTTAAGATAATTTGTTTTTGTACCACCTAGAAACCTGGCCACTACGGCTGCCCTGAAAAGGAACATCACAAAGAAGATCTTGCAGATGTCTTTGGACCATCACATTGTGACCCCATACACAGCAATGTTGATTGAGAGCCCAAATGGAGACGAGCTGATGTTGGCTGACTCGCCCCAAGACCGCAAAAGAGGGTGCTGCCCAGGTTGGTTCCACACTATTCCCAGTTGTCAGGGTACGACACAGCGCTACATAGGTCTGTAGGTAAAGGACGTGGGTAGTGCTGTGGTCTCAACCACTGAGCCTCTTGGGCTTGCCGATCGGAAGGTCGGCGGTTCGAATCTCTGCAATGGGGTAAGCTCCCCTTGCTCTGTCCCAGCTCCTGCCAACCTAGCAGTTTGAAAGCACGTCAAGTGCAAGTGTGCTGGTCCTGTGGGTTACCTGAGAGGCAAGGTCCAAGTCCGGTCCGTGGTCAAAGGTGCAACGTGGAGGTAGTCCGTAGTAGCTGAAGCTGGGTACAGGGCAGGGAGTCAGGTGAAGTCAGGAACAGGCATGCAAGCAGGGGGCCAGGGCCGGTCAGAAGCTCTGGCAGAAAAGCAGGACAGGGTTCAGGCAAGAACTAGCAACCAACAATGTTGCTCCCGCAACTTGGGACTGGGGCTGGCTGGCTTTTATCTGCCCCGATCCTCTGGTGACTTGCCTCTCCTGGCCTGGAGGCGAGCACTCCTCCTGTGAGAACTTGGTTCCCTCTGCTTCTCTGCCCTGAGCCTCTGCAGCTCAGGAGAGGCTGGAGGGTTACCGGACCCAGAGGCAACCTCAGCTTCCTCTGACAGGGCTGAGAGTGGAGCACCTGCAGGCAATGGGTCCTCCATCACCTCAGGAGCCAGAGCAGACTCGGCTGGTGCCTGCACCTGAGGATCCAGCACAGGTGAGGACCCTTCAGGCTCAGGCCCCAGCCCCTGCTCAGCTGGTTCTGGAGGCGGGGACTCCTGTGCAGGCTGGGATCCCTCAGGTTCAGCATCCGAGTCCGAATCCCAGGCCATCACACTAGGTATCGCTGCGACGGGAAAGTAAACGGCATTTCCATGCGCTCTGGTTTCCGTCACAGCGTCCCATTGCACCAGAAGCAGTTTAGTAATGCTGGCCACATGACCTGGAAAGCTGTCTGTGGACAAACGCCAGCTTCCTCGGCCTGAAAGCGAGATGAGCGCCACACCCCATAGTCGCCTTTGACTGGACTTAACCATCCAGGGGTCCTTTACCTTTTCATAGGTCTGTTGTAATTTCATTCCCTTTTTCTTACAGGTGCTTTAGCTGTTGGCCACCCCAAGCCTGAGAATTCCATCCCAGCTTGGGCCAAGCCCACATCCGGGGCAAAAGATCCTTCATCTCTCCTCATGGGCCCAACGGCATCAGCCATACATGCCGGTAAGAGAAAATGGGTCTCTGCATTGTGCTCACTTGCTTCCCCCCCCCCCCGCAGTGACCATATGGGGGAGGAGAGTGCAAAACCTAAAGACAGGGGAAGCCACTGAAATTTATTAAGCCCATTGTGATTTAGCCTGGAGAAGAGAAGGCCGAGAGGTGATCTGATAGCCATCTTAAAACATCAACAAGGCTGTCAAATGGAGAAAGCTTATTTTGCGCTGCTCCAAGGGGTAATATGTGAACCAATGGATGCAAAATCCAAGAAAGGAGATTCCAACCAAACCTTAGAAAGGACTTTCTGATGATAAGAGCTGTTCAACCATAGAACGGTCTCCCTTGGGAGGTTATGGACTCTCCTTTCTTGGAGGTTTTTAAGCAGAGGTTGGGTGCCAGCATTGCTTGAGTTGAGATTCCTGCATTGCAGAGGGTTGGACTATCAGGGGTCAGCAAACTTTCTCAGCAGGGGGCTGTTCCACCATCCCTCAGACCTTGTGGGGGGCTGGACTATATTTTTTGGGGGGAAATGAGTGAATTCCTATGCCCCACAAATAACCCAGAGATGCATTTTAAATAAAAGGACACATTCTACTCATGTAAAAATATGCTGATTTCAGGAATGTCCACGGGCTGGATTTAGGAGGCAATTGGGCCGGATCTGGCCCCCGGGCCTTAGTTTGCCTACCCATGGACTAGATCATTATCAGTCCCGTAAGCCACACATTCCATGTCTAGTTCTGGGCCCCAGAATTTAAGAAGGATGTTGACAAGCTGGAAGAGGAGGGTGACCAAGGTGATCAAGGGCAGGGGTAGGATGTGGCCCAATCACCTTCTCAATCCGTCCCGTGGACGGTCCGGGAATCAGCGTGTTTTTACATAAGTAGAATGTGTGCTTTTATTTAAAATGCATCTCTGGGTTATTTGTGGGACATAGGAATTCGTTCATTACCCCCCTCCCAAAAAAAATATAGTCCAGCCCCCCACAAGGTCTGAGGGACAGTGGACCTGACCCCTGGACTAGATGGTCCTTAGGGGTCCCTACGATTCTATGACTTTATTTGCTGCAGAGTTTTGTCTGTGGGTTAGTAGGGACGCAGGTGGCACTGTGGTCTAAACCACAGAGACTAGGGCTTGCCGATCAGAAGGTTGGCGGTTCAAATCCCCACGATGGGTGAGCTCCCGTTGTTTGGTCCCAGCTCCTGCCAGCCTAGCAGTTTGAAAGCATGCTAGTGCAAGTAGATAAATAGGTACCACTCCGGCGGGAAGGTAAACAGCGTTTCCATGCGCTGCTCTGGTTCGCCAGGAGTGGCTTAGTCATGCTGGCCACATGACCCGGAAGCTGTACTCTGGCTCCCTCAGCCAGTAAAGCGAGATGAGTGCCGCAACCCCAGAGTCATCCGCGACTGGACCTAACGGTCAGGGGTACCTTTACCTTTACCTTTTTCGTCTGTGGGTTAAGGGGAAGGGATCGCACTATGACTCTGTGGCTGACCCAATGCACAGTTGAGGCACTGGATGGGCAAGGATGGTGGGCAGGAGGCTGCTGAGGGAGTCTTGCAGCAGATTAAAGGGCAGCATCCATGAGAGGTTCTTGCTCAGTACCAGCCGGTACCAGCAGCACAAAGAGGGGGGCAGGAGTGAAACTGAAGGTAAACACAGGAAGCTTTGAGAAAGCAAGAGTGAAGAAGGAGCCAAGAGAAGGTGGAAGGGAACAGGACAGGCTGTGAAAGAAATTAGGCTGCCCCAAGGAGCCTACTGGAAGGGAGGAAGAGGGAGAGAAGGAGAAAGGGGAGGTCTGTGGTGGCTAGAAGCGGACGCTATGTAAAGAGGAGAAGTCAGAAACTGGCCAGGAAGGCTGAATGAAAACAAATGAACAGAATGTTTCCAGCGGTGAAAAGGAGTAACAAAACTCTTGAAATAAGACCCACCACCACCACCTGCTGGTTCTCTGAAGGGGGAGAGACCACCTGTGGTTCTGAGGACTCCTGCAACGTTAGCCAGGTAGCAGCTGACATGGGTCTTACAATGCCTGGGTATTTTATTTTTATTTATTTATTGCATTTATATCCCAGAGCTCCCTAGGAAGAAGGAGTGATTGTTAATCCACTCTGGGAACTGTAGCTCTAAGAGGGGGAAAGGGGGTCTCCTCACAAGTCTCAGCAAACCCTCAGCAAACTACAGTTCCCAGGATGCTCTGAAGAGACGACTCTTTGAAGCGTTATTGTTATGTACTGAGTTGAATAGGATCCAGAATGCAGCAGTCTGATTGGTCCTAGAACAATAGGATCCAGAATGCAGCAGTCTGATTGGTCCTAGAACAATAGGATCCAGAATGCAGCAGTCTGATTGGTCCTAGAACAATAGGATCCAAAATGCAGCAGTCTGATTGGTCTGCAGGAGCCACCCAATCCAACTCCTGGTGGAAGTTAATCCACAACCTGATTGGCCAACAGGAGAATCCCGGAATTAGCCAATCACGTGGGGCCCATTGTGTAAATAATGTATGTAAAGCAGACATTTCGGGGGAACTTGCATTCGTCACTATGAGCTGAATAAAGAGCATGAAATCCACACTCGACTCCGAGTATATTTCAGTTATATTACCTCTTTCTTTCTTTCTTTCTTTTTTAATTTTATTTATACAACAAGAAAAACAAACAAACAAAAAACACAAATACCGAATTACACACAAATTACAAAAATAACCATAGACACTTAATATTCTTAGCAAACAATAAAACATCTATTGGTCTTAACACTAAAGACCCAACCTCCCGTCTATTCCATACTTCAAATTCATATTACTTATTGCCAATACCCTTTCTTTGACATAATTAAACATCTTCTCATTAAATCTAATTTCTTATATCTACCTTGCAACTATTACTGAAGTTCCTCGAATGCTGCAACAGAATTTAAACTACTATATTTATTTTTCAGATATTCTTTAAAAACCTCCCATTTAGAAACAAATTCCTGTTTTGATTTATTTTTTACTGATAAACCATCTAATTCAGCATATTCTGTCAGCTTTTGGATCCAATCTTGAATAGAGGGGATTTCATTACTCTTCCATTTTGCTGCGATCAAAACTCTTGCTGCCGCCGTCGCATATAAAAAGATACCGTTCCTCCTTTGTGGAATATCCAAATCTGTTATTCCCAGGAGGTAGGCCTCTGGTTTTTTATTGAAAGAGATCTTTAGCATTTTTTGCAGTTCTGCATGTATACTCTCCCAGAATACCTGTATTTTCCTACATATCCACCACATATGGTAGAATGTTCCTGAGTCTCCGCATCTCCAACAATTACTTGATACATTTTTATACATTTTTGAAAGCTTCCATGGTGTTAGATACCATCGATGTTGCATTTTTGAAAGTTCTCTCTAATCGTGTAACAATTTGTGAATTTCCAATTGATCTTCCATAAATTTTCCCATTGGGCCATGGTTATTGAGTGGCCAAAATCCTGGGACCACCTCACCATTGCCACTGTTACCTCCTCCTCCTCGACTGTCCAGTCAAGGAGGAGTCGGTAAGTTTTGGAAAGAGTTTTTTTTTTAGAATTTAGAAGATCAGATTCGAATCGGGAAATTTCTGTTGAGAACCCCTTTTGTTTGTCAGATTTAAATTTTTCAAATAACTGATGGTATTGGAACCAGTCTGAAATGTGGTCTCTTATTTCCTCAAAGTTTTTAAATTTTATTTGGTTATCTTCATTTTTAGAAGTTATTTTATATGTTGGCCAGCTTTCCTGAGTATTTTTCCGTTTTACTGCTATGGCTTCTACTGGAGAAGTCCACCACGGGACTTTAGGCTCCATCAGGTCTTTATATTTTTCCCATACAGCAAAGAGTGACTTTCTTATTATATGGTTGGTAAAGTTTTTATGAATTTTCGCTTTTCCATATATTAGGTAGGCGTGCCATCCCCAACGGTTGTCAAAACCTTCCAGGTCGAGGAGGTCCGAATCCTGCAACGTGCACCAATCTTTTAGCCAGGTGAAACATGCTGCCTCGTAGTAAAGTTTTAGGTCGGGTAGGGAAAAGCCTCCTCTCTCTTTTATGTCTATTAAGATCAGGTGTTTAATCCTAGGTTTCTTCCCTTCCCACAGGAATTTGGAAATTTCTCTTTGCCATATCTTGAGACAACCTGCTTCGCCCAGTATTGGAATCATTTGAAATAAAAAGATTAATTTTGGAAGTACATTCATCTTTATAATGGAAATCCTACCCAGAAATGTTAATTTTAGTTTACTCCAGGTTACAAAGTTTTTTCTAATCTCTAACCAAGTTTTGGTGTAATTATCCTGAAATAAGTTTATGTTCTTGGGGGTGATCCAAATACCCAGGTATTTCGCTTTTGAGGAGATTTTCAGGCCCAATATTTTTTCTAAATCGTCCTTTTCTTCTGTGGTTACATTTTTAACAAGCATTTTTGTTTTTGTTATATTCAGCTTGAAGCCTGCCACTTCTCCAAATTCTTTAATCAATTCCAGCACTCTTTTCAGACTTTCTTTAGGGTTTTCAGTCATAACAAGTAGATCGTCCGCGAAAGCTTTAATTTTATATGTTTTGTTTCCCAGAGTGATGCCTTTAACAAGCTGATCCCTTCTTATCTGATTGTTCAAGACTTCCATCACCAAGATAAATATCAGTGGTGACAGTGGGCAGCCCTGTCTGGTTCCCTTGTTTATTTTGCACTCCTCAGTAATTCTTCCATTGATGATCAATTTTGCATATTGTTCCGAATAGATGGCATTTATTCCTTTACAAATATTTTCTCCCAGTCCGATTTCTTCCATTAATTTTTTCATAAACTTCCAGGACACATTATCAAAAGCTTTTTCAGCATCCACCAACATAATAGCTGCTGGTTTATCAATTTTAATATCCAAATATTCTAATACATTAATCACACATCTAATATTGGATTGCATAAATCGTCCGGGAAGAAATCCAGTTTGATCTTTATGAATTATCTCTTTCAGCACCATTTTTAATCTATTTGCAAGAATGTCTGTGAATATCTTGTAATCGTTGTTTAGCAGTGCAATGGGTCTATAACTGGCCATGTTTGAGGCATCTGTTCCCTGTTTGTGGATAAGAGTAATAAAGCTGTCCTTCCAGGTTTTCGGTAGCTTTCCATTTGCCAAAATGTTATTCATTAGGTCTTTCATGGGAAGAAATAATGCTTGTTCTAACTTTTTATAGTAATTAGCTGGGAGACCATCTGGGCCTGGTGTCTTTCCTACTTTTGATCTCTGTATAGCTTGTTGCACCTCCATAGCTGTTATTGGTGAGTTCAAGATTTCAGTTTTTTCCTTAGGTATTATTGGTAGTTTATTTTTGCCCAAATAATCAATTATTTTTTCTAGAGTCTCTGGGCCTTCTTTATATAGTTTTCCGAAAAAACTAGCAAAGTTTTTACTAATTTCCTTCGGTTCTTGAATCCACTTGTCTTCAATTTTAATTTTATTGATAATTCTATCTTCCTTTTTCTTCTTTAATTGCCAGGCCAAAAGTTTGCCAGGTTTATTTGCAAACTCAAAATTTCTATGTCTCAACCATTTTATCTTCCATTCTATCTCTTCATTTATTATCATGGAGAATTGCGTCTGTAAAATTTTTATACTTTGCTTAATTAGTTCATCATCTGGTTTTTGGAAAAGGATCCTTTCCTTTTTTCTAATTTCCTCCCATATCTCCATTTTCTTCTTCTCCCTTATTTTCCTTTGGAATGCGTTTTGTTGGATAAAGAAGCCTCTTATGACGGCTTTACCCGCATCCCAAACCATCTCTAGATCTACTCCTTGATTTGAATTGAACTTAAAATATTCTTCTAAGATTTGCTTGGCCTTCTGTACAGTTTTTCCATCATTTAGCATACTCTCATTAAGTTGCCACCTTTTAACCTTTTCTTCTTTTCCTTTAAAGTTAACCCAGACCGCGGCTGTGATCTGAAATTGTCCATGGATGAATTTCTGCTTTTGTAATATTATTTAATAAATCCTTTGTTGTCCAGATCGTGTCGATTCGTCCCGCCGATTTGTGTGGCTCTGAATAATGTGTAAATTCTTTCTCCGTTGGATTCTTAAACCTCCAAGCGTCAAACAAATTCAGGAGTTCTATTAATTGGAAAAATGTAGTTGGGAGTTTGTTCTGCCTCTTTTCTTTCTTCTTTATTGTTCTGTCCATGTTTGGATTGACTACTCCATTAAAATCTCCTAATAATATAATTTCCCCCCCTAAATATTCTATGACTTTTTCTTCCAGGTATTGATAGAATTCGGATTTTCTTTCATTTGGTGCATAAATTCCAATAACTATCACTTTTTCATTATTGATCTTAACCTCTATAATCACTGTTCGACCTTTTTCATCACTGTAAAGCAGTTTTGGCTCCAGCTGAGGTTTTACATAGATTACCACCCCTCTCTCTTTTTCTTTACTTGATGTAATAAACTCAAGCCCCAATCTCTTATTTATTAATACTCTTTTATGTTTTTCCGCTACATGGGTTTCTTGCAGACAGATTAAATCATATTTTTGCTTAACCAGAATATGTTCCACCTTGTTCCTTTTTGATTTTTCATATAGACCATTTACGTTCCAAGTAATAAATTTATAATCCATACTTTATTTCTTATGATACGTCAACGGGTTTAAAAAAATAAAATAAAAAAATTACACATTCAAGGTCTCAGTCTACGTTTAGTAAATTCCCTTCTTAGATCTGTCTCCTAACTCTCAACTGTTTGTTCAATTTCCTCTGATTCTCCCAACAATTGCCTTTTTCCTCCGAGCTCTTTCCGATACTTTCTCCAGAATTTATCCGCATCTAGTGCCAACAAGCACTTTCTACGTTTCCCTTTAAAGAAAAAGGAGATGCCTTCAGGGTACTCCCACCTATAGTCCACTGCCTTTGCCTTTAGTGCCTCGGCCAGAGGTCTGTAAGCTTCTCTCTTTTTTATCAACCAATTTGGGATAATCTTATGGACAATTCCGATTGGAATTTCTTCTTGTTACTAGCTTGTAAAATTCTATTTCTGAAATCCGTAGAATTTAAAGAGACTAAACAGTCAGCCGGCCAGTTATTTGCTTTTGCTACATTAGATTTGACTCTGAATGCTTTTTCTATTTTTTGTGCTACTTCTGCTTCTTCTAGGTCTAACCAAGCTGCTAGCTCTTTTGAGATTTTTTTCTCAATTATTTCCTCTGCGTCCTCTGTTAGTCCTCTGAATCTTAGGGTATTCTCCCATCTCTGCATTTGCAACATTGCAATAGAGTCCAAAGTTGAATCTTGCTGCGCTTTCAGATCTGCTGTTTCTTTCCTTATCTTATCACATTCCCTTTTCAACTCTCTATTTTCATTTTGTAATTTTTTCTGAGCTTCCTCTAGGTTCTGTGTTTTACTTTTAAGGTCTAGCACTATTTTCATTAGTTCTGAATTTTTTTGTACTAAATTGTTGACCTGAGTTGATAACTCAGCTGCTATTTTCACATTTTCATCTATTTTAACTCCCATTGAAATAAGTTTTTCTTCTGTTGCTTTTGCCTTTTCATTTACATTATTTTTTAAATCTTGGATATCTTTCTTCAAACTTAAAATTAATTCTCTCATATCTAGTTGTTGAGCCATGTCAATTACAGAAGTTCTCCTGGTTTGTGAGACTGAAACTGCCGCAGAACCTGACACAGTTGTTTTTTTACCATACATCACTAAGAAATTCAATTAGCTCACTAGGTAATTTGTTCTCTTTCTTTCTGTCTTACAGCTTGGATATCAATTAAATTCAATCTTTCTTAATACAATCGTAACAATATTTCCAATGTGATAATTAATGAATGTCAATTAAATTCAATCTTTCTTAGTACAATCACGACAATTTTACCAGTCTGATAATAATCTCCGGCCTATGTATCCACTAATTCTTTATATTCACCAGTTTCACTAAATATATTTTAAATTGATTATGAACAATTATCTAATTAATTACAGCCAAGCATCAATACAGCAATATCACAAATTCATCAGATCAAATAAATAAATATAATAAATGGTTGCAATCCTTGCGTTCACTTACTCATTCAGGGTATATTACCTCTTTAAATGTATAGTCCGATAGAAAAGCTGAGAGTTGTTAGGAGACACCCCCCCATTCCCTTCACAAAAACTACAATTCCCAGAGTTCATTGTGAGGAGGGATAGATTGTTTAACTACTCTAAGAACTCTGTGAGGGGAAAAGGGGTCTCCTAACAACTCTCAGCATCCTTAACAAACTACAGTTCCCACTAGGGAGAAAAATGTCTCTCTATCCCTTTCACATCATACATAATTTTATATGCCTCTCGTACTTTAAACGAAAAAGCCCCAAACACCTGAGGGAAGGGAAGACACCTTAGGTAGCCAGGATCCACAGGGGCAGCAGATCTCAGTGTAGATCTTTATTCCACCCTCTCTTCCCTGAGGTGGGAGAACAGGGACCAGAGGGAGCGCCATTTTGTTTTTTTCGCCTCAGGTGCCAAAATGTCTTGGGCCGGCCCTGCCAAAGATTTCCTCGCTGTTCTTTGATTTCCTGTTGGCGGAACAAATGCAACAAAGGCTTGATCTTTGAGGGGGCGCTAAATGTTGGCTTTGGCTGCTCTCCCACAAATAGTGGCAAAGAGTGTCAAAATACTCCTGTTAAGTATTATTCGGAACAGCGTGTCTATCTTCTGGTACAGTGGTACCTCGGGTTAAGAACTTAATTCGTTCCAGAGGTCCGTTCTTAACCTGAAACTGTTCTTAACCTGAGGTACCACTTTAGCTAATGGGGCCTGCCACTGCCGCCGCTGTGCGATTTCTGTTCTCATCCTGAAGCAAAGTTCTTAACTTGAGGTACTATTTCTGGGTTAGCAGAGTCTGTAACCTGAAGCGCCTGTAACCCAAGGTACCACTGTATTGGGGAAAAAAGAGGATTTGAGCAAGCAACATCTACACTGCCCTATGCTCAGGAATGAACCCAAACAATTAAAGCCCTGTGTTTCAAACAGTATCAGTAATATCCAAGGCAACACGATGACTAAGTACAACAATGTGATGTCAATATAAACTCTTTATATAATCTATACAATAGATACTCATCAAGAGTGCATATTTTGTGACTTTCAGAGATTTATAAGATTTCTGTTTATTTTGTTTTGCAGAGAGTGCATATTTCATACTGTTTAATGTTCTGTATAGCTTATATAGAGAGTTTATACTGACATCGCATTGTTGTACTTGGTCATCGTGTTGCCTTGGATATTACGGGAATGAACCCAGGCAGAATCTGGCATTCACTGGCTGTTCTTCACCAGATATTCATTTCTTGTGGCAATCTGGTTTAAATCCTTTGCTGGATCCTGGGGGTTTTTGCAGGGGAAAAGGAAGCGAGAAGCTAAACTGGTCTGATCCCAGTGGCCCTGCTGGCTGAGCTTTGCAAGGTGTTGTCTCAGCAAGGAGGCGGGGGCCATCTGAGAAATGTAGGAGCCAAGGGAGCTGGCAAAAGAAGTCTGATCATTGGCCCATTTGGTTCAGTGTTGTCTACACTGACCGGCAGTAACTCTCTCCAGAGTTTCAGACGGGCTTTAAAGGACCATCATCTGACTTCTGTTAAGGGTTTTGAACAGTGCAGAATCGGCACCATTACTGATGCCACAAAGTCATACGTAAGAAATTGATTCTTTTAGTGTGGCGGTGCCTGCACTTTGGAACTCACTGCCTATTGATATCTGGCAGGTGTACTCTTTTTGGCGCATTTCTGTTTTAGACAAGCCTACCCGGGCATCTGGGACGCGGGTGGCGCTGTGGGTTAAACCACAGAGCCTAGGACTTGCCGATCAGAAGGTCGGCGGTTCGAATCCCCATGATGGGGTGAGCTCCGTTGCTCCTGCCAACCTAGCAGTTCAAAAGCACATCAAAGTGCAAGTAGATAAATAGGTACCACTTCGGCGGGAAGGTAAACGGCGATTCTGTGCGCTGCTCTGGTTCGCCAGAAGTGGCTTAGTCATGCTGGCCACATGACCCGGAAGCTGTACGCCGGCTCCCTCGGCCAGTAAAGCGAGATGAGTGCCGCAACCCCAGAGTCGGTCACTACTGGACCTAATGGTCAGGGGTCCCTTTACTTTTACTTTTACCCGGGCATCTAGAATGCTGGTGTGTTCTTTAGTTTATTGCTGCTTTTCATTTTTTGAATGTTCTGTCTGTTTCACTCATAATTTTATTGATTTGTCCTTTTTGTAAACTGCTTTGAGGTTGTTGTTTGCAATCAAGCAGTGCATATATTTCATGAAATTAAAAATAAATAAACAACGGAACCCGCTGAGCTTTGCCCACAATGGGGCACCCAGTTTTGTCCGAGTACTGCTGTTTAAAAACAAACGTGGGGAAAGCCTGACTAATTATATGCAAAATGGTACAGATACAAAAGTATATTATATGTACTGAAGAATCAAGTCCCATGTAGCCCTACAGTCCTGCAACATAATTTCACAAGTATTAGCACATATGCGTTTTATATGTGTATATGCCTTGTTGTTATGCATCTTTCAAAGTGCTGGTTTCTTTCAGGATAACTGGAGTGTATAATATTATATGTATCATGCAATATACCAGAATTGTTTGTGTTTCTATCAGAGGTGATTTAAGAAATACACGCATGAAAAACCTTGTTTCTCATCAGGCTCTTGGGTTGTGATGGGAATTAGGGGGGGAATTGACAACTTAAGTACATTGCCCTATATTGTTTTAGAAGGCCTTTATAATAGGGTTTTATTTATCTTGTAAAATGTGTACATTCATGAGCATAGCTAGGGGGGCAGGGGGGCAGTTGCCCCCCTAAATCAGGTAAATACCGTATTTACTCAAATGTACCCTTTTTTGGCCAAATTACATCACAAAAATTAGCATGCACATTAGATTTGATGGTGCATTAAATTCGATTGCAAGCTTGAAAAACACCGCTGACATAGCAAATACTTTCTGGGTTTCAAGGTTTTGAAAACTGAGATGCGCGTTAGATTCGATGGCGCATTAGATTCACGTAAATACGGTAAATAAAAATACTTAAACTAACTGACCAATCACTTGGCAGATAGCTGAGTTCTCCCCCGCCCTTCCAACATAAATTCTGGCTACGCCCATGTGTATACTGGTCAATTGCAAGAAAGAAGAAAGAAAGAAAAAGAAAGGTTTATGATGCACAACTCTTCCTCTTCTTGCTGTCCTGACCAGGGCCATCTCTCCCTGGGGTGCAAGGGGGGCGGGGCGCCAGGTGCCTGCTGCTGAATCTACCTAAGCTCTTAATTATCTCCCTCTGGGATGTCCAACCGGTCGACCACGATTGCTGGGTCATTTCCGTTCTCTTTTGCGGAAGAGCTGCAGAATCAATGTATCTGGTGCCCCCCTCTTACATCAAAATTTGGGGGCACTGGGCGGATCTTTGTACCCCGGCGGTGCATATGCTAAAGATGGCCCTGGTCCGGACACACGACACACCCTTATGGTGGAGAGAAGGATTCTCTTGCTAGGTGACGCTATGACCGTGCACCTTTAAAGCCCTTTGTGGCTTAGGGCCCTCGTATCTATGGGACCGCTTCTCCTGCTCTGCCCCGCTGAGGAGCTTAAGGTCCATGAATAACCATAGTTTAGAGGTCCCGGGCCCTAAGGAAGTCGGACTTTCCTCCACCAGGGCCAGGGCCTTTTCAGTGATGGCTCCAACCTGGTGGAATGCTCTGTCCCATGAGACTAGGGTCCTTCAGGATTTAACTTCCTTCCGTCAGGCCTGTAAGACAGAGCTATTCCGCCTGGCCTTTAATTTGAATTCAGCCTGATCTTTTATTTCCCTTCTCTTCCCTCCCCCTCCCCTTTTATGACGATCACCCGCTCTGAGACCCCACAGCTAATTCTCCCCTGGCCTCCTCGCTGGCCCAAGTAGGACAAATTCAGCCAGCTAGCCCTGGGGATTATCTAACTGATTTCTGATTTTTATTGTTATTCATGTTTTTATACTGTATTTTATGCTGCTTTTATAATTGTTTTAAAGTGTTTTAAATTTGTTGTTAGCCACCCTGAGCCCGGCTTTTGAACCGGAAAGGGCAGGGTATAATTATTATTATTATTATTATTATTATCATCATCATCAAGGCAGTGATGGCTAGTGCCCTTTGAGGTTAGTTGGGCCGAAGGCAGGGAGACCAACAGCAGCTGGAGCCAGAGGCACTGTCTTAATTCTAGTCCCCTCCCCCCCTTCTGCCCTGCTGAGTTCCACAGGAGCCACACTGAGATTAAATGGGAGGAAGCCAATAAGCAGAGCAAACCCTCCATTGTGGTTGTGAGTAAGGAGGCAGAGCAGCAGGTGAACCGAGGGAGGGTTGGTGAAGCAGCGCCCCATTGACCCAAGTGGACCAGCCTCTACTGCTTCAAAGTTTGCACTGCTAACTCCTTTTTTTAAAAAAATTAAAAATGGCTGCGTTGGGAACATTTGTGGTAACGATGCAAATGTTAAAATGAGAGCTGCACCGTTAAATAATAATGATGATAATAATAATAATTATTTATTATTTATACCCCACCCCCACTCTGGGCAGCTTCCAACAAAGTATTAAAATACAGTGGTCTGTTAAACATTAAAAGCTTCCATAAACAGGGCTGCCTTCATAGAATCATAGAATGATAGAATCATAGAGTTGGAAGAGACCACAAGGGCCATCGAATCCAACCCCCTGCCAAGCAGGAAACACCATCAGAGCACTCCTGACATATGGTTGTCAAGCCTCTGCTTAAAGACCTCCAAAGAAGGAGACTCCACCACACTCCTTGGCAGCAAATTCCACTGTCGAACAGCTCTTACTGTCAGGAAGTTCTTCCTAATGTTTAGGTGGAATCTTCTTTCTTGTAGTTTGGATCCATTGCTCCGTGTCCGCTTCTCTGGAGCAGCAGAAAACAACCTTTCTCCCTCCTCGATGTGACATCCTTTTATATATTTGAACATGGCTATCATATCACCCCTTAACCTCCTCTTCTCCAGGCTAAACATGCCCAGCTCCCTTAGCCGTTCCTCATAAGGCATCGTTTCCAGGCCTTTGACCATTTTGGTTGCCCTCCTCTGGACACGTTCCAGTTTGTCAGTGTCCTTCTTGAACTGTGGTGCCCAGAACTGGACACAGTACTCCAGGTGAGGTCTGACCAGAGCAGAATACAGTGGCACTATTACTTCCCTTGATCTAGATGCTATACTCCTATTGATGAGGCCCAGAATTACATTGGCTTTTTTAGCTGCCGCGTCACACTGTTGGCTCATGTCAAGTTTGTGGTCAACCAAGACTCCTAGATCCTTTTCGCATGTACTGCTCTCAAGCCAGGTGTCACCCATTTTGTATTTGTGCCTCTCATTTTTTATTTTTTTTTGCCCAAGTGAAATACTTTACATTTCTCCCTGTTAAAATTCATCTTGTTTGTTTTTGCCCAATTCTCTAATCTGTCAAGGTCGTTTTGAAGTGTGATCCTGTCCTCTGGGGTGTTAGCCACCCCTCCCAGTTTGGTGTCATCTGCAAATTTGATCAGGATGCCCTTGAGTCCATCATCCAAGTCGTTGATAAAGATGTTGAATAAGACCGGGCCCAAGACAGAACCCTGTGGCACCCCACTAGTCACTCTTCTCCAGGATGAAGAGGAACCATTGATGAGCACCCTTTGGGTTCAGTCAGTCAGCCAGTTACAAATCCACTGAGTGGTAGCATAGTCAAGACCGCATTTTACCAGCTTCTTTACAAGAATATCATGGGGCACCTTATCAAATGCCTTGCTGAAATCAAGGTAGGCTACATCCACTGCGTTCCCTTCATCTACCAGGCTTGTAATTCTGTCAAAAAACGAGATCAGGTTAGTCTGACATGACTTATTTTTCAGAAATCCATGCTGACTATTGGTGATCACAGCATTCCTTTCTAGGTGCTCACAGACTGTTTGCTTAATGATCTGCTCCAGAATCTTCCCTGGTATTGATGTCAGACTGACTGGGCGGTAATTATTTGGGTCCTCTCTTTTCCCCTTTTTGAAAATAGGGACAACATTTGCCCTCCTCCAGTCTGCCGGGACTTCGCCTGTTCTCCAGGAATTCTCAAAGATGACTGCCAGTGGTTCTGAGATCACATCTGCCAGTTCTTTTAATACTCTTGGGTGCAGCTCATCTGGCCCTGGAGACTTGAATACATCTAAACTAGCCAAGTATTCTTGTACTATCTCCTTAGTTATTCTGGGCTGTGTTTCCTCTGCTGAATCATTTGCTCCAAATTCTTCAGGTCGGGCATTGTTTTCTTTATCGGAGAAGACTGAGGCAAAGAAGGCATTGAGGAGTTCAGCCCTTTCTGTGTCCCCTGTTTGCATTTCACCATCTTCTACTCTGAGTGACCCCACTGTTTCTTTGTTCTTCCTTTTGCTACGAACATACCCATAAAAGCCTATTTTGTTGCTTTTAACCTCTCTAGCAAGCCTGAGTTCATTCTGTGCTTTAGCTTTTCTGACTTTGTGTCTACACGTGCTGGCTATTTGTTTGAATTCCTCTTTGGTGGTTTCCCCTTTTCCATTTTTGTACACATCCTTTTTTAATCTTAACTCAGTTAAAAGTTCTTTAGATAGCCACCCTGGCTTCTTTAGGCACCTTCCATGTTTCCGTCTCATTGGTATTGCCTGAAGTTGTGCTTTTACTATCTCCCTCTTAACAAACTCCCAGCCATCATGAACTCCCTTTCCTTTTAGTATTACTGTCCATGGGATCTCACCCAGCACTTCCCTAAGTTTTATGAAGTCGGCTTTCTTAAAGTCAAGAAATTGAGTCCTAGTATGCTTGGCTGCTCCTTTCCACTGTATAGTAAACTTCAGAAGAGCATGATCACTCGCGCCTAATGATCCTTCCACTTCTACCCCACTAACCAGGTCATCTACATTGGTTAGGACCAGATCTAAAATGGCTGTTCCTCTTGTTGCTTCTCCCACTTTCTGGACAATGAAGTTGTCTGCAAGGCCAGTGAGGAATCTGTTTGACCTTATGCTCTTGGCTGAGTTTGACATCCAACAAATATCCGGGTAATTGAAGTCCCCCATTACTACTATCTCCCTTCCTTTTGCATGCTTGGCCATCTGTTCCAGGAAGGCATCATCTATGTCCTCCGTTTGGCTTGGGGATCTATAGTAAACTCCCACAATGAGGTCCCTGTTATTCTTCTCTCCCTTTATTTTGACCCAAATGCTCTCACTTTGGCTTTGAGGTTCTAAATCTTGGATCTCTTCACAGGTATACACATCCCTGACATATAACGCCACTCCTCCTCCTTTCTTGTCTGGTCTGTTTCTCTGAAATAGATTGTATCCCTCCATTATTACATTCCAATTGTGGGACTTATCCCACCAGGTTTCAGTGATGCCTATTATGTCATATTTAGTTTGCTGTACCAAGAGCTCAAGCTCATTTTGTTTATTTCCCATGCTTTGCGCATTAGTGTACAGACATTGAAGTCCATTAATCATTCCCCCGTGACTCTTATTTAAGGATTTTTTCCTCCCACCACTAGGTCTGCGTGCTGTTTGCTCCATTTGGTCTATGACATTTGGATGATCATCTTCATCAATTGATAGACTCCTACCTTCAGGAGCACTGTCTCCCTCCCCACATTAGTCAGTTTAAAGCCCTCCTGATGAGGTTTCTGAGATTTTGGCAAAAACATTTCTCCCAACCGTTGTGAGGTGCAGCCCATCGCTTGCCAGAAGTCCATCTTCAAGAAACTGCAGTCCGTGATCTAAGAATCCAAACCGTTCCTGTTTACACCATTTGCGAAGCCAGCTGTTCACTTCCACTATTTTTCCCTCTCTCCCTGGGCCACGTCGTTCAACTGGGAGGACAGATGAGTTGACAATTTGTGCATTTAATTGCTTCAATTTCCTGCCCAGAGCCTCGTAGTCTCTTTTGATCTTCTGGAGGCTATTGCTTGCAGTGTCATTGGTTCCCACATGAACCAAGAGGAGGGGGTATTTGTCAGTGGGTTTTATGATTCCTTCAGCTGTCTTCTAAAAGTCTGGTAGTTGTTGTTCTCTTTGACATCTGGTGGGAGGGCGTTCCACAGGGCGGGCGCCACTACCAAGAAGGCCCTCTGCCTGGTTCCCTGTAACTTGGCTTCTCGCAGTGAGGGAACCGCCAGAAGGCCCTCGGTGCTGGATCTCAGTGTTAGGGCAGAATGATGGGGGTGGAGACGCTCCTTCAGGTATACTGGACCGAGGCTGTTAAAGCGAAACCCAAACGCTCTGTGGACAATGCGCTAATTGCACATGACAGTTATCTTCTGGTTTATCTGAACAGGATCCTTAGTTATTGGCCCAGCACCGACTGACAATTCCATCCCATCTTGGGCGAAACCTACGGTGAAACCTCAGGGTCCGTTAGCTGCTGTCATGGGTCCAACTATTTCTGCCATACATGCAGGTAATAGATGTTGGACTCTTTCCCTCCCCCCATTTTTATAGCCATCTGGGTTTCCCCCCCTTTAAGGTGGCCGTGTGTCCTCCTTTACAAAGGGCAGTCCCCTGTCTGAAGGGTTGTTGGCTCAAATCTAGTTTAAAGATACAGAACCAGAGAGAGCATCAGGGGCATTAAAACTTACTCCTCTACTGCCATCTGAGCATGTGCTAATTTAGAAATAGTTACTGTGATTTAAGGGACGCGGGTGGCGCTGTGGGTTAAACCACAGAGCCTAGGACTTGCCAATCAGAAGGTCGGTGGTTCGAATCCCCACAACAGGGTGAGCTCCCGTTGCTCGGTCCCTGCTCCTGCCAACCTAGCAGTTCGAAAGCATGTCAAGTGCAAGTAGATAAATAGGTACCGCTCCGGCAGGAAGGTAAAGGGCGTTTCCGTGTGCTGCTCTGGTTCGCCAGAAGCGGCTTAGTCATGCTGGCCACATGACCCGGAAGCTGTACACCGGCTCCCTTGGCCAATAAAGTGAGATGAGCGCCGCAACCCCAGAGTCGGTTACGACTGGACCTAATGGTCAGGGGTCCCTTTACCTTTACTGTGATTTAGATGCATCTTGTCATAATGGAGGAAACTGTGATGAGGGGCCTTGTCTAGCTGCTCAGACTGCAGCTACGTCCGGGTTTTCCAACACATTTTGCTGCCCAGTTCCCATGCGTCCAGGAAAACCCATTGATTGACCTCTGACACTTAAAGTATTATGATGCATTCTGTTCCAGTGATATAAACATGGGCCATTTTTTAATGAGCATGGGGCCATTAAAAAAAAAAGACACTTCAAGAATTAATTGCATTTGGGTGTTATTGTTGTTGTTTTTAAAAAACAGCAGCAGCCATAACTAAGAAATATGCAAGAATTATGCCTGCATTGACATAAGAACATCCCACTTTATATTGTGGAATAAGGAAATTTTTATACTGGCAACATAAAACCAGGGTTTGTCGTTGTTGCATAGACTACTGATATCTTTGAGATAGGACATTTTATTTATTTCTTACCCTGATATATCCCCCATAAAGCATTAGCTTTTAGGATAAATAAAGAAAACAATGCCCAGCCATGAATGAAGATGGCAATTAGTGTGTTACTAACAATGCGGTTGGTTCTAAGTCATCATTCTACGGCCAACGCCTCCAGTATTGCCAAGGACACCTTTGCTGCGATGAGTAACTGAAACGCAGCTGCGGTTTCCATTCTGACAATATTTCCTTCTTCCAAAAGTAGATTGCTGCTGATCAGAAGGATAATTATATTTCCCCGATCTTCTCCCACAACAGGACCTTTACTTTTAGCCCAGTCCAAGCCTGGTCATTCCAACACATCCTTGGGCACAAAGAACCTACCTCAAAGCGGGATTCATGCAGGTAGAAGATACTGTGCTGGATTTCCATCTCACTGTCTCTGAACTCAGCTGGGAGGAGGGCAGAGGCAAAACTAGAAATAGTTGCCTCTCTGGCGCCACCTACTGTCAGTCTTCCTGCTTTCTGCCCTTGGCTCTGGCTACACCTACTGTTGATCTTCCTGCTTTCTGCCACCACTGTACGGGGATGAATGTGAACATGGGAGCGATGGAGTTTTTAGGGGGTTACATTTGAGTAGGGGAAAGGGTGTCCCTTGGTTTCAGCCTGGGGTGTACATGTTCTCTTTTTATTCCGTATCCCCAGCTAAACCAGGGGGCGTCCCACTGACATAAATAGAAATGATGCGAGGAAATCGGATCTTTCCATGTGTTGCAATAAATCTGTGCTTTCTTTAATAGATCTATGGGGGGAGAGTGTGGAGTAATAATAATAATAATAATAATAATAATAATAATAATAATTTTTTATTTATACCCTTCCGAGTTCAGAAAACTGGGCTCAGGGTGGCTAACAACAAATTTAAAACACTTAATTGATGCAACAAAAAGCAGCATAAAATACAGTATAAAACGTGAATAGCAATAAATTGTTGTGGGGTTTAAGCTAGTCCAGCAAAGTTGGATGTGCTTTGTCTGCCCATTGTCTAATCCAGTACTGATGGGTACACAGAGAGGAAATATTTAACCCTCTTCTTTTGCCAATGAAGCTCTCCCCCACAGCTGCTACCCTCGGGCAGGAAACTTCCAGGGGTGGGGGAAGGTTTCAGAAGCATGGAAAGGGTTAACTCCTTGCATGCCACAATCCCAATTCTTTTTTGCACCTGTGGCTGCTATAGTTAAAGAACACCGGACACATTAAATGATTCCATGCAATTAACATCATGCGCTTTTCTGTTTGGTCCTAAAATCCAGAGAACAATTTAACGGATGCTCAGGCTGGGGTTTGTTGGTCGCACGTTGCAGAGGAGTCACATATTCTAACAATTCGAAAGAAGGAAGTTTGTGCCACTTCCAAATAGTTTTGTTTTTGGAGGAACCACAGTAGTGCATGGACAAGTCAATTGGCCCAAAACTGGGTGTTATTTGTAAAGCGCTGGCGCGAAAAGCTCCAAGATCAAGTTGGTGGTATTGCAAAGTTTGTTTTCTCTTAGAGCTCCCTTTGGGATGTGGTGTGGGGGGGGGTTGTTTTCAATTACAGTGGTACCTCGGGTTAAGTACTTAATTCGTTCTGTAGGTCCGTTCTTAACCTGAAACTGTTCTTAACCTGAAGCACCACTTTAGCTAATGGGGCCTCCTGCTGCCACTGCGCCACAGGAGCACGATTTCTGTTCTCATCCTGAAGCAAAGTTCTTAACCTGAAGCACTATTTCTGGGTTAGCGGAGTCTGTAACCTGAAGCGTATGTAACCTGAAGCGTATGTAACCCGAGGTACCACTGTAATGCAGAGTTTGGAAATAGCAAAAACCCATTTGCAGGTGCAATGTGTGTCACACAGGGCATGAATTAAGAGTGGCATTGCGGGGTGTAATTCATGATTGCTCTGTGTGTTCTCTTTTGCAGTTCAGTTTTGAGATCAGCCTGTCTGATTCTCACTTATGTCTTTGCCCTTTTGCCATTGCTTTGGGCAGTGATTCCCAAACTGGGGGGTACTGCCCCCCCAAGGGTCAACACAGTTACAGAGGTGGGGGTGGGGTGGGACTAATAGACTTTACGAAGGTGGCATCACTGAATCAAGTTCATCAGTTTCGTTGACTTAACTAAACTAAATAGCTTTAACTGAATTTTGAATGAATGGCCAATTGATTGTTGCTGTTTGGGCTTTGTTGTCTTATTACTGTGGCTTCTGCTATTCTAGATAAGGCTTTTTACAGGGTAGGGGGCGCTGCGGATGAGTTCATGGAACCAAGGTTTAGGTGGCCAAAAAAAGGTTTGAGAACCATTGGATTAAGAACTTCTTTGCAGAAGATTGACAGTTTTAGGAAGGACCTCAATGCAAATTGTGAGCTGCCCAGAGTGGCAGGGGTACAAATAAATTTATTATTATTGTTATTATTAATTACATTCTATTGCATAAGCAATGGAAGATTTTTTTACTTAGCAAATACTTTTGGTACTCACCCATGCATCGATCATACACCATTTGTTTCTGTCTGCAGTCGACAACGATCCCCATTTCATCATCAACCTGCCGAGGCAGCATAAGAACATCTGCTTCAATATAGATTCCGAACCTGGAGCGATCCTGAACTTAATTTCAGATGCCAAGTCCGGTAAGGGAGAAAAAAGTGCCATTCTGCAGCTATTTTGTGCATTTGGAAACAGTCATAGAAACATGGGAGTTCCGAAACGTTCAGGGGGATGAAATTGTAAGAGCCAGTGTGGTGTAGTGGTTAAGAGCGGTGGACTTGTAATCTGGTGAACCGGGTTCGCTTCCCTGCTCCTCCACATGCAGCTGCTGGGTGACCTTGGGCCAGTCACACTTCTCTGAAGTCTCTCAGCCTCACTCACCTCACAGAGTGTTTGTTGTGGGGGAGGAAGGGAAAGGAGATTGTGAACTGCTTTGAGACTCCTTAAGGGGAGTGATAAAGCGGGATATCAAATCCAAACTCTTCTTCAAACTCTTCTAAGAGACCAAAAAAAGGAAAGCCTGGATTGCAGTACATCTGCAGAAACGCCAACACTGCTTTCTTTCTCTTTTGTAGGGATTGCTGTCAATGGGCAGCTGGTTGGGGCCAAGAAGCCCTTGAACAACAAGTTGCACACCTACTTTGGCAAGATCGGGTTCAATTTCGAAAAGAAAGGCTTGAAGATTGAAGTCAGCACTGAGGGCATCAGCTTGAAGGATGGCTCCTCCACCACATCCCTCTCCTGGTCCAATTTAGGAAGCCTCATTCGAAGGAGGTAATAGGGAAATCGGATGAGCATCAGGGCTTCCCTAGACTTGTTGATCTCCCTAGGTGGGGGAGAGTTATTTTAGGTTGTGTGCCCCAACAGTGATCTGCAGGTTGCCTGTGTGTGTTCCTGAAATTTTATTGGAGTATTTGCATTCCAACCCACCCCCACCTGCCCTACACCTGGTGGTGTCATAAACGGCCTCAGGTGTGGGGCAGGGAAAGAGACTTGCATGGCACTATGCGAGCCCCCCAAATCAGCAATGCCACAATACAGATCTGCATTGGCTCCCAGTACGTTTCCGAGCACAATTCAAAGTGTTGGTGCTATCCTTTAAAGCCCTAAACGGCCTCAGCCCTCTATACCTGATAGAGCGTCTCCACCCGCATTGTTCAGCCCGGACACTGAGATCTAGTGCTGAGGGCCTTCTGGTGGTTCCCTCATTGCGAGAAGTGAGGTTACAGGGAACCAGACGGAGGGCCTTCTCGGTAGTGGCGCCCGCCCTGTGGAACGCCCTCGCTTCAAATGTGAAGGAAATAAACAGCTATCTTATCTTTAAAAGACATCTGAAGGCAGCCCTGTTTAGGGAAGTTTTTTAATATTTAAGGTTGTGTTGTTTTTAACACTCGATTGGAAGCCACCCAGAGTAGCTAGGGAAACTCAGCCAGATGGGTGGGGTATAAATAATAAATTATTATTATTATTATTATTATTATTATTATTATTATATAAGGTGTGTGCTGGTTTGTAATCACACAGCTCAAAGATGGAGTTAACTCTTTATCAGCAAAGACACAGACTTGGTTGAGTGTCAGACCTAATGAGCAGAACACCTCATTCCTGGTGCTCGTATTGCATGAAAATCAGTTGCCAAGACTGAAAGTCCCATTCTCCTCATAGCTGTTTAAATTCACTACTCTAGCCACTACACCGAGGGTAGTCAACATGCAATCCTCCAGATGTTGTTGGACTACAATTCCCATCAGCCTCAGCCATCACAGCCAGGAATGATGGGAGTTGTAGTCCGTCAAAAGATATGGAGAGCACTGCATGGACTATCCCTGCTCTACACCAGGCGTCCCCAAACTTGGCCCTCCAGATGTTTTGGGACTACAATTCCCATCATCTCTGACTACTGGTCCTGTTAGCTAGGGATGATGGGAGTTGTAGTCCCAAAACATCTGGAGGGCTGAGTTCGGAGATGCCTGCTCTACACCATATGGCTGAGGCTGGATGGTGACGCCATGTTGCAACCAAGACAGCGTTTGACAGGTTTACGGGACACGACAGCTAGATTCTGTTTGGTTCACAATGAGATGGCCAAAGCCCAACCAAATGTGTTTCTGAGTAGAAGACTCAGAACACACTACTCATGCATCTACTTGGCGTTTCTCGTAGAGTGCTGGTCTCTGTGAAGAGCGACAACAAAGTCAATATCACGGTGGATGGGGACTTGTCCTTTGTGGTCGTGCTTCACCATGTATGGAAGAAGCATCCAGTCAATGTTGACTTCCTAGGAATCTACGTTCCTCCTGCAAGCAACTTCTCCTCCAGTGTGCACGGCCTGATCGGTAAAGTCTCCTTGGAGGCAGGGAGTCGGGTTCAGTGCTGCTTGTTGCTGTGTATACATGGGTCCTTGTGAAAGCGATGAGCTTTAGGGAAAAGAGGAAATGCTCAAAACCAGGGTGGGCGGAAGTTAAAGATGGTGGTTCCTCTTTAGAAGAACAGAATTCTCACCTGAACCATTCTGAATGTTGTTACTGTGGTCACAGGCAGGACCAGATTTAGGTGTGATGAGGCCCTAAGCTACTGAAGGCAATGGGGCCCTTTATATGTCCAGCTGTCCTTTGTCAACAACAAATTGCCACTGTTTTTTTCTGTTGAATATATGCTATCTGGTAATTTATGGACCTAATAGGTATCCAAAGCCATTTGCACATAACAGTCCATGCAGAATGTAGGCACCCTATATATAGAAATAAGCAAACCAGTGATATTTTAGGGAGCAGGCTAGCAGGCGGGGCCCATTACTTACGTCATAGAAGCCTACACAACACAAAACACTGTTGCTGTATGTAGGTTTTATTTTATTTGTTTTTTATCTTATATTTTGGAAATTTACATCCAGGGTTTTTTTCCCCTTTAATTTTTTGGGGGCCCCCAAGAGAGTGGGGCCCTAAGCTATAGCTTGTTTAGCTTACATGTAAATCTGGCACTGCCTCAGCCATGGCCCTTCCCAGCTGTCGTAAGTGTATATGGCTCACAGGGTTAAACTGGCAACATTTACTACATTTACAACAGGTCCCCGATCCCACATCATTTTCAATGTAAAATGGATTGGGGAAACAATGGCTATACTAGATCTGCAACCGTTATGACTCCTGCCTGCAAATATTTCGGGGTTATAGTTGTGCAAGGGGCAACCCTCTTTAACAAGTGTTTCCACGTCTACAAATGCGCTTGTGGGGGGCACACACAGCCCCCCAGGGCCGCCTAATGTCAAGTGATGATTCTCCTCCACCAGGGCAGTTCATGCTGGAGCCGGACGTGCACATCTATAATGAGCGGCCTGGACAAGATCCAGGGAAAGCTGATGCTACCATGGAAGTGAAAGGCCACAAACTCACTGTCACCAGGTAAACCACTTGAGTTAGCTGAAACCAAAGCCTCTCAACCTCAGAGATGCTCAGAATTGGATGTAAAGATGTAGTTTTGCTTACAGTGTTCATGGTTTATTGTGGAACAGGATGGGACAGAATTTCACACTGTAGTGAGGAGGAAAGCTGAGTTGTGTACAATATAAAATCCAACCACACGGCAGTTTTTTTCCAGGGTCCTCCCAGGCTTTGGGAAACTCCACATATTTTTATACTGAATCAAAAGTTCCAAATCCTGCAAAGTTTCCCATTTTGGGGAAATGGAGGTTCTGTCACCCTTGTCAAGAGTTCATGAGAGCCGACACTTTTCAACTGATTGTCCCATAGATTTAGTAAAGAAACTGCTGTGAAGTTGGATTAGGGCGTTTTGAGTATTTTGGTCATTCCTTGACAAACCAGCCTCCAGACTTGGGCAGCCCCACTACAGGTGAAGAAAGGTTCCTCTTTTTCGACACCCTAAAACGGTTCTGAACCCGTTTTCCCCTAACAAACAGCATCCTGGCAACCACAGATTAGTGAGGACGATGAGAAGACTATTCTTGCATTCAGCTTTGTTGCATGCCAGTGGTTTTATTTATTTGATTTTGCTTTACTTGCAGAGGTCTGCAGAAAGACTACCGCCTGGACCGCGTCTTTGGGACTGCTGTTCGTTGCTGGTTCGTGCACAACAGTGGGAAGGGCTTTCTCGACGGACACTACACAGATTACCTCGTTCCCACTTTATACAGCTATCCAAAGCATCCTTGAAAGGATGGGCAGGCCTAAAGCAGAGGCAGGAGATGGCCAGCATCTGATTGGCCAAGGCTCTTCTCCACCCACCCCGCTGGTGATTTGCTTGTGAACCTGACTTTCCAGGTGAAAACCCCTTTTCCAAGAGAAAAGCCCTGGCAGGCTAGATGCAGCCTGCAGATCCCGCACTGCCCACCCCAGCACAATGAAACCTTCTCCCCACTAAAGACAGCAAACATCTCTCTGCTCATCTAGGGTCCTCCATAACCTTTTTGGGTGTCATGGAAAAGCAGAAAAGCAACTGGCATACATTGTGGAGTTTGAAAATAAGGCCAAGTAAGATATGGCCATCATATATGTATGAAGATTAGTCGTCCTGGTAGGAAAAATATATTTTTCAAAGAGAATAAAAATCTTCCTTTTGGGGATGATGTCGTCTGTTTCATTTCTTTGGCGAAGCCTCCAGGGCTTCCACCACTGCAGCTGGGACAGAAGTCACACGGTATTAGCTACAAATCTAAACTAAAACATCCATTAAATCACTACAGGCATTTTTTCCTGCTGAGAGCACCACACATACAGAGGTTCCCAGATGGATCTATGAGCTGTGTCCGAGTCCCATTTCCCACACCTGACACATGTACACAGGGCAACATTTGCTTCAGGAGGACTTATGAACACAGAGCAGTTTGGGGACTGAATTAGTGGGGAGTAAACACAGGTCCTCTTTCTGAAATTAAATTTGGCTTGCCCAGCTGCTTATTGGAAAGAAAACCTCCGAATTATTTCACACTGTCTGCTGAGGCGGAAATATATATTCTTAACTCGAGGAGGTCCCATCGTTGTGAATGCGTTGAGGAAAAAGGACACACTGTCAAATATTCTCTTTTATTTTTAAACAGCCATAAAAAAAATCACTGTACAAGTCATTATACATTTTTTACAAAACTACTGGAGGTGATGGAAGAGCATTTTGAAGGGAGGGTGGAGGGCTAGATGCAGAAAACAGCATGGAGATGGTCTGCCGTATTCCCTATTTCCCAAAAATAAACGTCTGTGTCACCGGTGTCACACCACCCATTTCGTCCAAGGATGGGGTTGGGGTTCAGACGAGAGGATCCAAACGGCTATGGGGTGCCCCTTCTGGGGGAGCTTTCGAGGATGTCTCCCAGCTACTCCTCAAGACCTCCAAACAGCTGAGAGACTGCTTAGGAGCCAATGTTGCAGCAGGACGAGGGGCTGTAGAAAAGGAAATCGGGTAAAAGCTCATGAAACGGCGACAAGCATGGACCCCGTGTGTTTAACTACAGTGCTACCTCAGTTTACGAACAGCCCTGTTTACGAACTATTCAGTTTACGAACTCCGCAAAACCGGAAGTAGTGTTCCAGTGTGTGAACTTTACCTCGGTCTACAAACGGAAGCCGAACAGTGGAAGGGCACCGGTGGCGGGAGGTCTCATTAGGGAAAGCGCGCCTCCATTTAAGAATGGATTTGGTTTAAGAACGGACTTCAGGAACAGATTAAGTTCGTAAACCGAGGTACCACTGTCCTTGGATCCTAGGCAGACTCTCCCATGGGGTATTCTTTGCCATAACCTGACTAACACAGGGTTGCCTGCCAAGTGTACTTTCATTAATCACATTAGGGTGGTGATGGGGGAACACGACAAAAACTGAAGCGAGGACTGGGCCAGCACCTGAAAATTGCCTCTTTCCTAGACCGCCCTTAGCTGGGAGAATGAAATGGGGTTTGGGCTTAGCCACAAACTGAGCTGGCTGGCAGGGCAAGCAAAGAAGAGGAAGCAAACCATCGGAGAACTGCTTCCTCTTCTAACTCAACTATTCATGGGCGACAGCTCGAGAACAGACGAGATGGGTCATTTACCTTGATATCATATTTCACAAACGGTACATAAATAAGTCCAGCCCTTCCCAGGCAGGCCAAAATCTGCACCCATGACCTTTAACCCCATTTGGCAGATGAATCACTCCTTGTTTGTTGACTTCCAATAATTCTACAAGGCAACTGGAAAGCTGCAACTGTTTATAGCTGGCAGCAGATTATAGAGAGGGCTTAATGGAATGACTGCTTCCCATCAGATGCACTGGACAAGTTGAAATTAAATATTACACTGTTGCAGAATTTTGATGTGTAAGGGATTTAGGCACAAAAAATCATCGGTTCATTACATAAAAATAAAATAAAATTCTGGTTTTTTAAAATACAAGTTCTAAAACTCCGACACAGTGGAGTTGAGTGCATCAAGGCATCCTTAGGTGGGGTACCTCCCGGTCCGTCTGCTCTTCCAATCATCTCAGGCCAACTTGGAAATGTCTTCATAGGGGATGCCTTCAACTTTACGTCCTTTCAGAGGTCCCTGGGAAGGGAAGTCAGGCAAAAGGAAACCTTCAGTCAGTCAGTTGCTAGAGGGACCTGCTTATGTGGAAATGTTAGGACATTTGGGGCTTCCTAATTTGAAGATAAGGGATGCGGGTGGCGCAGTGGGTTAAACCACAGAGCTTAGGACTTGCCGATCAGAAGGTCGGCGGTTTGAATCCCTGCAACGGGGTGAGCTCCCGTTGCTTGGTCCCTGCTCCTGCCAACCTAGCAGTTCGAAAGCACGTCAAAGTGCAAGTAGATAAATAGGTATCGCTCTGGCAGGAAGGTAAACGGCGTTTCCGTGCACTGCTCTGGTTCACCAGAAGCGGCTTAGTCATGCTGGCCACATGACCCGGAAGCTGTACGCCGGCTCCCCTGGCCAATAAAGCGAGATGAGCGCCACAACCCCACAGTTAGTCACGACTGGACCTAATGGTCAGGGGTCCCTTTACCTTTAATTTGAAGATAAAAGGTGAGTAAGGGGGGAAATGAGAGAAGGATATGAAATTCTGCATGGTATAGAGAAAGCGGAGGTGAATAGTGGGAGATTCAGGGCAAAGAAGAAGAAATACTTCTCCATGCAGCAGACAGCTGAACTATGGAATTTTCTCCCACAAAATTTGGTGATGGTCACTGACCTGGGCGGCTTTAAAAGTGGATCAGAAAAAACAATGCTGGATAAGGCTGTTAGTATACCACCCTTGTGATCAGTTGCAAATGATGCTGAATAGGATTGCTAGGCTAGATGGGAATTTGGTCTGAGCCAGCAGAGCTCTTTTCATAATCTCTCCATCCCTGCCAAACTGTACTGTTTACTCAAGAGGAAAGCTCACAAAACTAAAGTGACCAGAAAAGGAAAAATAGGATAGAAAAACAGGCAAGGAGAGAGATTCTTTCGTTCATTAGGCAAACAGTACTGATGACACAGAAATCTTAAAACGACATTAGCAGTAAATAGAAGCTGAAATGTTAGGAGTTTGCCAAGCTTTGGGAAAACGCACAGGTTAGGCTGGGACTTGGCAAAGCGTTATGCAGGATTAGTGAGAAGATTGATCAAGAGCTCTGTTCTAAGGGGGGGGTGCATTTTGGGTTGGGGAATATTTTAATATTTCATTTATGGTGCCAAAATACCCAAAATGAGGCTTCGGCAGCAGTCCTGTGCAATATTTACCTGGGAGTAAGACCCTCTGGACACAGTAGGGCTTACTTCTGAGTAAGCACAGGACTGCCTTGTTAACGTTCCAAACAGCACACCATGGGACAGCAGGGGTGAAAAGATACTTACAGTTTCAATGAGTATCGTTGCCGAAAACTTTTTCTCATGGATGCTCTCTAAGGTAGCTTCATTTCCTCTATAGCCCCCATTTAGAACCAGCACCTTTTTGCCTGAAACATGAACACATGTGAATCTGCTTTAGATCGAGTGAAACCCTGGGTTAGCCTAACTTAATGCTGTCTTTTCTGAATGCACAGACACTGGTAACTGGATTCTTCTGCATGCAAAACATTACTCTGTCGCCTGAGCTCACAGAGCTCTATTTCCCAATTTCATTGCTGCCTTCTGGCATTGGGGAGGTTGAGAATGTGGGATTTGATCGGGAGTAAACATGGACCAATGGTACCAACTAGTATGGGAAACAGCCTTATTAGAAAAACTAACCAACAAACTGAAACTGACACGGGGACAAATGGAAGAAGATGCCTTCAGCCCGGTATGGCTCCCCTTTATCACATCCACAGCCCAACAAGACAACGACAAGAATCCACCAACAGCATACGAATCAATATGGCTAACCTGATTCAAAAACACCCACCAAAAAACACCCACTCACACACGAAAACAAAGTCCACCACAGCCAATCACAAACAAACAACCTTCTTCTCTGGCGATCACTCGTAGCCGAGTAAGATTGTCTTCCATAAACACGGTTTTAACAGTGTTAATCTAGTCTATGAAAGTCTGTCAACTGACTTCATAAACAGATTTCCCCCCTCTGCTACAATTTTAAATTAAGGGTTAACTGATAGCCTAACTTTCAATCTAGTATCACTCCACCTGGGCTTTAAAGTGGTTGGATTCAACAGAAAGCACCTTGGCCCTCCAGATATTTTGAGACTACAATTCCCATCATCCCCGACCACTGGTCCTGCTAGCTAGGGATCATGGGAGTTGTAGGCCAAAAACATCTGGAGGGCAGAGGTTGAGGAAGCCTGGTGTGGGGGATGGGAAATGGAAATCTCAAGTTGGTGGCTACTAGGCATTCTGGCCAGGCTCTATCTCCCGTGCCAGAGGCAGCCTGGGAGGCAAAAACTGTGCTCAGATCCTGCTTTCATCTGGTTGGTACTAGATGGGCCTGATCCAACAAAGTCTTCTCTTATTGGTCTGGCGAGACAGCTTACCTGGTGCTGGGATCACCGTCTCCAGATGCGTTTGGTCAAGCTTCAGTTTATCTCCAGAGTCAATCACCTTGACAACTGCTGTGTATTTGTCAATTACTTCCTATAATATTAATGCACATTATTATTATTATTATTATTATTTCAATTTATATACCATCCTTTAACCAAAGATCCCAGGGCAGTGTAGAACACTAAGAACATAATTTACACAGCATAATAGTAAAAACATAATACACAGCATAATAATAAAATAATCATAACAGTCCCCTCACACAAATATAATGGGCTATAGATTATTTAATGGCTAAAGGCCTGGGTAAAGAGGATTGTTTCCACCTGCTGCCTAAAGACATGTAGTGATGGCGCCAAGCGAGCCTCTCTGGGAACAGCATTCCACAAATGAGGAGCCACTGCAGAAAAGGCCCTTTCTCTAGAGCAGGGGTGTCCAAAACGTTTTTCAAAGAGGGCCAGATTTGATGAAGTGAACGTGCGTGAGGGCCGACCATTTTGCCTGACGTTCTTTGAACTGTTGAAATGAAATGCAAATTAACTATTTCATGCAAAGTTAATTGCAAACGGCATTAATTTCCATTTTGTCACATGGATGACAAATCTAAACAGGTGTGAAATCACTCTGCCTTTCATATCTGAAGGCCAGATGGGGAAAAATCCAGGAAACTGAAATATACGTCAGGAACATTGTAAAGTACATTACATATTATTGGTAATAAAGGTTGTCTGTCAACTTTTAAGTTCAAAAAATATGAACAGGAACGTAACACCAAGTTGGCACAAACCTCTTGATGAGTTTTGACTAGCAAATAAATGTTAAAGGAAGAGTGTGTGTGTGTGTGTGTGTGTGTGTGTGTCTGTCCCTTTTTCTTCCCTCTCTCCTTAAAAGCACTCTCCTCTCCATTGCTGCAAATGGCCCCCGGGCCGGACTTTGGACATTACTGCTCTAGAGGCAATGAAACAGTTGCCAGGGTGAGGTGGGTGAACGGAACGGTGGATCTCCCATGTCAGATGGGAAACTTGGGACTCAGCAGTGCAACTTTCCCAAGGCACTTAAATTTTCCATGGCACCTGGCTTTCCCAAAGGCACTGGATATGAACCCGGCCCTCGCAGGTCCAATGCCAGGTTTTACCGGGGCTCTCTGATTCATGAATGTGGAACCTGCAGCACACCCAGGGCTATTGGACTTCCATCTCCCAGCCTGGCCAGGAATGATGCTAGAAAAATGCAACCTGTGCTGCTGATAAAGGTAAAGGGTCCAGTTGTGGCTGACTCTGGAGTTGCGGTCCAGTTGTACCATTAGGTCCAGTCGTGGCTGACTCTGGGGTTGAGGTGCTCATCTCACTTTATTGGCCGAGGGAGCCGGCGTACAGCTTCCAGGTCATGTGGCCAGCATGACAAAGCCGCTTCTGGCGAACCAGAGCAGCACACAGAAACGCCGTTTACCTTCCCGCCGGAGTGGTACCTATTTATCTACTTGCACTTTGACGTGCTTTCGAACTGCTAGGTTGGCAGGAGCAGGGACCGAGCAACAGGAGCTCACCCCATTGCGGGGATTCGAACTGCCGACCTTCTGATTGGCAAGTCCTAGGCTCTGTGCTTTAACCCACAGCGCCACCCGCATCCCTAATACTGCTGATAGAAGTAGTACAACTCATGCAACACGTTGGCGACTAATCTACACACAATAATTACCAAAATGATTATGCATTCTTTATCAATCTTCTGCGAAAAATACAAACACTTATGCAAAGTCACAGAGACTTACGAACTACCCAACCTAAGATGAACTTATAATGTCTGATTTCAATGGATTTTTCAAGTGCTCAATTCAGTCTTTTGTTTTCTCTATCTTTTTAGGTAAGTTCATGAAGATACCAACAAAAGGTAAGTTTGATGTTGTTCACAATACTGAGAGATGCTAGTGAAGTTGTAGATGGATGTTAATGAAGTTCTAGACAGGGTGCCGGCGTTTTGCACCTGTTTCGCCCTGGCGGTCCAAGTAATCAAGAGGCCGCTGTTCACCCCCGAGAAGGCCCTTTTACTGGGGCTTGCAGGTAGAACACTCCCAAGGTAGTTTTCCGGGCTTCTTCAGTGGTCTAATCTCAAAGCCTTGATACGTATATTGATATTCAATACTTTTTCTTGGCTTAAGCTTAAGAGACCAATTTGCTTGGCCAGGAATGATGGCAGCAACATTGGGGGGGGGGGGCACAGGTTCCCCATCCCTGCCTAATGTCACAGCAGCCCAGTGGGGATGCAGATCAGTGTCTGGGAAAACCCTGAGCCCCGCAGCACAGCTGCTTCAACCGCGCCAAATACCTCCCCCCTGAACCATAACAAACATGTCTGCTGACAGATAAAAGGCCGGCGGGCTCACCTTGACAACTGCCTTCTTTTTGTGGTATTTCTCACCCAGTTTCTTCGTTATAATTTTGACCACAATTTCCTAGAGAAGAGAGAGGAGGAAAGGCTATTTATGTATGCCACTGCCGCGGCCCGTGTTTTGTTAGCCCCCAAATGGAAAACAAGTGAGGTCCCAACTAAAGAAGAATGGCAACTTAAACTGATGGACTATGCGCAGCTTGCAGATTTAACATATAGGATAAGAGAACAGGAACAATATATGTTTAAAGAAGATTGGAAAATGTGTAATGAATATATGGGTGAAAACTGTGTACATTTGAAAACGTTGGCAGCATTAAGATAAATTCAACAGTGTAAAAAGGTTTGATGGATGTGAAAATGGAACACCGAATGGTTTAGTTTATGTAAAATATGCAGGGATCTACAGCATGCAAATTGAACCATGGAAGGAGAAGGGAAGTCATTGGTATTTTAAGGTTGTTCAAATGAATATCCTAAAATGTAAAGTAGAAAAATCTAATAAAAATTATACAAAAAATAAATCAAAACAAAAGCATTCTTCAATCCCTTCATATTACCACCACATGCAATTTTCCCCATTTGTTCAATTCAAATTACAAATTAAAACAAATTCATCTGATTCATGGGGGGAGGGAAAGAGATTTTAAAAGGACAAAATACATTCAGGTAGGTTGCTCTCCTTTCATTTCTCATGGATTTCAGCAGATGTTGCCTGTGAGGCACTGCAGGAGGACCTAGGCTGCAACTCAGAGGCCGTGTTTATTTGGCTAACTGTTGTGCCACAGACTGCGGTCACAGCTGGTCTGGCCTTGTCCCATTGTCCACCCTTCCCTAATGCACACAGAAAACTAGCACTCCCAGCACCCTCAAAGAACTACACTTCCCAGCATACTTTGAAGAAAGCCGTGACTCTTTAAAGTGGCATCATGCTACTTTAAATGCATCGTGCAGTTATGGGGCTTGAAAGTGGACTTTTAAAAAATTCATTCTGAACCCAGATTAAAAATAAAGTGCTACCCTTCCAATACTCCACATTGTTTGGTCCAGACACAAAGAGTATCGTTTGGATGGAACCAGCCTGAAAGTGAAAATGCAGCTTGCACGCTGAATGATAGGGTCCACGTCCCCGTTTGGATACTTACAGGCTGCAGCCAATGGTCTGTCCGGGAAGATTTCTTCTTCTCTTCCTCAAACTAAGAGAGGAAAGGAAACACAACTGGTTCAAATTTAAGATCAAAAGAAGGATGATGTTTAAAGTGTGCTGCTTCCATCTTTATTATGGTCATAGATCAGCATAAGTAGCGGCGGGGGGGGGGGTTGCAATCATTTAAAATCTGTAAAACGTTGGAAAAAGGTAAAGGGACCCATGACCATTAGGTCCAGTCGTGACCGACTCTTTGACGTGCTTTCAAACTGCTATGTTGGCAGGAGCAGAGACCGAGCAATGGGAGCTCACCCCGTCACGGGGATTCGAACCGCTGACCTTCTGATCAGCAAGTCCTAGGCTCTGTGGTTTAACCCACAGCGCCACCTGCGTCCCTTACGTAAAACGTTTTGGAAAGCTAAAATTATTAAAACAGAAGGTATATATACAAAACCTATAAGACTCTAAAAGCAGCTAAAAGAATCTATAAAAAGGGTTAAGAGCATTAAACAGATGTCATAATTTGTGTGGTACGTTTTATAATTTGTATGTTAAAATTAATAAAAATGTATTTAAAAAAAAGAGCATTAAACAGATGTCGAAGAGCATAAAAGGTTAGTATATAAAAGCCTATGGCTATCAATTTACAAATCACTCTGATATGAGTGTTCATTAAATCCAGTTTGTGGCACAGGTCATCATCCAACGAATTTTGAGTGCTGCTATGCAGAACCTGGCAACATTATATGTTATAGCAGAGCTGGTATCTGAAAGCAGCAGGGGAATATAGAATTGTCCTATGAGCCCTGGTTACTTATGGAGTAGTGGGGAGATGAGGCTAATACAAATGTCTCTATAATATAGACACTGGAGAAGCACATGCTCTGTTGTTTCGATTTGTCCAGAATCACAGGGGCATTAACCAGCCCCCAAAGAATGGATTTTATGACTTCCAGAGGGGTAAGATTATCACCAACAACATGCGACCACACCCCACTTGATAGGGATATGCTTCCCCCAGCCCACCCCTCAACATTTCAACCGTGAGAATCTGAACTTTTTAAAAAACCTATAGTCTGGAATATATTTTCCATACACTTTCCCTGCAGCAATGCCCCCGGTGGTCCTATCACATTTTACTCAAGGTGCAGAGAGAGCTGGTGTTTTTGAGAAAGGGGGCTTCTTATTATAGTGAGAAGCGTGAATTAATGGGCTCTGGGAGAAGAGATAGGGACTGCTTTGCTCCTCCGGGTTAACTCTCTCCAGACCAACGATGGGCTGCCATCTAGGTCCGCCCTAACGTTTATGGGTTGTGGTTTGTCCAAGAGGGCGAAACCAGAAGCCCAAATCTGAACGATGCACCAAACATGGCTCAACAAAATGCAGCAGCAAAATGCAAAGCAGCTGTAATCTCCTTTCTAGAAACTCACAGGTTGGTGCTAAGCCATGATACAGATTAGTGTGAAGTGTAAACCTCTTACTTTTCCAAGCTATTCAGATGAAAATCTTAACCCCGCATGGCTGCTTTATGTTTCTTGCAGATCTCCATGCTTTGTTCCCTATTTTTTTTCTTGCATTTGCAACTTAATTCTGCAAATTTCATCTCACTGCACCTCCATGATCTCATCGAGGGCTGTTTTCTTCTTCTTCCTCTTCTCTTTCTCTGAATTCTGAGGCATTTCTTTCCGCTTCACTGTGGGTGCTGCTCCCGCCTCCTTCAGTGCACTGGATCCAAGCGCGCTGAAAAAAGAGAACGCAGACGAATAATGCAAACCTAACCCCTGTCTACTCAGAAGCTAAGTCCTTGTGAATTCAACAAGGCTTACTCTCAGGTAAGTGGGGCTAGGCCTGCAGCCTTAGACTGCAAGCTTTCTCAGAGAAACATAACACTTAACAGGGGCTGCAAGGGCCCACCCCCCTCTCCAAGAAGCAGCTTGATTGGCCCAGCAGAGTGCCAATCCCACTGCCACTGAGAAACTCAAGTCCTGTGCTGGGACATTAAATGCTGCTCTGTACCTCCGCCTATCATGCTCGGTTTATTCCGTTCCCAAGTGAATAAGGGTTGAATTCAATGGAATTCTACTCAGACCTACTGGTATCAATGAGCCTATGTTAGGTACAGTCATACCTTGGGTTAAAGTCGCTTCAGGTTGAGTGTTTTCAGGTTGCACTCCGCGGTGACCCGGAAATAACGGAATGGGTTACTTCCGGGTTTCACTGCCCGTGCATGTGCAGACGCTCAAAATGACGCTCAAAACATCATGCGCATGCACAGAAGCGGCAAATCGCGACCCGCGCACGTGCAGATGCAGGTTGCGTTCTGCTCAGGATGCGAATGGGGCTCCGGAACAGATCCCGTTCACATCCAGAGGTATCCAGAGATATTCCCATTACAGTGGCACCTCAGGTTAAGTACTTAATTCGTTCCAGAGGTCCGTTCTTAACCTGAAACTGTTCTTAATCTGAAGCACCACTTTAGCTAATGGGGCCTCCCGCTGCTGCTGCGCCGCCGGAGCACGATTTCTGTTCTCATCCTGAAGCAAAGTTCTTAACCTGAAGCACTATTTCTGGGTTAGCGGAGTCTGTAACCTGAAGCTTATGTAACATGAAGCGTATTTAACCCGAGATACCACTGTAATTGAATTGGACTACCCTGAGTATGGCTAGCACTGGATACAATTCTATGGTCTGGATTCAATAGACGTAGCAGTAGAAGGCAATACAAGGGCTTTTGCTGGCACAACAGGGCTGAATGATCGCAAGAGCACGATGCTGAATTTCTCCCTGTATTTTCAAACCACCCCTTCCATTTCTGGTCAAGGATCAGAAAACGAAGGTTGCTGATGGTGCAACTGGGTTTAGGTAGGAGGGTGTTAAGAGCCCATAGGGACATGAAATGAAGTTATGGAAAGAGTCGGGGAGATGGACAGGAGATGTCTTGAAATTCTACCCTTCCAACGCTGACCCGTGTTCTGTGCAATGCTGAAGGCTGACACCTGTTCCAGATTTTTTTAAGGAAAGCATAAGCTGGCAAGATTGCCACGCCGGGAAGCAATTCCTAGGCTTGGAGTACAATCCCAAAGGTTGTTCTCCTTTCTCTGAGGTGTGAAGGGAGAGGCAGAAAAGTCAGGAAATGGGGGGCACCCCATGGAACAAAGTTACTGGCTGGCAAAATATTCACCGTCCGAATAAGGGCAGATGAGAAACAAAAGATGCAGACTGGAAACACACTGACCTGGCTTTGGAATGAGACGCTGTTGAAGTGCTTGCTCCTTTGCACAAATTAAAGACCACTGAAATAAAAGGAAAAAAGATGTTCCCTCTTAGTTCATGCTCTCCAAACAATGAGTTCAAACTCAGGCTTGCCAATTGGTTCCCGCAAAAGCCTTGCCTGGGGAGATCACAGGGTTCCATATCCATTTACCTTTCTCCTCCTCGTTTTCTCTGTTCAGTTCTGTGTAGACCGGTTCTCCCTGCGAGAGGATAACAGAGCAACTTCAGGGCTTGAGCACACCACTGACGAACACAAGCCAGAGCAGTTCTGGGAGTTTAAACTTAACAGTGACCGAGGATGAAGGAGGGAAGTTAAGCAAGACTCTACGGACTAAGTGGAGCCCTTTTAGAGAACAGGCGGCTTTGGGGCAGATGAAAGTGGCAAGATCTGCAGCTGGGAAAGTCACAGGTCAGGGACGCATTAGGAATCAAGAAAGGGAAGACAGGGATGATGGTGGATGTTGCCACCAACGCAGGAACCACTTGCCAGTGGAGCAGAGCAACTATGCTAGCTTCCCAGCAGGTGGGTCGCTGTTGTTCATCGGGAAGGAGAGCAGGGAGGTGGCAGGCAGGTCAGCAAGGTGCAAAGGCACCGTCAGGAGCACTAGATTGGCTCTATCAGTGTGTCTGCAGCTCACCGGCCTTGTGGCTGCCTTGCCCTCCCAGCAGCTGGGTCACTGTTGCTTACCTAGGACCCTCGTACCTACGGGACCGCCTCTCCCGGTATGCCCCACAGAGAGCTTCAAGGTCCATAAATAGCAACACCCTAGTGGTCCCAGGCCCTAAGGAAGTTAGATTAGCTTCAACCAGAGCCAGGGCCTTTTCAACACTGGCTCCGGCCTGGTGGAACGCTCTGCCTCATGAGACCAGGGCCCTGCAGGATCTGATTTCTTTCCGCAGGTTCTGTAAGACAGAGTTGTTCTGCCTCTTTCTTTTTCCTTTCTCCTCCTGTGATGAGGCTGCATTTTAATATTTTAATGTTTCAATATTTTAATTGTTGTATTTTAATCTTGTTTTTAAGTTGTATTCATTCAACTTGTTTTTATTATTGCTTGTTAGCCGCCCTGAGCCTGGCCTTGGCTGGGGAGGGCGGGGTATAAATAAAAATTGTTATTATTATTATTGTTATTATTATTACCAAGAGAGAGGGAGGCAAAGCAGCAGGCAAGTTGATGTGCTGAAAATGCACTACAGAGCCAAGCTGGTGTCCCTGCTGAAATGTTTGCACCACGCCAACTCCTGCTGCTTACTGGTAAATAATAATAATAATAATAATAATAATAATAATAATTTATTATTTGTACCCCGCCCATCTGGCTGGGTTTCCCCAGCCACTCTGGGCGGCTTCCATAGAAACAAAAAATACAGTAAAATATCACAGATTAAAAGCTTCCCTGAACAGGGCTGCCTTAAGATGTCTTCTAAATGTCAGGTAGTTATTTATCGCTTTGACATCTGATGGGAGGGGGTTCCACAGGGCGGGCGCCACTACCGAGAAGGCCCTCTGCCTGGTTCCCTGTAGCTTTGCTTCTCGCAATGAGGGAACCGCCAGAAGGCCCTCGGCGCTGGACCTCAGCGTCCAGGCAGAACGATGGGGGTGGAGACGCTCCTTCAGGTATACTGGGCCGAGGCCGTTTAGGGCTTTAAAGGTCAACACCAACACTTTGAATTGTGCTCGGAAAGAAGACCAATCTATGCTAGGAAGCTAGCAAAATAGCTCCGCCCCTTCCGCACCAGCCTCCTTGCGCATTCTAGTTACACCCAATGACCTTTGCACTTCGAATCTGATGGAAAAGACCTTTGCAGACCTGCTCTTTCCCCTCCAAGCCTCTCCGGACTTGTTCTTCAATGAATCGGGCCGTTTTCTCTTCATCATCCAGGTCCTGTTTCTTTTTCTTCTCCTGCTCTTGCTGCCTACGGATCGTCTCGGGGTCTCGGTCGATATATTGGATGTACCAGCCTTTGGGAGTTTCGTCCACTTTGCAGAAGCCTTAAGAACACACAGAGCAAGAGAATGCTTATGGTTGTTCAGAAACAAGAAACAGCAATGTACGTCCAGGAATTGAGATGCTCTTTTTCAGTCAATACAAAATTAGTCACAGGTTGATGCTGTGGCATGACAAGCTATCAGATCTCTGTTGCTGTATTAAAGAGAGCTGGGGTACTGTACTGGGGAATAAGGGAATGAGCCAAAAACCTCCAGTTCAAATCTCTTCCCAGTTACAAACCCAAGAGAGGGCCCATAAGCCTTCTTTCAGCTGCAAATCAATTCCCTCTTCTCCCACACCTGGCCATCTGCACTGTAAGATGGTTACAAGTGTATGCACCAGACTTCCCCAACATGGGACCCTCCAGGAGTTTTGGACTACAGTTCCCATCATCCCAAGCTAGCACTGCCCAACCTTCAAGGGTTATGAATCCACCTGTCTAGAGAGGGTCAAACCGTGTGAAGTCAAACCACTGTGTTAGCAACACCGAAGTGACCTCCCCAGGGCACAAGCCTGGGCAGTGTGTCTGGAGGTCCTGAGCTGCCCAGACGACAAGACTCCCCCTCTTGGCCTTGCTGATGTAGTCCAAAGGAAAGCAGAGCAAGACATTTGGCACCAGCTTGGCTGCAGGAGTTGCCGGAAGGAGGGATACAAGGCGCCATCCAACTGTCTTAGGGACTCTGCTCCAGATTTGTGTAGGGTTATTTCTCTTGAAGATATTTCACAAGGCAGTGGAGGTTTAGGATCAGAGTTTTCCTGCTCCTAGATGGGCGACTTTCCCAGGTTGATGAGCCCCATCTGCCCCTCACTTCCTTCTCCAACATGTGCAGAAACCGCCTTCTTGACTGTTGGACCCACTATTGGTCTCATCTGCTCAATCCACCAGAGCCTGTACAGTGGTACCTCTGGTTGTGGACGGGATCCATTCCAGAGCACTGGTCGGATCCTGAGGTTTCCGCAACCGGAGGGACTGCTTCTGCGCATGCAGTGATGGAGCACTTCTGCACATGCATGCGGTGCAGTAGAGCGCTCATGCGTGTGCGGCGAAACCTGGAATAATACATTCCGGGTTTGCCGTGTACATATCCTGAAGGATACGTAACCAGAGGTGAATGTAAGTAGAGGTACCACTGCATTTGCCTGTGGGGAAAAACCCTAACTCACTGAGGGCTTGAGACCCATCGTAATGGCTAGGCCATTACTTGCACACTTTCAAACATACTGTCACAATCATTAAGTACAAGTAACGTGTTGCTGCTTTTTAAAAAAAAGAAAGATTAAGCCTGTGCCCAACTATCCATTATACGACACTGTCCCTTTGGATTAGATGAATTTGAAACAACTGAATGAAAGATAGAATAATTCGCAACAGCAAGATAATGCTCTCAGACATTTTCAACCCCAGAATTCCTAGATCTTTCTTGGTTTCCTTTTTGGAAGCCATCCATTCACAAACAGAAAACAGAATTACCTTCTCTCCCTAGCCACTTGGTAAAATCCGTCAGAGTTTCCCACTGGGTAGCATTCATATGGATGTGTTCTCGGTGACTAATATATTCATTATATACTATATTATTGTGGACCCTCTTTGTTCCTAGAAGGAAAAAAAATGCTCTTAATAACAGGTCTGAAGTTAGATAGAAAGCACTTTGAATTTTAAGAAATGTGGTTCTGTTCCAGCCAAGTGATTTACCAAATCGTCTTCTGAGAAGTTCTAAGAAATCATTCCGGAATTCCCTAGGGAAATATAAAAGGGACAATTGTAGCAAATGTATGTCTGACCAAAATTAGATATGAAGATAACTGCTTCCATTTGTGTGCAAATATGCTAGCTTCTGGGTAACATAGAACTCTTCCTAGGCAACAGGCAGGATGCGACTTTGATCTCTTGATTATACTGAAATTCTGGCACATGAACAGGAAGATTACTTGGTCCCAATCCCATAAGGGTAGATCAATTCCCCATGGGGGAAGCCTCCACTATGCTCCAGTCTCATTCAACAACCATCTACATATTGAAAGTTCTTTGTATGTGCAAATCACCAAGCTGAAAAGGTTGTGTTGCTTGCTTGTTTTTTGTCCTGGTATATAAGAGGTTTTTCTTTTTCTGGGAAGTGTTTTAAAAGATTATGGATACAGGTCAAATCTACAAAAAATTGCAGAACAACAGAACACCATGCAGGGAAAGTAAAGGTGGGGAATCATTCTGTGAGGCAAGCTATAAAACATGCACTGACCAAATGATTTCCCTAGCATTGCACTGAATTCCACGATATGTGTTTGTATGATTATAATATATAACAATAATTAACAAACAGCGGTAAAAACAGTGCCAATATATTGGCCAAACTCACTCTGAAAAATAATCCATGAATTGCTGAGGATCTTCAGATGCCAGCAGCAGCTGTCGCTGGTGAGATTCTGACATGCAATGACATTTAAAGCCATTCTAGGAGGGAAATGTAATAAGATGGTTGTACTCAGAGATGACAAGCAACCTGCATTAAAAAACCCCACAGTAAAACTTTAGATAGAAATGCAAAGTGTGTGAAGCTTTTTCCTTGATCATTTTCTGGAAGGACGTTGCTTACGGCTTAAGTACCCAGACACAAATATTTTATGTTGTTATTACTACTACTACTACAGTACAGTGGTACCTCGGGTTAAGTACTTAATTCGTTCCAAAGGTCCGTACTTAACCTGAAACTGTTCTTAACCTGAAGCACCACTTTAGCTAATGGGGCCTCCTGCTGCCGCCGCGCCGCTGGAGCACGATTTCTGTTCTCATCCTGAAGCAAAGTTCTTAACCTGAAGCACTATTTCTGGGTTAGCAGAGTCTGTAACCTGAAGCATATGTAACATGAAGCGTATGTAACCTGAGGTACCACTGTAATTGAATTTATATACCACCCTAAACTTGGGGGTCTCAGGGCGGTTCACAGGATGTCATTATTATAGCATATTTATTAAAGGTCTATACTGCCCTTCATCCAAATATCACAGGGTAGTTTAAAATGTAAGACACAAAAATACACACTATAGTAACAAAAACAATAACCTCTGCCTTCACAGATACAGTTTAAAAGGCTGTAGGTTATTTAATTAGTCAAAGGCCATAATGTTATATGTTCCAAGGGTGCACGGTATCCTAAATTATCAGAGATATTTAACCTGAGCGGATTTCCAAAGCATATCTTACTTGAGAACAACTCCAGAAGATACACAAGAGTCCTTTCTTGCAAAGGTGATGAGCCATTAATGTCAAGCAGAGCCCCCACGTGCAGGGGCAACATACCTGCAAAGCTTCGCCTGTCGGTCAGATGCTTTTTGAATTCTGAGGCTTTTCAAATGTTTGTGGGTGGGTGGGGATACGAATGCTTCGTTTTCGTTTCTGCTATTGTTATGTATTTTGCGTTCGCGCTTTGTATTTTCTTTTTTTCTGTTGTGAACCGCCCTGGGATATTCGGGCAAAGGGGGGCAAATAAAATAATAATAATAACATTTTCAAAAGCAGTGACATCACCTTGCCAACAAAGGTCCGTATAGTTAAAGCTATGGTTCTCCCAGTAGTGATGTATGGAAGTGAGAGCTGGACCATAAAGAAGGCTGAGCGCTGAAGAATTGATGCTTTTGAATTCTGGTGCTGGAGGAGACTCTTGAGAGTCCCATGGACTGCAAGAAGAGCCAACCTATCCATTCTGAAGGAAACCAGCCCTGAGTGCTCACTGGAAGGACAGATCCTGAAGCTGAGGCTCCAATACTTTGGCCACCTCATGAGAAGAGAAGACTCCCTGGAAAAGACCCTGATGTGGGGAAAGATGGAGGGCACAAGGAGAAGGGGACAACAGAGAACGAGATGGTTGGACAGTGTTCTCGAAGCTACCAGCATGAGTTTGACCAAACTGTGGGAGGAGGTGGAAGACAGGAGTGCCTGGCATGCTCTGGTCCAGGGGGTCACGAAGAGTCGGACACGACTAAACAACAACAACGGGGATATTAATGCTTTGTTTTCGTTTCTGCATTTGTTATGTACAGTGGTAGCTCTGGTTACGTACTTAATTCATTCTGGACGTCCGTTCTTAACCTGAAACTGTTCTTAACCTGAGGCACCACTTTAGCTAATGGGGCCTCCCGCTGCCGCCGCACAATTTCGGTCCTCATCCTGAAGCAAAGTTCTTAACCTGAAGCACTATTTCTGGGTTAGCAGAGTCTGTAACCTGAAGCGTATATAACCCGAGGTACCACTGTATTTTGCGTTCTCGCTTTGTATTTTCTTTTTTCTGTTGTGAACCGCCCTGGGGTATTTGGCAAAGGGCGGTAAATAAAATAAAAATAAAAATAAGGATGGCGATGGTGATAAAACACGAAACAGATATGTTGCGCCTGGCTCTGGAAGCTCTACTGGGCACCCTTCCACCCCCCCAAAAAAATCCCTTCCTCTCTCACCTCATCCCTGCACTGCTTCTGGCACATCTGGCAGTACCAGCGCAGCTTCTGCAGCCCCTTCGACTTGATGCGGTTGGCGATGGCCTTGGGGCTCAGGAAGTCCGTCTTCCCCATGGCGGCGGCGGAACGACCGGGCAGCAAGCAAACAACAAACCAGAGTCGCTTCCGGGTTCTCCCCCCCCCTTAGGAAGGGCCGGAAGCGGAAGTGACGATTATAACCAACCCTCATGCCCATAGAACGGGGGCGACCGAAAGGGTAGAGGGGTAGACAGACGCTGAATTCCGGTTCCAAATTTGGAAATAAGGGCAGTAGCAAGAAGGACGCCAACACTTGCTGTAGTTGAAGCAGGTGCGGTTTGTTAAACACGATGCTAGCATGCGGGTTTTTTAATATAATTGCTATTGGGTGATGCACAGTCACACTCAGAGCAGACCCGTTGGAATAGAGGGGTTTCAATAGGGCCTGGCCTTGATACGCCTCAGTTGCACTGTTAAAGCAATTCTTATAATTATCCCTCTCTTTTTCCCCCCTAAAAGAAGTGGCAAACCCCTGATCTATATACAGTATCTATCAAATGTATTTAGTCTACATATCCTTCTTATATACACACACACACACACACATATATATATTATAGATTAGATATAGATGTGAAATATTTTTATATATTAAATATAATATTTTATATTATATTATATTATATTATATTATATTATATTATATTATATTAAATTTAATGTTAAATGCTCTAGATCTATAGATGTGCAGTCTGAATGTCTATATAGATATATCTAACAAATGTTTTTAGTCTAGAGAGAGACAGAGAGAGAGAGAGAGAGAGACATATATATATATATATCTCATAGCTGTCAACGTTTTCCCTTTTTTAAGGCAAATTCCCTTATTCCGAATAGGATTCCTCGCAAGAAAAGGGAAAAGTTGACAGCTATGCTGTATATAGACATATATATATACAGTATATATATAGACTAAAAACATTTGATAGATATATCTATATAGATATCCAGACAGCGCATCTATATCTATCTACCTATAGATCTAGTGTATTTAATCTATAATGTATTTACACACACACGTATGTACAATGTATTCAGATACTGAAATTTATTTGTGGACCATCTCTATGGGATCACGTGGGAGGCAGGGCCGCTCTCGCCCCTCATCTCTATGGTCCGCCCCTGCGCGGCATAAGAGGTTTAAACCGTAGAGTCCGGAAGAGGTAAACCCGACCGGTTTGCCCTTGTGGCGGACCATAGAGACGAACGTAGAGCGAGTCTCCAAGTTCCGGCGCCCTTTCACCCGGAAGCTGTCCTCCCCCCTCGCCTGCCGTGGCTTTCTCCTCCTTTACCATTCGCCCCGCGCCCGAGGTGGAGCTCTTGCGGCGCATGCGCGGTGGGGGCTCTCTGACCTTCAAGCCGCCGGGTCCGGGCGGGCAGCGCGCGAGGGAAGGAAGGGCCGCGCCTGGAAGAGAAGGAGAAGAAGGGAGGCCGCAGGCGGGGAAGGAAGGAGACGAGGAAAGGCCGCTGCCGTCATGCTGTCCCGGGGAGCCGCCTTCGCCGCCGCCGCAGCCCTCTCGCAGCCGCAATGGTAGGTGAAGGCCCTTCTGCTCCGAGGGGGTAATGAGAGAGGGCACTCTGCACATGCTCAGAGGTCCCACGAGCCACGATTGAAACCTGACCTGCTGCTGCTGCTGCTATTATTATTATTATTATTAGGCAGCAGATATGTCCCATTCAACCTCCAATATCTTCCCTCTCAAGGTTATAATTTTCTGCATTTCAGGCTGCTAGTTGCATTTTCCCCTCAGAACGCAGAAAAAGAAAAAAGCAGCTGGTCTGTGAAGCTTAACCTGCATCCTCTTCTCTTCTTTTCTTTTCCTCTCCTCTCCACATCCTGGGAAGGGGCAGCGTTTTGAATTATCTTTCAATTGCTCCCCTCCCCCAGTATTTTGCTGTTGCATTGCAATGCTTAACCTGCATTATTTCAGCCGCTTAACCTGCATTATTTCCACCGCCAGTCTAAGGAGTGTGGTGGGATTTGCGGGGCAGGGGTGGCGCACCCGTAAATCTGCGCCAAATCTCTCTTTTCCCTTTGCCCTCCTCCTGTCAAGGTTTCTGCCCAATCGTTTTGGCATGGGTTGTCCACTTTCCAGCTTGTTTTTCAGCCTCTTTGCTTTACTGTTTGTGGGTCTCCATAGTTTTCTACCTATTGCAAGTGGGCCCTGCAACAAAATGTTGCAGTGTGCAGTATTCCTAGTTCAGCTGTCCCACTCCCATAACAGCAAAGCACCAGTGCTTTGTGACTACTGAACATCAAGCTGCCTTTGGGGGATTCCCCCCCCCCCCATTTATATATTTTTGTACATCTGCCAACTTTCGGGCTCACTCATGCCTGCTGGTATCTGCCTCTTACGCATAGATGAGGCTGTTTTGGTTGCAGAGAATGAATTCACTGTTGGCATATATATGAATATGATAAATATATACAGGCAACTCTCAGCTTACGCTGGGGTTAACATTCCAGGGATAGCAGCTAAAACCAAAATCACGTATAGTCAAAAAACATTTGGTTCAGTGGCAGGTGGGATTGCCAAAGTCTTTCTCCCCAGATGCCTGCTGGCTTTATTATTATTATTATTATTATTGCCAAGTACCACCTGTGATTTTTTTTTTTTTTTTTGGTACCTACAGCAGTTCTTTAGGCCTTCAGATGTGCCTCTGAACCTAGAAAAACTGTGAAACACCGTTCTTCCAGCGGGAAATAACATTTAAAGAAATGAAGTATCTGTTTTGTGTTTTTTTTTCAGGGTCCAAGTCAGGAATATGGCAACTTTGAAAGATAGTAAGTATTCTGTTCTAGATGCATACCCTGAAACGACTGCAGAGAAGGTAAACCTGTGATCTTCTAGACGCTGTTCATCTCCTCCTCCTGTCAGCACAGACAATGGTCAGCGGTGATGAGAACTGTAGTCAAACATCTGGTTATTCATCCCTGCACTGGTAGATTTGGCTGCATAACACCAATGCTCTACAGATGGGTTGATTTTGACTTGTTACAGAGACCAGTGCTCAATTAGATCCTTTTTTAATGCTTCTTTTTCTCAGTGTCTCTTTGAAATCCTCCCTTTCTTCATTCACTCTCATCTGTGCAGTTACCCGGCGTTTAAAGTCCATCAAGAACATCCAGAAAATTACCAAGTCCATGAAGATGGTTGCCGCAGCAAAGTATTCCAGGGCAGAGAGAGAGTTAAAGCCTGCCAGAGTTTATGGAGTCGGGGCATTGGGTAAGCAAAGTTGCCTTTCTTGTGGCTGATCTTCAGGAATAGCCTTTAAGTCATGGGGGGGGGAATTTGGGGGGTGGGAGGTGTGAGATTTTGATCAGCTCCTGCCCATCTGGAGCTGATACAGGCTCGTCTTATCTTGAGCCCAAGCAGAGCGTAGTCACGCAACGAAAGGATAAGCAGGTAATGTGCTACATGATGAAGTTTATTTACAAGCTATGCTGAGAGCATACAGACATACATCTTGCCTCTGTGAGAGCAGAGAAGCAACTCCCTCTCTAACAAAGAAACAACAGAACACTGAAAAACAGGAAACCAGTGTACGTCACATCCAGTCTCCCATTCCCGTGGGAACCCAACAGTAACTCTGACTGTGGAATGTAAACATTGTCTTGTGACAAGCATTTGCTGCACAGTGAAGAAAGCAGAAACCAACAGGAGGGATAATTTCCTGACCTATAACTTTCTGATGAACTACTTCTAAGTAGACTTGCAAATTATCTTTAAAATTTGCATTAACTTTGGACCATTGGAAACGATGATACGTTAAGTTAGCTCAAAAGTTTGATGTTTCTCTAGATTTATAAAGCGCTGGTCCTTTAAAGCAGAGATAAAGAGCCTGTGGTCCTCCAGATGTTAAATTCCTTCCAGCCATAGCGAGCATGACCAGTGAACAACATCTGGAGAGCCAAAGGTTCCCTACCTCCTTTCTTGTTTACTTTTATATATTGCTTCATGCATTGAGAGATGCCCTAAAGTGATTTACAATTGTTGTTTAGTCGTTTAGTCGTGTCCGACTCTTCGTGACCCCCTGGACCAGAGCACACCAGGCACTCCCGTCTTCCACTGCCTCCCGCAGTTTGGTCAGACTCATGTTTGTAGCTTCGAGAACAATAATTTACAATAATAAAATACAAAACTCATAAAGAATTCAAGAAAATGATACAAATATAAAATACAGTACCAAGTTTTGTTTTAAAGAAAGTAATCCAAAACAACATTAAATATTGTTCTAAATAAATTCAAACTGCCAAGCCAAATTCTACACCAAAATAGACTGAATTCAGCAGCCTCCATAAATGTATGGGAATCAAGCATATTTTTATATATTGGATTGTTCCCAACAAAGTCGTCCCATTAGTGCAAAGATGTTTGGGAACCCCCAGAACCGGGGAGGGGGGATGACATGGCAGGAGGGGAAATGAATTTGAAGTTATGTTGTGCAAGCGTCACCAAAGAACTTTGTTGGATACAAGCCATTGTAATTTTACATTGTTTAAAGTATTTCTCCTACAAGGGGGTTGATAAGAAGCTATTGAAGATGTTGAACCACCTACCCCATCACTGTTGAAAAAACGTCTGAGCCCCCTTTGGTTTTAAACACTTTGCTAGGTATTGCTCACACACTCAAGAGCCTATCTATATGGTCATGACTAGAAACTTGAGAGTGGCTTTTGTTGCTATTATGAAAATTTCACAACATTGTATTCTGTCATTGACATATTTTGTGCCTGTGCGGAAAATACCTTGTCCTTGATTGCATATAGTGTCTCGCCTGCTGTTACTAGGGGTGCAACAGTCCCTTCATGCTGATGGAATAATAATAATTTATTTATACCACGCCTATCTGGCTGGCTACCCAGCCACTCTGGGCAGCTTCCAACAAAATATTACCATACAATAGTCTATTAAACATTAAAAGCTTCCCTAAACAGGGCTGCCTTCAGATGTCTTCTAAAAGTCTGGTAGTGGTTTTTTGTTTTTTGTTTTTTGACATCTGGTGGGAGGGCATTCTACTGGGCGGGTGCCACTACCGAGAAGGCCCTCTGCCTGGTTCCCTGTCACAGCATATAGGCCGTGACTTAATCTCAAATGGTGTGTGCTGAGGTTTGGTAACTCAAACATTGGGTCGTCAACAAGCTTTCAAAATGCAGAAAAGTAAATCATGCTGAAGAAGCTCATAGTTTCTGTTGCGTGACCTTGATCTGTCTGTTGGAATTTGATTAAGTAACAGGTGGTGGGGCAGTATTTCTTGTAGAAGTGGTTCTTATTGGAAGTACTGTAGTTCATAGAATCTTAGAGCTGGAAGGGACCCAAGGGTCATCTAGTCCAACCCCCCCCCCCCATGCAGGTACCTCAGCTAAAGCATCCATGACAGATGGCGGGAAGGAAGGAAGTTCTACCACGTATCATTTGATGCCGCTGTATTTTGATGGCTGCTAATAATGCCTGCTGTTGGCTGTGTCCCCTCTTCTCTTTACTAGCTCTTTATGAAAAAGCGGAAATCAAGGCCCCTGAGGACAAGAAGAAGTATCTTCTCATAGGGGTGTCTTCCGATCGTGGCCTCTGCGGTGCTATCCACACTTCTGTGGCTAAAAATATCAAGAGCCAAGTCACCGCCCTCACAGATGCGGGTAAAGAGGTCATGTTAGTCGGAATCGGTGACAAGCTGAGAGCCATTCTTCAGAGGTAATGGGGAACAGCAGCCCTTTCCTTGAATTTGAACCTTTCTTTCCACTGGTTAAAAGGTAAAGGGACCCCTGACCATTAGGTCCAGTCGTGACCGACTCTGGGGTTGCGGCAATCATCTCGCTTTATTGGCTGAGGGAGCCGGCGTACAGCTTCCGGGTCATGTGGCCAGCATGACTAAGCCGCTTCTGGCGAACCAGAGCAGCGCACGGAAACGCCGTTTACCTTCCCGCCAGAGCGGTACCTATTTTATCTACTTGCAGTGGCGTGCTTTCGAACTGCTAGGTTGGCAGAAGCAGGGACTGAGCAATGGGAGCTCACCCCATCGCGGGGATTTGAACTGCTGACCTTCTGATCAGCAAGTCCTAGGCCCTGTGGTTTAACCCACAGCGCCACCCGTGTCCTTTTCCACTGGTAGTTTTGCATTAATCTCAAAGGCTGTAATGAGCTTCCTTCTGAGAAAGCTGTCTTAGGAGCAACTGAATATGCTCAGAATTGTAATGTACGGCAGTGATACTTACCCGAAGACTGCTGAGGGTGAGCTGATGTGTAGGATGCATCCGACAGGACCATAGGATCACTGCACCTGTGCTTGAGGGCTAAGGCTTAATTGCTCAGAAGCTGGAAGGTTGAGGCAGGTTTAAGCCCCAGAATGTAGTGGATGGTGAAAAGGATGGAGGTGCTCAGTGGACTGGAATACAAAGAAAGAATTTTATGGAATACAAAGAAAGAGTTGCCCAGTCGGTGCCAACCTGTGACAGGACCTTTTCAGTGATGGGTCCCCAGTTGCAGAATGCCGTCCCTAGTGGGGAGCATCTGTCTCCATCATCATCATTAACTTTCATTAGGTATTCGTAAACATTCCTGTCTATGTCATCGTTTCATCACACTAGCAATGGGTGCGGCCCTCATTAGCCCTGCATTTATGGGCCAGGGGAAGTTTCTGGGCGCTTCTCAAAACCAGCCCCGTATAGAACTCATAGCAGTTGGATAATAACTGAAGCGTGTTTCACTGTGGCCGGATCTACCGTATTTTTCGCTCTATAGGACGCACCAGATGATAAGACGCACCCAGTTTGGGGGAGAGGAAAACAAGAAAAAGAATATTTTGAATCCCAGAAGCCAGAACAGCAAGAGGATCTGGCTTCTGGGATACCTTGTGGCTGTTCTGGCTTCTGGGATAACCGCGCCAAGCCTCTTCATGGCAGCGGAATGAAGGCTCCCCCTGCCTGAATAGGCTGCGCGCAGCTAAAGCAGAAGCCAGGGCAGGCGCGTCACTGAAGGGGCGCTGCACAGTTCTCCCTCTCTGCGCAGCACCCCTTCAAGCGAAGCTGGAGAAGGAACAGGAGACCCTTCTGTTCCTTCTCCGGCTTCGCAGGACAGGCGCCTCGCTGCGAAGCTGGAGGAGGAACAGAAGGAGACCTTTCTGTTCCTCTTCCGGCTTCCAGGCAGGCGCGTGGCTGAAGGGGCACTGCACAGTTCAAGCAAAGCTGGAGAAGGAAAAAAGGGGCTGCGTTCCTCCTCCCACTCGCTGAAGGGGCGCTGCGCAGCTCTACCTCTCTGCGCAGCGCCATTCACTCCATAGGACACATTCACATTTCCCCTTTATAGGAGGAAAAGAGTGCGTCCTATGGAGCGAAAAATATGGTGCTTTACACGCGGGCTCGCTTTTGTTTTAGGACACACAGCAAGAACTTCTTGTTGAACTTCAAGGAAGTGGGGAGGAAGCCTCCCACCTTTGGAGATGCGTCGATCATTGCCCTGGAACTGCTGAATTCTGGATACGAATTCGATGAAGGAGCAGTCATCTATAATCGGTTCAGGTAAGAGAAAGCATAAATTCCATCATTTTCAAGGGGAATAAAAGAATTGGGCGGGGAGAGGTCAGTAGATTTGAATATAGTTTAGCGTTTTAATGTAGGTTTTTAGCTTGGTGTCTGAATGTAGGTTTCTGTTAGGTGGCTCCAAGTGCCACCAGGATAATAGAGGAAGTTCTGCATGCTGCTTAAGTGTGTCTGGATTTTAACATTTGGCAGGCAGATGCTCTCAAGCCATGTCACTAAAACTGTTCAGCAGAGCTTTCTTTTTCTTTTAGGTCCGTCATCTCCTACAAGACAGATGAGAAACCCATCTATTCTCTTGAGACTGTTTCTGGTGCTGGTAAGTAGACTTTGGCTAGTTAGTGGAGTAAACAATTGCATTTTTAGGGACATTTCCCCCTTGCGTGCTATTGCTTCTTATGCTGATTAAAGTTTGTGTTTCCATAAGTGCTTAACTGCAAAAGGCCAAACCATTGCCCTTATCTATCGCACTGTGGGTAGGAAGCAAAGAATTTTGGTCTAAAATTATCAATGCTGTATTTAGACGCATTGTCGTTACTACTACTACTATTATTACTATTGTATTCTTTGCCTCTTATTTTGCTTTTTAAAAGGCACGATTAGAGCTAACAGTGTGCAAGTGCCAGTTGAATTTTGTAAAATAGAAATTGCTTATAGCTGAAGAGCTAAGGAATTACTGTGTGTTTTTCTTTTTTAAAAAAAAAAGCTGATTGCTAATCTACAGTGGTTTTGAAATTCCATCATATATGCGTTTGGCTTGCTATTACTGTATCTGATAAATCTTAACTAATAAACCACCTATATTATTGTTCTTCGTTTTTCAGAAAGCCTTAGTATCTATGATGATATTGATGCAGATGTCCTGCGAAACTATCAGGAATTTACATTGGCAAACATCATCTTCTACTCATTAAAGGAGTCTACTACTAGTGAGCAAAGTGCAAGGATGACTGCCATGGACAATGCCAGCAAGAATGCTTGTAAGGAACTCTCCATGCAGTTTACAGTGTACCGTGATAAGTTAGCAGCAAAAGCAGAAACTACCAAAATTTAGATAAGAGGCCCAGTGGAGAGCAGGCAAGATTCTGTTTTGTGGGGATGTTTAGGGAGGCAGGAGAGGATATATTATTTAATGATCTCCTTCCTAACTTGCGCTAGCAAGTTCCGTATCCTAGCACAGTTCCAAACATCCCCCTTTTTAAATTACACAGCGGTTAGCTTGTTGCTGGCTTGTCTGAGCCTCACTACTCAAGATTCCTGGTAAGATCCCTTCTAATCCCTCTTAAAAAGAATAGACATGAGAATCTGATTAAGCTTAATATAAAAGTAGTTTACTCACAAATTCATTCAGGTTCACAGATAGATCCCTGAAGGCAGACTTAGGCTACACAAGTATGTAACTATATAAACTGTCCCATAAGGGAACTGGTTCCAAGTGACTGCGATTGAGCAGTCACTTCACCTAACATACAGAAACACAAAATGGAGAAGAAGAAGAACAAAACAACATGGAGGAACGTCTGCTTCTCTGCCCAGAATAGGCTATACCCTCTTAAAGTCACATGCAGTGGAAGTCTGTCCCAGCTCAGGAGGAAACAGGACGTTTTCTCCTGAGTGGTACAAAACATCCCCCAACATGTCCACTGTAGGAATGTTGTACTTGACTGCTATAAGTTTCACATCCCACATGTTTACATACCAGCTAGAATAGCTGCCTTTTAGTTATTTGCTTCACAAAAATACCTTGGCTTTGTTAAGACAACCCTACGGCTTCAGTCCTAGGCACACTTACTTGGGAGTATGCGCCATTGAACTTACTGAGCATTGTAGATAGGACTGCACTGCACTTGCCTAAGGACAGTCTGGCTAGAGTTCATTATAATGGAAAGCGATAACAGAAATTGTCATGGATAGAAAAGACCGTATAGAAATTAGCCCTTGGCCCAGAAAGTAGCTGGTAGAATCCTTGATGCTGTACCCTTTCATATTCAGAGATTCGCAATATTTACAAAATTTCAAGTTTAAAGTAACTTAAGTCCTTGGTTCTGAGCAAGCAAGAAAGCAGATTATATAAAGTACTCAAAACGCTTCCTTACTTAAAACCAGTGGGCAAAGTAAAATGGCTGAGTAGCTTAAGATTTATTGATACTTTTGTCATGGAACTTCTCCCGTCTCCCTTTCTAGCTGAGATGATTGACAAGCTGACTCTGACTTTCAACCGTACCCGCCAAGCTGTCATCACCAAGGAGCTTATTGAGATCATCTCTGGTGCTGCTGCGCTGTAAGTATTGGCATACGAGTTTCCAACCTTTAGGTCTTCTGTTCCGCGAGGTTGAATGGGGCAGCGAATTTTCCATTTATGCTTAAAAAAAAATCAGTGATCAGTGCATGGCACAGTTTGGCACCACCCCCTCCCCGTTAATTCCAAACATACAACAGTGGTTGTTGGCTAATACTGGAGTTTTCTTGCAGGATATTGCTTTTCTCTGTGTCCTGCACCTGAGTTGATGCACATGTATTTTTTGGAAGGGTGCTTACTAAGGCTGCACACTAACCACGTTGCGTCCAAGTTCCCATTGTTAGGTCCAGGGTGGGTGAGGAAGAATGGAGAGGAACCCTGCTTGCCTTTGGCAAGACAACAAACAATAACAGAATGCAACAGCCTTCAATGGTCTTTGCTCCCCAGCAACTTAGATTTAGATTTTGAACACAGCGACTCCATGTAACCATTATGGTTAATAATCATCAGTTTAGATGGCTGTCAGTGGCCGTCTCCATCTCTTGTGGCAGTGAATTCCCTATGTCAGTTCTATGCTGACTTGAACTTTTTTCCCCTGAAAAGCTCAGTCTGCAGCTTTCCTTTGGATCAAACTCTCTCCACAGAATGCTGAAGTGCATCCTCAGCATGCCTTGAAATCATGCAATTAAGCTGGAGAAAAATGGCATTTTGTATAATGGAAAGCAATTGTGACTTTAATCCATGTGTTAATCAGTATATCTCTTTAGTTGATCTGACTTCCAACAGTGTTTTTGCTATGCATTGCATGTTTTGCCTTAATTTACATTGCTAATTGCTTCACTGCATGTTTTTGTATTGTTCTTTTTACCATTCCACAACTAGGAACTAAGGGGTAATCAGAAAGTGAGGGTCGTCCAAAGTCAACAGGTAAAGTGGTGCTGGAAAATAGATGGAAAGGGTGGTGAAATAAAAAAAAAAAATAGAATGTAGTTAAAGTACTTAGGATGTTTGTTCTAGAAGTGCTTGTTTATGAATGTCTGGTATTGCATGAATACTTGCATCCTGCAAAATTTTGCTTAAAATCAATCCACGCATTTGGCAGAAATGAAATCAAAGTGCAATGTTTTTCTAGACAACGCTAGAGAGATATGGTGGAAGGGTGTTGTAGAGACATGCTTGATACTATCTTTAAATGTGTAGCTTCAAATGTTCTGGAAATACTACACTGCAGTTGTACTTAAAATTCCACAGCAAGATGTTCAGTTGTCTCATCCTTGAGGTGGGATTATCAGTGGAGTTCAAGAAATTACGGAGTTGCAAATAATTGAAAGGCAGTTTCTTTCTTAAAGATAGTCCTGCCTCATCTCTTCCCTACTCATGAAGCCTGTCCTAAAGTGTCTGCAAAGTGGGAGTGTAGAAAGTGCTTTGAGGAAACTGGCAGCTTAGGTCATGGCACTTATGATGACCACGTTGTACAAAGGCAAAGGATTTCCTTCAGATCAGACTGGTCTTTGAAGTATAGGCATATCTGCTGGTATATTTCCACAGTTACTTTTTGTGAGTTACCTTTTGCAAAGGACTGTCACCCGATTCAAGAAACAGAAATCAATTAACCACAAGCATTGATCTCTAAAATCTGTACACATTTTCATATGACAATAGCTTTGACAAAAACAACAACACATACTTTATGTCTCATCTGAGATGATGTCGTCCAAAAAAAAATTAGTTGCATAAACATTTCTATTAGCAATACCTTTATCGTAGTGTACAATGCCTTTTATACAGTTTAAAAGTTTCAATAGACTGAGATCAGTTTGATGTAAAGACTGCTTCCCTAGTTTAAATTACTTAATAGGTCCATTGCATTCTATGGAATGTTTTACAGTGCTGTCGTGGTCTGTTTAGAATTTTAAAAATGAAACTTTTAAGAAAGGACTAACACAGCAAGGAGAAAATGAGAAACCGTTCGGGTTCTGCAGCAATTTAGCAATTAGTAAACAAAGCTGCCGATCCCGTCAGAGTGACATTCAAACTTCCCTTAATGCAATGTTTTTCTCTGTAGGTAAAGAAGAAAAGCTGTTCTGGCAAGCAGTTTCTCCCGCTTCCTTTCTAGAGAGACGAAATTATTGGTCTGTCATTCTGTGAAGGATTTTCAGGCAAAGAATCCCAACTGTTTGTAAATCATATTATAATAAAGTCCTACATGAAAAGAGCTGGCATGGTTCTTTGGGTATGTGAAACTGGGGGTGGCTGGACTGCAATACAAGTAAACAACAGTGTCTTATGCTCTCAGCCAGCATGTCAATCTCATTAAAAACGTTCTTCAGACACCTTGAGAGAGAGACAGAGAGGGTGTGTGTACAGAAGCCTCTTTGATGTAAATGAGAGCTATGCACAGTTATGGTAACATCCAAAATCTCTCCGTTGTAAGTTTGAAAAAACTTTGCGAAATATTTTGATGTTAAGGTATTACAGCTTCAATCCTAAATTTGGTAACCTGAGTCTGCCCACCTTTCAGATCACCTGAGGTCACAATGAAACTGGATGACCAAGTAACACTTTGCTTTTTTGGTGAGGCTGGAGCTGCCCTTACAGATGAAGATTTTTGAAGCCGGCAATTCAGAGGAAGAATCGGGAAATCGATAAGCGTGCTCCCAGTCTGTTGCATAAAGAGGCTGGAGCTTTCGAACTCGGTGCTGCCTTCTGTTCTCATGCGGGGATCTAGAGAAAGCCGCCAGATTTTAAAAGTGTGGACTTCTTGATGCAATGGAAGAATAGGGATTATTTTATCTTCAGATCACACGATGGCAGGTGCGGGCAACGTGGCTGTGGTTTGCAGTCCAAGCCCTGAGACTTGCCGCGCTAAATTAGGGCTGTGGGGGTAAAGGTTCTACACTAGAACAGGAAGCGAAAGCGTGTAACCTTCCAGATGTGGTTGGACTCCAACTCCCATCAGCCCCAGCCACCATGGCCAGTGATTGAGAATGATGGGAGTTATATTCGTCCGACAATATCTGGAGGGCAACAGCTTCACCAGCCGTGCCCTAGGGTGAAGACAATGCAATAAGTAGGTTAGATGTGCTCACACGCTTTCCCTATATTCGATACATACCTCAAGCCACGGATTCTCACTGAATATTGGCATGGAAGCGACTAATATGGATATAAAATTTGCAGCATGTTATGGTTTTAAGAGAAAATTATATGAAGATGTTCTATAGATTGTATCTAACACCTAGTAGACTGGCAAAAACGTACAATATAAATCAAAATCGAGAAAGTGTTGGAAATGTAAAGAGAAAGGTACTTTTTTTCATATGTGGTGGTCTTGTAATAAGGTTAAAACTTACTGGGAAATGATATATAATGAATTGGAAAAGATGTTTAAGATAACATTTGTAAAAAAAAAAAAAAACCTAAACCAGAAGCTTTTCTATTGGGAATTATAGGATCAGAACTACCGGTACCTAAACAGTATAGAAATTTATTTAGCTCTGATATCTAGAATACATCAGTGCTGTATACATTTAGCAAGAAGAAATACCATATTTTTCTGTGTATAAGACTAGGTTTTTTCCCTAAAAAATAATGTCTGAAATTTAGGGGTGTCTTATAAATGGATAGATCTCCCATTTTCTTAAATCAGAGTCCCCCCAGATAGGGGCGTCTTATACATGGGGGTGTCTTATAGTCAGAAAAATACGATACTTAGTCCAACTGAGAGCCATTTCACAAGCTGCTACCAGGTGCTGTTATCTTTGAGCAGTTTGACTTCACTCCTAAAGGTGTTATCCTCCATTGTCTCCTGAGAAAGACAGATGCCAACCTTTCCAGCTATATACTAGCCTTTCCCAACCTTGTGCCCTCCAGAGGTTTGGGGCTACATCTATTATCCCTGACAATTGATCATTCTGGCTGGGGCTGGTGGGAGCAACGATGATCTTTGGTAAGGTTGGGGGATACATGGTCCTTCAGATGTTTCTGAACCACAGCTTCCATAATACTTGGCCTTGTTGGCTCGAGGTCGATGGAATCTGGAACTCCTGGAGGTCTGCAGCTTTCTTATTCCTGATCAGTGTGCTGTGAAACACCTGTGACATTCATGCTATGTCTTGACATTTATGTCTGACCATTGTATGAAGTGATCCATGGTTATTTGCAGTTGTTGTTGTTGTTTAGTCGTGTCTGACTCTTCGTGACCCCATGGACCAGAGCACGCCAGGCACTCCTGTCTTCCACTGCCTCCTGCAGTTTGGTCAAACTCATGCTGGTAGCTTTGAGAACACTGTCCAACCATCTCGTCCTCTGTCGTCCCCTTCTCCTTGTGCCCTCCGTCTTTCCCAACATCAGGGTCTTTTCCAGGGAGTCTTCTCTTCTCATGAGGTGGCCAAAGTATTAGAGCCTCAGCTTCACGATCTGTCCTTCCAGTGAGCACTCAGGGCTGATTTCCTTAAGAATGGAGAGGTTTGATCTTCTCGCAGTCCATGGGACTCTCAAGAGTCTCCTCCAACACCATAATTCAAAAGCATCAATTCTTCAGCGATCAGCCTTCTTGATGGTCCAGCTCTCACTTCCATACATCACTACTGGGATAACCATAGCTTTAACTATACGGATGGGGGGAATAACAGGTGTCAGTAATAAATCACACTGAGTAAGTGAAGTTAACTCTTTATTAGAAGAAACAAGGTCTGCCCAGGTGTCCCAGACCTAAGGAGCACGGTGACTCTTCTCAGTAGGACTTGCAGTTGTAGAGGCTGAAGGTCCCTGCCTTCCGACAGCTGCCCAAATCTTCACTGGGTTCTTCCTAAGTAATCTGAGACTATGTCAACGCGCCTGTCTCTGCTCCACCCTCTTCAAACCTCCTTCCCTTGGCAGTTCCCCAGCTGGTGCCTCCCACCATTTCTCGGCATTTAGCCGGACCATGACAGCATAGAATCATAGAATCATAGAGTTGGAAGAGACCACAAGGGCCATCGAGTCCAACCCCCTGCCAAGCAGTTAGGGATCAGAATGTTTCCCTTTCACTTCTCAGGTAATTTGGTCTATCCTTCTGGCCTTAGCACTCAGCTCTGTAAACTGCTGTCTGGGCTGCAGCATTTCAGCTGGGAGTGAATGCTTACCCCCGTTAAAAATTATGTTCTACATTTATTAAAAAATGACATGTTGGGAGTTAAGTCTAGGCTTGCACCCTTCTTGATATGCTAATTTTCTATGTGCAGGGAGTACAGTGGTACCTCAGGTTACATACGCTTCAGGTTACACACTCCGCTAACGCAGAAATAGTGCTTCAGGTTAAGAACTTTGCTTCAGGATGAGAACAGAAATCGTGCTCCAGCGGCGCAGTGGCAGCAGGAGGCCCCATTAGCTAAAGTGGTGCTTCAGGTTAAGAACAGTTTTAGGTTAAGAACAGACCTCCGGAACGAATTAAGTAGTTAACCTGAGGTACCACTGTATATCTTTTATAGGAAGAGTATTCAGCCATGCAAGGGTCCAAGTGGTATAGCCTACCAGGGGTCAGCAAACCTTTTCTGCAGGGGGCTGGTCCACTGTCCCTCAGACATTGTGGGGGGCCGGACTATATTTTTTGGGGGGGTGAGAATGAATTCCTATGCCCCACTGATAACCCAGAGATGCATTTTAAATAAAAACACACATTCTACTCATGTAAAAACACACCAATTCCTGGACCATCCGTGGGGCGGATTAGAAGGCGATTGGGCCGGATCTGGCCCCCGGGCCTTAGTTTGCCTACCCATGGCCCTAGAGGGGCACTGGAGGTGTAAATGACTATCTTGACTTCAAAAAGTTCGCTTCACTGGATCAAACTAATCAGTTTTGTTGAATTAATTAACCTAAATAGTTTTAACTGGATTTTGAATAAATATGTGATTAGTTTTTACTGTTTTGGATTTTATTGTTCTCTTCCTAAGTGGATCTTGCCAACTACTTTTCTGAACGATGTTTTTTATAGGGTAGGGTGTACTGGGGGTGAGTTTATGGAACCAAGGGGGTGGTACCCCCAACCGTTTGGGAACTAGTGGCCTAAACCCAGGTTTATCACCTCCGTGGATTGCTTAGGTATTTGTTACGGAAGCAGCTATAAGAGAGTTGCCAAGGTGGGACTAATTGCCTCTTCAGAGTATCAATTTGCCTGCTGCTGTCCTCAATTAAAACCCAATTGTGAGAGATGACATTTTTCCCAGGCTTGCCCTAAACTTGGATTCAAAATGTAATGCAGACTAGAAGGTAATTGTTCCAGTCCAAGCATGCTTTAAAATGGGACAAATGCCCAGCTTTATAGTTGGCATGGAAAAAAAGCAAATTCCCGACAGATATGGATAGCTAATGCAGGAAGGGGGGAGTTTTGGCTAACTTCTGCCCCTTTTTAAATATTAGAGGAAAAAATATATATAATCCTTCATGGAAAATTAAGGCTGCTTCTTCAAGAGAGAGGGAATTGGATCCTCTTAGTGCCCAAACTATCCAGCAGTGAGTGTGGCTGCTGCTTGCTGCTCTCACATACATATGGAAGAGAAGAATCTCCTTTAAAAACTCTCCTTGTGCTCTTGTAATTAAAAGCCATTTTGTTTCTTTTAGCTTTGGGGCTGCAAAGATGTATTTTATATCATCTGAATGTTATGTAACCTGGAAAGATACGGCACCAGTGTTCTATGTGATGCAGTGGTTAGAGTGTTGGACTAGGACCTGGGAAACGAGGGTTCGAATCCCCACCCAGCCATGAAGATGGGAGGCTTCATGGAGCTCAAGGAGGGAAGAACCACCTTGAGTTCCTTGGAGCCAAAGTTGGTATATAAATGTACTCTGGTTAAGCAATATTAAAGTGAGAAGGTGCCATACCTGACGACCATCTTGGCTGCGAGTCCTGGAAGACCTACGATTCTGTGATTCTATTATTCTAAATTGGTGGCCATAAATGCCTCTTGTGGCAGTGAGTTCCAGAGCTTAGCTACGATCAGACAACAGCAGCATCCACAGAGTTGGAAAGGACCTTGAGGCTCATCGAGCCCAAGCCCCTGCAATTTGTAAGGTTAAAAAAAAGAGAGTAAAGGACCCCTGGATGGTTAAGTCCAGTCAAAGGCGACTAAGGAGTCGCAATTCGTAGTGCTTCACATAGACATAATACACAATGGGGATGCAGGTGGCGCTGTGGTCTAAACCACAGAGCTTCTTGGGCTTGCCGATGAGAAGGTCGCCGGTTCGAATCCCCGTGACAGGGTGAGCTCCCGTTGCT